GTCAGTCTGTTTCTCTCCTGATGGAAATACATTAGCTTCTGGTAGTTTATACTTTTATTGGATGTAAAAACAGGAAAATAAAAAGCAAAATTATATGGTCATAGTGATTAGGTTAGATCAGTTTGTTTCTCTCCAGATGGAAATACTTTAGCTTCTGGTAGTAATGATAAGTCTATCAGTTTATGCAAATCAGGATAATAAAAAGCCTAATTAGATTGTCATACTAATGGAATCTTGTCAGTCTGTTTCTCTCCTGATGGAAATACATTAGCTTCTTGTAGTGATGATAATTCTATCCTTTTATGGGATATCAAAACAAGTAACGAAAAGGCCAAATTAGATTGTCATACTAACACTCTTTACTCCTTTAGTTTCTTACCTGATGGAAATACATTAGTTTCTATTAGCTATGATAATTCTATACCTCTTTGGGATCACATAACTGGTAAACAAATGCAACCCAAGAATAAAAATTATCAAGAAATTCTTCACAAATATAAGCCTTCATTATTTTACAATCCTCTTTTTCCAAATTTTGGTTTTAATATTTTATTTTATTTAGTTAAATAAAATATTCCCATTCATGTTCTATCCGCAAATCCATATTTATTATCAAATGGAGCCTTAATCTTAAAAGGAAAATTTATAACAATTTGGAAAGAATATTTATAAACATTTTTTGAATCAAGAGGAAGTTGTATTTTGGAAAATTTAAATTAAATTTAATAAAAGTGAAATTATTTTAAATAATGAACATAATCAAATTAAAAATCATTATATTGATATGATAATTGAAACTTATGAATTCTTCACCTATACATATGTTTTTTTTCAAAATTTTTTTATGTCTATTAACCACTATTTTAGTATAATATTAATAATCAAAATCGCAGGGAATGAATATTCAATGATCATAACAATTTTTATCAAGATTTTAATATAAATGATACTGCAATAAATAGATACTTATATACTCTACAAATATTTTAATTTAGCATAGTTAGTGCAGTGAGGAATCTTATAGAAAGTGTTTAATTTATAATAAAAGAAAATTAAAAGTAAATTAACTCAACTGCAGTCTTCTTAAATCATCAAATATATTATGATATGTTTGCTATATTGATTATTAATTAATTAAGATCATTTGGAAACCTAATCTCAATTCCAATTAATTGAGTGAATTACTGATTAACTAAAGTGATATGCTAAACATACATATATATCCAAAGAAGAAATTTTTAGTGATAGATAAGAAACTTTAAACATCGCTGGACTTAATTTACGTATAATCGTATTACAATCACATGATAAAAAAAATCCTTGCCTATATCATTTTCATTTAGGTGTTATATTTATTATAACCACCAAATTCAAGTACAGGATAAAAACCTTCAATTTTGATAAAATAATTTCTAATGACATTGCCTTTTTTAAATAGAAATCTCAACTTCATGAATAAGTGGATTATTTTCTTGTATTTCATTATTTTTCTTTATATTAGTGTTATCTTTTCAAATTGAATATATGATTAAGTTGGAAAAGAGAATTATATCTATTTATCAAAAAAATCATCTTACTTTTTATTTTTATTAATCATCTCTTCATTTTGAGAATCCTAATAATCTACGATTAATTATTAATTTACTGTTTTAATGATTAATAGAATTATTCAAAAAAAATGTTTCATAACACATATTTAATTTTGATTAAGATAAATATTATACTTCTTTGTTTTAAATCTAATATAAATCTTTTACTATTTTGGCTATGATTTGAATTTTCAATAAAATTAGTGTTTTTGTTTTAATTGTATAGAATCACCATTTTCCAGATTGTTTGTAAGTTTTAATTTTCAAACCTTTCCTTTGCATAAAAAACAAATAAACTCTCTTAAATAGGAAATTAAAAAATAATTATTTAAAGATTTAATATATATATCAATAATCGATTATTAACACAATTGTTTTTGTAAATCGCTATCAATATTGACTACTTTAAATTGAGTATTTTGATTTAGATTTCCCTTCATTCTAAATATGTTCAGACTTTCGATTTGTAGAAACATTTAGGACTATATTAACATTAAGATTAATAGTACATCTTTTTATTTATGCAATTTTCTCTTTTTGTTCTCCAATACTATTTTAAATTTCTCTTAACTATCTCGTGCCCTCTGTTTATTATTTACTACCTTGAATCTTTTAAAGAAGTATTAACTTTTCTCCATTTTCAAACTAAATTAAAATATAAATCTACTTAATTTTTTCTTTCAGTTAATAATTCCTTTTTGCATTATTATAACATAGAATATACATTTTCTGACCACCCTTCAATTGTAGATTTTAGACTTGAAATATTAGGATTGTCTTTAAAAAAAGAATTAAGTTCATTTTTATCAAAAAGTGGATAAACTAAAGGTTCATCTCCTTCTTTTAAACCTTCCAATTTAGTTTTATCAACTTCTCTCTCTTCAAAATTTTTCATTTTAATAACCCCTCCTGATTTTAGCTTAGGTTGAACATCAACTGATAACAATTTAAGATTATTATGCTGAATAGCAGCCATTTCTCGTGCTACATCCACGGCTAAGTTGTAAATAGCAGAGCAAATGGATTAGATATTTAAGCGATATTACTAGTTGTTTTTTTTTTAAGTTGCTGATGAGGATGCTGGAATTGGTTCCCATAAATCATTTAAAAATTGTAAATACATTCTAATTATAATTATTGTAATTATCATCATTTGACCTTATCTTTAATTAAGACTTGAATATTAATTAAATTTAATACATAATTCCTCCTTATGGTGTAAAGGATAATCTGTTAACTTCAAATTTCAATAGAAAGTTTTAAGGAGCACAAAAATAATTATGAGTAAAATTAAGTAGATAAAATTTACAAAATTTTGGTATATTTGCTTAATTATCAAATACAGCATCAATAAAATTTTTCACATATATTTTAAGCTAATCCATTCGTTTTTATGTTTCCTTTGGATTAACTTTAGAGTCTAAATATAAAGTAACACTAGTATTTTAAACCTTTAATTTATCAACAATAATGTTAGTGAAATCCTTCATCCATAAAAAACAATCATTCTAAAATTATAAATAATTTTCTGGAAATTTATCCTAAAATTCTGTAATCTTTGATGAGATTGATTTTTTTGTTTTTTGGATAAATTAAAGCATAAGCCTCAATCTTTTACTTCTTATTTTAAGCTAAAGTATTGCTCTTTTTGATACTAATTATTCTAATTATTTTATCTCTTTTTGGTAATCTTCTTGAGTTGGCCCTAAATTTCTTTTCTATTATTTATACAATTTTTCGCTTTTATCATTAGATTGGTGTTTACTTTAGCTATTTGAATAAGTTTCATATGATTTTTCAAGTTAATCTCCTCTTTCTGATAATTTCATTTTAAGAAAAAAATTTTCCTCTTTTAGCTTTTTCATCAATAATAACATTCTTAATTTTTCTTGTTATTATTTTTCTGCTTGTTACTGTTGCATATAAGAAAAGTTTGAAGGCATAAATATTGGAGGAGGAGGAAGAGGAAGTGGTTACACATATGGAAGTTAAGGAAAATTATAATATGAATTGTTATTTTGTTCGTAGTATTATGATTATTCTTTTTTTATAGACCCCATAGGGACATCAAGCTTTGATGATTCTTGTTTTTCCATTAGAAGATTTATAATTTAGTTCTATTTCTCAATTTATTATGCCAATCGATTTTCTGATGCTTGCTTGAAAAATGAACCAGACCTATAATTATTGAGTAATTCTAAAGTTAACTAATCTTAAATGTCTTTATTCTCTTGTAAAATTTATTTACCCAATTAAGAGAACGAAAATGCGGAATTATTCATATTACAATATTTAATTAATAAATAAATATTATATAAAACACAGAGAATAATATCCTCAGAATATTATTATTTTCAATAAAATTATTTTTTATTTAGAAATTAACCAATCCCTTTCTGATCTCTCCCATATTATTCTAATTCTCTTTTTTTCCTTAATTCTTTTTTTTCTTCCATTTTTTCTAATTCCTTTAAAGTTTAATAAATAGACAAACTGTCAATTTAATCAAGTTATTTATATTGATCTTTTATATCAAATCCTAAGCGCGTTTTATTTTTATCGTGTTGAGTAACCGATCTGAATCGAGTTGTTTTTTTGATTGGCAAAGTAGATCTTACTAAATATTAAAATATAGTGGATACATTTTGGTAATTCTGCTTCAACTTAATCTATTAGAAATTAAGTTTTTGTTTTAAACAGCTAAACAGTAACTAAATTTTAAGGTTAATTCTATCCTTACTTTAAGATTAGAATAAGTTTCCCAGCATTGTTCCAAAACTTAACTTGCATATCAAGTGATAATGATATTATTAAACCATCTAAAAACTCATAACTAATTATAATCTATTTAATTTGGGTTTTGTGAGCCTTCCATACAGCTACTTGGTATGCAGTCCTTTCACTTAATAATGGATTTAAAGGCTCCAATTAAACATCATATTCTTGATAATTAAGTTAAAAAAATCTATGGGGATTTTTGTTTTGGGCAATATCGGAATGCTTAATTTTTTTTATTTGACAACTTTTTATAATTTGCGTGATCGATAAAATTCTAATATCCCCATTTTCATCACCAATAAGTAAACAACTGTCAATGTAATTAAATTCAATTGAATAAACTGGAGAAGCTTTCATAATGGTAAACATGTTTTTCCAAATAACTGCACAAGATTTGGACTAACTTGCTGGTAAAGCAAAATCATTTGATAACACAATATAAATTACAATATGACCATGATGATCAGAACACGCTAAAAGTGGGTAAGGATCCAAGAATTTGAGAAAGAGTACTTCTCCACTTGCTCTCAATCTAGAAAATTATGTTCCTTTTTCAAAATCCCATAAACGTATTTCTGATTATTTTGAACTTGTTGCTATTAACATTAAATTTTCTGAAAAAGCCCCACAATAAATTTCGTTTGGATGGGCATTTTTTATATTCCTTAAAATTATTTCTTTATTGTCTTCATCATGATATATTCTGATTTATTTATCCCATGATGAAGCAATTAAAGTATGATACTTTTCGCTATATGAAAGATGAGAAATTTCTTTAGTAAAGTTATTTTTCATTTCTTTAATAATTTTTCCTGTAAATAAATCTAAACAACTAAAAATAAGGCAATAATTTACAAAATGTTTCCTTAATGTGTTCCTATAAATCCTCTTCTTTATGTGTAATCTAAACAAAATGTATAAATATCATGATTTACAAAATTTCCGCTTAATCTTTTAATCAATCCACTTCTCACACACCACGTTTTTATTGTTTTTCTTGTGGCTATATGCAGTTCAAGATATTTATTTGAATAGCATAGGCATTGAATTGGCATATCATCTGTAACATTTGGATCGAAAGATTATTAAAATTCATAAATTAAAAAGTTTCTACAACCAACAATGACAATATCTTTTTATTTCAAATATATGATTGATTTGATATTATTGTTAGTTTCATCTAATTTTATATGTTAAATAGATTGGAAAGTTTTAGGATCCCAAACTCTTATTACACCTTTTATATCACAAGATACAATTATTGGCATTCTTTTACTTATACTTAAAACTGAAACTAAGGAAGCCTCATGACCTAATAATTTTGCTACTGGATGTTCCAAATAAATATTCCATATCACTACATCATAATCATAAGAACACGAAATTAAATACTTAAATTCTGGACAATAAGAAAATTATTTGATTCTTTTTTTATGTCCTTATAAGATCTTATGATCCCCAGATAACGTTTTTTTAATTCCCAATTTAGTTTTCATGGTTTCAGCTACTTTTAATTTTTATGCTGCTTTGATTTTATTTTCATATAATCTTATTAATGTATCATTTGATCCTACTGCCAATATTTCTAAGCAATCTATGCATAACATACAAGTAATGCCTTTTTTAACTATACCATCTTATTTTTCTTATTCTTCAATCATCAAAGGTTAATCAACAATGACTAATTTGAAGCAATCTGATAATTTTGGTCCTGATTTTATAAATTCCAAGAATTCTTTTGAAAATATTTTTTCTACATCCCACGAATAGATTGTTCCATTATCTGTTGCCGTATATAAAACCTAATAAAATTATATGATACTTTATTTTCTTAACTATATTGTAAATGACTTTGTAATTCAGGCACTTAGAACCGACTTTATAATTTATTGGCTTTTAAATCATAAAAATTTAAAAATTTATCATTACTACTCATGACCAATGTTTAAAAATCTTCAATATAAAGAATATTCAAAATGCTGATATTGCTGATTGATATTTACGCAATTTCTCCAAAGTTATTAGGATTTAAGATGCATAATTTCTTTTAATTTTATTCTAAATATGCAAATTATCCATCTATTTCAAACATTTTATCAATGGGATTTGTTTTCTGACCTTCTATCTCTTTTTATTTTAATTTTATTGTATATAATGAATGCTCTCTATTTATCCAATCATGCATTTCGACTAAAAAATTTGAAAATTATTCAAAATTCACAAGGTTTTTTTCTAAAGTATCAATAAGTTGATAGAAGTAGACTAAAGTTTAAACATCAGCTTTTTTTATTTCTTGCAAAATAAAAACAAACTAAGAAACATTTATGTATTAATCTTAAAATTCATTACGAATTTATTCAAATTCTTCCTTTGTGAAATCTATAATTTTTTTCAACTTTCTTAATTCTTATTACTCTGGATTGAGATATTAGCTCGATTCTTCATCAGACGATAGATGATTTGATTAAGGATTATATATTTCGATTTATGTTATCATTAAATTAATATTAAAAACAGGGTATCTTAATATGAAAATATCATTTTTTTTCATTAAATTTAATGAGTTAATAAGCTGCAGATATTAGGAACGTCATCAAATCTTTAGAGAAGATTGCTTAACAACTAGAAGGTGTTACTCCAACTTCATAGTAAAATCCACTAACATTAGCTGAATTACAACCATTTAAAGATAAGCTAAATCTTTTTGTTGAAGCTTCAAAGGGACTCTCTGACTAAGCACTGAAGGATATTGTAATATATAGTATTTCAACAACTTAGACACCCTTAGTAGTGAAAATATTTTCAATAATGGAAAATGCAATTTTACATTCTACAAACACTAAAAAGCCAACTCCAGACTAAATGAAATAAATTCAAAAGCTTATTACTGAGTAAGTGAATAAAATTGCTAAATTCTAAACACCTGCTCTATAATATTAAGTAAAAGCAATGATCGAAGGTTGCTAAGCAGCATTCTGGGTGACTTTAGATGGTCCTAAGATCTAAGTAGAGAGTGCTATCGAATCTGCTGAGTTTAATGGATTTAAACTAAAATAGTAGAAAGTTGCAGAAGTATCTAAATGGTATGATGCATTTATTGGTGCATTAAAGTGGTTGCCAGGTATCATTATCTTCTTAACTAGATTTTGTAATAAACAACTATAAAATGGGCTTAGAATGGAATGGTAAAGGATCTCTAACTTTCGAACAATTTTTAGCAGCTTTGACTTAAGAAAAAGCTCAAGGAGCTCCTCCTCCTCCTCCAAAAGGTCCCCCTCCTCCTCCTCCTCAATTTGCAGCTCCTGCTCATCACGCTGACGTTGGTGAATCAAGAGGAGCCTTGTTTGCAGAATTAAATGTAGGGGCAGACATCACTAAAAGTAGTTTTTAATTGAAAAATAGGATTAAAGCCAGTATAGAAAAATGTTGAAAAATCAGACCCTTTATAGCCTACAACAGCAAAACAATAGTAGTCAACCTAATAAGCAGCACTTTAGTAACCGAAAGAGCCTAAAAGATATTGCAAAGAAAATTGGTTTTTGGAAAACTATTAAAATGAGAAGCTAATTGAATTCAAAGATGATGAAATTGAAATGAAATAATCTCTTTTTGTGGAGAATTGCAAGAATTGTGGAATACTCGTTAAGGCTAAAGTGAAATCAATATTTTTGTAAAAATGTGAAAAAGTTGAATTGGTTTTTGACGTATTTATATTTTTACTAACTTTAGCAAACTATTTCAGGAGTTGATGTTGTTAATTGTAAAAAAGTGAAAGTAACATGTTTAACAAAGTAAATCATATTAATAAAATTAGATGTCCAAGCCTTATGATCAATAATTCTGAATCTGTTCTCATGGCATTTAACGCAGATAAATAATGTGAAATAATTTCTTCAAAGACTATGGACTTCAATATCACATATTTGCAGGAAGATGGAGATTATGCAGTAACAACTCAAACTTATTTATTAGAAAGACACTAATATAGCCGAACAATTCTTAACTGTTTGGGACAATGATTAAGGAAAGTTTATTACAAAAGCTTTAGATATATCCTTCGGATGAGTATTATCAAAATAAAACAATAATAATAAAATCATTCTATCTTTCTGATAGAGTCTCTTTGAATTGGTTAAATTTATTTTCCAGGTTCATTTTCATAATAATGATAATTATTTTTATATAATGTCAGAGCCAATAAGTATTAAATTGTTAGTGGTTGGAGATGGGTCAGTTGGAAAGACTTGTATATTATTAAGGTAATCGATAATCACTCATAGGAATCAGCTATACAACTGATAAATTTCCCACAGAGTATGTCCCAACTGTTTTTGATAATTACTAAACAAAGGTGATTGTAGATGAAAGGGAAGTTAATTTAAGTTTATGGTATACATTATTTTGAGTTAAGGGACACTGCTGGACAAGAGGGATATAATAATGTCAGATAATTAAGCTACGATAATACAGATGTTTTCCTAATAGTATACTCTGTAGTGGAGAGTAATTCATTCTCGAATGCATTACACAAAGTAATATTTTTTCTATTCTTTAGTGGTATCCAGAATTGAACCAAGACAAATTTGAGTAGACACCAAAAATTCTTGTAGGCAATAAAATTGATATGAGGAATGAAGGAAATTCAAACCATGTAAAAAAAAATGCTGTAAATAAAAATAATTATAACAAAAAGGCTGAATAATTAGTAAAAGATCTAAAAAACTGTTAATTCTTTGAAGTATCAGCATTAACACAAGAAGGTCTTAAGCCATTATTTGATACAGCTATATAAATTGCTTTAAATAAAAAACTTAAGGCTATTAATGACGCCTAAAAACCAAGTCAACCAGCCGATGATTCTTAATGTTGTCAATTGATTTGAATATTATTGTTAAAAATATTTGATATAATTTAAATATACTATTAATGGATCCAGAAGAATAGCTGGAAAAGTTGTTAGAGGTTTTTTATGATGAAAAGATTGAGCCTAAAAAGGAGGCAGCAAAATAAATTCTAGGGTTAGCAACTTAATAATAAAATTTGGAATACTTGATATCTCATGGTATTACTTGAATAATAGATATATCATTAGAATAATTTTTATCAACTCTTTCAAGGACCTTAAGAGATGAGCATAAGAAATCAACTGAACTTACACTTTATCTACTCTGTGTGTTTTACATTTTATCCAATTATTTGGAATTCCATCAAATCCTCTCAGAGCATCAAATTGGAGATATAACCATGAAAATTATAGAATCTCAAATTCAAAGGTTCGATTTGAGATATGCTGAATTGATGGAAAAACAAGGTTAACCTTAATAGTTGCAGGAATTGAGAAAATTAAATTTAATGATTGCTAAATAAGAAAAATTATTTTATGTTGGTTTCACAATATTGATGAATATGGCAGAGGATCCAATTATAGAAAATAAAATGAGAAAAAGAAAAATAATCACTTTTCTATTGAGAATGCTCGAAAGAAATAATTTTTATCTATTAATTGTAACCTTACTATTTCTGAAGAAATTAAGCATAGTAAATGAATGCAAACTTTAAATGGTTGAAGAGAATTGCATAAGAAAATTAAAACGATTTTTTAGTGCTGATAATAATGTTTTATTGCAATTAAGTTTAGGTATAATAATATATCTAATATATAGGATTATTAAAAAACTTATGTTTTGATACTGAGGCTCGATCATAAATAGAATAAAATGGGTTCATTCCAGATATTGTAAAGCTATTGAAAATACCCAATTATAGATTTGTTTCAATAGTTTTATTATATTTACTCACCTTGGATGACAAATTGAGATTAACGTTTGGATTTACAGAATGTATGAGTTTGGTTGTTAAATTAATGTTGCATTTCCCTGAACCTATAATCGGCAAAGAATTAATTGCTTTAGCAACTAATTTATCAACAAGCTCAAGAAATGTCGATCATATTACGGAACAAGAATTTCAATAAATAGTGTAAAGGGCCCTGACAAATGGAGATACGTTGCTGTTTAGATTTATTAAAGGAGTTATTGAGAATTCGACTAACCCTGAAATATAAACATGTGCTAAAAGCTTTGTTAGGCATTTCATGAAGTTACTTGTAACACAAGGAAAAGAGGAAGACTTGAAATTTGAAATCATAGGAATAGTAAGTGTCATATAATTAAATGAAAATTGGCTTAAAATATTAACAGAACCATTTATTGAATTTTTGCATAACAATTTAGCAATAGGAATGGTTGATGATGATATTGTTTTAGAAACTATGATGCTAGTTTCATAAATTTCTTCTAATGCAAAAGCAGCAGAAATCTTATTTAACAACAATATTTTAAATGCATTAACTTTAGTCTTTACAGAAAAAGTAGATGATGATGAATTTATTGTTTAATACCTTTATTGTTTGCATTAATTCTTATTTCATAAAATAGGAATATCATTAATTTTAGCATAGTAATCTATAATACTTAATTTAGGGATGATATACTATTGTAATTTATTTAATAATTAAATGATAAAAATCAAAAAGTTAAATAAATGTCTCAGGAAGTTTTAGATATTTTAAGAGAATATGATTAGGAATTATGTGAGAAAATAAAAGAGACTAAATTTTGTGAATACAATTAATTGTGGGTAGAACATATCAATGAACAAGAGATGATGTAGATTATTATCTAGATATAGGTTATAAGAAGGAGTTGATATGGGATTTGAAGATGAGTATGGAGGAAATGAGCTCGATCCTAAAATGTGGGATTCAGATAATGATTGATATATTTACAATAAATTTCAATTAACAAGACATTAAGGCCTATTTTAAGTCATTAGTTTAGTTTTAAAGAATAATGTATTTTAAAGGTAGTATTGAGAAATTTAATAGTATTATATTAAAAATATTCTAATTTCAATTATGAGTGAAGAAACAGCCTAAGTTAAATAAAAAGGGAAAAAGGGGGCAAAGAAGAAGGCAGAGTCAAAAACTACTTAAAATTCAGATCCTCCTATCGTCACTTAAGTTGATGATAAAAAAAAAGCTAAACCCTCAAAGAAGGTGTAATAAGCAAGTCCACCAAAAAAGAAAGATGAGAAAAAATAACCTGAAAAAAAGGGGAAGCAACCTTTAATTAAGGAAGATGTAGACTCTTTGCTTGAATATTTCAAATCATCCAATCGTCCTTTCACAGTGAACTATTTAAAAGACACATTATTTTTAAAATTAAGTACACTTCAAAAAAATATTGACACATTGGTTTCTAAAGGTGACGTAGTTATGAAAGAAGTAGGTTCTACAAAAGTATTTCTAATTAATCAAAACTTGATGCCTACAGTTAACTAGCAAGATTTAGAGTTGCTAGGAAGTGAGTTAGAATAAAAAACCGAAGAATACAAATAACTTGCTTTATAAAATTCAAAACTCAGTGAATAACTTAAAAATTTATCTAAAATTCCAACTTTATAAGAATTGATGGACATGAAAACAGAGATGAAATAAAAAATTGATGAACTTGAAAATAAATTATTGTTATACGAAGACAAAAATTTTAAAATGGCAACTGCTGAAGAAACTTTATAAGTAGAAAATGAGTACTAAAATATGTTGAACATCTGTAAAAAGAGAAAAAATATCTATAATGAAGCAATAGGATCATTGCTTTCGGAGAGCGATTTAACAATAAAATAATTTGAGAAAATTGTTGGTATTTTTAGGGATTGATTATTTATAATTAATAATATACTTAATGGAAAATGCTAGTAATTTCATTCGAATGAATAGAGATTTAAGATTCAATGGTTTGCAATAGACAGTTAAAGGAAATATTAAAGTAAAAGATGTGAAATTTTTATTGGCTCAAAAGGCTGATACATTTCCTTAATTATTGGTGGCATTTACGAAATTTGGAATATTGGAAGATGAAACTGAATTATTTAAAATATATGATAACATATATGTATATTCAATAGGGTATTTAATTGAAAAGTAAATTTACAATATTCAATATCATTCATAGATTAAAAAATGATGTTTATAATAAGAAATCTAATCCTAATAATAATTCAATATAATTGAGCACAATTATTAGGTCTTTTAAGGATAGAAAGTCATTTAATGAAATTGATCACACATTTGATTAAAGATAATACAATAGCGTAGATACAAATTATTGTTAGAAAAAATATAAAAATGGGATTGATTACGTTCAAGAATAAATAAAGAAATCAATGCAAAAAGATCAAAATTAGACAAAAGAATGTAATAATAATAGTAATACTCATTATTATTGCTAAATTCAGAAAACTGAAGAATCAATAGTATATAATATGTTCTAATGTTTAGAAACCTTATGAAGAAATAAGAAACTCAAAAAGTTCCATATCCCATTAATAATAATAAGGCTCAAGGATTTACTATAATTTAAACTCACCTGCTAAAGAATTATAGAAATAAATTCAAAAATATTAGGATATAATTGAATAAAAAGAGTACTAAATTAAACAATTAGAATAAATAAATTAATCTTCTACACTAAAAATGTAGATACAGTGCTAGTAAATTGAAAATCAAGATAAGTATATCATAAGATTAAAATAATAAGAACTTAAATATGTTAAATTATTAGTAAATATTTTATTTATAATAGGGAACAATCTCAGAGTATTTATAGAAAATTATTGGTTAAATTTAATAAAAATTAGAGAGGTAATAATGATTCAATTATCATAGAAAATAAAAATAATAATTAGAAAAAGAGAAAAGCTCCACTGATTTTTTAACAAGATAGATTTAATCAGCTAGAGCAGACTATAAGATAAAGATAAAATAATAATAACTTTTTATTTCTAATTCAAAATTAGACTAAATATTTAGTGCAAAATTGATAGATTTGTAAAATTAATTAACGGAAACAATATTGTTAAATTAATCCATTGATGATTTGGTATAAGCTGCAGAATTTTTAGAGTTGGATAGTAGTTTCAGATTTGATTTTGAATGAGTTGCAATTATTTTGTAAGCATAATCTGATAATATTTCAAATAAATATTAATTAAATTCCTAACAATAAAGTATATTAAGATCATATTCAACTTTCGAATGATTCATCTTATTATTAAATTTCAATAAAACATGCTCATTCTGATCTCCAAAAACCCTTATATCAACTAGCTGAAATTGTTATTTTTCTAAATTAAGAGAAAGAGTAAACTTAATTAAAAGTCTATTAACAAATCCTCTACAATTCTATTTACTCAACATTATCTCATCTTTTTAATATAATTTTCAATGTATTTGGCCTTTTATGATTATTTTCCTTCCTTAAAACTTAATTAAATATAATTGAATAACATTCTAAGTCTGTGAAATTCTATTCAAAGACTGCAACAAAGTATGTTAAATATCATTCATATATGATATATATATGCTATGCTAAATACAATATTTTAACGATATATTTTTATAATTAAAAATATAATTCACACCATATGTCACAGAATTATGCAAATTTCTAAATCAAAGATGCTTAGATTGAAAAATTCTTTGACACTCTTAAAAAGGAGCCTTTAGGTTCTGGAAGAAATTCCATAGTTTACCTGACGCAGCATAGGCATTCAAGTGTTTATTTTGCATTAAAAGAACCAAGGAAGGATTAATTGTCTTAATAATCGATTATCGTACAATAATTATGATATGTAGTCTTGATAATCAGAATGAAATTAATATTTTCATCAAGTTATGGCAAAATAATAACTAGGAATTTCCACGGTGTGTACCTTACATGGAAAAATTTTCAGAAACTCATCAAATTTTAATGGAATATATGAAAAATGGTTCATTATTAGACATTTTATTGACAAGTGGAAAATTTGCAGAAAAGTTTGCACGCACAATTGCAATTAATTTATACAATCAAATAGGACTTTTGCATAGAAACGGAGTAGTACATTTTGATTTAAAACCTGATAATATTATGTTTAATGAAAATATGATGCTAAAGATATGTGATTTAGGATATGCAAATTAACCTTTAGGCTTTACACAAGGATATGCTTCACCCGAATAAATTCAAAATAAAATTATTGATGCTGGAAAATGTGATGTTTTTGCTTATGGAGTTATACTATTTATAATTGTAATGGGATTTCCTCCATTTTAACATTATCAAGATAATTGGTACAAAATGATTTCAAACTAATAATGGGATTAATTTTGGAGTAAAATTAAAGAAAATGGAAAACCAGATCCATCTGGTGAGTTTAAGGATTTAATTACAAAGCTTATTGCAGTTGATGTGAATAAAAGATATAGTATGTAAAATATTTCCACTGCAGCGTGGTTTTGTTTAGAAAAAGTTTCAGATTAAGAATGTACATTGGAATTACTTAAAAGAATTAACCTGAGGAATGTCGGGTATTATAAATATTGACTCTTGATTTTAAGTCATTCATAATTCACATTAAGTTTTTAGTTATAATGTTTTATTATTGTGCTTGGTTTATATTAGCTAGCAAAAATACTATTATTCCATATTATTTAATGTTAATTATATCAATTAAATTATAAAAAAATTGTAGTTAATTTGTAATTGCATCTAGTGTATATAAAATCATATTTATTTAATCGACATTAAAATATAGAGAGATTTATTTTTAACATCAGGCAACAGACTAATAAAATCAAATTCCTAAATCTATTTTATGTTATTACATCATTGCTTTATAATATTTCAACTTTTCCTGCAATTTCTTAAGAGAGGTTTATTGAATTTAGTTACTGCATTTCTAAAGATATAACGTTTAGAGCTTGTATTTATCTTCTACAAGTTTAAAAAACTAATAACGCACAATCAGGAAATTGTAAAATAGTGCAGCATATAAGATTATCCTACATTCTCTCATTAATAATTTCTTCTAATTAATCTTAGCTAACACTATCAACCACTAAAATTAAAAGTAAATAAATACGCTGAATTTCAATTGTGTTATTCATTGCTTATCTTGGATTTAATTTCTTATATAAAACTGAAATTTAGTTTCTGTTCTCGAGAATGATCCCAACTATTTTTTTGTCTGGCTAACTACAATAAGATAATGCAAATACCCAATAAAATCTTTAATATCCATATACAATTTGTGAAAATTACTGTTAGAAATTACCTGCTCACTTATTTATGTATCTGTGATATCATTTTATTCAAAGCATATAATCAATTAACTTGGATTTAATGGATTAGTTATAATCTGATCTATTCCCATATGATTTGTTTTCAAAAATTATCTAAGTTCTCCTCTCTATAATAAGATAAATTAATTGTTTTGATTGATATGTTAATAGGATTAGTTATCACTTCTAACTGATTGATTTCCCTATTTACTCGATATTTGTGAATATTTTAAAAGACTATATCGAGGTTATTGAACCTCAATATGCTAACTCTTTGTTGATTATGATTAAATTTGCCTCTAATAGTTGAATTCGTTTGATTGTTTAAGAATGGGCCTTTAAGAATATGATAGTTATTCTAAAATTCTTCGTTTATCTCTTTCTCTATCTAAGCATCCACCCATAATGATAAAAAATAAAAAGAAATAATTATTATGAAACTTGAAATTTAATAATAAATATAAATTCAAGAATAAAAAGGAAAAAAAGATAAAAAGACTTTGAATAATCAATCAATTATCTTATTTGATAACAAATAGTAAAAATAATTTAATTATAATAATATTATCTTTCTAATTCTCTCAAATAACACAGGCTTTATGTTAATAAAATTTATATTTATTCATATAAAATCAAAAGAAAAAGTGAAAGTACCAATTGCTGTAATTTTAAAGATTAATAAATTAAATTTTTGTTTCAATTACAATTCTGATTATGGATAGTTTATTTAGTTTAGAGTATTTAATTCAATAACTCAACACAAAACCTATAGCTGGGAATACAAGAAGCAGCATTGAGAAATTTTTAGAAATATTGGACAAACCTAAGATTAATTTGAATGAATTGAAAAAGTTATCAAATTTAGGCGTGCCTGATGATATCAAGGGTTTAAGATCATTAGTTTGGAAATTATTGCTTGGGTACCTTCCAGTGGATCGAACAAAATGGAATTCAACAATCAGAACTAATATTGAGATTTATGAATAGTTTTGCAACGATTTGATAAAGTCAAAGTTGTAAAAATAGATGACTGAATCAAATGAATATGAAGATCAAGAAAATAAATAAAATAAAAATTAAGATCATCCATTAAACAAATCATAATAATCTATTTGGAAAAGCTTTTTTGATGATTAAGTAATATGGGAAGAGGTGGAAAAAGACACAGTTAGAACAAGGGCAGAATTGTCTTTCTTTGTCTCTCCAACTCAGATTCCAAATAAGTATCCAGTGTACTTTAGAACTTAATGTCGAAGAGAAAGGAGATTGGCAAAAGATTATGAACATAGACATTATGATGTACTCACACGAATATTGTTTATATATGCAAAGCTAAATCCAGCAATCAGATATGTGGTATTAAATTTATGTATTCAAGTAAGGAATGAATGAGCTGCTTGCTCCTTTATATTATGTTTTCTATAGCGATACAAATGAATTATTTTTATAATCTGTTGAAAGTGATGCATTTTTCTGTTTCACAATATTTATGGCTGATGCTAAAGATAGGTATTAATATTCATATTCTGAATTTTAGTTTTTTAAGAGCACTTGATGATTCATAAGACGGAATTAAGTCTAAAATGAATAATTTAAACACTTTATTAAGAATTCATGAAATTGAAATATGGGATAATTTATAGAAATAAGGAATTCATCCTTAATTTTATAGTTTAAGATGGATCATGCTATATTTAACATAAGAATTTGAATTGCATGGTGTTTTTATTTTATGGGATAGTATTTTGAGCCATTCTAATAAAAATGAATATTTACTTTTTTTATGTTTGAGCATAATAAAAGAATTAAAACCATCTCTTTTATTAGATGATTTTACAGATATAATGGAGGGATTGTAATAGGTAGGTAAAATTTAGGTGGAAAAGATTTTATAAATAGTATCCCAAATTTATTAACATAATTGAATAGTTTCATAAATATCTATTTATTAAAAGTCAAATTTTTTATAACATATATAAAATCTAAACCTCGATTTTAGATATTAAACATTTTGAAATATTCCTTTCAGTTATAGCTTCTAGTCTGAGACAAATAAATTTTAAAAATCACAAAAATATCTCTATTGTTCTTTTGCAAATTAGGCATCTATTTAAAAGGACATAAAAGTCTTGAATTAACTAAGTCAAAATATTCACAAATTCGAAGTATTTATATTATTTCTTATTCCTTTAAGAAAAGTATAAATTATAATTAAAACAATCTAGAAATAAAAATTTTTTGTAAGATTTTTCTTTTGAAAGAAATCAAAAAAATAATTATGAATATGGTTGAAAAAAGTTCATTAAATGCAATGATTGACCAAACAAGAATAAGATTTAGTATTTTAATTGTTTATATCAGAATTATTTCTATATCTGGTGTTTTAGCCCTTAAAATAAAAGTAAGTTATAATTTATTTTCGATAACTAAATGAAGTAAGAGGTCATATTCAAAAGATTAGAAATTAAAAAATAAGTTCTTAAAATGTATTATTTTCTTTCTAGTTAAGGGGGTGTATTTTATTATAAAATTTTTTATTAATTAAGTTCTTTATTATTTGATAAAGGTGAATTCATTGATGATTGTGTTAAAATTGATGAAAAATGAAGTGTGTTCCATTGTGATGCACTATTTTGGAATCATTTTAGTCATTTTTTATGAAGAATATCCAATCAAATGTTAGATATACAATTATCCTTAATGAGCCAATCAAATTGAGAATTTTTATTTAAATACAACACTTTGGTTTAAGTTTAAAATATTAATTATAATGGCTCCATCAAAATCACCAAAAGCAGAAGCAAAAAAGACTGTTAAGACAGTTAAGACTAAAAAATCAACCAATACTGACAAGAAAAAGTCAAGAAGACGATAAGAAACTTTTGCCTTATACATTTATAAAGTATTGAGATAAGTGCATCCAGAAATTGGTGTTTCAAGAAAAGCTATGAACATTATGAATTCATTCATTAATGATATTTTTGATAGAATTGCTCTTGAAGCCAGCAAATTAGTCAGATTCAACAAAAGAAGAACTCTCAGCTCAAGGGAAATTTAAACTGCTGTCAAATTATTACTTCCAGGAGAATTGGCCAGACATGCTATTTCAGAAGGAACAAAAGCTGTTACCAAATACACAAGTGGCTGATTATATAAGTTTAATTAAGTTCAGATATTAAATAACTCCTTCTTAATTTTAACAATTCTTTTTATTTTTGTTAAATTATTTTAATGATTTTGTAAAATAAATCTACTCTTTATAATAACTCTTACCCAATCTACAATGAATACAAAGCAATGTCTAATTATATATTAAAACTATATCTAAAATAAGTATAATCAACTTAGAAAATGCAAATCCTCAAATAATTATATAATCTTGTTAATTCAAATTTTGAATTATCTGTTAACATATTGTTAGAATTATACCTATTATTGAGTTAAAACATAAATTATAAAATATAATTTAGAGAACACAGCAAAAAATATGTTAATGTTATGGTTTACTGAATAATGAATTGTATTTTATGTAAAATTTATTTCCAAACCTACTAATAGTCATTTCATTAAAAGAAATGACTACTTACGAATCTGGAATGCATTTTGCTTTATAATTAATTCAAGTATTTCATGTCCATGATTTGGTCATCAAATTATCACAAATTTAATTATTTTAATTATTATTAATAATTTTTTGCAAATTCGGTAATAAATAGTGGATTAAAATTCTTATATCGTGATTTCAATTATTAAATAACAGAATTCCTCTTTTATAAACCTAGATAGAAATTAACACATACTTTTATGAGTATTCTAGCATAGATCAACTAATTAATATAATGAAATTAGATTTTCTAATTTCTTTTCATACGACTGATTAGGTTTAAAATCATTCAACAGAAGCAGAATCAAATACTTAATTATACTAACAAAGTAGTTGTTGAGAGAATAGAAAAATAATTAAAAAATGAAGTTATTTATTTATTTTTATTATGGATAAGAATGAAAAATTAAAAAAAATCAAAAATTCTATCTTTATAATAAAAATGATTTATGCTCAAAATGCAGGAGAAATAACTCATTCAATTTACATACTATTTTATAAGTATTAAGGTTTATTTTAAATCCTATCTAAATTTGTTGTATACAATAATCTTTTTCAAAGAACATAGTTCTAACATGAACTTAACATTTCTTAATGATGTAGAAGCCTTCTAATTTATTGTTTGATGATTATCCCCTATATATTTAAGTAAGTCTGAGTTCAGAAGTGTTTTGAATTATTTTAATTATAAAACTTTTTAATTAACTGTTATCAATTTTATTTATTGAAAAATTAATTCAACCATGCTAAGATTACTTTTCAATTAAAATATTTGTGATATATTTTTATAGGAAACTAAATATATGATTTGAAATAAGGTAGTTTTTTTATTTAATCTAAGCTTTGGATAATAGCAAAGGTTCTGAGGAATAAATATAAATAATAATATTGATTAATTCACTTGAGTATATTTTAACTAAACAAAATATAATGTTTATTTATTTATAATTAATTTTCACTCTAACTAGAACTTTAATCGTTTAGAATGATGTGACTTCCTTCTATTAAGATTTGATCCAATAGAAAATATCATTTTTATGTGAATCTGGATCTTTGGCGTTTGTTAATGGATTTTACACTTATTAGATATTTCTGAAAGAAAATCATTAGGATTATACAAAATTTACAGACGACGATCAGTTATGGGTAATGTTAACCAATAATGGTTGCTCATCTATTTTGCATGCATATTATAAATATGGCCCATTCACTTTTTCAAATGGACAACTTGACTTACATCCTAACTCTTATAATAAATTAGTAAATTTATTGTACATTGATTAACCCTTTGGAGTAGGATTTTCTGAGGGAAGTGGAGAATAGAACAACCATGCTATATATATTTTGGAGTTCATTCAAGAATTTTTAATGAATAAAGGAATAGCTGATATGAAAATAATGTTTTACGGAAAAGAATATGTGTCATCATTATTTCCACAAATTATTGAAAATTCTTAAGGTTATAATCTAAAAATTGAAGGTTTCATTCTTGAAAATGCATGGGTAAGTCCAATTCATTAGATTGGATATTATGGATCCTTTTTGTATCAATTAGGCCTGATAGATGATCAAAGAAGAGACGAAATCTATTATAATACAACGGAAATTTAAGTGTAATTATTGAATTAGAATTTTACAAATATCACTTAACTGAAATTATTAGTAAATCAAAGTCAAAGTGAACTAAAATTAATAAAGAAAAAAACATAAAACAATATAAAGGATATTATTTAATTTATAAATAATCATTCATTTGAATTATATTAAATTTAAATAGGAGACGAATTTAAGTTATGTAATGAGATTTAGCATGAAAAGGCTTAATAATTACTACTACATTCCACCTTAAATGAAATAGAAATGATATTAAATAAATAAAAATAAGTTATTGTTTTAGTAAGACAAATATAATTTACAGTTACAACTCCCGGTGTTGTTACTTGGGTAAATTAATTGCGATGGTAGCATATAATGAAATGGAGAATGAGTGAGAAAAAGATAGTTTAGGAAGAAAATTATGATAAAGTATAGAATATTACAAAAAATAAAACAGTTGGGTATATCAAGTAATTTGATAAATTAAAATATATTGTCGCTTACGATGAGTTATTCAAATTATTGAAATAAATTATTATTGATAATTGATTATAAATAAACTATATGGGTCCATGTTCAATTTATTGTTATAAGAAGGATGATACAAAAGCAGTAGAAAAGTAAATAATTACTGAATTTAATCTTGCTTTAACAACAAAAGATCAAAAGGAAACTGAAATATAAGAGAAAATAACTTCAATTATTAAAATCTAGGCTAATTATAGAGGGCATTATGTTAGGAAAAAATGATAAACCCAGAAAGCTAATAATTAAAAAAAGAAAGTTCGCTATCTAATAGAGTATGCATTCTTGAAGCATTTAAAACAGAGGATTAATTAAAAATTAAAGAAACAGAAAAAAATTAAGAACTGATAGTTTTATCTGAAATAGAAATGGTTGATGGAAGCAAGTACAAAGGATAGTGGATGAAAGGATTAAGATGGGGATTTGGAAGGCATTAATGGCCTAATGGTTCTGTGTATGAAGGAGATTGGAAACTTAATTTAGCATGGGGAAGAGGTAAATTAAAACATGCAGATGTAGATGAATATGAGGGAGAGTGGTAAAGAGATTAGGTGGATGGTTTTGGTATTTACATTCACTCAAATGGGGCTCGTTATGAAGATTAATAGAAAGATGATCAATAGAACTGGAAAGGTACAGAAGTTTGGAAGGATGGTTCTAAATATGATGGTGAAAATAAAGAAGGATTGAAACATGAATATGGACATATATATTTCTCAGATGGATCCTACTATGTTGGCTAATTTTTTGAAAATTAGATACATGGAGAAGAAGAATATATATGGTTTGATGGGAAATCCTAAAATGGTTAATGGAAGTACAATAATATGGATGGAAATGGTAGTATGATTTGGGCAGATGGTAATAAATATGTATAAAAATGATTAAAAACATGAATTTGGAAAATTCTACTGGGGAGATGGTGGCTTCTACTCAGGATAATGGCTGAATGGAAAATAGGATGGGAAAGGTGAATACATCGTAGCCACAGGTGAAATAGAATGGGATAATGGGAGAAAGGAAAAAGAGTAAAATGGTTATGAAAATACTCAATGATCAAGATTAATTTTGATTTTTCTTATTTTTTCTCACTAATTGTTTATAATAATATATATTAATGAAGATAAACTCTGCCAGCCAATAAAAATTAGCTAATGCCAGACCATAAACTTCAACTTAAAAAACAGGCTAGTCACCAATAAAGAATAATAAGTATTTAATATTGGGATAATTTTAGATATTTGGTTGCTTCAGGAATATCTAATGCACCTAAAACTGATAGTAAAATACCAAAATCAATAGCATTATCTCATGATTTCATTTCATTAATTAAATCTGGAACTAATTCCCATATCAACAATTAATTATAGGATAAAAAATAAAATTTTCGTAGTTAGTTCATATTGGATATTAATGAGGCGAATTAGAAAAAAAATAGACCTTCTTCAAGGCTATAAATACAACGATTAGTCAAAAATAAAAAAACAGATAATAATCTTAAGTATCATGAAAATTTGATTCAAAAGCAATTCCAAAAATTGTTAGATCTTCAAAAATAGCATTAAAATATACATAGATCTCCTCCTCAAATACATTATAGAGCTATGAGTAATGGAGATCTCAAGCCTAAAAGTGAAATAGCAAATAAATTAATCGACTATATAAAAAAATAATCTGCTAAATAGATTAAGGGTTATAGATCAATATCTAATCCAGATATAATATTAACAGATAGAAGACTAATATCAAAATTTGCAGTCAAGTAAGTATTCTATTAATTTTTAATAGAACTTAAGCAGGAATGCTTCATACAAAATAAGAGAAAGTTAATCAAGATTCTTATGCAATTCATGAAAAAATAGGAGATATTGATAATTCATATTTATTATAAGTTTCAGATGGACATGGTGTTAATGGACATGAAGTTGCATAATTCGTTTAAGAAAGATTACCAAATATTATTGATTAATTATTGAAATCTCATAAGGGTAAAAAGGATTAAGATATTATGATATAAGTGATATTAAGATAAGCATTTGAAAGAACAACAAAAGAATTATATAAATCAGGAATTGATATTACTTATAGTGGAGCTACAACTGTTTGTTTATTAGTTATTAAACATACTGGTTGGTGTGCTAATATAGGAGATTCGAGAGCTATAATTGGAAGATAGAAGGATGGATTACATGTTATTGAACTTTCTCATGATTAAAAACCTGATTTACCCAAAGAAGAAAAAAGAATATTATCAAATGGAGGCAGAGTTTAAGCCTATTCTGATGAAGAAGGAAATCCAATTGGACCAGCTAGAGTTTGGTTAAAAAATGAAAATGTTCCAGGGTTGGCCATGTCTCGAAGTTTTGGAGATTATGTTGCTGCTTAAGTAGGTGTTATCTCAATTCCAGAAATAATTAAACATACATTTTAAAATGACAAATTTCTTATTATTGCATCTGATGGAATTTGGGAGTATTTATGATATTTATAACAGATTTCTCGATAATTAATGGATAATAGATACAGTTTTTGGTTATTATTTGAAAAATGATGCAGAGGGAGCTGTAGACAGATTAGTAAAGGAAGCTACAGAATCATGGTAAAAAGAAGAAGAAGTTATAGATGATATTACTTGTATTGTTGCATTTTTAAATTGAGTTATGATTGATTTACATAATATTTTTCTTATAAATAAATAACCTAATTATTTAATCTTGAAAGTAAAGGAACTTTTTAAAATCGGAAAAAATTAAAAACATTTCAGTTAATTTAAGGATGACGAAATTCTACTAAGTAGATTATCTAAAATTTTAGAAATCCAATAATTGATTAAATTTAATATCATATGATTTGTAAAAATTTTAACTATAAGATATTATTTTTCTATATATGCCTAAATATATCACTATGACTCCCTAAATTTATTAACCAAAGTTTTAATTTATTCAATGGATTTATCATTTTGTTTTGGCAAAATGTCTTTTTTTTCCTTCTTTTCAAATGTTTGTATATTAAAAGTGTTCATATTTCTTAATTATTCAAATAAACGAGAAAATTCATGTAATAATAATTATACCTCAGTATCTTCTTTGATTAAAATATCATCTGCCTATATTTTGTTTATTATTCGTATTTAAAATATATTGTTTATAATTTTATCAATTTTATAAGTGACTTACTTTATTGGATTTGTAATGTCTCTAGTAAATAAATTGACTCTATTTATTATGATTAAAATATTAATAAAAAATATTACTATTATTATTAAATAATATGGCCATGCCAAATTAAATAAATCTAAAGCTTACAATGAATCATTAATTCTTTATTTGTATATTACTAAATATATCTAAATAGAGCTATCAGTTGATATATCTCTAACGTATAATGAATTACATGAATTAGTAGAATAGTAATTATTGTCCCCTTTTGGCATGTCACAATCAAAACTGATATTTAAAATTCTATTTGTCTAACATTCACATTGATCATTCATGTCTTAATCATTTGATACATAAAAAGAGTTATCTGGTTTAAATATTTTTATAAAAAAGGATGACTCTAAATTTGACAAAATTTACTTAATTATCTTTGTATACCCTATTCCTAAAACCATTCCATAACTGGTTGGATAAGAAAATATCACTGTTTAATTGTTATATAAAATTTAGTGTTTTTATTCCAAATAGAGATAATTTTCATTCATATTTTCTATAATTGGAAAGTAATGAATAATGTTATTTAATTTATTTATGAGGTAGTATTAATGAAAAAAGATAAACATATCATCATAATTGTACATCATTTCTAAAATATATTTATCAATTTGTGCTAATTTTATTGTTTATAACCATCCTTCTTAATTCATAGATTCCATTGATTTATATAAAGATCTATATAGAGATATATTATTTTAGGTTAATTTATGTGATAGTATGTATTTTTCAGTAAAAGTGTCATTTGAAATAGTAAAATTATTGAATGTAATAGGATGATAAGTATAATTTGTGGTTTATCTCTCAGATAAATAGGCAAGCAGAATTAATTGTTTATAATACCCATCTACTTTTGATAAAATAGTTTTCGTTAATTTTTGACTATAATCCAAATCTTCGTTCATATTGAATTTAACTTTATTTTCAGAACTTCCAATATAGCCAAATAGAATCCCTAGCATCATAACGACTTAATAGGGTTGTTAAGCTTACAGACAACTGACTTAAGCATTATCAATTTAAGCATAAGTCTACCATTAATAGAATTGAAGAACTTTATCCACAATTCTTATGAAACTAATTCTCTTAACTTATCTACAATTTTTAACATAATTTAATTATTTTTATTTAAACATTAACTAATGCATAACAGTGCCTTAAATATAATATAAATCCTATGTGGAATCAACATTATCATAAAATTTAAAAATATTTCTCTTTATATTTAGGTCTGTTCTCCATTGGAAAATTAGGGATCGTTGATAATTGGAACAACATTTCTTTTAATTCTAATTCACACTCATCTCTAAATTTATTAAGTTCTTCCACAAATATATTTTCAGATCTTAATTTCATCTTAATATCTAATTATTTATCCCATATAAATGTTAATAATCTAAAATCTAATTAAAACTATACTTTTTTTCTTATTCAATATCAACAAACAAGTCTCTCTCATGTTCTATAACTGTTTTTTTGCATTAATTCCATTTGACAACCAAAGGAGTTAAGTCACTATTGTTAAGTATGCCATTAACAATCTTATATTTTTCCAAAATTGGAAATGTTATTTTCTTTTATATTTATACAACACTCTAAATAAGCATTTTTAATTCTTACATGTTTTGTTCCACCTAAATATTCTAATATTTCTTCATTACTAAACATTCCCCATTTTTTTAATGGATCTTTTATTGTTTTTACTGAATTTAAACAAGATTTAAAGAATTCTGGATCTTATAATTTTTTAATAAGAAAGTTTTCTAATTTTTTTTATGGATCCTCATCTTTCTTTTATAAAACTATACATTCTTAACCTGCATAGAAGATTTTTTCAGCTTCGTCTTCATTTAGAGTATACCAACATTAAAATGCATTAGTCCAAAATTACTCTAATTGTTTTTCAGTTTTCTATATGATTTCTTCTGGCTTTTATTTCTTTGGCTTATTTGATTATTTAACTTGCAATTTATTATTAGCTAACCTTTCTAGATTGCTTAATTAATTATTAAGTAATTAATCCCTATCCTTTTATTCCTTTATTTATTCTTTTTCATAATATCGTTTCTATTATGAAAGCTTTTTAATAAAATCACTTTCATGTTTGACTCCAATCTAAAATAAATGATTTAATTACAAAAACTCCATTATAATCTACCATAAACTCAACTTCATTAAATTTTAGTTATTAAACATCTCCTGTTTCTGTATTATAGATATCTACATCTCTTAATTTAAATTCGAAAACACCCATTTATGCATTATTTTTCCAAGACAAAATTGAGTTTACATAATTATCAAAAGGTTATGTCACCGCTAGCTTTTAGGTTTTGTATTAATAATTATATTTAAAGGTAACTGAAACCATATAAACTTAACCTTAAGCAGGCCAATCAAAAGATCTTTTTATTTTTTACTTTAATTTCCATATTTTTTATTCAGCAACTTTAATTTTCTACTCATCAAGTGCTTATTTTTAAGCTCTGATAATATTTTACACATACATTCAGTATTTGTTTTATTGATTGGAGATAATTCATCACTCTCTAATTGTCTCTCCAATTCTTTTATATCATTTTAATTTAACCCATTTACAAATTGATCATATGATAGATCCAAACTGTTATTATTTTATTAACTTGATTAAATAACAAATTTCTAATATTATTTTTTTTGTTATTCTATCTTTTTTTATGGTAGCGATATTTTTTATTAACCCTCTATCTTAGAATTTCTTTACTTTTCTGCTTATCTCTTATTTGCTGCCTCCCTTTATCACATTAAATCATAGAAGTACCTATCGATATTATCATCAGGTTTAATCCCAACAGCCTCTATTTTAGCCTACTCTCCATAATCTGGTGATTTAGGTCTATTATACACAGGTATCTAATCTTCTAGTTAAGCAATATTTGATTTTGGTGGATCTGGTTTTTTTGAAGGCTTAGAGCCCATTTTATAATATTAATATATAGTAATTTTATTATCTGATATTATAATCAGAATTCATTAATTCATTATTTTTTAATATTTTATAAAAACCTACATTTAGCTAAATTTCATAATGAAAAATATGTTTGCATCAATAAAATTGTGTTGACTACAAATAATATATTTTGAATTATTGACTAATCCTATCTTGAATGCTTTTTATAGCTTCATTTATTTCTGAAATTGCTCAAAGCTTCATCATCAAACATAATTGAGCAATAGAAAATCTTATTTTAAGAAAAACTATACTTTTAATATCCTTTTTCAGATTCCACAACATTATTTAAAGATTAAATAGATAAATTAACAAAAATAACATAAAGTCTTGGAATTCTTTCTCAATTTCTTCATATTTTTGTTGTTGCTTATTTCATACTTTCAACCAATAATTCCAATTTATTCTTTTAATGTTAAAGTTTATCTAAATTTCTAGATATTTCTTATAGAGCTGGTAAAATTGGCATTTGCAAAAGATTTTTCTTAAGAATCTCAAACATTTAAAGAAAATAACATTTGCTATCTTTAATCTTTAGCAGATCGTTAGGGCAAAATAATTGATTCACACATTGAAATTCTAAAAACCAACACCACTAATTAAGAACATTTATGCAATTAATTATTGCTGATTTGTTAAATAGTTTCTCTAAAACTCTTAATTAAAATAACCCATTAAAAAATTAACTATTGTAATTATTTTATAATTTGAAGTGAAAACAAAAATTTTCAAAATTATTTTCCATATAATCCTCTATCATTATTAAAGATAGAATAAATGTTGGCTGAATTGCTTCGAAGTGGATGGAAATTTGTGGAGCTTTTTGATATTTAAGATGATTTGTCACAAAATCTAAAATTTGAATTGGTTGTTTATTATTAAAATATTCTAATTGAAGGTCTACGTTCAATAACATTATCATAATTTGTAACATTCTTTTTTTCTGGGAACAACATTATAGTCTTAAATTCAAAAATACTCTTACTTTCTTATTTTAAGAATTATCCTCGTTTTATCCTTAGGGTAAGTAATTTTGCTTATCATCGAAATGCTTCCTACCTGTTTTTGCTGGTTATTGTGTGTTTTCTTTATTAAACATTTTTTTCTTAGGTAACTTCAAATCAGATTAAAGAGTTGTTCTTCTCATTCGTTAATAATTAATATTATTATTAAATATATATAGAAAAATGAACTAAGATTATAATTAATTATCCAAATCTAATAATTTTAAATATATGATTCTAAACCAAGATTAGATCTTATAACTTATTAAACAATTAATTATTAATATATAATTGGACAAATATTATTAAGAAAGCTTAAATCTATTACATAATAAAAAAAGATATCAAAAAAAATTAGTGTTAATTTATAATAAATAACAGTTAAAAGATTTCCTGAATCCTGATTTAAATAATGAATTATCAGTATTTGAAACAAGTATAGTTGAGAATACCAAAAAATTCAAAAATATCTACATTTATTTATAAAAAAGTAGAAGAAATAGTAAAAATCTCTTTAAATTATAATTATTAGGAATGAATAAAATTTTGGTAATTATACTAAATATCTCATAAATTTATTATTATTTAGCAATTTCATTCATATTTAAAAATTGCTTGAACACAAATTCTTGTTGTAATTATAAATATATATATATATTTATTTCTGATTTTCAGTCCACTTTATAGATTAGAACAAAATTATAATATTAAAGATAAATAGGTAGCTTACTGTATAAAAAAGCAATTATAATAAAAATTCATATAAGATGATGATTAAGTAAGAAATATTAAAAAAATATGTTTTCGTTTAACAATAACATCAATGGAATAAACCTATTATTTTTAAATATTGATCTAAATTCACATTTAAAATTTATTCCCTTTGTTTAATTTACAAATTGAAGTTCTGAAAATGAAAATTAAGAATTCACAAAATAAGCATGATTATAGAATAATATATTACTTTTAATAATAATTTCAATTAATAGAATTGTATAAATTATAAAAATATAGATGAATTCTTATTAGAGTTTGATAAACATTGTATATAAATTTTCAATGAAAATATCTATTAACATCATTTCTGATGAGAATTTTTTGATTTTGAAGTATCATAATGATTAACTATTATGTGTTTACTATTGAGTTTTTAATTATAAATAATCTGAAGCTTAAATAAAATTAGTTTTTAGTAATAGATAGTTAATCTTTAATCGAAAAGAGAGTAATAAGTATTAAAAAGACCCATTATTTGAAATATCTTAATTTCAAAATACCTAATTATTGTAAATATTTTTGTATGTTCATGTTATTTTAGCTTCGTAATATTTGGATTAAGTTTTGATTCTTGACAACTGCTCATAGCTAATTATTATTTTATTTTAAAGAAGTTTTTGGCGCTTTCTAGAGGTATAATGAATGGCTCATAAGTTTAATAGGAAAATGTACAACATAGATCCTGGTATGAAAAGAAGAAAATAAACAAGAGTTCATAAGCAATTAGTTAAAGCCAATTTGTAGGATGAAAGTGAAGAAAATTCCTTAATTGAGGTGCAATAGAAAGTCACAAAAAAATATCAAAATTATTTGCAAACCCTTAGAAAAATGGGCGATTTTGATTGGACTGATATAGAAAATACAAATAACTCCAAAGTTATTTATCCAAGTAATGCATTTTTCTTATATCAAGTCCAATTTTTGCAAGCATCCACACTCTAATTTATGATTGCAGCACTCTATTTCAATTGCGATCAAGAGTATCTCTTATAATGTCTGCATGAAATTGAGAAAATATTGAAGAAAAATGAAACAATAATTGGGACTTAAATATAAGAGTAAACATCTTTTGATTTTATTAGTGATTGCAAAAAATAGAAAAATAAAAAAGGTTATGATGTGAATGATGATATCTTCATTTTAGAAATGAGAAACTTAGGTTAAAAAGACTTAGATGATTTAATTACAAACTAAGAGTACTATCAATAAATATCATTAGAATTGAATTAGAACATATAACAAAATAAAATGAAGAAACTTTACAATAGTTTTTGAATTTATTACCTACAATAAAATAGCATTTAAAAACAGATTAGTAAAATAATCTTTTGAGGGATATTGCTGGACTGACAGAAACTGAAAAGTAATATATAGAAAAAACGGAAATGAAATTCCAAGCAGATGAATAGAATGTAGTTGTGTAAGAGACTGGAAAAAAAACATAAGGAGGAGGAATTCATTTATAACCAAATTTAGATGATGCATTATGTTAAGTATGTAATGATGGAGATTATACTGATGATAATCTTATTGTCTTTTGTTCTAAATGCAATATATCTGTACACTAAAAATGTTATTTAATTGATATAATACCAAATGAAGATTGGATATGTGATGTTTGTTAAACATTTGGACCTAATGGACAATATTTAAGATGTGCATTATGTCCTAAAATAGGTGGAGCTATGAAAGCTACATAAATAGATGCATCATGTTTTTAGAATTTAAATTAAACATATTTTGAATCTTAAGGAGAAACTATGATGAAGAATGACTTTGTTTCTAAATTATGTAATAATTTACATTAAATAAAGTTTAATAAATTGATGATGATTAAGAATTATATTATGATTTTGGGAAATTACCAAATAGAGATATTCGTGATTTAGAAAATAATAAGGAAATTAAAGAACCATAACCATAAAAAGTTTGGATTCATTTATCTTGTTTTTATTGGTCTCCAGAATGTTTTTTAGATGAAAAATAAGATATATTGAGAGGAGTAGATAATATTAATGCCAAAAGATTTGCTCTTAATTGCAGCATATGTAATATAAAAAAAGCTGGAATGTGTATATAATGTGCTAGAGGTAGTTGCTCTACTTCTTTTCATGTTGAATGTGCTAGAAGATCTGGAATATATTTGACTCAAACTGTTATTAATAATAAACCAGATTATTAAATATTCTGCTTAAAACATGTTCCCTTAAAAGTTAAGAGAATTCTAGAATCTAAATAAAGATTATATGAAAGGGAAATTATTGATTTCTTTAGAGCTTATGAGAAATGTAAATAAGTACATAAAAAGTCTTTTTAAAAGCCTAAAAAAATTAAAGTTAACAAAGATCTAAAGTAAAAATAAGAAAATCAGGAACATACAGAAAATGAGTTCGATTTAATAGATTTTGCAAATAAATTAAAAGATTTTATAAATTAGATAACTGATTAATAACTTATTGTCAATTTAAAATTAGAATAGGGATAATATACTATTGAATCAATTTCAGGACCTGTTCTCAAACCATAAAAATAATATAAACTCACAAATTTACCAGAAGTTTATTAAAATAAAGTAGATTCAAATGGTTTATTAGTTACATAATTTTATAAGAGTACTATTACTGCAACTGATGAATTATGGAAACATTTTAAATATAGAGATTATGAGAAAGATATCACATATAAGATGTATGAGAAATTAAGAAGAAGAGCAAGTAAATATATGTAGGAAATTAATCCTTAAAAAAAATAAGCTAAACTTATAGATATATTAATGTTAAAAAAATATAAAAAGAATAATAAGGCTGAATAAAAAAAGGAAATTACTATTGAATAAGTAGGAGATGAATTTTTCTAAAGAGATGATAATTTATATTGTGTATGTAGAGGAAAATTTAAAGATGGAGATCCAATGATTTGTTGTGAAGTATGTGATGAATGGTTTCATTTTGATTGTTTAGAAATGACAATACCATTTGAAGAAGCCTCTTAAATTGAATTTAAATGTTTCTTATGTGTTGATGATTTACCTTAAGATGAAAAAGTAGCTATTCAAAATATATAATAAAAAATATTTAAAGATTCCTCTTTTAAATTACAAAGAGAATTAGCAGAAAAATGTAAATTGGATGACTTAAGGAGATAAAGAATTAAGGATATGCAAGAAAATAAATTAAAAGAATAATAAAATGTTGATATAGGCAATCCTTAAACCCAACCAGAAGATAAAATTTTGATAGAAGAATAATATATTGAAGAAAAATAATGTATCTAAGAAGAATTAAATTTATTTGAAAACAATCAATTTCAACCTAAAAATTAGGTTTTTGATTAAGATTAAATTTAAATAGAAATGTAATTGGATGCAAATGAAAAGAACAAAAAAACGGAGGATCATGTTAAAACACCTAGTAAAACAGAATCTGTGGAAGATCAAGATAATAATCATAAATTAGAAGTTCCAGAAACTTAAGAAAAAGTTAATAATAATAAATTTAAACAAAAATCAATTAGAGACTATTTCTAAAAGTTAAAGTGATTATATTTAATTCACATTATGGCACAGCATGTATCTCCTCTTCTCCATTCTACATAAGGGCGTGTAACAAAGTTTGGCTAACCCTTTAATCTCCAGACATCATTTCTTGATTTTTACAATATGTGATTTCTGATTTCTTCTAAAAATTAATCTTTCTTGCTAATTTATAAATGTGGGCTGCTAAAATCATTGATATTAATATCCTTTCCTTAATGTGACATTTTTTAATAAAAAAATAATAATAATAATATATTATACAATATTATTTTTATAAAAAATTAACTATAGTCTTAATTCTATTCTTAAGCTTTTATTGAATTAATAAAACAAAATAAATATATTATTAGATTTTTTAATTACTTATATAAAAGGAATATTAATTAAAACAAATTATATAGAAATCAATTATATCAATTTAATACATAAATATTTTAGAACTTAATGATCTGTTAATATTTTTAGTAATTATTATTTATCTTTTACTATCTTTTATTGCCTTTAGAAAGTAAAAAATTCTTTTAAGCCAAAAGGAATATTTGTTAAAGTGATTTAAAGTAATTCTAAAAATTATTTATGCATCATAATATTTAATGAAATATCAATGGAATTCAAGTCAATATTAATATTTAAAGAGGAAAAGACTACCCGTTTTGATTAATAATTGAAAATAATTAGCAATATTAGAAAATTATTTAATTTTGATCCGTTTTTTAAATTAAATTTCGTTTTTATACAAAATCTCACTTGAAAAAGGTTGCTAACTTGTTTTTAGGAGATAAATATTAATTAAAATGAAAGTCACACTTACATTATTAATTGTCTTGGCCATTGCTAATGCTGGTATGGTTCAAAAATTCCCCCTTAAATATGGTGGTAAAAGAAGCATTATGAATATTATGGTTGAAGTAGAAAATAAAATTAAATCCCATTCACCACTAGATACAATTAAAGGAGTTCTTGATAACTTTAAATCAGCTGTTTCTGAAGAATAAGGAACTCATGATGAAGTTTATACAGCTCAATAAGCTGAATGCTAAAGTGAAATTGCTTACAGAAGAGCAGAAGTTGATGATGCTCTAAGTACACTCAAAATTGCCAATGGAATTCTTAAGTCATCCAACATTTTATTGAAGAAAACTTAAGCTACACTTGGAGAAACTGAAAATATTCTTAATTCTGTATCTCTACATATTGATCTTATTAATGATGTCAGAAAAGAAGATACACAATCATACAATAGAGGAGCAGTTACATTCAATGATGCTATAAATGCTATTGATGATGCAATCGATCTTGGAGTTTCTTTGGTCAAAGGTGAAGCAAGCTTAATTCAAGTTGCTGATATGACAACCAAATTGATGATGGCTTCAGTTGCCACAAAGATGAACAAAGCTTTCATGATTCCATTGGCTGCTTTGGCTTCTATTAAATAAGAATCAGATGCTGCAGGGGCTGCAGAAAGACTTGTTTAATTATTATAAACATTAAGAAGCAACGTTGAAGAAGCCTGGGCCTCTTATACAGCCGAAAATACCAATGCAATAGCTTTATTCACCTAATAAAAGGATTTATATCTAGATACTTAAAATAGACTTGAATCATCAAAATAATAATTGGTTAGTAAAGCTGAAAGCCTACAAGGAGTAATAACAGTTTAAACAGCTATTTCATAAGCTGCCACTAATAAAAAGTAAAGAAACTAAATCTTATGGGATGATGCAGAAGATTTATGCCATAGTTTTGATGTGGAATATGAAGCTGTTACAGAAGGAAGAAGACAAGAATTGATTTTAGTATAAGAATTAGAGAGAGCTGTTGAGAGAAGAGCTGCTGAATAATAATGAGATATAAAATCAATTTAGATATAAAATCATTTTTTAATCAATCTTCCTAGTTTAAATACCTTTAACAAAATATTCTTATTATTATTTGTTAATTTATAAAAACGAAGATTTTGAAATACTTATAAGAAGTATAATATCTTAGGAATTAGATTAGAATTAGATAGATTAAAAGAAAATAGAGATGTTAAATTATAATATGAGACATTATTTATATATTTAAAAAATTAGTATTTTTTATTTATAATGTTAGTATATTAATTAACTATTTCATATAATTAAAGCTCTAATAATTTTGAATAAACTTTTAAATGATATATCTTGTTTAATAAAAATTCTAGAGATTTTCAAAATCATCATAGATTTCTTGATAAAGCTATTTTTGATTTGATTAACAACAAATAATAGAAATTAGAATTTTTTTAAAAGGTGAATTAATAAATCTTTCAAATACCTTATCTTCTATACTATTTATGATGTATTTTATTGATATGAATTTATATATATATAATTCATATTAATATCTTATTTGTGAAATAAAGTGACATTTAATGAACTGATAATGTAATCAATTGCTATATTGAGAATATAACTAATTGAAATTTAATGAATCATAAATATGATAAATACAATTTTTAAAAAAATAATAAGTATATTATCAGGAAAATTCTAGACTATCATTAGTGGTGGATGATAATTTTTAGTCATCTCTAAGCATTTTTTCTAATTTCATTATTCTCTAAAGAATGACTTCATTTTTCTAGAATATTGATTACTTTATACTTATTAAGATATCTAAAGCTCTTATCTGGATTTATGAATTTCAATAATAAGCATCATGTTAACATTTTATATTTCTGCCTGTTATACTTTCATCTATTCTAATTCTTTCTCAAGCCTTTAAATTTATAGACTCTGACTATGTGTATGTCGTATTGGTTATTTATTGGCTTATTGTTGTTGACTACCACATTTTCTGTGTTTTGGTTTAGCATCTTTAGTGGAAGGTGTAGCTAACAATATAAATACAAGTAATACAGCTGCACTCTGTAATAGTACTAAGATCTAATGATTATTTTGGTTTAAATTTCATCTAACCAAAATTGAACATCGCATTGAATAACCCATAATTTTGATCATCTAGTTTTTCAACTATCTAATGATGGAGTATTGGTTGTTGTTAAATTTTTTTAATAATTTCCTTTGTTTCATTAGTATCATTATCATCATCTTAAACTAGAAATTCTGTTTATATGGGAAAGTAGTTGCCACTAGATTTTGTTCTTCTATGATGGTTGTTTTTCATATTATTTAGTATAAATAATTTAAAATTTAATCTGTCATTTTAATAATGCAAATACATTTGTTGAATCTTCAATTAGATCAATCTTTTGATGGTTTACTTTTAACTTCTTGAGACTATAATTACTGAAAAATAAAAATATATAAATTATATTTAGGTAAGGAATGTTATTAAATTAAATATTAAATGATTGATTTCGATCCTTCTTCATTTGGCTTAGCTCATACTTATTAAAAAGAAGATAAGGATGAAATCAATACATTAGCTTTGCCATCTGCACCATAAGTAATTTATAAAACTTTGAATGGTCCAACTCAAGTTAATGGAGGAAATAAATTAAATAATTTCAAACATGGAACAACAACATTAGGATTTGTATTTAAGGAGGGTATTTTATTGGCTGTTGATTCAAGAGCAAGCATGGGTAGTTTCTTGAGTAGTGAATAAGTAAGAAAAGTAATTGAAATTAATGAATATTTATTGGGTAATTTAGAAATTTAACATTCTTTAAGGTACTATGGCTGGAGGTGCAGCAGATTGTCAATATTGGCTTGCTTATTTAGCCAATCATTGCAGAACATATGAATTGAAAAATGGAAGTAAATTAAGTGTTGCTGCAGCTTCTAAATTCTTATAAGGAATTTTAATAGGTTACAGAAATTCAGGTCTTTCTATGGGATGTATGATTGCAGGAACTGATACAACTGGATAGCATTTATATTATATTGATAATGATGGAATGAGATTAAAAGGTGATATCTTTTCTGTGGGTAGTGGTAGTACATATGCTTATGGTGTATTGGATAATCATTATAGATATGAAATGTCATTGAATGAAGCAGTAGAATTAGGAATTAGAGCAATCTATCATGCTACACATAGAGACACAGCATCTGGAGGTGTAGTAAGAGGTAGTAAATCATCGTTTATTTAGTTTATCATATTCATTAAAATGGATGGACAAAAGTTCATGATGGAATTGATGTTGTAGATTTACATTATTAATTTGCTCAATAAAAAGGACTTGTAGGAGATGGAGATGAAGCAAAATAGAGATTGTTTTGATATTAAATAAGTAATCAAAATATTAAATAATTCATAAAAAAATGTCAATTAATAAGAGTTTAATACTAAAATCTAGAGTCAAATTCTAATATCTTATTTTTTTCTTAAATTTTTATAATTTGAACCTAAATTTCATCATTTAAGTACTAGTTTAATAATAGAATCAAAATTTAATTGTCTATTATATATTAAATGAATTAACAAATATTAAAAAAAATGGGGATAACAGAATTTGATTTGCAACCCCTTAAAAAAATCAAAGTGCCAGATGAATATGAGAATGATGTATAATTTTATACAGAGGCAATAATGAAGTAACACGAAAAAAGGAGACAAAAATTACTAATGGAATACTAAGAATTATTACATTTAAAATAAGAAGAAAATTCTCATACTCCATAATCAATAGTCTAAGAAGAAAAATTAGAGGATGCACAAAATTCAAAAATAAATGAAAAATTGATAAAGGTTAAAAAACTAAATTAAGAACAGCAAGAATAAAAATTACTTCTTTATTCTCAGAAATAATAATTAATAGAGTCACGTCGAAAATAAATTAGTAGTGAAAGAGAACTTAAAGCATAATAAAAAGAAATATTAGACACTTCAAGAATGGAATAAGCTTAACGAAATAGAGTATAACTGTAAAAAATGACTCAAGATAAATAAGAGAAACGCAAAATGAGTTATGATGCCAAGTTATAAAAATTAGAACTTTATAGATAAGCATAATATATTGCTCCAAGAAAGACAAGGTTTGATGATACAATGGCTCGATATTAAAGGAGTGTTGAGGATAGAAAATAATAAGATAAAGAAAGATTAAGAAAATTAGAAGAAAGTTTAGAAAAAGCTAATTCTAAGAAAACATCAAATATCATAGAAATAAAAAGAAAGAGTTTGCTTGAATAATTAAAAATAGAGGATGCTCTTTTCAATAGAGAAAGATCATGGCATGCAAAAAAAAATCGATTGCTAGAAAAATTGTAAGTAAGAACAGAGATTGTTAGACTTAATTAAAGCGAACCTAAAAAGAAACCATATCCATTACCAAAATTTCTATGTTAAAAAGATTAAAGAAAAGCAAATTCCACTGCATTATGTTATTTTGCTTCCGAGATTGTAGATTAACTAGAAAGTGTTAGCATCCATGACTTAGAAGAGAAACTACTAGACTTGTGCACATCTTAAGATAAAATACAAAGAGATTAATTTGTTAAAACTAATTATTTGTTTTTATATAACTGATATGGATTATCTCACATAAGATGAAGTAGGCGGTATTGTTGCTAAAGGTCTAGCAGCTCTTTATTTAGAAAGGCCATAATTTCCTATTGATTATCTTGCTAAATGGCTTCTCACTTACTCAGAATTGCTCAAAAAATAAAAGACAAGAGAAGAAAGAGTAATGAATTATATTTCATAATTATTAGTAACAAGTTAAAGAAACAAAAATAAAGGAATTTAAAGTTCTAACTGAATAATTAGCATATTTAAAAGATGAGAGCAATAGACTTGAAAATTTGTAAAAGGAGAAACATGAATAATTTTTAGAATCAATTAAATAGGCAAAATATCATGATGAATTCTTAAGTGATGTATTTTGTGATTATGTGGCTAACAGATTTGTAAATATAATATCTAATAATAGAGAGTGAATTCTTATGTCTGTGAACTTGATTTTCCAAAAAAGGAGATTGATTTAAATTAAGAAGATGATGAAAATGCTCATATCAATTTAGAAGGAACAAAGCTTTTGACTTATATTTATGCTGATCAAAATTCAAAATTCCTAATTGGTCAAAATTTACTCCCAGAAACAGGAGTTACATATGATGCATTAAAAGAACCATAACCAGATGAAAATGGTGAAGTAATTTAAACTAATGGCATTTATATATCAAATGTTGTCAAAGAGCCTAGAATTGTATATCATAAATGGCCTAAATTGGGTGCATATTATGCAATCCCACTTGTCTATTAGAGTTGTCTTTATGAACAATCATTTGATTAAGGCATTGAATAGAGATAACAATATATGATACTAAAAGAGAATTAAGACAAAGAAAGATCAGCTAAAGAAGCTGAATTTGAGGAAAGACTTGAATCTGAAGATCCAGCAATTATTGAATAGGAGAAATAAGCATATTTAGCAGGTTTAGAACCTCTATTAGAACCATCTTTTGCTTAATAAAAAAAAGAGTATGTTTTTTGTATTGATACTTTGGGTTAAGATAGAGAGATACCTGAAAATCATAGATAAGAAATTTTTGATTTAGTTAATATGTTAATTAAATAATGGGAACTCTAAGAAATATAATCAATGAAGACTGATGTTGAATTATAATTACATTATTAATCAAGTTTAGGTGCTCCATTCAAAGAAATATTAGAAAATTGGGCATTAGAGGAAGAATAATATATTGATAGTCATTAAGAGAAATTAGCAGAATTCAAAGAAAACGAAAAATTATTATAATATGAGACTGATTGTTTGAGATTAGAAAGATTAAGGGAGAAATTAAGTGATAAGGAATTTATCTAACCATTATTAAATCTTAGCAATTGTAGAATTATAAAATTTAATACAATTATTTAATCAGGTCTATATTTAATTGGAGCAAATAAATTAGATATTAATTTGCCTGAAACAAATAGATTGAATATAAGAAAATTGGTTCTTGATGAGAACCTTATTTAATAAATTGTGGCCTATAATCATAGAGGTCCTAAACCAGAACCATAATACAAATGGGGTTATGTTGATAGAGTTTAGAAAAGAGTTGAAAAAATTGAATAAGAATAAGTTGATGCTTACAATTTAATTTTGGGAAGATTACTTAAATTTTTGTAATTGACTTGTAAGTTAAGAAAATTAGATATTGAAATTAGAAGAGAGAATATTGCTAATAAAAGAAAATAAATTGAATAATTGAAGGAAGAGGCATCAAAATTAGTAGAATAAAAAGAATTGGCATTAAAAGAACATAAAGAATAAGTAAATTAATTTATTATCAAAGTTATCTCCTGAAGAATAAGAAGAATTTAATTAAGAGGAATGGGAGGCTAATTTTGATAGTGAACATCCAATGCCAGAAATACCAGAGAATCCAGCTGATGAGATTGATGATGATTACATTATTGAGCCACCTCAGCAATGAAAGAATATTCAAATAATATCAATTAAATTAATTTACAATTGTAATATTATGTAATAAATGTACATATGTTAAAAATTTTTTGATGTTTATAATATGAATTATTGAACCATTTATAGAAGAAAGGAGAATTCAAAATATATTAAATTAATATTCATGTTATCAATTGATATGCAATCAAGAGCACAATTCTTTGGGAACAATTATTGGAAAAAATTAAGATAAGTACAAATTGAAAGTAAAGATGAAAAAAAATTGAATGAAACAGTAATGTTAGAAGAAAAATGTGAATTTGATTTAAAATTCTAGCATAAGAAAAGTGTAGTTTGTGCTAAATTTTGTAAGTCTAAAGAACTTTTGGCTACGGCTTGTTTAGATAAGATTGTGAGAATTTTTTCAATTGATGGAGAATTAAAGCACCAATTCTAAAACTTATTAGACTCTGATAAAACTCTTTCATTTAGCTAAAATGGGAAGTTTTTAGCTAGTGCAGGTTCTTATGATAAAATAATAAGAATTTGGAATATAGATAATTAAGAACTAGAATTCGAACTTAAAGGAATTAAAAGTAAAATTTAAAAAATCACTTTCTTTAATAATAGAGATGATAGATTAATATCTATTACATAAGATAACAATATTTAGATTTGGGATATTGAATCAAATACAATTTTACATACTATATCTTGCTAAGGAAATGGTATAACTTCAATTTAAATATTTCGTGACGACTCTCGTTGCGTAATAGGATCTTCAGATGGTATGATAATGGAATGGGATTTAAAGAAATTTTAATTATTAAAATAATGGAAGGGACATCAAAAGGGTTGTTTTGCTTTGAAATATGCAAGTGAAGGACATACTTTAATTAGTAGTGGTGGAGATAAAAAAATAAAATTTTGGAATATGGATAAATATAAACTATTTAAATAATTTAATGGTCATAATGGTTCGATATATGCTATTGAAGTAGAAAAAGATACTGTTATCAGTTGTCAATTTAATTAAACATTAATATGGAATATGAAAACCTTAAAAATAAATCAGCAGATATCAAGTACTTAATTAGATTATTGTTTTGTCGAAATGATGAAAAATTCATTCGTTGTTGGATAAAATGGTGTTGGAATCAAAGTATTCAATTTGTAATGATTTTATTTACTTCTTTTAAAAACGAATATAATTATTATATAATGTTTGGTAAAGTAATAGTCTTGATTGTTTCCATATTAAGTCTGTTACTTACTTATAATTTCATTAGAACATCACTTGTATATAAAAACAAGCAAGAGGTTGATCAAATATTAACTTACTTGAACAAATACTTGACTCAAACTTACTTTGCTCCAATAGCAACTAAAACCTAAGTAATAGCTTAATGATGATTAAATACTTTAGTATAACTCAATTTTGGTCAAACCAGAAGTAGATTATTGTAAACGCTCGGATTTATATAAATTTTATCATCCTGATATTGTAATGAAAGATACTTATACTTTTCGAGAAGCAAGAGGGGTTATAAGAGAAACATTAAGATCCTCTTATTATGATTGCATTCCTTAAATGACTTACAAATTAAAAAATACTTAATGTATTAGTCTATATTAGATTATGATAGATTTACCAAGACACGTGTTACCTATTTAATTAACTGTTCCTTTTACTTATTATGATTAATTAGTGCATAAGTTTTAAGTAGGCTAAGGTATTATCATCAAATAAACTTATTAGAATCATTATGTTTATTCCAAAAATACAATCATTTAATATCTAGGCATGTGCTTTCTCATAAGGATAATTTGATGAATAACTAATACTAGTATTTAGATAGTCTAAGAAAAATTGGAGTTGATTAAGATTGCATTAACAATGCTACATTTATACCTAAGACTTATAGATTATTTAATAAACTGGATTGTGAAGAGTTTTTCACTTATTTAGATTCAGAAGAATATAAAACCTTAATAGAAAGAGAGGGTCCATAATTTATAACCAAGGTAGGTTTGGAAGTTCATAGAGGAAGGGGAATTAAGGTTCTCTTTCCAGAGGAAACTCAATAATTATAAGATACTTATAAACATGGCAAAAGATGTGGAATTGATAAATCTTTGCTTGTTGCATAAAAATATATTGGAAATCCTATGTTATTTAATGACCATAAAATAGAATTTAGAGTTTATTGGATCCTTGCATCTACTAATCCAATTATTGCTTATGCATATGATAAGACATTGATAAGAAGATGTATAGCCCCATTCGATAAGTTTTCTTTGGATAAGGAAGCTCATGTTTGTAATACTGCTATTGTGTAAAGTACTTTATAGAAAAAGGGATCTGACTTATTTATGAATGATGAGAATTCTGATGAGTCAGAGTTATATATAGATTGGAAATTAGATTATCTTTAGGACCTTTTAATAAAATAAGGAAAAATCAAAGACACTAAATGGCTATAAAATTATTTGCACCCCACAATAGACCGAATGATTATACATGCAATTAGATCTGCTTAACAGAAATTTAATAGAGATAGTAGATTGGCTGAATTTTTTGCAGCTGATTTTATTCTAACAGATGATTTATAGATATACATTATGGAAATGAACTACAATCCATAAACCTTAAAGACAACTTTGGCTAGAGAAAAATAGCATGCCAAAATGACCTAAGATATGATTGAAATACAAAATGCTTATCTTAGAAGCAAATATTTAAGATTTAGAAAAATTATAACAAGAATGGCCAATAAAATGAATAAAGAGAAAAGACCTCTCGATTCGTTATTAACCAACAAAACGATTGATGAGATTAACACAGCCTATGTTGATAAACTTGATTAAGGAATATCAATAAGTGAAGGGAATCTATTTAGATTAATAATGGATGAAAATTTACCAGGTACTAAAAAGTACAAAGATCTGATTTAATAAAAGTGTATTTGATAAATTTGTTTAGTATTCATGTTTTCATATATATATGATTTCATTGTCCATAAATCTAAACTCTTTTTCAATACTCTATCATACTATTATTAATAAAAAATGAATTTTTTATGATTTTGAATTACTTCAATAATTTACTAAAGTTATTGATTTTCAATAATCAATTAATTTTTAGTTAATTAAATAGATATGCTAATTAAAATATTGATAAATAAAAATACAAAAATTTTGAAGACTTTCATTAATCATTATTAATTTTTAATTTGATAAGATGTTTATAATTGTTTTGATTGTTCTTGCGTTTACATAAGCTAAATAAATAACTCAAACTTTTACCATAAAGTAGCTATAGAAATAATAATATATTCCAATTAATAGATTTGGCAGCAAAGGAATAGTTAATTATAAAATATAGTAATTAATTATATTATTCTAGATCTCGAATCATAAAACCTCCAAAAGATTATGAAAATAGATAATTAGATATAGCTTTTGATTTTTTTCAGTAAGATAGTTGGTAATTAGCATTGAAAAGAGATGAATGTAGTAGATAATAGGAAGCGAACAAAGTCGTGCATCAATCTATATAAGCAAGTTAAGATTAAAAAATCTCAATAAATGAAGGATAATTGAGTTTTGGTAAATATCACAATGTTTGGATTGCAGTCTTTAATAATTGCTAACATAATATTGATAAAGTTATAAAACTCAATAATAAAAACACAAAATTAGAAATCACAATTTGGTTTTATGAAGAAGGAGGCCAAGAATTTTCTTTGGAAGAGCAAGGATTGTTAAATGTAGTGGGAATTTTAACATTTGTTACTATAATAGGATTTATTTATAATTATAGAATTTTTAAATCTGAAGTAAAAAAACATGGTGAATGGGATTATGCATATTTATTTGTTCTTGTTGTAATTGGTTTAGAAGCAATTTAAAATTTAATCAATTTTATCCACTTAATAGTTTATAATTTTAATGGTAAAGGAATTGGTGCATTTTCTACTATTTCAGAGATAATTTAAATTGTTGATAATTATCTTCTAATGGTTTTATTAATTCTTTTGGCGTGGGGTTGGTCTATAGAGTTTATGAATATGGAAGATTGGGATATTTATGGATCATTAGCATTTTTGATTGCTTTTGCCTAGGCATTAATTGTTGGATTGGGAAGGTTAGTGAGCAATCAAACAGATTATCATATTTATGAAGGATGGGTAGGGTATATAATTAGTGTAATATATATTACTCTTGCTATCTATTTTTATTATTCAGTCACTTAAAGAAAAAAAAAAGGAGATTCTATTGATAACTTTTATTTCTAATTGAAAATTTATGGGATGTTATTTTTTCTTGCTTTTCCTACTTTTTTATTTATTTCTAAATTAGTAGATCCTTACAAATCTTATAAAATAATTATTATGGGTAATATGTTAATACGTATGCTAAACATGGTTTTAATGGCAAGATTGTTTACTGGTAAATCTTCTGACTATTAAAAAATCTGTATTAAAGGCAAATCATTTTTAGATAGAGGAAAATTTTTATGAGTTAAATATTCAATCATGTGTATATATGTTAAATTTTATTGAATTATTAACAAATTGAATCATTTTAAAAACTAAATTCTTTAGTTGATTTTCATTAAAATAATGGAATAATCTTGAAATAAAAATAGATATACAAAATTTAGAGCTATCAATCTTAGCTTTTTTATAAAATAATAATTTAATAATTATTTAAATAGTAGCATTTCTTTATAAATACTAATTTTTATTTTTTTTAATTTACCAAAACAAAAAATAGAGAGTTCTAGAACTTTTTAGTGTTACCTTTTATTTTTTAAAATATTTTCATTAAAAATAATCCATTTCCTCAAATGACTGAAGATAATAAGTATGATGGTCTATTTATGACAATTATGTAGTAAACAAAAGATATTAATGTATTCTTTGATGCTGCATTTGGATTTTTAAGGTAATATGATTTTTTAATTTTCAAAGACGCCACACTGACTTTTTCTTAGATTAAAAATAAGCAGAAAAAGTAATCACAGAATCTTGTGCTAAAAACTTCCTTATATTTTAATCAGAAAAAGTTGATAAAGATAAGAAGGAGGAATAAAGAAGATAAAGAGAAGAATAAAGAAAAAGAGAAAAAGAGGCAGCTGAAAAAGCTAAAAAAGAAGCAGAAAGACTATAATAACAATAATTGCTACAATAATAACAAGAAAAATTGGAATAACAAAAATAATAATAATAGCAATAATAATAATAATAATTATAATAATAAGAACCATTAGATCCATCAGTACCAGTATATTAGCCAGTTTTGAAAGTACCTGAATAGTTACCTAAAGAACCTGAAAAGAAAGAGGGAGAAGGTGAAGGTGAAGCAAAAGATGGAGAGAAAAAGGATGACAACGAGAAACCTCCTATTGGTAATGGAGGAAGAACAGAAAGATATATTTGGACTTAAACTCTTGAAGAAGTTTAAGTCTATATTCCTATACCCTCTACAGTTACAAGCAAATAATTAACTGTGAAAATTGAATCCAGTTCATTATTGGTTGGATTAAAGGGTATTTATATTAATCAAATTTACTTTTAGGCTAACCTCCTATTGTAAATGGATAATTATTTGAAAAAATTCAATCAGATGAATCAACATGGTTATTAACTGATGGAGAAATTTAGGATTATAAAGGAAAGTATATTCATATTTCTATCACAAAATATTCTGGTCAAATGAATTGGTGGGCATGTGTCATCAAAGGTAAATTAAAATTACTAAATTTAAGGTGATCTATAAATCAATACTCAAAAGATTAGTCCAGAACCATCTTAATTATCTGATTTGGATGGAGATACTAGAGGAACTGTTGAAAAAATGATGTTTGATATGAGACAAAAATAAATGGGTTTACCTTCTAGTGATGAACTTTAAAAGAAGAATAAATTAGCTGAATTTATGAAAGCTCACCCAGAAATGGATTTTTCAAAGTGCAAGTTCAATTGAGATATTAATAACCAGATCAATATTAAATTATGAATCTCTAAGAAGGCATTCATCTCTTATTTTTCATTTGTTTTTTCAATCTAATCAATATAAATTCAGCATTTGATAAACTCAATTTTAATTGGAAGCTATAAATATATTGGAAAAATAAAATATAATCAAGTGGAATAACATATTTTTATTAATTATCTAATAAACAGTAATTCAATTCTATTTATTGAAAAAAAACAGCTTACATCTATAAAATTAAATAGTTGAAAATAATTAAGTTGTTTAAGAAATTTTTTGGTTTAATTTAGATTATAAGTTAACCATATTGGTTTAAATAAAGAGGTAGTTATTAATTAAATAACAAAATCTAATTTACTTTTTAAGTAGAAGAAGTGTAGATTAAATTTATCGATTCAATAACAATATTAAATAATTTTTCAAATTGAATCTAACCTAAGAATACCAAACAAATTTTTTTATCCTAAGAAAATAATATAAATTATTAAAAATATACTTATCAATTTAAATTAACCTTATTTAAACACTAAATTACTAATGATATGTTGAATGGATGCAAATAAAATAATCTTTAAAAGTGAGTGACACTAATGTTATTTTTATCAAGAAAATAATATCTAAATAAATTTATTGAATTAATTAATTATAACAGATTGACATTTTTGGAAATAATTGAATTTGATTTTTAAATAAATAAATTTATACAATGATTTTATAAAATGAATCTCTTATTATATTATTTATTAGTTTATAGGTGATAAATGAAACATAAATAAGCAAATTTCAATACTTTTCAACTTTAGGTTATTGTTTTTTATTAGCTCTATTAGTTTGCATTTCCATCATTTCTTACATTTCAGCCATTTATTATTATTACTATTATTACATCCTTCTCATTTCTTCTCTCATTTACATCTTTAACATTCCTATTTCTGCCAATTATATAAATCCTAGAATGATCCCACCAAAAATAGCATTTCTCATTGCAATTCTTGTTCCAGCTATAAATGATATTCAGAGTGAATACCTCTAATGGCTAAAAATCCTCCAGTGAATGCACCTGCAACAATTGGATTAATAAAATCTTATTGATTTCTCAAATGCATAAGAGTACAATCAGTAATGCTGAATAACCCACCCCATAAAGCAAAAGATCCTCCTAAAATAGGAGCTCTTCTTTTTAATAATTAAATTCCACCGAAAAATCTTTCTTTTTTAGGAGCAAATGACATTCCTTTAAGGAAATAAAAAATGCATCCAGCAAAACATCCCATTGAGAAGGCTCCTCCAAAATCATCTATGATTCTGTATGGACAAGGTTATTCACGCATAGCCATCTTAATTCTGGTAAATATTAATAAATTTAATAATATAAATCTTGATTATTCTAAATGGAAAATGATTAATTTCATATCATATCATTATATTATAATATAATATAATTTTATATATATATATATGATATTCATATAACATATTTCAATATCTATGCTTTTTATTAAATTGTTATTCTTCCATGTCACTATCATTGTTAAGACCAGAATCTCTAGTAGACCAATCAATTTAAGGATTCTTTTTGGTAAATGCTGGTTATCCTCCTTATTAAATAATATGTTTCATTCTAATTCTAGTAATGAACCAATCAGATTATCCTTAATAATTATGTCTAACATGATCTTCACAAAAGAATCTGAATTTCTATTCATGATCTAATTATAATCCCATTAATCTAACTTATTTAAGACAATTAAAATGATAATGAACATGACATTCAGCTTTATTGCATTTAAGTGATGCTCCAATAGATCCACAATATCTACACATTTAAGCTTATGCAAATTAGACTGCTTAAATCAAAGTAGCAATATCCACTAACATAGTGTTGTAATCAACTTAAACTCTATTAGACCATAATAAACACATTTCATGAGAACATATTTCTCTACCTTCTTTATCTTTAAATAAACAAAGTTTTCCAAATCTTGATACCAAATCAAATCTAAAATAAAATTGCACAAATGATCTAATTTTTAATAATCTACAAAAAGCACATCTTATTGGAAATTTCAATTCTCCTTATTACATTTTCTTCAAAGGTACTCCTCTTAATATAGGTTCTGGCAATATTGAATCACACATTAAAGTATTGTAAAATATTAGATAATTACATAATTTAAACATCTGTTTTTTTATTCCTTATGGTGGTTATCCTTAATCTAACTTTGGAATACCACATTTTTCAACAGCTCCTATTTAATATTCTCTACCCATACTCATTTCTTCATCATCTTCATGTTTTACTTTGCCTTTAACTTACCCTTTTATTTTCTTTTTACTTTTTTCAGTTTTTTCTGTATCTTATTTATAATAAGAATTATAAAGAGCTCTCTTTCCAAATTCAGCATTTCTATTCTCTTCTGTTTCATTTGCCTTTGGTACTAAAAATTGTTTATTCTCTTTAAGTAAATCTCCCATTTCTTTCAAGAATTTTTAAAAATGTTGTTCATGTTCTTCTACAGTTTTTCTTAATAATGATGTAAAATCAGCTTTTTTATCTAAAATATTCNAATTATTATTCTTCCATGTCACTATCATTGTTTAGACCAGAATCTCTAGTAGACCAATCAATTTAAGGATTCTTTTTGGTAAATGCTGGTTATCCTCCTTATTAAATAATATGTTTCATTCTAATTCTAGTAATGAACCAATCAGATTATCCTTAATAATTATGTCTAACATGATCTTCACAAAAGAATCTGAATTTCTATTCATGATCTAATTATAATCCCATTAATCTAACTTATTTAAGACAATTAAAATGATAATGAACATGACATTCAGCTTTATTGCATTTAAGTGATGCTCCAATAGATCCACAATATCTACACATTTAAGCTTATGCAAATTAGACTGCTTAAATCAAAGTAGCAATATCCACTAACATAGTGTTGTAATCAACTTAAACTCTATTAGACCATAATAAACACATTTCATGAGAACATATTTCTCTACCTTCTTTATCTTTAAATAAACAAAGCTTTCCAAATCTTGATACCAAATCAAATCTAAAATAAAATTGCACAAATGATCTAATTTTTAATAATCTACAAAAAGCACATCTGATTGGAAATTTCAATTCTCCTTATTACATTTTCTTCAAAGGTACTCCTCTTAATATAGGTTCTGGCAATATTGAATCACACATTAAAGTATTGTAAAATATTAGATAATTACATAATTTAAACATCTGTTTTTTTATTCCTTATGGTGGTTATCCTTAATCTAACTTTGGAATACCACATTTTTCAACAGCTCCTATTTAATATTCTCTACCCATACTCATTTCTTCATCATCTTCATGTTTTACTTTGCCTTTAACTTACCCTTTTATTTTCTTTTTACTTTTTTCAGTTTTTTCTGTATCTTATTTATAATAAGAATTATAAAGAGCTCTCTTTCCAAATTCAGCATTTCTATTCTCTTCTGTTTCATTTGCCTTTGGTACTAAAAATTGTTTATTCTCTTTAAGTAAATCTCCCATTTCTTTCAAGAATTTTTAAAAATGTTGTTCATGTTCTTCTACAGTTTTTCTTAATAATGATGTAAAATCAGCTTTTTTATCTAAAATATTCTTAATTCTTAATTGTGAAATACTTGATGGCTTAATAGATACTTCATGATTTTATGAATCTAAATTGATATCCATCAATAATCTGAATTAATTTAAGTAATCATTTAATGTACTAACATCTACTCCTGATTCTTTCTTATCCATATTATAAAGTATTGTATATGCAATATCTACCTCTTCTCCAATCTCTTATAAACTTAAAAGAGTTTCATTCAAATTTTCCATGAATTGACTTAGTTTATTTAATTTTTAGGCTTATTTATAAATACTTTATGATGTCTCTTCTAAATAGTTCTACATTCTAGCATAACTTAATTATCCTTCCTTGGTTAGATCTTATTGCGTTCTTGATGAATCTAATATTCAAAATAATATTTATACTAACAAATTTTATCAGAGCTGCCTTTAACTTAGCATATCCAAAGGATGGGTGACCTTCATGAGCTCCTTCATGAACACACTTAGAACAAATAAATCCATCTTTATTACATTCTGGATTATTGCATACTCTAGTTACCTATTCTTCAGGATGATGTTTGCAGTATATTACATCATTATTTTATTTCTACTATGATTCAGTTGGATCACTCATTGTATTAATTAATTTTCATTTTATCTGAATCATCAATATCACATAAAAGAATAAAATATTAAAATGCTTTTTTAATTACCTTACTATATTTTGTAAATCAACATAAATTTTCATACTAACTATATCAAAATCAAATTAAAACTGAAACTTAATAAAAAAAGATAAAAATTACTTAAAATTCACCTTAAATACAAATCAATAGATTAACACATAAATATTTCAAATATTTTACATTAAATTTCTAATTTTCAAAATAAAAATCTAATAATTAACTCTACTACTTTACACTTATCTCTGAAAACTTAAGATTTGACTGGTTTCGTTTTCAATTAGGAATTTTTTTTCTGCATTCTTTCTAATTTTTTTATCATTTATTGCCTCTAACTATTTGTTAATAAACCTACAGACATGCTACAAGACTAGTATGACATTCATAATTAGAAGATTAAAATATGAAACCATTCAAACTAAAATTCTTATTTTATAAAAAGTTGTATATGTTAATCTTAATAAATTGGTTTGTTATGTAAATATTTGATTAGCGAGCTTTCTAAATTTTAGTAATTTATATTCATAATTATTGATCTAATTTTAACTAAATTCACTATTGCTATTGTTATTTTTGTGAGTGAGTTAAGTAAAGAAATATTTACTTTCAGTTTTATTGATATCAAAACAAAAAACTATTTCATTTGCATAAATACAATCCCAAAAATTAACTAAGTGAGTATTTGAATATAATTGGGATATTATGAATTAATTTTGGTTTAAAATACTTAAGAAGATTTATATTGAAATGTGATAATTATGATTATAAATTTTATAATTCTTAAATCAAAAACAAAAGTTTAAAAAATAATCGTAATTTTAGAGTTTAGGTATATATTTGAAATTTGTGGGGATAGAATATTATAATTATAGTTAGTCATATATTAAATAGATTGAGTATTTACTATTAATTGATGATGTCAATATTATTCTCCTTCAATTTGTTTAGCTTATTTGAAAAATTCATGATTTACAAATTCTTATATAGTTATCCTATTATATTCTTCAGCCAATCCACCTTCAATTAAATCTTTTAGGTTTTCAAGTAATTATTTAGGAGTGTGCTCTCTCATTAATTGAGAGTCAACTTTCTGAATGAAATCTAATTACCAAAACAAGTCAGGTTGATTAATCAATAATTGATAATATTAATCATCTGGTGTTGGAAATTTACCCATAATAGGTGGTCTCTTGTAAATAGCCAAAAATAGAGCAGTGGTTAAGGCATATACATCTGAGGCAAATAAACAGAATTCATCATATTCACCATCAACAACATTTAATCTAAAATTAACAATTTCAGGACTGGAATAAGATGTAAGAGTTCTTGGTAACCATTTGGAGAGTAAGTCTTCATTTGAAGGTCTATAGCTGAATCCAAAATCAGCCAATTTAATGACATTTCTATTGATAACAAGCATGTTCTCTAATTTGATGTCATTGTGTGCTATATATTAGGAATGTAAATATTCGACAGCAATTGAAATTTAAGTAAAGTACTTGATTATAATTTTGAAGGATGTTTCATTTGATTTGCAAAGAGTATGAAGATCACAAGTAGCATTTTCAAGGAATAAGCTACAACATTAGAGGTTCCCTCCTGCTGGGTCAAGCTAATGATTGGGAATAAATTATTAAGGTTTAATTATGTATGGATGATTAAGCTAGCTAAGTATTTTCCATTCATTTTAGAGATCTTGGCATTCTCTTTAATGAACAGAGTGACAAACACTATCATCTTCCATAAATAGTTAAGCATGGAACACAGATTTTATAACCACAGTCTAGTGAACTAATAATTGAAGAGTACATCTGATGCTCCAAGTTGTCTGTGTATGTAAGAGTTGTTGCCTTATTGTATTAAATACAAATGATCAGCGATCTAATTGATTTGCTACATGTATATATTTATATATTATAATTGTATGTTCATTCTTCCTCTTTTTTTTCTTCTTTTGGTCCTTAAACTACTATCAACAAGAACTCTTTATCTGGTGCCACCATTATCTCATTATTCTTAGACTTTATACGCAAGAAAGTTAACTCATTGTTTGGATCTAAATCACGTACTGTCGATCTTGTTAATCCATTACAATATTTAGTACTTGGCCTTGGCAGCTAATGTAGGAATGGTTCTAGCAATGTTTTCTCCTTCTTTGCTTTCTGTTCCATAGGTACTCCTTATTATTTAACCATCGTTATTGCAGATCACAATCCCTTAAACAGACTTATGAGTCTTGATTCTATTGATTGTTTCTTCAATATCCGACATTAATAATAATTAAAATGAGAGCAACCCTATTTTAGTAGTTAAAAAAAATAAGAGCTGAATCAGCTAAATCAGGAACAAATCGAAACAAACAAATACTTGATACTTCAGAGCTTCTTCCAAGATCAAGTTTTCACAGAAAAAGAAAATAAGAAGAACCTAACAATTCTTTTCATGAATATTCATGTTCATTTAGATTTCCTGATAAAGAAAGATATGAATAAGAAATTAAGTAATTGAAAAATCACATGAATTCCTTAGAAAATGAAAATCTTAGATTAAAAACTAAAATTCATTAGATGGAAGGTATGTTCAATTAAATTAAATTCTAGATAATTAACTCAAATAAGAGAAAATAATATAAGAATTAGATCGAATTGGCCCTGTCAAAGCACCATTACTATAAGCATTAAATTTCTCAAGTGCTTAAACTGCTTTAAAAAAAGAAATAATTAATATGAGATAAGAGTTGCAAAAAAAGGATAAGGAACTATAAACTATTAAAAAAACACAACGATATGCATAAATTAATGAATTATAAATTGAAAGAGCTGCCTTTTAAGAAGAAACAATCAGGTTAAGATAATAAATAGATTCATTATTTTAAGCAAGTTTATATAATCTACAATAAAATAATGTAGAATAAGTAATATAAGAGAGAATATTTGCTTTAGTAGCATAAATATAATCTAATTTAATACACTAAAGGGAATTAGATAAACTAGTTGAAAGGTTAAAAAGAGAATGTCTTAAATATAGAGTATATTATAAATCATTATATAGTCATAATAAATTGATTAAGAATATAGAAGTAAAAGAGAAATAAAGAAGTTAATTGCTTAATTAAGAGAAGAAACTTCTAATAATAATTAAAAAGAAAACAATAAAGAGATTAAATAAATTCCAACCAAGGCTGACGAATTATAAAATTTAACTGATTTGATGTTTGCAAAATAAGAGATTAAATCTAAGGATAATGAAATTGAAAGATTAAATTAAATTATCTTTGATTTAGAGGTATAAATCAAAGAAATGTCACTTGCTTAAAATTAAGAAGTATAAGATACTTAGAATTAATCATAATAATTAGAAGCAACTTCAAAATCGAAGTAAATGAAAATATCATCTCCTGTCTTTGCAACTGAAATTATGTAAGAAATTGCTTTCCCTATTAAAAAATCAGTTGTTGTGTATGAATAATAGCCAATAATTAAATAACCCCTTAAGAGAAGGATAATACCTGTTAAATTTGATGATATCAAAATTATTGGAGAAACTCTCAAGTATAGATTAATGGCAATGGACATAGGAATTTAACAAATTGATGATTATTTATATGAAGGTGATTCAATGACAATTAAAGAATTAAAGGATAAACTTAGATTATATCCTTTTAATTTAGCTAAAGATGAAGCCTTTTTATTAGCAAGATATATAATGGAAGGAGATTCTGATATTTATGAATTAGAGGATATAGCTTCGAATCCTACTCCATATATCCGTTCAGTAATTAAGAAAGTATTGTTGAATTACAAATTGGAAATTGTAAAATGTCAGATCCAACATTCAGAGAAATTAAAAGATGTACTAATTAGACATAAACCTTTTATTATAAGTAACATAAAGTAACTGTATGGAAGAGATTGCATTAGAGTTAGTAAGAATTAATTTAAAGATGCTTTGGTTTCTTTAAATATTGAATTGAATTAATTTGAGCTTGACTATTTAATCACATAAGGAATTTTGGAAAGTAGAAGTGTTGAATCATTAAATTATGAAGAAATGTTGAAGTATGAACCAATTAAAATAGAAGATTAATAAATTTCATTTTTATTAACAGAGATCAATAATCAAAATAAATAACAGGCTGAAATGTCTGTAATTATGGAATGCCCAGAAAAGGTTTCAGAAATAGAATAATAAGAATAAGATTATAATGAGAATTTTAATGAAGAATAATAAGATGAAGTAGAAAATTAATATAAATTTGCAGATAAATATGTAAGTGAGCAATTTGATTCAGAAAATGAGAAATTTAGATAAGAGTTTTCATCAGATTATAATTTACAATAGTGAAATTTTTTGTTATTTATTTGATATTAAAGTACTAATAAAATTTATTTGTTAAATAAAATATGAGTTTTAGAGTAGAAGAGTCTCCTTAGTTTAAGGAAGAAGAACTAAACCTATCCAAAATTTACTAATATAGAGAATCTCATTTCTCTGGATTCTCATTCCCTAGCAGTGTCAGACATTAAAAACGATAGACTTTTTAAGCATCTGTAGAAACTAAAACTCCAACTCCTAATTAAACCAATATTGAAAATGCTCCTTGTGAACTTAGCTTTGAAATAGAGAGAATGATAAAAGAAAGGGAATAATTATTTACTGATGTGCAATTTTATGAACCTAAAGTTACTTTTAATGTAGATGAATCACCATAAAGAATTCGAATTCAAAGAAACAGTGCTCCCATGCCTAATACTTAATTATAACATCTCAATCAATAAATAATAGATGCAGAGCATACTTATAATTAGTATTGTTATTAATTAATTTGATTATATTAAAAAATATTATAAAATTTTTAAGTCATTTTATCTCAATCTATATTTAATGATAAAGTTAATATACTTTATTATAATTCAGAAGATAATACATAAATATTATAAAATAAATAAATCTGAGAGCATATTTTGGATATCTAATATTGTTTAGATTTAATTTGAAATATAGTATCAATTATGGTCATTATACTCCTAATGCAACAGGGAAGATCTTGAAACTTATTAAGTTAAGTCGATTCTAGCTTAACCCAATTCAGATGCCTATTATAATAGGATAAATTACTAATTTGCAGCCATTTTATAATGATTAATAATCAAGTAAATTGCTATACATACCTACAGCCATAGTAGTTAATCTTTTAAAATTCCCCATCATTTTTTTCTTACTTTCTTAACTAGTAAAATTACTGCAGAGACTATTAGATGATTATGGTTTTTATTATGTATATGATGATTATCTCATAGGAGTATCGAAATCTTTATGAGTGTTAAAGCTGGCTTATCTTTAGCCTTAAGGGCTTGTTAACTAATTTAGAGGACTTGTAATTTAGTTTAAAGGGCTAGCGAACATTCCTCCGTCACCTTTCAAATTTTCTATTTCTTCTCTTAATTGTTAAATAGTTTGTTCTTGTCTTTTTTAGTCTTCTTTCATTTTCATCATTGATTAATGAATTGTAGACTATGTTTCATTTTATTTCTAAATTTAACAATTTAATTCTTAAATTATCTTGGTTTTCTCAAGTAATTTTTTATGTAATTATTTCTTTTCTCTTTCAAAAGCATCCCTCAAAAGAGCATCTGAGTTTTTTTATAATGCTTAAATTTAGCATAAAAGTTATTATTCTAATTTTAATAGATAAAGTGTTTTACCTTGATTCTTAAGTTATGAGTTTTATTCTTATAATTCACTCATTTGCATTTCAACATGATGTAACTGTTTCAATGCATGATCGCAATGATTTTTCATTTCATTATAGTTTTGAACTTCCATCTCAAAATGAGCCTTGTTTAATTGCAGTTCTTCTATTTCTCTATTTTTTTAAGCTATTTCTTCTTAATACTAAAAGACTACAGCACATAATTTATCAATTTATTCATCTATATAGAAAATCTCAAATACCTTTTTAAATTAATGCCTAATCTTTTTACAATAATTCAGATTGTAAGGTATCTATTTACGCTTAAAGTACTTTTTCTGACTTCATCTCAGGGAAACCTGTCTTGTTAATCATATCTAATAAAATTTATTTCTTTCTAGGATCTGGATGAAGACTTGATTATTTCATAATTTTTTATGCTTAATTTAAAAAAAAAATATTTTGCTATCAATAAATAAATGAGGATTACTAATGCATGCAGTTCATTATAAAATATAAAAATTACAAACTTTTATTTTAATTTAGAAGGGAATGATAAAATAGAAATAGAGAATAATCACTAAATTTATTAATTTTAAAAGATTTTATACATTTTAACACATTATTTAGTTTTATAATGAAAATAAAAAAATCTCTAATTCATTTATGATAATCAAAGCATGAAAAGATAGTATTTACAATATTATACATTTTAGATTTCATTTAATTTCTTATTTGTTCTTGAAATAAAGTGTTTTGAATCTCAATATAAAGAAATATCAATAAAAACTGAATAGTATGAGTTGAAGAGGTAATTGAAATTAACATTGTAAATCTATAAGTCCTTTGGTAAATTAAACAAAATAAGATTACAGAGATTTAATTTCATTTAAAATATCATAGTAATAATAAATTTCAATTTATTTAAAAGAGTTCTTAATTTCCTGTGATGAATTATAGTTCTTGAAAAAGGTTTTAGCAAATTTCTATAGTAAAATTGTTTAATTAAGATTCAAAATTGACAGCCTTTTATGAGTTTAATAAAGTTGTATTGAAATGAATTAGTTTTGTAATTTTGAGGTATCGCTCTCCTGTCTTCATATACAGAAAGTTATATTCATAGAAATACATGATGGGCTTCATATTTGATATAGAGTTAAGGTATGGAAATTGAAAGTGTTAATTATATGATACTAATAACAACATAGGGTAACTGGAATTAAGTTTAGAAATGAACAAAATTATAGTCAAATTCATTTGAGTAATAGATCCTCTATCTCTTACTTTAAATTACCATTCCTTAATTCTTACAGCAAGGATTTTGTATCAGGATAAGCTTCCATTATAAGTGTCATGTCTTTATCATCAACATTCAACATTTCTCTTATTTCTAAATCTAATAGGCTTAGCTATAAATTTACATTATGATTGTTCACTACGTCTACGAGTTTACATTAAGGGTGCATCTTACTAATCTAGAAGTCTACGTTTTCTCTTTAAATTGATAAATTGACGATCTCCACTTTGCCTTTTTATTTCGTCATAATCCAGTACACTGTCTTCTTCTTGAGGTATGTCCTTTATCATTTTGAGGTTCAGCTTAACTTTGGTACCCTTTACCTAGACAGGCAGGTTCTAATCAGTTTTTGGTTAAGCTGGATTAGGAGGCTAAATTGGAAGGGGCATAACCATTTGTTGTTGAGGTTGCATTTGTGGCTAAGGATTTGAAAATGGCATGCGTAAAGGGGCCATAGAAGCCATGGATGGAATTTATTGCATTTACTGCATTTGTTGTAGTTGTTGCATCATAAAGTATTAGGGTACATAGTTCATGTAGGGCTGCCTAAATATTCATAAAAGCATAGACTATATAGTATAAAAGGTATAAGCAGATGGGAAAATGATGATGTTACATACATAAATTAGGGATTTTGGTAAATCATTTGTGTCTATGGAGTCTGCTGCATTTGAGGGTACACTTGAGGCTTAGCTTTGAGCATTGCTAAGTAATCTTAGTTAGGAAAACTCATTTTTCAGATATTTAAATATATCTCTAAGAATAAAACACAGATTTGATATTTAGATTTACAAAAGATATTATGCCATTTCGAAGGGGCTTATTTCATTCTCATACCTTTGAATTTTGGTGTTTCAACTTGTATAAATGTCTATCAAACAATTTGCAAGCAGCCTTAAATGTATTCTCCAAGAAAAAATGGTTTAAGAAGCATGTTAATGTTTAAAACACAAACATAGCAAGTTTCAATAGTTTGAAAAGCATACATTTATTTGTCTTTATGAAAAGAATTAAATGTTAAACTCCTTGGAGCAGAAAAAGAATATAGGAATTAAAAAGGATTATTATACTTCAATAACATTATATTTTAACCAATGAAATGATTCCATCTCAATTCTTAATGTTGATTTTAAAAATATGAAATACATATTCTAGAGTGTAAAAATATTTAAATAATTCATTAAATTGCTTGGTAGAAAAGATCATTTCTATTATAGATAACTTAAAATTAGTCTGAATGTTGTATAATGATGTTGGATAAGAAATGATATTTACTTATCATATATAAAATAAATTGATGATTAAGGTGACTAATATAAATATTAATTAAATAGTGATATAAAATTAAGGAATTTCCTTTATGGGCAAAATCCTTGTTTGAAATACTCATCATCTTTTATTTTTTAAGATTTTTAGTATTATGAAGGTTGGATTATAATTTCAATAATTTATATTTTTTTAATCACAATGAGGTTGTGATTGATTACTTTCATTATTATTATAAATAATGAACGACATATTACCAGCTCCAAGTCTTGTTAAATATAGTAATCCAATTCTCATATCTAACAGTTAAAAGAAACAAATAAAATAATCCCCTCCAAGTAATACTGAAGACATTTTGAATGCAATTCTCCTTCCTCGAGAATTTAATCATTAGAAAAATTAATTGCAAATTTAATGTGTTTCTCCTGCACCTTCAACTAAATAAGATGTGCTAGAATTATAAGATAAATTAGATAAATGGCTATAATAAAAGCTCGCCAGGGAGACTGGCTTATGTCCAATTAGGGAGGAGTTATATTCATAATGTTTTGATGAATTAATACGATAAATCACAATTAATTGTGCAGAAAGAGGTATGTTACTAGTGACAGTACGTAATGAAGTTCGAATGGTTATTTAGACATATTAAACTTTATATGCCTCAAGCATTGCATTTGGAATGAGAAAGTTTTTATCTGAAGAAGAAAAAAAAGTATAAAATATTTATAAAATATAGGCTGAATAAAGATTCAGAATAAAATAATTAGAATAAGAATGTTCTGAGCTCTAAAGATAAGTTGAAAATTTAGAATAGAAACTCTAAGACACAAAACATTAGGATTAATAAAATAGAGAATAAACAAAAGAAACACATATGGAAATTATAAACTAATTAAAAACTGACATAAAAAATAAAGTCTCTGGTGATTTAGATAAAATACTAACTGGATAAAAAAAATTACCAGATAAAAAATGACAAAATAAATGTTTTGATATTATTATTTTAAGAGTTTGATTATTATATTTTTAACATCCTCATAATATCAATTTAAATGGATTTAATTAATAAGTATACAATATAAAATTATTTATAATATTTTTAATTTTCTTTTAAAAGTAACAAATATACTAATATAATATCTAAATATATATGCTTTAAGATAATCATCAGGAAATATTTACTTTTTAGATTTATATCTCGTTTGCCTTATTAAATTTGATGAAAAAGAAACTTATTTGAAACACAAAGATTCAACATCAAGGATGAATAAGATAATAATTTAAATTAAATAACTAGATGAATATATTTAATATTTCACTAGTTCATTAATGATACTTTTGCACTTGAAGGCACTTGAGCAGTCTTCTTAAAGAACTTTATATAAACAAAAAAGGCTCCACCTAGTATAGCAATGCCTCCTAGAATTCCTAATAGTATCCAAAGCCAAAGGAGGGAACTAAAGTTAAATATTTGATTAATACCTTCCGCTATCATCATCATCAGGAGGAGTAGGAGGTTTATTATTATTTATTATTTCAAAAGCTCCTAATGCAGAACTGTAATCATTTTAAATTTATAATTCTACAAATTAGGATAATACTTTATCTCCTGACTCTATTTTAATTTTAGGAATATCATGAATAGTATATTTCTTCACTACATAATTATAGGTTTTGCCATCTTCTTCTATGTTTGTATAACATGAGGGCTTATATTTTATAAATATTAATTACTTCATTTTAATTGGAAGGTTTTTAGATGACAAGAGCAAATTAAGTATTTGAAGCAATATGCTTGACAATTTCTGCTCCGGAGATTGTTAACATTTTAGCTTTTGCATCAGCACCTAAGCCTGTTAGTTCTGGTAATTAATATATGCTTATCATTAGATGAGATGAATTATAGTAAGGGACAGCAGCATGATTTAATCCTATAGCCAACTTATTCAGAGTTTGCATAGTACCATAATGATTCAATAAAAATGGAACATTTGCATCTTTTATTGGTGAACCCTTATTAAGGGGATCACTAATATCAAATGAAAAAGTTATAGCATATTAAGCAACATTATTAGTTGTAATAATCACAGTTAAATTAAATGTATTTGAATTTGTAACACTTTTATATGTTCTTATTTAGTAGAAATTTGTTTCAAATTTGACAGCATAATCTTTACTCAAAAATTATGCTAGATTATAAATTTACTTATGGTTATCTTTTAATAAACCACCATCATTGTACATTTAAACAAAAAAGGTCGAACTTATAGCTGTTTAAATCATAATTTTTTAATAAAATGTATTTCCTTATTAGAATTAAACGACATCAAAATCAGTGACAAAGTAATCATTAAGTGTTGGTAAACCGAAGTATTTTTCATCAAATACTTTTTCATTTTTAACACTCCACTTTTAATCTAAAGTTAATTGATAAACATGTAGAGCTCCTTTAGTAGATAAAGGATGATCTGGATCTGCATCCAAAATATAAAGGTATGAATTCAAGTATAATATTTTAGAAACCATAATAAACTTTCCAATATTTGGAGTATCAGATTAAATAGGTGTACATGTTGATTTTGAAATATCACAATTAACAATATATAGTAATGTATCGACATTATTAATACAAGTTACAAATACATACTCATTGTAAGTTGATAATTGAGTACAATGAGTTCCAGGTTCTATTTTATGGACAAATTTAACAGTATCATCATCACTATTTTAGAATATTAATGATTTAGGATCTGCCAAATAAACAACAGTATCTTTAAATGTAGCACCAGTAATTATTTCATAATTAGCAAATTAAGTTCCTTCACTACTTGGAGTTAGAGGATTGATAATACTGATAAGTTTACCATCACATTATTTACAAATTATTTTGAATTTTGTTACATGACCAAAATATAGTCCATCATTAGTGAAATTCAAATATTATGTATTTGTAGTAGAATCAAAATGAAAAGTTGTTTTGGCCAAAAGAGTAGTATTAATTCTAACAACAGATTGAGTATTAATAAATTTAACTGGATACATTACGCTTGTTCTAGAATCTGACAATGTATTAGTAATGCTTACAGCTGTTTTCAAATTTGTTGTATAAGCATCACTTAATGTAGTTGGTATTAATTCCATCAATGAATCCTTCAAAAATACAACAACTCTTTAGGTTTTCAAATCATTAAAATACACAAACATTTAATCTTATCCAGAAGCAGCAGTTTCTAACAATTATCCATCAGGAATCAATTCATGAGTTTTTAATACTTTATGTAATGAATTTCTATATAAGATATTTGATTCATAGATTAAAATTACAGTCTCTTTCTCAATAGTGTCTAAAGCTCTAACAAATAAGAATCCTGTTTCGAATACAAAATCTATTGTCAATGGAGATTGTAAAGTATATCTTCCATATAAAGGCATTGATTTCATTGGGTAAATATCATTCAAATTTTCATAGTTGTATTCTTTGATGTAATCCTTCTATCCTTTGGATATTATATAGAAAGTCTTTTAACCAACTGCAACTTCAATTTCAGCATCTGTTTCTACATGAATAGCTGTTATTAAAATAAAATGAGTTCTTAGTTCACCCATTATTACACAATCATCAGTCAAGACAAATATGAATTCACTATTAGTAAATGAATTGCCAAATACTCTTTTTGGAGTCCAAGAACAACCTGTTTCATATTCATTAATTAAATATGCATCAATGGAATATTTAATTAGAGTTGGATTAACTGCAAATATAACATCTACTTCTTTTTAAGCATGTTAAACAACATAAATATTCTATTTTAATGCTGTGAATGAAGTAATTTTAAATTCTGGTTTAGCCTCATAAGTAATGTTTCCTATTTTTTAATGATCACCATCATATGAACTATAAAATAGAATTTCATAATCATTAACTTAAAATTAGAAAGTCACAACTTCTTATTCAAATGTTTTCCAATCAAATTATGAATTTGTCCTACTTAATTGTACAGGTAAATCAAATTGATCCTATTTCTCACAGTTACTATGATTATCTCTAAAACTATATGATTAACAATCCCAAATAACAACAGTTTTATTTTTATGTTATAAAAATAGATAATATTTGTTATTATTATGATGATGAGGATCAACTAAAATATCTGCATATGAAACATCTTTAGCATCAAATAAAGTTACATTCTTAAGTTCTAATTCCCATAGAAAATGAACTAAGACTTCTACATGATCCTAACTAATATCTGGAGTGATGTATTAAAGATTGGGCCCAGATGCCAGATCTTAAAGTTTAAATGGATCAGCTGGATATGTGATTAATTCAGGAAAAGGATCATGACCCAAATCATAAATATTAGCATCTTCAATAGGCAATACTTAGTAATTAATTTTACAACTGCAAGTTTTTGTGCCATCAGTTCCATATAAAGTTATTGTTGATTTTTCTATTTATACTGAATTTTCTGATGCCAAATATCCATCACTCAATTCATATCTTCTAGTTAAAGTGGAAGAAACAACAATAACATCAGGAGCATATGGATTTACTAAAATAGTTGAAGATATCAAAATTTCTGAATGAAGTAAATATGGCATAAATCTATTGTAAAGGTATAATCTTTATGAATGTACTACAACTACATATTTATCACTGAATGAGACTGTAACAGGAAAAGATGCTTTGAATGGTAAATTATATCCATTCTTTTAAACTGATGCTATAGTGATTAACAAATTAGATTCATACAAAACAGCTATAGCTAATTCATAAAACCCATCCTCATTCAACATCTCAACAACATCAAATCCATAAGCTTTTTAATTAAGAGTCTAGATTGTTTTAACATAAACCCATTGTCCTTCCTCTGTAACTCTATATAAATATATTCCCTAATCAGCATCCAAAATATAAACATCTCCATTTGGTTACACTTTGAAATCTATTAAAGTGAAGTTAACAGTTTGTTTAGTATCTTCACTAATTTTTGTTTTATCTAAAACACTAGTGTCTTTCATTGTTCCATTATCTAATCTAATTAATAAATCAATAGAGCAATCGTTATCTAATACTGTTGTGTTACCTGTTTCAGAATTAAAGGCTTATTAACCTCTTAATAACATTCTAATGGGACTAGGAGGTTATGGACGGTCAATTCCAATTTCTTCTGTTGTTCCTTTTTTATAATAAACATGATATTATATTTTCCTTCCTTTCACTTATTTGTATTATTTATGATTAGCTACTTCTTGTCTTTTACCAGATATTGTATCAGGTGTATCTGTTTTCTCCACAAAATAAACAAAATTTTTCATTGGCTATGTAGGAGGATTTGCATTCCTTTCTGCACAATCGACTATCCATAAATCAGGATTGATGTATTCAATATCAAAGCAATCTATAACAGCATTACTCGAGGTTAATGTAACTTTCTAATAAAATTAAGGAGTTTTATCCATTTATATGACATTTCTACATAGATTAATTCCAAATTATTACCCTACTGCATAATATATGTCATATATGTTTTTTTTATCATCCAATTCCAAAAATGCAAATTAGTTTGTCCAGGCTCCTGAACTTGCTACGTCATAAGCTCTTATTGCACCTGTCTATATTAGAGCTATAATTCTAATGAATGTAATGTACTTCCAAAATGGGTTTCTTCAGCTGAAATTTAATCGAAGGCAGGGTGATATCTCATAATAGTTGAGTTTGGTATCAAAGTGAAATCAAGAGCATTTCCTGATATTAATGAGTCTGCTCTCCATCTAATCTGCTCACCTTTTGATGTATAAAATGTCACATTATCATAATTACTCTCTACATTTGACAAATAATGTACCACACCATTAATAAGAAGATTCAATAAGCAAAATCAATGAGATAATTCCACAAAACATTTTTTAATTTATTAAGATTTTTCTTAAGAATCAGAAAACTATCTATAGTAACATTATTCAAACAACATATACTAATATTTTTATAAGGTGTTCCACATATCTAAGAAAGTGAAATATGAGTATTCATAACAGAAGCCACTTAAAGATTCCACTTGACTCAATTTAGAAAAGTGATAATAATAATTTGTAAACTTCCGTTGGTTTATCAAAGAATAGTGTTAAAAAAAATAATTAGATTTCAAACCACCATAATAATTCAGAATAGATTATTTTTTTTTCAATATTTTATTTTCTAGATGAGGTATGTGAAAAATATCGATGACGACAATAATTATTTTTACAAATTTAAATAAATCTCTTTGTCCATATTCCATAATTATTGTTCAATTTGAGATCTATATTTATATAAGTTATTAATAATTATGTCTAAGATAATTGATTAATCTGATTAGATATCTCTATTAGAACCAAACAAAGGATTGTCATTTGATGAAAACCAATGCCATAAAACATTCTTCTTTTCATGGGTTTATCCTATATTGAAGGTAAAACATTAATAATACTTCAGATAGGAAAATCAAAACCTTTGACCTAATTTGATCTCATAACAATTGATAAAAAAAGTAATATGAGTAGTTCATACTAAAGATTCATAAATGTGTTCAACAAATCAAATTTAACATTAAGTTTATTTAAATCATTTAGAAGTAATAAAAAAATTAAGATAATTAGAATAAATCTTCATTTGCTTAATAGCTTATATAATGGTGGCAGCCTTATAGTTATGTCTTCCCATTATCTCAGCAAAATCTTAAAAATTTTTTATGTATGATCATCCAGAAGAAAAGCCTTTAACCTCTAATATGTTTTACTTTGCAATTGTACAGCTCATATACATGTTATCACTATCTTTAATTAAGCCATTTCAATTATTTTTTGCTTCTCTTGTAAGCATAAAGATTCAAGGAGCATTACAATAAGAAATTTTGTAAAAAACACTTTAGTTCCCTATTTCTCGATCTCAACATTATTCAACTGGAGAACTTATCAATATGTTATAAGTTGATATTACTTAAACTTCAAATTACTTTTATAATGCTATTATTTTATATGCATGCCCAATCTAGCTTGTATGTGCTGGAATAGTCTTTTATGTAACTTTGGGTAATTAGGCATTAGTACCTGCTTTGGGAGCTATTGTTTAAGCTTTTATCGGACTGACTTTTGGTTACTTTTATGGTATTGTATAAAAGAAATATATGTTGGCAAAGGATTTGAGAATGAAGGCAGTAGATGAAGCATTATTATATTCAAAATAAGTTAAACTAAATTAATTAGAAGATTTCTTTGAATAACGAGTATTAAAGTTATTTTATTATTATTATAGATTCATGCTTAAAGAACCTATGAACTTTATCATCTAAAAAACTAAGTTATAATGCTTATTCTAATATAATTGCTATAAGGTTTGGTTGGTATATTTACTTGGGAGATTTTATTTTTTGTTAATGACCCAATTAATTTTGCTATTATATCAATAATGATGCAAAATTATGATAATATTGTAAGAATTTTGGAAGATTTACCATCTTAATTTAAAAATTATTCAATGAGTAAGAATTCTATTGATCGAATTGAAAATTTTTTGAAATAAAGAGAATGTAATCCATTAGATTATATGATTGAATAATCAAATATAGCAATTGATATTTAGAATTGTTCATTTGATTGGGAAACAAATGATTAAATGAATTAGGAAGTTGGAGATGAATAAAATGATCCAATTCAAAAGAATACAAGTATTTTTAATATTAATTTGAATATTTAAATAAATAAAGGTTAATATGTGGCTTTTGTTGGAAAGTATTTTTATTAATAAATCTATATAGTTCTGCATCAGGTAAATCTACAATTCTGAGATCCATTTTAGGAGAAACACATAATCAATATGGAAAAATCACAGTAAATGGACGTATAAGTGTTGCAACCTAAGATCCTTGGATTATTAGTGGGACTATAAAGAAGAATATTACTTTTATGAATGAATTTGATAGCATGAAATATAAATAAGTAATAAAATGTTGTGGATTGGAAAGAGATATTGCATCTTTTAAAAATGGAGATGAAACTATATTAGGTGAAAAAGGAGATAATCTATCTGGAGGGCAATAAAAGAGGATTAATTTAGCTAGAGCTGTTTATAATGATGCAGATATATATTTATTTGATGATCCGATGAGTGCACTTGACATTAAAGTTAAATATCAAATAAATTAATAATGTATTTAAGGTTATTTAAAAAACAAAACTCGTATAATATTTACTAATTCATTATCAAATCTTTAGGAGTGTGATATGATTTATATTGTTGAAGGTGGAAAAATCATTAAATAAGGTAAATTTGCTTAGATTATTGGTGTTGAAAATAATAAATTATTATCTTAAAAAGAAATAATTGATATATAATTTGAAGAAAAGCATTACACTCCAGAATTAACAGAGAACCAAGATTTAAAATCAAGTTTGATTTAAAAGGAAGATTAAGAAAAAGGATAAGTTTCATAAGCAGTTCAATCATAAATCTTCAGTTTTATAGGAAGATATTGTGCAATCCTTTGTGCATTACTTTATTTTGTTATTGTTCTTGCTTGCTAGTTATTTGGTAACTTCATTATGGCATAGGATGATATAACAGATGAGGAGTATAAAATATTAGCACAAACTTACTATCCATTTATATAAGCACCAATTATTGTTGCTATGGTATTAATGAAAAGCTATTATTTAATAAAAGGATTGAGTACTTCAAAACTTATTCATGATAATGTTATGAATAGTTTATTAAATGCTTCTTACACTAAATTTTATAATACTATACTTATAGGAAGATTAATGAATAGATTAAGTAAGGATATTTATAGTATTGATTTATTGTTTCCGAATGAAATTTAAAATTTAACATACTAATGTACTTCTTTGTTATTACCATTATTTGCATGTTTTCTTTATTTGAATATAGCAGCATTACCTTTATTAATTCTATTTTTCATTATTCTATTATATTTGACTATCATTTATTATAGATGTTTGAGAGAAATTACAAGAATAGAGGCTGTATCTAAAAGCCCAGTTTTTTCTTTTTTTTAATAAATTGTAAGAGGAGTTACTTATGTTAGAAGTTGTTTACCTATTGATAAAGTCATAGCCTTATAATAAAAAAATGTAGATATTGATTTAGGAAATCAAATTAATTTGTATGGATTTTAATATTGGTATCAATCTTTGGCAGGTTCAATAACAAATTGTTTTTAAGCATTGTTATTTATAATTTGTGTAAATTTATTAGTATAATGTAGTTTCTATATCCAGGAAAGACTTAAAAAATGACAAACCTTGTGTTGCAATAGATGTAAACTGTTTCGACTTTACTTTTAAATTCTTCAATATCTTATGGAAACATATAGATGTATTTTATCAGTTTTGAAAGATGTTTGCATTTAGCAAAGTAAATAATATCATTAATTTTTAGTAAAATAGAATTAGAGGAAAAGAATCATCCATTAATAACTCCATCTGAACAAGATAATTAAGATAAAGATAAAATGGTTAAAACTGATGTAGTTTTAAAACTTGATAATTGTACATTTTAATATCGATCTAATTCAAAAAGTGTTCTATAACATATTTCTCTATAATTGCATAAAGGAGAAAAGGTAATTAATTAATTTAAAGATAAGATTGGTGTAGTTGGAAGAACTGGAGCAGGGAAAAGTTCTATCATTTTAGCATTGACTGCAATTTTGGAATAAATTGAAGGATAAATTGAAATTGAAGATCAAAATATTAATTCATACTCTCTTAATTAATTGAGATAAAAGTTTTCAATTATACCTTAAGATCCTTTAATATTTATGGGAACATTAAGAGAAAATTTAGACCCTTTGAATCAATTTAGTGAAGCTAAAATTTTAGAAGTAGCTACATAATGTAGATTATTTGAAATGCAAAGTTTCAAAAAATATGGATTATAAAGTGAAATTGCTCTATCAGGAAATAATTTATCATAAGGAGAGAAACAATTACTAAACATTACAAGATGTGTTCTAGAAGATAAATAAATAATATTAGTTGATGAAGCAACTGCTAATATAGATTAAAATACAGAAGAACATGTGAAAGATGTATTATATTAAAGAAATAAAATTCTTAGATTTTCGAAAAATGTTTTAAGAATGCTGCAATGTTGACTATTGCCCATAAAGTTACAACAATTATGAATTCAGATAAAATATTAGTATTAAATGATGGAAAGATTTCTGAATTTGATCATCCACAGAAATTACTGGCTGACCCAAATAGTGAATTTAAATAAATTATAGATCTTATCAATTAATCAGAGTAATTATGAAATGAAAATGAATTGTTATTAATTATAAAAATTTATAAATTGTATTTCAATAAAACTTAATCTATTTTAAATATAGAGATATATTACTCAATTGTTAGAAAGCATTTATTTATAATTAAAAATAATATCATTAAAAGATAAATTGAAAATTATCAAAATCAGAAAAAATACTTAGTGTATTTTCATAGTTTCTTAAATGGGATAATAATTTAATTAAATTTATAAATAATTCCATATTATGTTCCTTATATGATTACCTTACTTTTCATTTTTTAATTATGATTATATTACCAAAATTCTTTAAACCATTTGTTTATGATTATCATATAAAATATAATAAAATTATGATTTGAATATATTTTATTCATAGTTATTAAAATATTTAACATTCTTAAATCTTAAGCTAATTCTACTGTCCAAAGTATAAATGATAGTCATATAAATTATAAATAAATGGAAGAAAAAGAAAAAGAATTTCTATAGTTTAAATTTTGTAATATCAACATTTGATTATCTTTTTGTATGAACTTTTTATTATATTTCAAAAGTCATATGGTTTCCATCCATGAACTTCCCAATTATTCCAATACCATAAATTTAATACGATTACAAATCCAAGATTAAATCCAGTATGTCCTAAAATAGCTGTTAAAACACCAGAGTCACGAATAAATGCAAATTTTCTACTGAAAATTACGAACGGTATAGCACAGAAGATTGCATAGTAGAATTTGCTAAGTAAATATAAATTGAAATTACGATGTAACAACTGCAAAAATGAAGACATAAAGTAATCCATAATGGATGGCAACTATCCAGATTATCCATTCTTTTGGATTTGAGTATGTTAATCCACCAGCTAAACCACTCTGTAGGAAGACTCTCCAAAAGAATTCTTCTAAAAATGGATCTAACAAAAGCATCAATACTGAGATCTAACTATATTTATATTCTCTACCACAATAATTTCAGTATTTGCCATGTAGAAGAAATTTATTGTATGAAAAGACCAAAAAGGAATGTAACTGAGTGAAATAAAGAATGCTAAAAAGGAGATTGTTAAACAAGCAGCAAACCAAATCATACCTTTTTTTAGTTATTCACTTTATTCCAAGGCAATATTAGCAAAACTTGATGATAATCTTGTAACATGAGTAGAAACTTTATCAAGACTAATTGGTAATTATAATGAATTACTATAATAACAATCCTGGTACTATAAGATAGCAGAATAGTAAAATCGTTAATAATGCTATCATAGGATATCCATATTTCCAGAAGAGTACACATGTTACAATTGAAGGGAGTAGCATTGAAACTTCTAAATATATAAATTTCCATGGAGGTATATCACCTGTGGCGTCCATTATTTAAGTTTTAATAATAATTTATCTAATAAATATTTCCTAAAAGATATAAAACAAATTATTAATCAAATCACTAAATTTATGAATAACCAATAATAAATACATATTAAAATCAATTCTTTAATTATATACTTTATTTCTTCTCTATTAAAGTAAATTGATCAAATAAATTGAAATATTAAGTAAATCTTTAATTCATCAGCTATTCAGTTTAGCAAATTGAATTATATAAATATCACTTTATATACATTGAATAAAAAAAGACTTTAAATTAGCTTATATATTGTCATGTATTTTAAAAAGCTTTAAATAATTTTTGAATTTTTAGATAAAATAAATTAAGTAAAGAAAATAGTTATTGTTAAAAAATAAAAATTGAATAGAATGTAAAATAGAATATTTAAGAATTTTTAAAAAGAAAATAGAAATGATTTTATATTCTTTGAAAGACTATATTAAGTATTAATAAATCATTTCATTATCTTAAATTAAAATTGAATTTTATTTTCATTTAAATATAAATACTAAAAAAGATTCTTTAAGTTTTTTAGTCCCTTTTGAACTCATTATTTATTTATATTGATGATTTATTGATTATTAAATATATCATGAAAAAAATAGTTAATTTGATCTTCTTTTAGGTTAAGAAGAGAATGCTCTTAGCTCTGTCTTTAAAGTTTTTATTTCATTTGATAATTCTGAATACATTTTATTCCAAAGTGTTCTTTACTATTTTAATTCTAATTGAGTCTATAAAGGCTGTATAATGAAATATATACTTATTATCTTATTTATTTTTCCTAAACAACTTGTTCTTATAATACATTTATAGTAGATTCTCTATCTTTTATTTATTTTTCAAGAATCTCTATTTTTGATTAATTATTATTATCTTAATTTTCTTTATCTAGAAAGAATAGAGATCTATCTTATTTTTCCTTTTAAAGTCCCTCAATTTTACTACGTAGTGATTAAATATCGTGAAGATAATCTGAAGAAATATAACTCAATTAATTATGTGTCTAAGAGATTGAAGGACGGCATCTATAGGACTTATTAGTTTCATTAAAATCAAGTCTAGGAGGTTTTGCATTTGTACTGACAATAAATTCAGTTGAAATACCCAACTAAATATTTTTAATCTAATTTAATGCTTTGATTCTTTCTACTTTCAATTTATTTAGATTTTTTGTTTTCTATTATTTTTTAAAGTTTTCCAATTGTTTATTCTTGTAAAGCAATTACTTCTGCTAATTGTTTAACCTTTTTAGACATAATTGACGGTTAATTTCAAATTTAATAAATAATTAATGAACTTTCAAATTAATGATATTAATGATTAATCCTGAAAACGATCCAGTTAATTAATTACAAATAAAAACTCCCTTTAATAGAGAAATTAAATTTTACGAAATTTTTCAGAAATTAATTCTGAATCATCTCAGAGATGATAACAGAATAAAAATGGAAGTGAATTCTAACAAATAGTATAATATATTTATTAATTTTTCTTTTTGTAAATAATGCAATAGAATTTTTAATTTAAATTAGATTTTAATTCATATTAAATTACGTATCAGAAGTGGCAATGTAAAACATAAAATTATATCAAAAAGAACTTAATAAGGATTAAAATAGGGAAATCCTTATTACTTTAATAATTTTTAAGTTTAAAAGTCAAAATGAATAAAAATTCTTTAACAAACATAAGTTTGAATATAAAAATTTATTCAAAATAAATAACTAAAGATAATTTAAATGAATAGAGAGATCTATTTAGCATTCAAATTATAAATTATTTTTATCCACTACTTATATTAAGATTAAAATCAAATTATTCAATGTTTCATTATAGGAAAGTATTTAATACAAATAAATAAAAAAATCATTTATAAGAATATAGAATAACTAGTTTGTAGATTTTGATACATTTCAATGTACTATGATAGTATAATTCAAAAAAATTAAATTAAAAATTAGATTCATGATTTTTGATATTATCTTAATTTATATCAAATTATCTATCTATTTAATACTGTATAAATTATACATTTCTATAATTTAAAAAATAAAAGATTATGATTAAAAGAAAAAAACTTATAAATTAATTTTAATTATTGAATTATATATTAATTTTAATTAAGCAATAGTTCAAAGAAATATTAATTTATTAAGAAAAATTTGAAACTTAAAAATACAAAATACAGATATTTATTTGAGTGCTTAGAATTTTAGCTGAATTTCTTGTAAATTAATTTAGATTTCATTTATCTATTTTTTCCTGATTATAAAATAAATTAATTAATTCATACTGCAGTTACAAAACTATGATTATTTAAATGGAATATGATCAATATATTGTATTTATTTTTATTTATAATGTTGACATCAAAAAGTAACTCCTCCATATATTTTTTTGTTGATGGTACCATTACTATTTTAATTATGAGGCTTAATAAATCCAAAAGAATACATTTCAGAAAAAGAAAGTGCTAAACAATTTTACAAATAAAGTAATTTATTTTGAAATATTCATAAGGTTAAATACTTCTATAGTTATCTAGATTAGAAGAGGCAATGCAATACGTAAATTAAGCTATCAATATTGATCCATAATATGAAGATGCGTATTATTTAAGAGGTAATCTTTCTAAATAATCTAAATAGGAGATATATATCGATTATAGAAAGATCTTGATCAGGCTTTGAAGAATTATGAAGAGTGTGTTAAATTAAAAACCTAGTCACATTTTGTTTACTACAATATAGGTATCATAATGTAGTAAATTTTAAGGGTTAATATTAAATGAAATGAATAAAAAAGAAGATGCGGTCAGAAATTTTGATATTTCATTATAATACTAAATAAAATATGAAACTTTAATTAATAAAGGAATTTTATGTTTAGAACTTTGTAGATATGAAGATTGTATTTAAATATATGATTTAGCAATATCATTGCAACCAGATTGTCATATAGCTTATTATAGTAAAGGTAATTTCCTTTCATAATAGATTAGGATTCACTCTATTTAAATTATCAAAATATGAAGAGTCAATAGAAAATTACAATAAAGCTTTAAAGCTCAATCCACTTTTGATTAATGGGTTTAATAATAAAGGTAAGGTATTTCAATAGTTTTAGCTGTTTCATTGAGTAAAATTAATAAAATAAATGAGGCTATTGAAAATTTAAATTAAGGATTAAAATTATCGAAAAATGACCCTGTGATTATCTTTAATTTAATTAAATTATATAGATTAACTAATAATCATGAAAAATACAATTAAATAAGAGAAATTATTAAAAATGTTTAACCTTAATGGCAAGAATTATAAATAATAGAGGAGATAGAAAATTCATTATAAGAAGCAAAAACTGAACTTCAATTCATTCTATCCTCAAATGAAAACTTATTTGATTAAAAATTTAAAGAATTTAAAACTAGATTAGATATGGAATATCGAAATCTTTGGAATTATGATTTAGAATTTGAGAAAACAAGTTCCTTATTTTCTTATTAAGATAAATAGAAAATTGAAAAGATAGTTTAGGAATCTTTAAATACTGATGAATCAATTATAAAGCATAAACTTCTTTAACTTGAAAATCGGATTTACTTTTAATCATTATATTGGAGATTAAGTAATTATATTAAGATTGCTTAAAAAATGTATTCATTTAGTGGAAATAAGAAATTATAAGAATGTATAAATGACGTAAATAAATCTCAAAAACCTTTGCTCCCAGTAGAATTAGATCGTATGTTTTTTGAAAACAAAAGATAAAAATATTAGAAATTTTAGATGTAGAACACATTTTCATCTTAGATTCTTAATAATACTGCCTCAGATGCACATCTAAGATTAATAAGAGATAAATTAAGAAAAACAAGTAAAAAAATATAAATAACAAAATCATTTTCAATTTCAAAATCATTAGATTCAAAAAAATCCATTATTTCATCTAAAAATAAAAAAAGCATATCTTAATTTAATGAAGAACTTAGCAATAGTACATAAATTTTTATTGAGTATATTCCTATTAAGATAACAGAAAATGTTATAAATGAAATTAATTTGAGTTTAGGAATAACATCATTTTCTGATTAAAAAATTGGATAGATATTAAAAGTTTTTGCTAATAAAACAAAAAATGATTAATAGTTGGAAGTAGAAATATAAATAGCTGCATTGTAAATGTCAAGTGCTCTTTCAGAAATTAGATCCTTAAATGAAAATGTTGAAAAAATTTTCCAATCAGAATAAATGTGCAATGCTAATTTATCATATATTTCTGGTTAGAAATGGATGATAGGAATAGATGACACTATTTAAGTATTAAGATATTTCTAAGAATAATATAAAACATTAATTGATCCTTAATCATCTTAACTGCATTTCCAAATTATGGCAAGTTAAAACTATTCAGCTAAATCGAAAACTTTAAGTACAAATAAAAAGAACAACTAAGTTGAAAGAACTTAAGAAAGTTGTGCATGTTAAGTTTTTTGATTTTATATTTACTAAAATAAATGTATTAATTATATTTCAATAAATATAAAAATAAATGAAATATCATATCATGTAATAAATGAGATTAAGTTTATGGAAATAAAAGCAAATTCAATTTATATTTATAAAGACTTCAATATTAAAAAAATCTAAAAACCTATTTCACCAATTATAACTATTTAAACAATCAAAATTTATGATGCAACTTTTCCATTATAAAATTAATATATATAATTTCTAGTTTTTAATCATTTATCTTCTATACTTAATGATTGAGGGTTTAGGATTAATGTTAATATTAGAGTTAATCATAATAATAATCATACTAAATTATTTAATTATTTAATCTATCCTATTCTTTTTGTTTTCTTTTATTAAGATGTCATATTAGTGATTAGATGCATTATATTCTTGTATTAGAGTACTTTTTAAAAGGATGACAAAAACTACAGAGTATTTGAGATTATTTATCATCATACCAGATTTGAAAAATAGAGTAGAATAAACTCTAAAATTATATTTAATTTAAAAAACAGATATATTCTGATTAAATTTAAGTGGATAATTGTAAATCTTAATAGAAAATGTATATGATTTGTTAAAAATTTTATTAGTATTTATTTGTTCTTAAATTAAATTTATATATTCTTTCACTTGTATTTGTATACAATAAATGTAGATAAAGAGTATGATAATTCATAAGTATAGAAAATAATAATATTTAAATGTTCTTATGTAAAAAATACTTAATTTTATAACAATTATACTATATATGTCTTTTCAGACGTCATTAATCAATTATTATTATCATAAACAGTGATGCAAAAGTTAAATGAATATCAAGAATACCATCTACCCGAACAGTTTGATGAAGATTAAGGGAGGGGGAGATTTCTAATGCCATCTTTTCTACCTTATAGTTTATCAAAACAAGATGTTAAACTAGAGGAAAGATCAATGGTTTAGATTGATTCTCAGGCATCAATAAAAGATGATGCACTTGGATTATAGAACATTAAAGGACATGTGAAGAACACTTATATCAAAAAAATACATTCTTTACTTAGTGTTGAAGGGGAGAATGAAAAGATTGTCAAAAAAATATAAAAGGAGCCAAGTTCATCCAGTAAGCAGTTGGAGAATGAAGATCAAAAGATGATAAGAAACAGAGAAAGTGCAAGAAATTCCAGATAAAGAAAAAAGTTATATATAAACCTTTTAGAAAAGAAGGTTGAAGACTTAAATTAGGCAATTGGACAACTAAGAAATTCAACAGAATCAACTTTTTAGACTATTCATTCTGTTTTAGAATAGAATTCAAGCATACATGATATGATTGTTGAATAGACTTAATTGTTTGAGTAACTCAAGATAAAGGAATAAGAATTTAATGAATTGTAATAATTGCTTACAGAATCATACAAGCTTAAATACAAAGCTACAGGAATTAAGCGTAAATAATACATAAAATATTGTTTCTAAAATATTGCAAGGTTGCTCTTAGATGGAAACTATGGTACATTGTTATTTGGTCAAAGTTATTTCTCAAAGAATTGTAATCTTTTCTATTATAACTCATTATAGATACAATGCATGATGAAGAGGAATTGACTGATTACATGAAAAATCTTAGAGATGCTACAGGAATATGTGATGATAAAGTGTTTTTAAATTTATATGCTATTGTCAGGAGAGTGATAGATCATAAGAAAAATTTCTCTTTGTATTCAGTATTAATTAACTTAGTCTCATTAAATAAATTAAACTAAAACAAAAAGAACTAAGAATTTGCTAATAATAAATTGATGATCAAATAGATGATATCCAATTGAATGGGATATAATTTGCTAATCTTATTCATTAAGTAAATAAAGACCAATTAAATTAACCCCAACTTACTTAACCTATTGAAATTCCTCCATAAAAATAGATGATATTAAAAATGATACCAAAATATCCCTTTGAACTCATGAATAATCCATTTTTACTTCCCAATAGTCTTATGATTGATCCTCTATAAATTGATCTTATTACAAAAAATTTACGATAGCCTTGAATTCTAAATAATGATATTTATTTAATTTAAATCTAAATTAGTATGTATTGAAACAACATTTATATTATTAAAATATATATATATATATGTATTGGTTTAAGAAATCTTAAAAAGATATAAAGAATGAAAGTATATAAAAGGCTGTCCCAGAAGAGAAATATCGAATGCCTTGTCCTTTGGGAAATAGTAAATGGGATGAAGAAGGTGTTATATAATTTACTTGTCTTCAAAGAAATACAAATATTAAGCTACACACCTACAGATGCTTCACAAAATCAAATTAAACTCCATAATCTGTAACTTTATTCTTTCATGGATTAAATGAACATCTTGGATTGTATGCTCATATAGCATAAGCATTGAGTAAAGAAGCCAATAGTGTTTGTGTAGGCTTTGATTTTAGAGGATTTGGTAAGAGTGAAGGTCTTAGAGGTTGGCTAGAATCAAAAGAACAACATATAGAAGATTGTACGAGATTTATTTAATTAATTAAACAATTGTATCCAGGAGTACAATTGTTTGCTTTAGGATAATCATTAGGTGGATTAACATCCTACCTTTTAGGAATGAATGATCTTGTAGATGGAACTATTTTAATTACACCAGCATTGATGGACAACTATTATAATAGACCTTATCTAAAAAAAATTGCATTGATCTTAGGCCTTTTAAGTCCAACATGGTCACCATTTCCAGCTTCATATCCTAATGCTTCTAAGAACCCACAGGTTTTGGAAGACAATTTGAAGGATCCTTATATAAATTGGAATTCAACATTACCTGGAACAGCCAGAGTATTACTTAAAATGATGAGAGATGCTCCTAATACATTTAAAAATTATAAAAAACCCTTCTTAATTATTTCAGGAGGAATGGATTAAATAGTTGATCCTGATGTAGGTCATGAACTTATGAAATTGAGTACTTCTACTGATAAAGAGCTTATTTATTATGAAAATATGTGGCATGATTGTATTGCAGAATAAGAAATACTAGAAATAATCCCATAATTAATAAAATGGATTAAAAAAAGATAATGATTATATAATCACTAAAAAATCCATAGAATAAAAATTTAATTAGTTATATTTTTATCTTATATAATAAATTAAAATCTCTATTAAAAATAAATTGAATGACATTATTTTATGTTCCTTTGAGAATTATCTAAATTTTGTTAAATTTCTTATTAATAATTAATATAATTATGTAATGAAATTAATAAGAAATTATTTTAATAGGAAATATTGAAAATACAAACCTAGATTTTAAGCAATTAAATGAATTCATATTAGAGATAAAGTCTATATTTGAGTGCAAATTATTGATTAATGAAGATAGATTAGAATTTAATGTGTTAAATAGATTTATAATAATATGATTATATAATTTTGATAATAATAAAATATTAGGGTGAATACAGCCTTAAATAAATTAAATTAAATGAGTTTAGGTTTCAAGTTATACAATACTAATACCAATAATGAAGTAATCAACAAGAGAAGGAAACTAAGTATTGGAAGTGAAGGAAGTGAATCAACTGGAGAGAAATTAAATGAAAGCTTTAATAGGTTAACTTTAAGTGGTGGAAATCCGTCAAGTTCTTTTTAACCTTATGTTAAGATTGCAATCACTTAAGTTCAATAACCAGAAAGAACACTTCCTTAACCATAATTAATGATGGGGATTCAAAAGTATCTCAAATTGGGAGAAGAATTAGATGTTTCAGATATCTTAACTAAACCTTTAAATGATTTATAACAAATACATAACAATTTAACACAAACCTAATAAAAATTCCATTTCATTCCTTTTGGAATGCCTGCCAATTATGAAAAATTAATGGCTGAGGCTTAGTAAGTTCTCAAAACAGAAATAAGAGTTGAAGAAGAAAGATAGAAACGATCAATTGATGACTATCTCATTGAATAGAAATTATTATATCCAGGGTAGAAATTAAGTAAAGAAGAAAGAGCGGCAAAAGTAGCTGCTTATTTAGAAAAAAAGAAAAATAGATAATGGAAATAAGTTAAGTAATTATTTTGTTTTATTTAGTATAGATACACTGTCAGAAAGAATCTAGCTGAATTTCGATAAAGAGAATAAGGTAGATTTACTAAAACAGATAAACCTCGTTTCAACTAAAGTTTAATAATGTTAGATAAAGAAGAAAGAAAAATGGAAACATTAACTAATTCATATTCTTGATTTAACATTGCTATATTATTATTTTAAATTATATGTGACAATGAAAAATATTATTAATTAAAATAATTATAAACTACGATATAAATGCTTACAGGTTCAAATTCTAATTATTACTTCCAATTATAAAAGGATTATCATCATGAACATAAGGATTATCATATTAATGAAATGGATCTTTCTTATCTAAAACTTATATTGCTGAAAATAGATAAATAAATTAGAATAAATTGTATTTAAATAATGATTTTAAAATAAAATAAAAAGAGAATTAACATAAATATTATATTATTTATAATCTAGGATTTAATAAGATTAAATAATCAAGATAAAGATAACTCAATAAATAGAAGTTTATATTTTGGATGAATTTTTAATTAGAGGGTTGCATTTTAATTTTTAAATTCGATCATTAATGTAAAAGCAATAATATCAAGAATTCTAATAATAAATTCTATAATATAAACTAAGTTTAATAATTTTAAATGAATTATAAAGAAACTATAAAATATTTTCTTTACTTGTATTTTGAATATAAAGATATTTCAAATTTCAATTTATAACATTTATAGCCATTTTCAAAGCAAAATATTAATTATTAACATACATTTATTAATGTTAAACTATAAAAATTAAATTAATCTAACATTTTCGAATCTAGGTTTTGCTATCAATTAATGATATTTAATAATTTATACAGTTTTAAGATTATAACTGAAATAATTCGTATAAAGTTTAACTAATTAAGATTATTAGATAGAGATATATAAATAAAGATTTTTTAATATAAAAAGACATTGTAAACTATGTTAATAATAAATTTGTTATTCTATTAAGTAATAACTCTAATAATATTCTAAGAGTGTGGAAACCTGTCAAAATGCTGAAATTTCTATAACTAGAATGAGAATATACAAGTAGCACTATAACATTGTTAATTATATGGTGTTATAGAATTTTCATTATTTGTAAATAAAAGCATATTTATAAGAAATTTATGATTTCTATGCTGTATTAATAATCTATATGTTATTGGTTAATTCTTGATTCTGTGAATTAGTAATTTGATTAAATTACCTAAAATTACTTAAAAGATGAAGTAAAAATAATACATTTTATTTTATAAAATCAAGTAATATAAATATGAATAAGTATAAATAATCATAATCTAAATAATCATTAACTTTTTAAAGAATTTTAAATAAATTCAATGAATTAGGAATAAATTATATATATCATATAACAATTATTTTGTTAACTAAAATAAATATCCTTAAAAATGAAAGTATATTAATGAAACTTCCATGTACAAATGATTCATTATTCCATTTAATAATGATCCAAAGTAATTACTATAACTTTATATTAGCATTTTTACAATTTAAACTTTTGTATAATTTAAATTATAATATAATGAAGTCAATAAATAATATGAATTTATATTGGTAAGTATTAATTAATATTCTATTTTCTATAATTTTACTTAATTCATTCTGTTTTATCCAAAAATCCTTAAATAAAATATTAAATAATAATTGATTTTTGAGCATAACTGAAGTTTGAGGTATATAAGATATAGTATAATATAGTAATATAATTTAAAATTAAAGATGATTTAATCAAGAATTTTCAAAGAAAAAAATTAATTCTTAAATGATTATGATTCCGATCAAATAATTCATTAATAATTTGAATGGATGATTATGATGAGTTTTCTGATAACTCTATTGAAATTACAATAAATGAGTATCAAGGAAAGGAGTCACATAAAGTGGAAAAAAGTATTATTAGGTACTTGAAAAACTTGGGTCTTAAAATGAATACCAATCCTATGATAAAACAAATAAAATATGAAAGGTCGAACAATTAAATCATTGATGTTATAACTTCAAAAGCCCTGTCTTCTTATGGTAATGTTTTGAAGGAAACAGAAACAGATTATAAGATCTTATTCTAAAAAAATCAATTCTTGAAAAGAATAAGAAAACCAATCACTCTTTGAAAATGTTGAATCATATATGAAGGTTTATTTAATTTCATTTTTAATTGATAATTATAATAGACTGTTGGTTAAATCTCACAAGCTTGAAGATAGTTACACTCTCTTTATATAATTCAATTTCTTCTAAATATAAAATTCTAAATCCTAAATAAACAATAATATCATAATACAATCCCCTATTCATTTAAAATATGAAATTCTTATTGAAGATTTCTGTATATTAATAAATTATTGAAAATGCCCCCTAAAACTCAAAAATAAAAAGAAGAAGAAGCAGCTAGATTAGCAGAAGAGCAAAGATTGAGAGAAGAAGAAGAGGAAAGATAGAGAAAAGAATTAGAGAAATATAAAATTAATAAACTCAATAATACTAAGTAATTGAATATCTTTTAACATCAGTTTGCCAATGCCAATCACAAAATACTATATTGAGTATGTATATCCACACCCAGAACCACATAAGGCTACAATGGAATATTTGCGTAAAGTATAAGCATATTATAAATTATAAGATAGCTGAAATTTATAACTGCAAAGATCAATTGCGAGATATAGATATTTAGATAGCAGCTGATGTATTGATAAATGATCTAATATTTGCAAAATCATTAAAAAGTTTGAATGATGAATGTGTATAAGTATTGGTAAACATATTATTTTTATCATTCACAAATAATAACAATAAGTTTAGTCAGGAAATGAGATATAATAATACTCTATAACAAAAGAATGTAGTTACAGATGCAGAATTATTTAATAATTTATTGAAAATACATGCAGAAGTAGGTTATTTTCGATCTATGCATATATCACCTATTAAAGATCATTTCTAAATTTATTTAAATCATTTAGATTTGATTAATTAGGCATTTATATCAAATTAAAGACCTTTGGAACTTCATATGGACTTATAGATGGACATGCCTTTGTAACCATTGCCTTTAGATGAAGCTTTGATTTATCGACCATTTGAACAAAAGGCTGAAGATGATGGATAAATTGAAACAGTTGACTAAGAAGATTAATAAGCTCCACCAGAACCAACTGATGAGGAATTATTGGACCCAATAATTATGGAAGCAATACAAAAAAAACTTGATTTGGCAAAATAAGAATTAGAAGAGAAATTAGTATCAAGATAAAAGGATATGGAAGAAAAATTAATGAGTATGGCCACAAAAAAGAAATGATATCATAAAATTTTACACTAATTTATATTTAGAATTTTGTTTAAGAAATATCATTCTTAATCTATTTAAATTTTTATAATAATTAATTATCAATTCTATCTTATTTTTTATTTTATTATTAAAATTTATATACTATTTTCCATTAAGTATTTTTACAAGTCTTTTAAGTAAAAAAAGTAAAGGACAAATATTATTATTAATATTTTATTTTTCTTAATAAATACAACTATTATGAAATTATTTAGAGAAGTTATTATCTATGATAAATAATTAAGGAACTTGATTGTATTATTAATCATAAAATAATCATTATTATTGCTTTGATTCTTTTATTAAATTTCGTAATTCTTCTGATTATTTTTTCCAATTAGGATCTAAAGGAGCTTTACCTTATTTCTTTTATAATTATTTTTCTTTAATTTATCCTTAACGCTATAGTTTTTATTAATCATTTGTAACAACTCTTGCTTATTTTGAATTAAATTCTTATCTTTTCTATTAGAAAACTTGTCTACACACCTTTACATGTTTCTCCAAAGCATCTTATTTAAACTATCTACCACATCCCTCAGGACATAATATTAATTCTAGTTCCTCAATTGGTTCTGCTTCCTCTATATGTATTATCACATATAATACCAAGCTATTATAATACTCTTTCTTGGTTTGCTACTGCTATTTTATTTTCTATCGGATTTTTAGAACCTAATAAGGCAGCCTCTCTTTTATTAGATTATTATCCAATAGATGGCATATATTATTCTACTTAAATTGTCTTTCCAGATTAGATCTCTGTTTTTTCTTAAGGTTATTGTATTTCTTTCTTCTCTACTTATATTTATTTTCTAAACAGCTCCTCTTAACCAGGTAGATAAAGTCCTTTGGAAACTGGAGCAGTATTTTTCTTTTCATCTGATCGTTGGATTCTATCCTTAAGTGGGATTTTTTCTTAAAATGATCCTGTTTTAAAGAAATCATCTTTTGTATTTGTTAACTATGGTTCTTATTCTTAAGGTTAAGGAGAACTGTTGCGAATGTTAAAAACAGGTTTACAAGCAAAATTAGGTTTTATATTGATTCCATTATATTCTAATTTTTGAGTATTTTCGAGAGACGATGTCTACTCTTATTTTTTAAACGAGCCAGAAGTACTATCCATCTTCAGGTTCGGTTTATAATTCATTTTTTATTATAATTTATATTTAATATTTTATAATATCTATTTCTAATGATTTAGACATTACATTCTGATAATTTATACAAATATATACTATTGTTATAATCTTACTTTGATTTAAATAATCATTAAAGTGATTCTCACTATTATAATGAATAAATTCCATTTAAATAAATTTTCTTTTATTAATACACTTAAAAATTAAATTTAATCATGAATCTGCTTAAAAAAGCAACTTCTGTATTATGCTCAATTCCAGAACATAAAGAAGTGGATCAAAAGATTATTCATTTGTGTATTGATTAAAAATGTCAAATTTCAAAAAAGTCTTTATGTGGCTTATGTTTAGGAGAATAGCATTTTGGACATAAATCAATTAATCTATCTAGTTTAGACACTCTTATAAAAAATGAATGGAGTAGAGAACTTTAATAATACAATTAAAAAAATAAAGATTTAACTGATTGTATTCAAATTAGTATTGCTGCAATTTTAAATAAGATCAAGTTTTTGTAAGAATAGATATAAAAATTTATAAATTAGTAAATATAAGAGAGTAAAGTTTGTATTTTAAAGCGTAAATATATAGATTAATAAAATTTGAATGAAAAAGATTTTGAATAATTAGCAAAAGATATCAGTGATGTCATATTTTATAAAGAAGGAATTCCTGATTTTAAACCAATTGATTATGAACCATCTGATAAATTTTAAAGCTTAGCCAGTAGATTAGTATTTGATGCAGCATTATTTTGTAGAGATATTACATTGGTATCAAAAGCCAATATAATTCATTAAAGTTTTACAGAATAAGTATAAGAGGTTTTGTATTAAATTTAAAATCTCACAAATTTGATTGAACGTCCACTTAGTTAGATAGTTTAAAGTAAGAGAATCTTTGGAAATGATAAAAGTGATACTTAATCAAATTAGAAATTAGATTTTGATTAATATAGTTAAATAGGTGGTTAGACTCAGTTCTGTATTTAAAAATAAGTAAAATTAAAGAGTTTAGAAATGAGAGGATTTGTTAAAATTTATGATGAATTCTTTAATAAACCTTTTACTTAAACTCATATAGAATTAATAAAACTTAAATGTAATTCTTAATCTTAAATTTGTATTGGTGGAGTAAGTATATAAGAACCTGATTAATTTATATTGTGTGCTACTGATTATGCTTATGAATTTTATACAGAAACTTAAAATTTAAATTTAGCAAGAAAAAGTAGGAATGGGGAAGTGTATTGGTATTATGTTAGAAATAGATGTATAGGATTTAGTCCTATGAGTAAAATTGATCTTAAGTATCCAGATGTAGATAATGAAGAAGGAGATTTCAGATTCTCTTTATGGCTATTTCATGGATAAGGGGGTTATAGAATTGGAAGATTAGAAAGTTTAGAATAAAGTGTTGACTATAAATGTGTGATTTATTTAAAAAAATGATTTAAAACCTATCTTTTTAATCAGTTCAATATTGTCATGATGATTTCAAAGAGACACCTATTTATCATTTGGCTTTCTTAGAATCATAAAATTAATTCGGACTGCAAAAATAAATAGTATAGTAAAGAGAAATTGAATAACCTCTTAATTTCAATAAATTAACTAGAGCCAATTCATGCAAAATTCTTAAACCATTATTTTAAGTAGTTTTTGATCCAATGGAAATTGAGGAAGAAGAAAGAAACATTTAAGAATTGATAGCATCTTAACCATCAATTATTAATGTGGCATCTTAAGTTGACTTAGACTTATATTTTCAAAAAATCAATATAAAATTGGGTAAAGAGTATATGAAAAATAATTATCTACGTAATTGTTATTTAGACATATTTGAAAAAGACAGTATACAAAGAAAATAATGTTCGACAACTGAATTATTAATCAATTTATTTAAGACATCTTATACAGAATTTATGAATAAATAAATAGATAATATTGGAATAATTAAACTATTTATTGAAGACAATATTGATGCCTTCATAACAGGATCACTAATACCTCCTCAATAAGTTTGGCATGATTATAAAATATTAATTTTAGCCATAATAATTAAAATTATGAGAAGTATGTTTACTAGCTATATTAGTGAAAAGCATTACAGGACAACTAATTTATGAATGCATGGTTGCTCATTTATATTCAAAATTAGGATGTATTTTTAAAAATGAGGCTCCTTCTATTCCAGAATTTAAAGATTATTTTGAATGGAATTTTTGGAATAGTGACAGAAATATATAATTAGAAATAAATAATCTTACAGAAGAGGAATAACGTTAATTAAGAATAGTAAGTATCATAAGAAAATATGCTTTTCTGTTTTGGAGTTTATTATGGATTGATCCTAATTAAATTTTAAACTTAAATCCTGATTTGCAATAATTTAGAGAATAATAAAAAATACCTGCTTATAGATATTTGAATAAAGATAGATAAATGTTTGCAAGCCTAATATTAAAATTCATTTAATGTAACACATTTGCTTTTGTTCCTGCCCTTAATGCATTATTTGATGTTGTATAAGATAAAAAAATATTGTTACCCATTTTCAATAAATTTTAAGATTAATTGAATAATGAAGGACTCTTAGAAAGTTTATTGGATTAATTGGGACCACTTAGGGAATAAGCCTATAATGAGTTCTTTGTTTAACCATAAGTTCATGATAAAGGATTAGTAAGAATTGTTTAGGGGAAATTAAAATTACTTAAGGATGAGCCAAGTCAAACAGAAAATGATTTTTATGCAAAATTATTTTTAAACGATTAGAGACCTACATTCTATTAGGATTGATTTAAATAACAGTTAATATTTTAATTTTTGAATTTATTTTAAGCTATGTTAAGTATGAATGCATCCCTATTTAAGCATAAAACTATTATGATTTGAGAGGAGCAGACAAAATGGGCAATAACAATAGATAGTTAGAGAGATATGAGAAATTAGAAAAGATTGGAGAAGGTAACTTTTATTATTAATTGTGTTTAGGAACTTATGGGGTTGTTTACAAAGCACGTGATTCAGTAACCAAAGAATTGGTAGCATTGAAGAAAATCAAATTGGAAAATGAAGATGAAGGAGTTCCTTCAACAGCAATGAGAGAAATTTCTATTTTAAAAGAACTATAGCCGCATCCAAATATAGTTGGTCTTAAAGAGGTCATTTATTAACCCAATGAAAAGAAACTCTATTTAGTTTTTGAATATGTAGAGATGGATTTCAAGAAATTCCTTGATTAAAACAAACACAATATAACATTAAGCCAAATCAAAGTATTAATCAAATCAATTATAGCATTTTACATTCTAAATATTAAATGGTCTGAATTATTGTCATTCTAGACGTATAATACATAGAGATCTTAAGCCTCAAAATATCTTGATTGATAAATCAACAGGAATCATAAAATTGGCTGATTTTGGATTGGCAAGAGCTTTTGGAGTGCCTATAAAAACTCTAACACATGAAGTAGAAACTCTTTGGTATAGAGCACCAGAAATACTATTATCTTAAAAGTAATATTCTTTAGGAGTTGATATCTGGTCTGTTGGATGTATACTTACAGAAATGGTTGAAAAGCATGGATTATTTTGTGGTGATAGTGAAATTGATTAAATCTTTAAAATCTTTTAATATCATGGAACTCCTACTGTATAAGATTGGCCAAATATAGCAGATCTTCCAGATTTTAAACCAACATTTCCTAGATTTAGACCTACATCTCCAGAGTAATTTTTCAAAAATTTTGAAAAAGTATACTATATAATAAAATATTAGAATGGATTAGATTTAGTTACTAAAATGATAGCTCTTGATCCTGCTAAGAGAATATATGTTAAGGAAGCAATGAAACATCCATTCTTTGATGATCTAAACAAGGAGGATCTAATTAAATACTTTCCACCTGGACAACAAAATTTAGCTATGCAATATGGAAAATGAAAATTAATTAAACATAATATTCATATGATTAATTTATTTTATAAGAACATTTGTTTGATTTGAAATCATCTTTTGCTTTTGATCCTCATTTAGTTAATTAAATGATCAAAAAAATATTCAAATTAAATAGAATATATTTATATTCATGTAATAATACAGAAGAAGGAATGCAATTATACTATTTAGAAAAAAAATAAATAAATAAAAATTGAATTTATGTATAAATATTCAAATAATTCTTCTTAAGCATTCATTAAATGTTGCACACTGATAATGGATGAAATTCTTGAAATTATGTTTATGGTGTTCAAGCCAATTTGTAAGTTTCTCACATTTAATCAAATAATCTGTAAGATAAATAAGTTCTTTATCTTTCTTATTATCTTCAAATGGAATAATTGGAATTCCATTATCAGGTTGAAAAAAATAGCAATATGCATAATTATCAACTAATACCATAGACTAAATGATATCTTGAATATTTATTTACATCCATTTTTCTACCTCCTAAAACTCTTAAATCTTTTACTAATCGACCATCGGTTAAAGTGACACAATTATCCCTATAAAGTCTATAAGAAAAAAAATGATTTTTCGGATCTATTTATTCAAGGATTTTATCTGCATATTCTTTATAAGATGCAGTAAATAGAATTAACTCATAAAATTAAGATAAAGTTTGCAACATAGGAACACAATGGGGTCTTATGTTAAATCGAACCTATAAATAATTTCAATTCATACTTTTTGATCTTGCTCATTAGGTACTTAAACAATAACTTCATGATCGGTTGGATCAAAATTAATATCATTACAATGTATTAAAGTTTCATCAAGATCAAATATTATTGTTTTAGTAGGATTCTTGCTTAATTTAGGCTATTTTGGTGGATCCATTTATATAGGTATGATTTATGTTTTCTATTGCAGAGTTTAACATAATTTCACATTGGTAAAATTTATAAAAAAATGATCACAAAACTTTTTTCTAAAATAATGTTATTAATCCTAAAATTCAAGACCAAATTAAAGTTTATATGGGGCAGTATTAGGAAAATATTACTCTTTTAAAAAATGAATAACTGAAGTTATATAATATCTAGCATCTTTAAACATTGGTTTAATAACATGAGACTATATTAAAATTTTATTTTTTACTAATAAGACATTTAATTTTTGAGTTTATGAATTTAAATGATTAGATTGTGATTTTCCTCTGCATGTTTAAATTTATTTTTGATTTGGAGGAGTTAAGGATGTCTTTTAGATAACTAACCTTGGTGTTAATGATGGATTTTCATTTTATTTTTTATAATTTTTTATTTCATCTTTTTTTGATATTGACTCATTCTTTTTTTCAGAACTTTTTTAAGGACTAGTTTTCTGTTCAGTTTTTTATTATTAAACTTGATTATTTAAACTTTTCTAAGGTTATTTTTAAATTAGAATTTATCTTTAGTTTGTTCCTGAAGGTTTAGTTGAAGAACGTTAAGAATTCATTTAAATTGTTTCTATGTTTTTAATTTATACCTATTCTTAATTCAGTTAATATTAAGATTTATTTATCTGTTTTCCAGCTTTGAAGTCTTACTAAATCGAAACACTTTTTAATTTCTCAAAATTCTTTTATATCCTTTAAGGTGAAGCATGATCTATTTATTTTTATCGAACTTAATCTTATTCTGTTTTCTATCTACTTGGACTAAATTAAAAGTTTTATTTATATGTTGTTTTTGGAGAATATGTCTTTTACTCTACTCTAATCTTTTATTTATCATTCTTCATACTCATTTTTTCTTTAGATACTTTCTGTTGATGAACCTCTATAATTTTTTTGTTTCAATTCATTGCCTTTACTTTATTCATTTGAATACTTTGGTTTAACCTAATAATTGAATATTCTTCTTGGTGATGAACTCATAGATTTTAGAATTCTATTGAAAATATAAATAATAAATTCTTTTTATATTTATTACAAATATTCAATTTAATACTTCTTATGAAAATGTTTGAAATCCAATCTGACGATGCTCTAAAAATGTCTTAATTTCTTCTATAGTTCTCCAATTTATATAACCTAATTGATAAGCCAAAAGCTTTGAACTCTAATTATGACATATTATTATACTTTAGCTGGAAATTCTAATTCATCAATTTATTTAGTATTTTCTTTTGAACTATAAACTTCATTTATTTATTCTAATTTAAAATCTTTTCTATTAGAAAATTCAGATTATAATTCATTTCTTAATTTTAAAATACTTTTTATTTAGGTAAAATTCAGAGTTTGATAACGAAACATATTATACATTCTATTGTACTAATTTGAACTACTCTTTATTATTTATTCTTCTAATTTTTTAGTCATTTCTTATAAAGGATCATAATCTTAATTAACTTCATATTTCTGACATAAATTTGTTAAATTTTAAATAGAATCTTCAATCTCTTTAATAATTTTAGAAATTGCTGATAAATGATGAGTTATTACTTTAAATAGATTTTTTATTTTTGCATAAATTGGTTCTTCTTATTATATAAATGTTTCAAAATTATTCAATTTAATATCTGGTACAAATATAATAGTTCCTGTCATATTTAAAAGACTTTCAAATTTATTTGGTTTACTTAACTTTTCTCCAAACTTTATTAGTTATTTAAATTAAACTGTATCATTCAAACGAAGAAAGTCTACAAAATATTTACTATTTCTAAAAAGTTCACTTTTGGCTAATTCATTTAAAAAGAATTCTAGGATAATAGTTCTTTTTTGAACTGTATTTTTTGCATTTTTCTTTGCTGTTTTTTCTGAAAGACTAGGTATACCTACACCTGGGAATAATTTATAAAGTGTTTATTATAACCATTAAAAATCTGAATATCTTCTTTAAACAACATATTCATCACCTGTTTTAACACTATATACAACATAATCACTTTTAAATAGCCCTCCTGTTTTCTTTTCAAAACTAAATAAAAAATATTGAGTTACCCAGTTATTTTTATAGAAGGAACACCTTATGCAAATATATTAAAACCTAATTTTTTACATTATAATTTTGAGCATTGAGAAAATGAATAAATTTCAGGTGCTTATTTTTTAGGCATTTATTGTTATATTTCCTAAAGCTTTAAAGCAGTTGGTGATATCGACAATGGCTTACCAATATTGGGAATATCTAATATTTCTGAGACTCTTTAATTAATTTCTGATGTTTATTGTTAATGAATTTACTAAATTTGTTTTTGAGTTTACTAAAATGGTTATTCATTTTTTTAATCTTCCTATTAATCTACTACAGGAGATGATCCTACATGATCTAAGTCTAATAAGTTCCACATTTAGGGATCACTTTTAATATCCATTTATGGAATGACTTAATCAAAAGCATTCCATCCTATGATCATATCATCTACTGGTTAATCGAAATCGGTTGTAAAAAATTCAATTTTATATTAATTGACTAACTATACAATATCTTCAAAAGTCCATTTATCAATATCACTTTCTTTTTTTATATTGAATCCATACCTTCCCCCTTAATCTTCTCACAAAACTCTTGAAAGTGATTAGGATCAATTCCTTTATCTAAAATTTCTTCCTATAAGTAAGCTTCTTTTTAACTTCTTAATTTATTATCCATTTTCAATTAAAAATAATTTATACGATGGGCAACAAAATAATACCTAATTTAAATGAAATATTATTAGTAATTAATTTTAAAAACAATTAAAATCGAAAATTTTATTTAGATATAGATTTAATCTTCTGTTTAAACCTATTAAGTATTTGCCAGGCTTAATTTTTTATAGAGTTTATTTACATAGAATTATATAAAATTATAAAATAAAAAATTAATAATAAAATGAGATTGATAACATTTATTTAATTTAACAATATTTCTTTTTGCTTATAATTAACATTTGCTTATTTATAATTTTTAGAATTATTAAAGAAAGTTAAATTAATTTTTTATAAAAGAAATTCTATATTCCTTTGAAATTTGAATTAATAAAATTAATATCATTCCATCATCTAACTTGGTAAATTACAAAATAATATTATAACATAATTATATTAATTTATGAGTTTAATATTTATTATAAAATCATGAATTCATTCATATACTCATTCAAAAATCCTAGTAGTGAATTTGTAGAATCAGCTAATTTTATTCAAAACAAAAGACCAAATCAATTTTGCCTAAAAATTTTTAATTAACAATCGTATGAAGATTTTAAATTAGAAGACTAATAATAATAACCTTTATAATAATCCTAGGATTAATATCCTTAATTGAGTATTAGTCAATATTTCTTAAATCCTTAATTAAGTTTGGAATTAAAATCTAAACTTCCTTCACTAGATAAATATATTAAGAAAAAGAAAATACATAAAAAGGCCAAATAATAGTCTGCTGCAATTAGAGATTATAAAAAAAATATATGCAGAAATATTTTAAGACATGGGATAAAAGGAATAAATAATTAATAAGCATAGGAATTTTTATTAGAAAAGTTTAGAAATAACAATAAAAAATTAATTGAATTTCAAAAGTTTTATTAATAAAATTTGGAAATCATTTCAGGCTTCAGAGTACTTAAAGATCATTTAATAATTTAAACTGATGAACCTAAAGAAGAATAAGAACGAAAAAGAATTTTTTAATAATATCTGATATGGTTTTTGTCCTCTTAAGCAACAAAATGCATATTACAATCAGAAGCAAATAATATTGCTGAATATATTAAATACAAAAATGATGTCTTATTATATTATGTTCAGCAACCTTTATAATGGTATTCTAATAAACCTTTATGGAGAAGAATAGAATGAATTAATATGAATTTAATTAATATTAATTTTATAAGTAGTATATTAGAAGTATTAATAACTATCTACAAAATTGTTTCAGCCCTGATTTGGCGAAATTCTATTCACTTTATAAAAATTAACTTAGCTTTCCTATTGAAAAATAAAAAAATATACTATTATGTGAGCATTTTAATGATCAACTATACTGATTTTACTAAAATTTATTAAATTTTATACTTCCCTTTCATTTCTAAGAGAAATAAATTATTTTATTAAAGGAAGGCACATTTTTCATCATCTTACTCAAATAAAATGGTAGCCAATTTAAAAAGAGTTTATTTAAATAAATTTACTATAGTTCCAATTTAATTTGTTTAGGTATTTTAAATTTCTATTTCAGAATTTTTTTTTCCTTGTTTGATCTAAGAACTATGTGATATAGAACTTTGTAAAATTTCTTATTAAAAAGAAATATTAGATTTTTCTTTTTAATCCTTTATACTTTTTTATGCCTATTCGCATATATCTAAATATATTATTATATAAATACCTTTAAATTTTGAAGCTTCGACATGGTTTATTTTATCTATTTTTATTTCATTTAAACTATTAAGGGCTTATTCATATTACATTTAATTAAATAAGGCAAATGCTAAGCTTATTAATAATTCTTACATTTCAACATGGAAACATTATTATAATCAAATTCTTTTTAGTACGTGTTTGATAAATTTATCAAATAATTATATTATTTCATTTTAAACAAACAATTTTCTTCTAAAATAGCTATATACAATACATAGTGTTATGTAAATTTAAAATTTTAATTCTTTTTTTTTTGATTGTTTGCTTAAAAAGAAAACTTTTAACAAATACTTCAATGACTCTTCAAATTGATTCTATTTAAAAAGAATATTTCCTATATAAAAAAATATTAATATTACAACCTTTTTAATAAATAGAAAATAATGATAAAGAATTCATATTCAAACTAATATTAATAGCTTCTAATGATAATTATAAATGATCTTCTTATTCAAATAAAATAGAGCGTTTTTGATAAATTTTTGATTGCTTCTATTAATAAAGGTTTTAAGGTTTAGATAACTCATATATATATACTTCTATCTATTAAAATTTATTTTAAATCTCTTTGTTGATTTCATCTAATATATCTAATATATAATCAATATTAAAATTAAGAGGAATAACATCTTAGAATAAACCATTATCAATAAATTATTGAATTTAATTTAAAATTAATCTACTATGCGAGAGTATTTTTGTTAAACATTTGTTTATAGATTAATTTAGATTGAATGCTAGCTTCTCCATTTATTCATATTTTAATTAGAGTTAATTAAATAAATCTATAATCTTTTTTTCACCTGTAATTAGCTCATTAAGATGTTTTTAACATATTTTAAAAGAGCATTTCATACACTGTGGATGATATTTATAATGACAGTCTTCATTTTCACATATCACAATTAAACTCTAAGACTCTTATCCAGATTATAAATGAGTGCACATTAGCTACTCACTAAAATTATTTATAATATATATATATATATAAATACATATATAAATATTATTAATTGTTTTTTTATGTATCAATCTTAAAACAATAGAAAGAAGAGAGTTTAACACAAAATGTATTTGTTCATTTCTAATTCTTAAATAAAATTTATTAAAAGTCTAAATGAACATTAAAGGATGCTTTTTAAATGAATTAAATATATAATTTATACATATATTAAATGAATAGAAGAAAGAGTCCAATTTACAAATCACCTGGATTAAGTCCAAATATTAAACCTGGGTTATTTTCTAATCCATCAGAATTGAATAAATTGAATAAATAGAAAACTGTGAAAGTTGATGAATCTTAATCACCTTTATTGAAAGAGAGTAAAGAAACTAAAATTCCTCCAAAATTACAAAAGAGTTATAGGTTTGATTATATATTAAATAATAGTGCCACAAAATTATTTAGCAATAATATGAAAGTAGCCAAATAATAGCCTGAAGATAAAGATGATAAAATAATGGAAACTCTATAGAAATTATTAAAAGAATTAATGGAATTCAATGAAAATATTGAATAAAGCTAAGTAACTAATATTGAAGAATGGTGCTGTGAAATCTTGGAAAAATTAAATTAAATTAAAGCAAATATTGAAAGTAATTTAAATATAATATTTTAGAAAAGGATGATCATTCAGTTGGTGATGCTGTAATGTAATAGTAAAATTATTAATTTATTTAGATAGAGAAATATTAACTAAATTATTGAAAGAACTTTAAGAGGAAAAGAAGGAACGTTATAGAATTGAAGAGGAAGCCACAAATCTCATTACAGAATAAGAGATAGAAATAAATCGTTTGGAGAAAGAATTAAGATTATTAGAAGAGAAACACTAATTATAATGATATTAAAAATATAATCTGTTAAAATTTATGTTAAGAGACACTGGAGTGGAATAGACACATTAATTAATCGATAAAATAGAAATGAGAGTCAAACACTTTCTCAAGACTCAATCTACCAAATAAATTCAACCATTGCAATTAAACAATTCAAATTTAGACTATAATAATAGACATATATCAATGTATTCAAAAAAAGAAAAAGGGGATTCTAACATTTTCAGTTAATTAGAAAACATTCCTCCATAGAGATAATTGACTTAATGTTCAAGAACTTCAGATTGTTAAATTCCATTATTAAAAGAAATTCAAGAAATAGATCAATCATATAAAATAGAAATTGATTAATTAAAAAACACAATTGTACAATTAAAATAAGTGATTGAAGACTTAAAGGAATGCATAACTGGATTAACATAATAATTAGATTTCAAATAAAAGTATAAATTTTAATAACTTTAGAGAAGTTGATTAAATAAACAAAGAAAATGAAAATAATAAAGTCTTAATTTAAACTTTAAGAGATGAAAACTCTTATCTGACAAGAGAAATATAATAATTAATGAATGCATAAAATTCAAGCAATCCAAAAGTTAGTTCTTTAACTCTTGAAGTTTAAGAGGAGAGAAAGAGAAGTGAAAAATTATAATTAGAAATAAGTGAAATTAAAATGAGAGTTGAAAAATAAAGAGATTCTGCAAAAACAAATTCAGATTTCTAGATAATAGAAAAACTAGTACATAAATTAGAAGAAGCTCAAGAATAATAACAACGTTAAAATCAATAATTTATGAAATATGTGATTTAATATTTGGAGAAATAATAAAACTAATAAATAAGACCAAATTCTACTATATTATTAAGTAATCACAAAAAATAAAAGTCTAGTTTGAAGAAAAAATGATTTATATTCATTAAAATAATTATATAATTAATTTAATATTTAAATGGCAGAAAGAGGACATGGTTTAAAATAGGATATAAGTAAATTAGCTTGGGAGGAGACTGATTTCCCAATAGTTTGCAATAATTGCCTTGGTGAAAATCCTTATATAAGAATGGTAAAAATAATTAAACTAATAAAAATTTCAGCTCAAAGATAGATTTGGAAAGGAATGTAGAATCTGTGCAAGACCATTCACAACTTTCAAATGGAAACCTGGAAATAATTCAAGATAGAAGTAGACAGAAGTATGTCAAACTTGTGGCAAAATTAAAAATATTTGCTAAGCTTGTTTTAAAGACTTAGAATTTAATATGGGATTATGCACTAGAGATAAATTTTTAGGAGATTAAAAAATTGAAATACCTGAACATACAGCAAACAGAGATTATTGGGCTGAATAAGCTAATAGATAGATTGAAAGATTGATTTTACCATATGAAAAACCTTTACCTATGTTAGATCAAATTCTAAAAGAGCCAAGATTAGCAGATGTAAATAATTAATTAAATGATGGAAAATCTGAACCAGCTAATTAAATTTATGCAGAGCCTTTAGAAAATCCTTAAGATATTGATTTATTATATAAAGAAAAGTTTGAGGCAACAGGATTGTTACCACCTGATGATCCAAAAATAAGTAGTCTCTATATTTCCCATATGTCAACTGACATCAAAGAATCAGATTTAAAGTATAATTAATTGTTTAAATAGACATTTATTTTCAAAATTTGGAAAACTAAATTCAATTAAAATTATGGAACATGGTCAAAGTTGTTTTATTAATTTTGCAAGAAGAAAAGATGCAGAAACAGCTGTTAATGCATTATATAATAATATAATAATAAAGGATGTCATCTGTAAAATTCAATGGGCTAGAGCTCCAAATAAAAAAGTTCCAATTAAAGGTATTTAATTTTAAATATTTAAAAGATTTAATCTAATCCTTATAGCCAGAAGAGAATAATAAAGCTCATCCTCCTTAAGCTCCACCATAAAATATTGATAAACGTCAGCAATCTGAAGATAAGTATGTTAAATAATAATTTTTAGTTTGCTGATTGGATTACTTAATTAGTAAATGACATATCCAAATTAAAATCCATATTAAAAAGGTGGTGTAAATAATAAAGAAAAATGATAATATTATTATATTATTTGGTTATAAGTACAACAATTTAATTAATACTATGAAATCATTATACATATAAAATAAATGAAATTTTGAATAATTAATTATTATTTTATAAATGCAAGGAAAATCCGTAAGAGCTTCACATATCTTATTGAAATCTACATAATCAAGAAATCCCTATGATAGAGTTAGAGATAAATAGATAACTAGGTACATTCTTTATTTATATAAATAAGATCAGATGCAGATGCAGAAAAAGGAATTAGAGAAATTAGAGCTTAAGTAGAAAATAATTTAAATTTATTTGCTAAAATAGCTCAAGAGAGAAGTGAAGTATTTAATAATATAAAAATAACTATAGTGTTCTTCTTGTTAAAAGGGCGGGGATTTAGGTGATTTTACAAAGGGATAAATGTAAAAATAGTTTGAAGATGTTGCTTTTGCATTAAAAGTTGGAGAATTAAGTCAACCAGTAAAAAGTGATTCAGGATGGCACATCATTCTTAGAACAGGTTGATGAAAATTATTATTTCAACGCCATATATTAATAAATGAAATTTATTTTCTTCAATATACTAGTTTATTTTGTAGTTAGTGAAGTAGAAACTGTCTTTGAAGATGGAATTGAATGGACTAAAATGCCTATTGAATTTGAAGAAGTAGAATAACCAATAGAGAATTTATAAGGAGGTTAAGGCACTACAAATTATGGAACAATTGATTATGGGATTACTGAGGAAATGGCAAAGATGTTTAAAACCTTAAACGATCCTCATTATGATGTCATAACTCGTCCTATAATTAAAGAAATTGGATTAGAATTCTTTGAAAGTCATTACAACAAGTTTTGCAATACAGATGAATTCTTCGAGAGATTATTATATTAAGGAAGCAATGTTGAATTCAATACCATAAATATGATTGTATTTTAATAGTTCTTAAATAGTACCATGTTAAAATGTCTGTAAATGAGTATATGGTTGAATTTAGCCTTAAAAATTGGGACACTGAAAAAAACGACTTTTCAATCAAGGAATTCACCAAGTGTGAAATTTATGTGAGAGAATAAAAAAAATAAGACTTATGAAAAGTATTTTATATTGTTTTTAAATAACTGGGAATTTCTATATATTTTTTTTGAATTGTCACAATCAAAAATATATATAGATATATATATCACTCTGTATCTAACAACTTTTATAGATTACTGTAATCTACTTTTGATTAATCAACTTTTATTTCTCCTTAATTCAATTAATTGTTTTCACCAATTTATTCTTCATTCTCCTCTCTGTAAGGTCTTAACTATATTCTATATTCATTTATAATATATACACAATCTTTTTTCCCAAAAATTATTTTCCATTAACAAAATATTTAAATTTTCTTGCATCTTCTTCTTTTTTAAAAACTACTATTGCTTATCCTCGACTAAACTCTCCTCTTTAATCTTTTAAAATTGTTATGTTTTCTATTTCACCAAAATCCTTTGCTAATTCAAGTAATTCTTCATTTTTAATTGTTCTTGGTAATCCTTTTAAATATGCTTTTTTTTCATTTTTTTCTTAATCTAAGGTTTTTCTGTAGATTTTTAAAACTAAAGGATTTATAGTAATTTTTGTTTAAGCATCCTCTACTTCTAATTTATTTTCTTAAAACTTTTTCATAAAATCTTTAACTGCATCTTCTGACTCCATTTCAATAAATGCTCTTCCATTAAATCTATTTAATGAATCTATTACAAAATGAACTAACTATAATATTTATATACTACCTTTTTTAATGTATTATGTTTATGGATCAATATACTCTTTAAATTTCGTTTCATTCCATTCTTATGGAATCTATTAAGCATAAGCAAAGTTTTTTTAGTTTCTATTAATGGATTCTCTTAATTATTGAGTATAGTTTTAAAGCTTTGAAAATTTATATAAATAATTCCTCAATTAAAACATTTAAATATTATAATTTTTAAAGCCTTTTAGTTGTTCTAATCAAATTTATATATATGATATTTATACACTTAAATACAAAAAATAAGTTTAGTAACTCAAATTATCTTATTATTTTATTTCTAAAGATATTACTTTTATTTGAAAAGATTTTAAAGGTGTAGATTGGAATTAGATAGGTAAAATTAACATATATGAAAAAATATTTAATTAAATGAAGGATCAGATGGCAAGAGATTAAAATTAATAAAATTTTATTATTTTTTTAGAGCTAAGTCTAATATCAATTTAAGCGAAACGTTTTTTAGCTGAATAATGATTATGGAGAAATAAAATTTTATTGGATTTATTCTCCAACTTAGGTATTTCTTATTCTTTTTAATAAGGGAGAATGGGCATTGAATCATATAGATTTAAAATTTTACATTTTAAGTAATTTATATTACATATATATATAAAAATAATCAGTATTTACAATTAAGTATGAATATCACAAATTAATTAATAATAAATTATTATATATATAAATAATTAAATCCCTCATTCAAAATTTCTTATCGGCTTTACAAGGCATGGCTTCATATTTCTTGTTTTATGTATGGAAATGTATGATGAAAAAGATAAGGTTTAATATTAAAAATATCTTAAGTAATTTTTCTCAATTTTATTAACATTTAATTAATTTCTATCGCAAGTGTAAATAAAGTATATAAAGTAATTGGATATCTGTAAACTAGAATTTGATAATAAGAATTTTTTTATTTCTATTTAAGAATCGAAAATTTCTCCTTGAAAATTTACTAAACTGGAATGATAGTAAATTCCATCTCTTAGTTAAATAGACTTTTAAATATCACAACATATTGGAATTTAATTCTCTTTTTGTATATAATCGTCTAAAATTTCTTCGTTTATGCCCATCAATCTGAGAAAATCGTAATTCATTTTTTTTTAAATTCCAACTAACCTACCTTCTATATATTAAAAATTCAAACATTCATATGGCTATTTAATAGTATCTTGAAATTAATTTCTATAATTTTCTGTAATCATCTCACAAGGTAATCTATCATAAAAATGCATTAATTGATCATGTTCTAAATATTATTCACTTTGAATTTCTGTATTTTAATTATATAATGATAGCCTACATTCAGAGGATTCATTATCATATTTCCTTTCTAAAATTAAACCCTTTTTTAATAATTTGTCTATTAATAATGCCCCTAATGTTTGGCATTTATAAGAATTTTTTTAGTGGGATTATGCAACTCTTTCTAAATTAGTAATTTTATATAATTGATCCTGTTACTTTATTTGTATGGTACAATCTAATAAATGAATCCTAAATATGTTTACTTGGTTAAATCAGTTATCTTTTCTATTTAAATATGGGTTTGTGCAATATTTTAGTATTCCTTTTGTTTTAAGACTCTAGTTGCTTAGAAAAGGAAATCGAGGTGTGTAATGAAGTCATAAGATGTAAATATTAAAATGAATGATTAATACTTAAAACTAGCAATTATGAATGCCCTTTTAAAAGTCATTATTAATTGCAAAATACTATTAATTAGCTAAAGACAAGATTTGTAATTAATATAAATAACACTGATAAATTTTATAGATATAATTTATGTTAATATTTTTTTTGAAGTACATTTGTTTAAAAAGGGAAGAAAGAATTCCTCTTTCTCTTTGGAAGTTTACTCTTGAAAGTCCACTAACATTATATTCTTCCATTCCTAATATTTCTTTAATAATATTTAAAATTATGTTAATTAATTCATTCACATTAAATTTATATCAACCTAAATGATTATAGTTTTTACAATTAAATTTAGGGAGATAGTTCAAATGAATTAGGATATTAACCTTTTACATAATGGTTTGATTTATTATTTTTATTTATAAATATTAAAATATTTAAAATATTAGTAATATAATAAAAATTAAAATAATACCTGATATAATTCCTTATCTAAATTAATTAAATTTTATTTGAAGTATCTTCTCTAAATAACTTTACTTTTTGTCCAACTGAAAGTATATGATATATATTTGATAATAGGAAAATAAAATAAATTATAAACAAATTATAAAATCAATGTTGTTTCCAAGCTTAATATTATTTCTGAATTCTATGTAATATTTCTATTTCTTCAATTCTTTTCCTATCTTCATAATATTTTTAAAAATTAATTTATATGCAACAATCCATTTAAGGCTTTTTGACAATATTTCTAAAACATAAGAATATTATTAGATCATATACAAATATTGTATCTATTTTCTTTTCATTATATATTTAGTGTTTATTAATAGGTTTTTAAGTTTCTAAAATTTATTAATATATTGGTTCTAGTTGTTAAGCTAAAATTAAAAACAATTCTTTAAAATTATCATTTATTGCCATAATCAAATATTCATTTTCTTCAATGCTATTATCTTTATAAGCATCACCTCTTTCTATTAGAGAAAACTTTTCCAATTGAAATTAAGCATCATATAATTGCTCTTTCCATTTAATGAATTCTTTTCTAGAAATATCAAAATCTCTTTGAGTACTCTATCTAATTTTCTATAAATCATTTTAATGATATTCAGATGTCATTAATTCTAACCAATCTTATGGATCAATTTCAATGATTCCTGCTTCATTACAATCAAATAAGAGCATCTAATTTAAGGATGAAAAAACACAATAAATTCTTTTGTAAAGTAGAAACATACACTTTATATATAAGTCTTCAGGTATTAGATTAGCAGAATCAATTTTTTTTTAACTTTCCAACTCTTTAGCTACTTATAAAAAATAATATCCTATAGATTTTTCAAATTCTAAATGATCTTTTGCTTTTCTTGCTCTATTCAAAATATTTTAATGAGCCAAATAATTTCTATATATAAATTATATTTTACAATGTTTATCTTCTTCCATATTCTTACATTTCATCTTATTCTTTGTCTGATAAGCTAAGACTTCCACTTTAAAGTACAAAATTATTTAATGTTAAATCTTCAACTGAATCCTATGTTGATAATGTATACATAGGATCTTATTCAATTTTAATTGCTTTATGATTGAAGAATTCTAACCATGAAATTCTGTTATTTTCATCAATAACTAGCATTCTTTTTAATAGATCCTTAGTTGGTTCTGATAATGTACATCCTTCAGGAATGAGATTATCAACTATAAAAATTAATATGTTGATTACTTTTTTATTGAATTTTCTTTAATAATTTTAAAGGGTTGACTTCCTCCCATGGATATTCTCTAAATAACATAAAATAGAATGTAACTCCTAAAGACCACATATCACTTAAACTATTATATGATTCTTATTTAATTATTTAAGGAGACATGAAAACAGGTGTACCACTAAAAGTCTAAAATTTTCCACTCTAATTTGATTAATCCATCACCTTAGCTAATCCAAAATCAGCAACTTTGACTTATCCATTATGTAATAATAAATTCTATGGTTTAATGTCTCTATGAATAATCTTTTTGCTAACTAAATATTTGAATGCTGCTGCAATTTATCTAAAAAACACAACAACATCTTCTTCTGATAGATTATGATTCAAGATAAAATCATCTAAAGCACCTTGATTACAGTATTCTGTAACCAAATACATATATTCTTCATTTTTTTTTGCATCAATAAAACCTACAATATTTAAGTGATTTATTTTTCTTAATACATTGATTTCTTGTAAAAGTGATACTGTTACTTCAGGTGAAGCTTTTACAGGTATTTCTTTAATGGCTAAAAAGACTTTTTCATCTCCAGTTCCTTTAGCATAGAATCCTAAATAAACAGTTCCACAATTTCCTTTTCCCAATTATTTTTAGGTATCTATCATATATTTATCAATCTAAATGTAGCGAGATTTCATTTTAAATATATATATATAATTATAATTTTGATAATAATTCAACACAATTTAACATAATAATCATCTTTCTGTCTTATCTACTTTATGAGCCAGTATTAATTAAATAAACTACCATATAATGAATACATAATTAAGGGTAAAAATTCTAATTTACCTCCAAAAAGCAAATGATGAAATAAACGATCATAAACAATTACAAGTCCTCCAATAAATAGATATAATTTTTCTGTATAATTTAATTTGATTTAATATTCAGCATAAAATATTATATGAAAGATAATTAATAAAATTATAAGTATTGGTTATTCTAAATTAATTATCAACATTACCATATGAAGTTGGTATTAATGGTAATAATGCAATACCATTTATAAATGAAGCCATAAAAATTAAATTTGGATTCTTCATCTATACAAATTGTAAAATTATTGGAATCATTACAGCTTTCTCATGAACATGATATCCAAAATTAAAAAAAATTAAAGAAGAAATAGTAAAGATATCATATACATTCTTATACTTCTTTCTAAACAATAACTAAAATTGATAAATTTTATACTAAACAAAAAGATCCAATAATTATTAAAGTAGTTACATTCCCAATTGTAGGTAGAACATTAAAAATAGTTTCCTAAACTACACCAGAAGCAGTTGAAGCTTTATTGATTTTAAAGACAATTCCTAAAATTTTATCTGCTGTGCAATATATACTCCAAAAGTTTTAAGCCCAATATGCATGAACAAGTCCTCTTTGAAAAGGAAATAATCTTTTCAAAATTTAAAAGATGTCTTAATAAAAAGGTAAAAAAATAAATAAAAGTAAAGACATTGATAAAATGCCTATTGTGATTATTTGTTTAATTTGACAATTTTTTAACAAAATAACTCCAAATGCTGGCAATACATAGATATAAATATGTTTAAAGCTAAGTAATATAACATACAATAAGGAGGCTTAGAGATATTATTATTGTTATAATTTATAACAAATAAACAACAAAATACCATATAAGAATCCATTGTATTAGAAATGTATATCTATTAATAAATAATATTTTATACTATCAATTAATAAGCATCCAAATGGAATCATATCTATGAATTACTTTGTAAATGATTTTTGCTACTTTTTAACTGCGAAAAAGTAAAGAAATTCTGATGCTATTACAGTAATTCTTTAGAACCAGACTAATGAGTCTGTGATGTTGTATAAGTCAATTCCAATCAATATTGCTATTTTACCAAATAGATATTCTAAATAAGCAAACAATGGAGGGTAATCAAGTGTCCAAATAGATTATTCATCATAATACCATTAATTAATTGGTTATTCAGTTGTAATTCTCATCCAATTTCTATGTACATCAAAATCAGTGCTGTAACTAATGATAATTCATAATGTTTACTATAAATTAATCAACATACATTTAATTAGCACTACAAGAATAATTAAATACATTATTTTTATTTCATTTCTTTTATTTTTGAATAATAAATATTTATATAACATGAAATTATCCACATCATCAATTTATAAACATATAAATTAATCATTCAAAAACAAAATCATCCTAGTTTTTATTAATGTCTTATATCATTAAATTAAGAATATCAAGATTATATCCAGCAATCTTTTTCTCTTTCTTAAAATAAATTTACAATTAAGTTCTAATATTTAGTACTTTCATCATTATTTCATGTGAATTGAATCCAAATCCATCAATCTTATTAAAGATATAAGTTATTAATTTATTAATGATTATTGGATATTATTTTAAAGCTAAATCTTAATTCATTTCATTAATTAAAGTTACTAAATGTTGATGATGTAGAAATTTCATAAGAGAACTTAAGTCTGAATTTTAGAGATTATCAAATAAATATTCTGTAACATTTTTATTATAAAATAGATCTTCATTAGGAATTTCACCTAATTCTATAGTTTCTCTATATTATTTAATCTTTTCCAAAATATCCATTAATTATTCAGTTTCTAATAACTTTTATTATCCAATTTAAACTAAAGTTAAATCTTTTTTCACTTAATCTTATCCTTAATCAAATCCAGTTTATTATTTATTTTTATTTTATAATTCCTACATTAATTATTCTTACATTCTCTTTTCTTCTTCTTCTGAAACAAATATTTATTCTTTGGTTTAAATATATTTCCTAATAACTCCATTTTTTGTTGCTGAATAAAACAAATCTCCAATACATCCAACAACCATTGATTATATTCCTACTAATGCTTCATTAAATTATAATATTAATTAATATGTATCTCCATCCCAATATTTAATTACATTATCTTTGCATCCACTAAAGAAATAGTGAGTATCATTTACTGTTTTTATTTAAATAACTTCAGCAGTATGTGCTTTTAGAGTTTTCTTACAATTTCCGAAATCAGTTGCCCATAATTTAATACTTTTATCTGCACCTGCTGAAATAATTATTGTATCATCTGAAGTATAGGCAAAAGTTAAAACAGGTAATGAATGTCCATATAATTCAAGATATAATTTATGAGAATCACAATAATAGATTGATACAATATTATTCATTTGTGCAAATGCATAATAATTACCATCATAAGAAAATTAAGCACTTCTAATATTTTCTTTTAAATAGATAGTATTAACAACTTAGAATTCTAAACACTTTTAAGTTTTATTATAAAATAACTCTACAAAGTTTACCTTTTTATCTATTTCAGTTGTCATTATTACTAAACCATTAAATGCCTTACAATTTTCATGGCATTCAATACTATTAATATTTGAATTATGAATTTTTTATTCAAATATTACTTCATTTTAATTCATATCAACTAAATATAAGATTCCTTACTCATCTCCAACCATAAAATATTTATTTTTTGGTAAAATACATAAAGATGTTAAATTACTTGTATTAGTAAGACTATTAATTTATTAAGCAGTTTCATTATCAAATTAATAGCATTTATTTGATGCTATTACTAATAATTTATGATCATTCTATGTTAATTTAATTTATTTTATTTATCCTGTAATCTATTAAATAGCTACATTATTATTTTCATCCACATTATCATTATTTAATTCTTTTATTACTATTTAATTATCTGATGTGAAAATAAATATTTTTAATAAATTTTTGAATACTATAGCTTAAAAATATACAATCTTATTTAATTAAGATATAACAGTGCTATAAATTAATGATTAACTAAAGTTTTCAGCTTTTTGCAATTTTTTTCCTTATTTTGATTTATATACTTCAATTTTCTTTTCATTATCTAAATTATTTTAAACTTTTACTTAAAATCAATAATTTTGATTGAACATATTGGCATTGTATTGCTCTAATAAAAGATTATCTTTTAATAATGCCATCATTTTCAATCTAACATTTGCCTGATATTAATTAACATGATTTAATTAGAACTTCATCAGAATTAGTGCAAATAAGCAAATAATTTTCATAAATACATAAACATGTGACTTCACTATGCATACTTGATAGAGTAGCTACAGAACATTCTAGATTCAAATCCCATATTTTTACTAATCCATCTTTACTACCTGATACAATAAATTATTAAGTAATTGCCAGACTTTAATCTTCAAGGCTAATTATTTCTAAAGCAGTAATTTAGTTTGAGTGTCCTATCAATCTAAATTATAATGATTAATCAGCTAAATCCCAAACAATAATAGATGTGTCACAACTACCACTTATTAAAACAGCCTCACTTAAAAATACTAATTAAGTTATTTCACTTTAATGGTTAAAAAATCTGCATTATATTTCTTTATCAATCAGATTATATACTATTATTTCACCATCATGATATCCTATTGCTAAAGTGTTGTCTTTAATAGCAATTTTTGTTATTTTTATATTCTTACCTTCAATTATAATTTATTAAATAATCTCTTGTGTCTTGATATTTAACAAAAGTATATATTAATCTACTATTGTATATGCTATATCATTTATTATTACTCCTCCATTGTTACCAATACTACCGAATAGAGTCTCAAATTTATATCCAAAATAGGCTTTTACCATAAATAATTAATTAATTATTATATTTTATGAGTTTTAGAGATATTCTAAATAATACTTAAAAAGTTAAAAAAATAACAAAAGTTGCTTTCAATGCTTTAGATGAAGATGACAGTGGTTATTTAGAAAGGAAGTTAATAATTATAATACACATTTTAGGGAATTAATTTAAATTCTAAATAATTGTGCGGATACTTTAAAAATTGAAAGACCATCATCAGAGGAAATGGATGAAATATTAAAAGAATTAGATGAAAATTCAGATGGAAAAGTTTCAGAAAATGAATTTTAAAAATTAATTGAGCAAGTCTTAGGTATTATGGCTAAAATAGAAGAAAAATGAAAAATATTTTAATTATTATTATTTATATATTTTATTAATAAAATGGTATTGGCTAAGATAGCATTAGGAACAGCAGGTGCAGTGACTGTTGGATATTTACTTGTTCCACCATTCAATAGAAAACTTGAAAGAAATGTTCTCAGACCAATTAGAAATTATAGAAGACACTTATAATAAGAAGATTCATTCAAAACAGAAGTAAAAGTTTTATTAACAAATTCTTAGGAAGAATTCTATCAATTTTTAGGAAGTGTAGCATTAGGTACCTTGAGAATGTTTACAATCGAAAGCGATTGAATAATTATTATAGATATTAATATAAAATCTAATACAAAATTATGAATTTTATATTATTAAAACTAAATCCATTTTTTGATATTCTTCAAAAAAAAAGTATATGCCTATTTTATTTCTTTTTATATTTTTCATAATAAGGATGAATATATATATATATATTTTAAAGTATTGTAAAATAAATTAAACTATATATGAAATTGAATAAGGTATTGGATCTAAAATAATAAACTATTCTTAACTATATAATATAATTACTCAGAATGAAATGTATCAAATACTATCAAGAAAATAAATGTATGAATTTTATGAAAGACATTTATTATATCAATATTTTATATTAAGAATAATTATTTTATACATTAATTATATGAATTGTGAATACCATATTGAAAAAACTTTTTCACATATATGTTTATCAGAAGGATGCAAAAAAAGACTTGTATGTGATTTATGCTAACATTGTTAAACACATTTTTTAGTATTATTTTTATGATTATACAGATTCCTGTTCAGGATTTAAATAAAAAGATAACTACATTGTAACCTAAATGGGCTGAAGCAAAGATCAAACCTGTTCTTGAATTTCTCAAATAGAATAGTTAAAGTGATATAAATACTTTTGAGATAGAATAATAATTACAATATATATTTGATGCATTTTTAGGAGAAATTACTTTAAAATTAAGAGAAGTATAGAAGTATTTTATTGAAAAACTAAGAATACTTGCTGAAAATGCTCTAAAGAATGTTCAATACTTAAAATAGAGAGTTGATTCAATCTATAATCTATAAGAATTAGGATTGGCATTACATAAATATTAAACTGGCATTTATTCTAAAGAGTCATTTGATTAAATAATAAAAGATTACTCAATTAAAATTTCAGGCAATTCAGAAATTTAAAATATTTATTCATATATCACAAATGATGGAGCCAATCATAATTATTTAGATTTAATCCAAATAGATTTACATGGTTTTCATTAATTTAAAAGTAGAGTTTTGGGTCATCTTGCAAGATTAAATGATTTTGATTCATTTTTACCAACCAAATACTCTTAATTACCTTTCAAAAATAATGCTACTTTCAGTTGGAATATTGTTCAAGGTTAGAACAGTCATTCCTTTAATATACAAAATATACATAAAAATATGATGGTTGATGAAATATTTTAATCTAAAAGCAAGATAATATGTGTTATAAATCAAAACTAAATTGTATAATATAATCAGAATTTTAAATTTGTTGGAATCCTTCATTAATGTTAATAAACTGATTTCTATTTAGCACATCATATTGAATCAGATTTATAATTAATTACTAAATGGTAAGAACCAACATATATACATATGTATTCAAATTTTAGAAAAATTAAAATCATAAAAAATGCATCAATTAATCCAATATAATAAATCCTTTTCATTAATAAGTATAATTTATACTGTAAAGGACATGAAACATGCATATTAACACTTGATAGTAAGGGAATTATTAAAATAAATCCACTCTCTAATAACTATCTCTATGAATTTACTTATGGTTAAGGTATATAATAAGTATAGATTTTACCTGAATCAAAAAATGCACTTAAATTTTCAACTAGTCATGGATTTGATTCAATTTTTGACTTAGTTTTATGTTCCTATTAAAAAAATTAAATTAAATTGGCCATTAGAAGTTTATTTTAATCACAGCCTTTATCAAGAATTTGGGATGACGAATCTTTATCTCATAAACTTGGACTAACAGAGCATTGTGAAGTTTATTTCACAATTTTTAAATTGAGTCCCCAAGAAAAAAGTTATTTGAAGTCTTAAAAAGATGTCGAAGGAATAGATTATGTAATAGTGACATTATTAAATAATTATGTAACTCTATGGAATTGGAAAACTGGTAACTCAATAAAAATCATAGATGTCTCTGAAAGTTATGGTATTAGAACTATGTCATCAGTTCTTGGAGGTACTCTTCTTACTATTATAATTCTTATTGGATTAGATGGTTCTATATATTGGATTAATTGGATGCAAAATAAAGTAATGACATGTAAACTAAAGATTGGAAATGATTTATAGATTCATGCTGTATTTTATAATTTTTAACTTAGATGTCATAATGCTTAAATAATTTAGGATAATCCTAATTCATTGTAGCTTTGAGATAACAAACTCGAGCATTTATGACTGTTGCATAATTACTTTATTATTGATAATTAATACTACATTTTACATAAAATTAATAATTTTATAAAAATAAATCAAATTTTATTTTTTCTGTAGAATAAAATCATATTACAAAAATCTAGAAATGATAATTCTGGCCATTTTTTTTCTATAAAGTGAATTACAGTTTTCTCTCTTATTTAATATAATAAGAAATTGCTTAATCTTGTTTCACCAGAAGTTCTTAAGAGAATATCAGGAGAGTTTGGTATCATTAAATGAGAATTCAATTATTAAAAAAATTCATTTTTAGTTAAACCTTTTGGCATTGATTATATTGCTTTATCTAATTCATTTGTAAAATTATAGGAGAAACAAATATTTAATCTAAAAGATAATTTTTGATTAGTTTTACTTATATTAAGAATATTTAGAACTATAATTTTCTAGTTCTAATAATTTTGATTTTAATTCTTAATCTTATAAGAAATCAAGATCTCCACAACATTTAATTTTAACTTGGTTTTTATCTATAAAATTTAGATCATGTTGTAAATGATGCATTTTTTATTTCATTAATTCCATAAGAAATTATACTTCATCTTTTTATCTATTATAATTCTCAATGCTAAAGGCAAATACACTAATTTCTTTAATTCCTAATTTTTAACCCCATTATAGTAAATTCAAGAAAGATTAATATCCTTAGATATGACCATCTGTTGGTTCCATTTTCCTTTGTTTAGCATATCGTCTACATCTAACTTATAAAATACCGATTACCATCCATAATCACACCTACGTGGTTTGGGATAGTACCTAGTTTTAATAATTGAATGAAGGAACTTTGTACAATATTCATTTATTTATCGTAATTAAATTTCAATTTAATTTACATTCATTAATTTATTCACAAAATATATGTGTCATTTTATTATTTTATCCAAATTATATAATTTTTAATTTATTATTATTTAAATGTTTGAAAAATAAGAATTGGATATATATTTTGTTTATCTTATAAAAGGATTTAGAATTAAAAAGATAAAAAATAACTTATAATTATTTAATTATTTTTCATTAATTTTATTCCTATTTTAAATCTGATAATGATTCTGGTTCTCCTTATTACTATGATTATTCATTAGATTTATAAAATGCTCTATCCTTTACTAATTCTGGATGTTTAAGTTTGATATGCTAATTAAGAGATCCTTCTGCTCTATTTAATTGATAAATTTTATCTAAAAATACCCATATTTTTTTTGACAATTTTCTATTGGACAAGTAAAGTGTCTTTCAATTTCTTGGGCTGGTCTTCTCAATCTTTTCTTTCTCTCTTCTCCTGTTTCTTCTACATTTGAATTTAACTCTTGATTTCGACGCTACAAATAAGGTGGGATTAAATATTACTTCTAATTTATTTAATTTATTGACTAGTTCATTTTTCTCATTCAAAAGTTCTTTTAACTAAAATAAATTTCAAATTTTACTTGATTTGTTAGGACTACATTAGCTATATATAATCTCAAGTACTCATTGTAATATTCTAAATTTTGATCCTATTATGGGACTGAGATTTGAATATGAAAATACCTTATTGTTCATCCTATCCTCCTACATAATTTTAAAATCTCACAGGTTCATCACCCATCATATATTTTGGATTCTCTCCATCAGATCTAATGGAATTGATAAATAAAATACTTAGCATTACTCATATTTATAAATTATTAAATATTTTTATTAATAAATTGTCTAAGCAAAATAAAATAAATATTTATCATTAATATAACAATCTAAAAAAGACATGAAAACTTTGAAATACAAAATTCAGAATAAATAAAAGTTCAATTTTAGGAATAAATGAGTTTATTAAAGAAATAATTGTATTATTATTAATTATTAAATTAACGGATATATGGATCGATTTATACCAAAAAGTAAATCGAAATTACTATATCAATCACATACATAATCAAATTATAACGACGTACAATATATTTAGAATTTAGTTAATGTATCATATAAATGAAGAAAAAGTGTTAAATTTTGGAAACGGAAAATAATAACAGAATTTTCCAATATCCTTTTTAGATTAGTTACATAATTAATACAGATTGCCATAATAACAAATAGTTAGATAGATAAGTTCAATTCCAGAAAAGATTCTAGATGCTCCAGACATTGCAGATGATTTTTATCTTAATATATTAGAATGGGGAAATAACAATGTATTATCAGTTGGATTGTAAAATAAAGTATATTTATGGAATGCCTCAAATTGTAATGCAAATTTATTAATATTTTAGAACATATTGAATAACTTTTATAAGCAACTTCTAATGTGACATCAGTACATTGGATTAATGATCATATTCTGGGTATAGGATTTGATGATGCATCTATTAAAATTGTGGATGTTTGTTCTTCATAAACAATTACATAGTTATATTATCATAATGAAAGAGTATCAACAATGAGTAGTAGTTTTGATTTGTTGTCAAGTTCAGGTAGAGATAATGTTATTTTTAATCATGATCTTAGAGAAAAAAATAATAATGTAGTTGGAGTATTTTAGAAACATACTTAAGAAGTTTGTGGATTAAAATGGAATTCATCTGGTACTACTTTAAGTAGTGGAGCTAATGATAATTAATTATTATTATGGGATAGAAGATAAATGTCATTACGTTAATCTTGTCAAGGTCATTGTGCTGCTGTAAAAGCTATGGCATGGTGTCCTTGGTTACAAAATACACTTGTAAGTGGAGGTGGTTCTAATGATAAAACTATCAAATTTTGGAATGCTGATACAGGAATTTGTTTTAAAAGTATAGACTCAGGATCATAAGTTTGTGCTCTATAATTTTTGCCAAGATATAGAGAATTAATATCATCTCATGGATTTTCTAAATTTTAAATTAGTATATGGAATGCTGATTAAATTTAATAAGCTAAATTAGTATAAGAATTATAAGCACATAAATCAAGAGTATTACATTTAGGAATATCTCCAGATCAATCTATGCTATGTTCAGCTGCAGGTGATGAAACATTAATATTTTGGAGACTTGGTACAGAACAAAATAATTAAAATAAATAGGAGATTTGTTCCAGTAAAAATTTATTTCTCAGATGATATTACTATTACTTAACAAATTATTTAATAAATATTAATTATCTAAATCAAATGATTCGTAGAGATTCTGGTGAAATGTAATAACATGCTTTTAGCTAACCTAATTTCAGCAAATCAACTAAAGATATTCAATCTTCAAGAAAAGAATATTTATTCTAAAAATTACCTTCTTTAGATTCTACTTAGACTAATAATTTTTCATAAGTTAAGAAAGGTGGTTCTGCTAAATTCATAGAAACAGATAGAGTAGATACAGCATAGAAACCTCTTACACCTTAGCAGTAAAAAAAGAAAATAAATTAAACAAAATAAATTGAGGAGACCACTTAATTTGATCTTGGTTCTAGTCGACATTTTCAAAGATTATTCACTATAAAAAATCATACTAAATCATCTACTGGCAGTGTAAAAACTTAAAGAGAAGATAACACAAGTATTATTACAAATCAAATTCCATAAAGAAAATCCAATTATCACCATACTTAATAAATTTTATAATCATAATCCTAAGTTTAATAATAACAATGTCCATTTTCATCTGGTAAATCAATCAAAGACATAATATCATCATTTAAAGATAAAAAGTAATTAATTTAATTTATTATAGACCAAAAAATGGCATCACTCGTCATAGTGAATTTGAAAAAATGGAAGGTTTGGATGATTATACCAAAGAATTAAATTCCATTTTAAATAATGATGATCTTATTGGACCTATTCTAAGAGAAGTTATTGAAATGAAAGGAGTAATTAAATCAATAATAGATTTAAGTAATGGTAATAAACTTACTTATCATTTTGAAACTTTAAAACAATTACATTCAACTCTAAATATAACTGATTAAATGTTCAATAGATTCAAATATCTCTATCTTAAATATTTAATTTAATTGAAGATAAATATAGAGACAGTATTTAAATGTGCTTAAACAGTTGAATTCTATAGAGGAGCCATAGTTACTTAAGTAAATTCCCTATATTATAAAATAGTCTCGTTCTATATAAAATGTTAAAGATAATATTAGAACTATAGCTAAAAATATGTACAGTCAAATCTTTGAAGATTTCTCTCTAAGTCCTCTATTTAAAGGAACTAAATAAGAAGAATAAGCAATTAAATTCAGTAGAATTTTTGGTTTCATTTTGGGATCTGCTGAATCTACAAATTTTGTAATGGATTCCATGAGAGATTTTCATAAAGCATTTGAAATTACATCAGTTTAATACTCCATTTTTAAATACTATTTATCAGGTTCATTATCAAAACATACTCAAAAAGAGGTTGTTTGGTATGTTTTAGAATAAACTGATGCTTATAAAGCAGCTGTTATCAATTAAGATAGTATAAAAGATTTAGTATACAAATAATAAGGAATAGATAATTTTACAAGTGAATTTATCAAATTATGTTAATAAGATTAACTAATTAATAAGAATTTCATTCATAAAGTTGGATATGATCAATTTGTAGAACACTCTAAATATTTTTTACATTATGCTTTCAATAAATAAAATAATTGTTTTACACTTGATGATCTGTAATCATTTCATTGTTAACATTCAATTAATCATAATCTATATTAAAGTATCAAGGAAAAAATGATGATTTTATTATCTAGATTGAATCCATAAAGAATAATATTCTAAGATTTTGAAGATGAATATGATTTGATACTTCCTTATATAACAAATTAAAAATTGCCTTGTGATATTGTAGGCTAATAGAGATTATGTGAATTCGTTCCTATACTATCAGATGAATTAAAATCAAATGTTGAAATTAAGAACATTTTTGATAGCAATGATGTAAATGTAAATAAGATAGTTTTAAAAAAATTTGAATATTTATTATCAGGTAGAAAATATTTTAAAAGATCTGACATTTAAGCTATTCATTCAAGACTCAAAATAAGTGAACATTTATTTGAAAAATTTGTCCATCTAGTTGAAAAAGCTATAAGGCAATATGATACTTCATTATTCTGGATGGTGGACGCAATAAAGCTCTGGAAATATATTATTATCACAGTTTGAAATTGTTTTAATTTAGGATTATATGAAATTCTATTATGAAATATTACTTTATAATAATTTTTTCTATTTCATTTTTTGATATAGAATTAATTTATCTAAAATATTAATATTATCAGTTGAATGCTCTAATTTAATCATATAAAATTTATCAATACAAATTCTTATATTTTATTTATGGATTTTTATTAAGAGAATTAATTAACTAAAGAAGCGGAATTAAAAAAATATAAATATTAAGAAAATGAATCATTTGATTAAGTTGAAAAGAATTAAGATAGAAGTTCATTAAAAGATAATTCTAAATAGAATTCTGAAAAAAATAATATCGAAAAGACTATAGATGATAATAGTTAATCAAATTTATAAATGAATAATAAATCATACCAAAATGGTTAATAACAAAATTATGTTGACTTTTAAGAATAATAAGATATATCAACTCATCCATATCAACCTAAAACAAAGTTCTCTGAATTAAATAAATTGTAAATTCCATTTTATTGTCATGTTAATAAAATGATAAATTATTCAATTGATGAAGAAGAAAAATAGTAAGAAGTAGATTTTCAAAATGGAAAATATAAAGAGGATACAAGTTCAGTTACAAAGAATAAGTTATTTTTAGATTCAGAATCAACTTAACCAACTTAAAAATTATAAATTGACTAATAGCAAGACTAAAATATATAATATTAAAAGTCCTTTGATGAAGCCACATTTCTTAAAAATTAAGCAAGTCAATCATATAAATAATAAAAATATGAAAAAGCAATTGAGTAATATAATTTAGCTTTAGGATTTTGTGATCCTCAATTCTTAATAAGATGTCCTCAATAATTATTTGGAGAGTATTAAAAATTAAGAATTTCGGTTATTTTGCATTTAAGTTCATGCTACCTAAATATAGGGAATCTGAAGTAATGCATTTATCAAATGAATATAGTATTATCATGATTTAAATAGGCAATTTAACTTGATCCACTTAACCCAAAAGTATGGTACAAGAGAGCTATAGCACATCAATTACAATACAATTATGAGGATGCTTATAAAGATATAGAAGAGGCTTGGAATTTAGTTAAAACTACTACTTAAGACCCAGATATATTTAATAAAAGGAAAGAAATTTTAAATTAAATAGATAGTTAATGTTCCTAATAGTCAGTCTATAATGGAAAATTAAGTAAAATAAATTAATTAGAATCCATATCATTACTAAGTGATTTAAAAAAAACAAATTCTATTACATCTAATTTGATCATTGGAAATAGAAACATGAATTTTGCAAATATTATTTTTAAAATTACTACTTCAACTATTTTAGCATCTTGGATAACTAAATATTTATTAAAAGAAAAACTGTTATCAAAAAATGGACTAATAAAAGCATTAACAATCTTTTTTACAACAGCTTCATATATCATGGCTGTTAAAAAATGGTAGTAATATACTTTAACAACAATTACTTTAGGAATTTTGGTAATTGGTTTAAAAAGAAAAAGAAGGGTATGAGTATTATTATTAATAAATATTCAGGATTCAAATCTTTCAAGACTTTCCATATACATTCTATCTAAATTTTAATTTAATTCTTCTAAATTTTGAATAACAGATTAAACTGATTAATCTTTGCCTAAAGGAGATTTTCTAAGTATTGATTAATTTGCAGATCTTGGCTAAAATTTCTTACTTAAATCACTTAATAAGCCAAAGTTTGTTTAACTTTTAATAGCAGAATTTTTTGCTGGTTTTAACCAATCTGGTTTTAATTTATCATAACTTTAAGAATGTAAGGATTCTTCATCATGTACAATCTAATTATAATTTATATTTACATAAGGTTTTTAATTAGTATTTGTATTTTATTCTTCTTGTAAAACAGATGATTATAATTATTATACACTTTATATTAAATGATCTCGTTTTTATTATAATTAATCAATCTGATCAACTAATAATTTAAATTCTTATCCTTTCATTTCTATTCCATCTTATAATTTTTATAATTAAAATTAAAAATTAATGATTTATTCTTATCCTTAATGCATTTGATAATGTGTTTAAGTAGATAATTCTGTAACTTTCTATTCAATTTATTTATTTAAGGATTGTAAATTAGATTATTAAATTTGATACTCTTATTTTATACTCTATAAATCAATAGTAGCATCATCCACTTATTATTATAATTTAGCTTTTTCAATATTCAATTTTTTTAATTCCTTTTGTAATATGTCAAAATCATTACCCAAAATATCTTTTTATTTCATTTAATCTTATATTTATTTTTCAGTATTTATTAATTACTTTTCTATTTATAATAATTCTTATTCTTTCTCTATTGTTAATTGTGTAACTTATTAAAGATTTTTTTTGCCTTTTAATAAATTATCTTAACTAACTTATATTTAATATTCTAAATTATCTAATTCTGTCCTTAATTTTTATGATTCTTTTTTTATTTATAAATTCTCATTTTTAGTTTATTTTATTTTCTCCTTTTCAATATTTGATTCCTACATGATTTTATCATATTTTTACATTTCTTACTCTTTATCAGCTATAGCATTATTTAATTATTTTAAAACCCTATCTGCTTCTCTACATAATTATTCTGAATTTTTTAATTTTGAATGACAAGTATCTAATTCTTCAAGTAATTATTTCATCTTATTATGTTCATTTTGATATTTTATTTATAAATCCATAGTATCCTATTCTTTTTTAGAATGTTCAAATTATAATTCTTCTATATCCTTACTTAATAATTCTTTTTATGAATTCAAATATTCTATATTATTAAGTGCTCTTTATTAATCTTCCCTTATCTAAAAACTAACTTAATATTAATCCTAGATTCTCTATTAAAGCATTTCAATCTCTTCATTTAATAATCTTATGGATTCTTCTTTCTCTGCATTTGTATCTTTTAGCCTTTCCATTTCACTCTAAAGTTCTTAAACTTCTTCACACTAAATAATAATTTTAAATTATTACTAATTATTCCTATTATCTTCCAAGTCTAGTAATTTCATCAGTTAAACATTTTCTAGCTTCATTTTATTTTGCTCTAAATATTTTAAAATCTTCATTAGACTTAGTAAATTACACTTCAACTTATTAATGTTATATTTTCAGTTCTTCTTTTTATTACATTATTTATTCAAATTATTCCTCCAATTCTTTACTTATTGTTTCTTTTTCTTAAAGTAATTATGCTTTCTTATTTTCATAATCTTTCCATTTCTCAGCTAATTATTGTGTTTCAATTTCAAAATCTTTTATGAATTAAGCCTTGATTACATTAAATTCATCAATCTTCTTGTATTTCTTTTCTGCTCTTCTAAATAGTTTCTTTAATAGAACTATAGAAGATTCTATAGGTTTATCTTAAATTCCTATTGAATTTAAAGAATTAGTTGAAACTCTAGAATATAATTCTTATATTTAATCATGAACTTAAGCAGCCACTTCCTCAAGAACACTTTCTTAAGGTAACAAAGGTATTCTTTCTAAAACTGTTTCTAATAAATCGACTATACTTTATAACACTTATTCTATGCTTCCTTATAAAGCCATTTCAAATAAAGTTCTTTAACATTATGTTAAATCTGTTTGAAGTACTGCCTATAATCTAACAAAAAGAGAATTGATTCTATTCAATTATTCAGTTGGTAATTTTTCTTTTGGTTATAACTTATAAGATTCTAGCTATTATTTTAATTCCTTTAAAGCATCATCTGTCTCTTAACGAACTTAATAGTGTTCTTCTAATTAAGATTTTAGAGAAAGAAAAGCTTTATTCGTTAATTATCTATCTGTTTCATCTTCACTATCAGAATCATTTTAATAGGTTTGAAGTAAATTTGTAGCTCTTTACATTTTATTCTCTATTTAAGCTATTTCAGTATCAATCTCTTGCTTTTTCAATTAAACCAATCTAATATTTTATAGTAATTATTAATGATCACTAGGAATTGGTTCTCCATATAATTGTCTTGCTATTTCATGTTAATTTGAAATAACTTTATTGTCTAAGACTTAAAGTGTAGGAGTTAGAAAACATAGATATTCTATGTAACTGAATGTTCTACAAAAAGGATTATCACTAATAGAAAGTATTTTCAAATTTAAAAGAGGTTTAAGGTTTAATAACTACAAAGGATCTTTAATTTAATTTCTAGATAACTTAAGTGTTTCTAAAGTATGATTTGTTAAGTTTATCTCAGTTATTTGATTGCCATTCAAATTCAAATTAATCAAAGATGGTAGATATTCTAATCCATGCATTGATTTTATAAAATTATCTGAAAGATTAAGTTCTTTAAGTGCTGGCAATCTTAAATTCTCTATTTTTGTTATATTATTATGACTTAAGTTCAATTCCTACAAAAGCACTAATTAATCTAAATTTTCTATTTTCTATGTAAAATATTAAGATTACAGTCAATTTCATAGATCTCAATGATAATTTTGTTGTTTTAGCTGGCTCTTCACCTTGATTTCGAATTAGTTGATCCGTAATTTTGATTTGAGATGCAAACATAATAATATATAATTAAAAAATTCAATTAAAAATAAGATGGTTGACAAATTCCTTTATATTTTTATGATCTTAAAATAAAGATTTATATTTTATTTTCAAAATACTGTTATCATATTTTTTATTAGTTAAGATTAAAGAACTTGAAATTAAATAAACAAAATACTTTATTTCATTTGTCTTGTCAATCTAAATATTAATTAATATTTTTCTAAGTTCTTTATATTCTTAAATGATAAGTAGATATAAGCATTTTATTGTTATGATATTTCTAAATGATATTTAATATAGTCAAAGTAGTTTGAATATTAATATTAGGTTTAATCTCTTTTAATTTAATTTATTATTTTATATTCATTACATCTTCTTTTATTATACAGATAGATTCAACTACATATATATTACTTAAAATAAAAATATATTTTAACACTTTCTCATTTTTTATTATAGATTATTACTAAATTATTCATCAGACTCACAATTATTTACTTTTTTCATGAAGATCTTTAAATATTTTATTTTATTAATGAAAGTCATTTTCTTAATTTAGTTTAAAAATAGAAATTTATATTATCATTTAGATAGGAGTAGTGAAATAATTGAATTACCTTTTTAAAATTAATATCAACTTATATATATAGTTATATTCTGGCAATTTAGAAATTCAAAGATTTCTTTTATATTCATTTATGTACTTAAGTTAATATCTTTATTTAGTTAGATTTATTTCTCTAAAGGTATTCTTAATGTGAGTTGGATTTATTTTTAGTTGTATAAACATAAAATTGATTTGTTTGTGAAATGTATAGCCTGTTTTACAATCCATTTTTGTAAAAAAGTTATCATATTAAAATATAATAATAACGGAATGATCGAATTCCGCACTCCCAAGTACATTTGTTTAAAAAAAATTGAACCTCCAGTTATAAGATATCAACCTCGCACAATGTTTGTTAAGGTTAAGCATTTGTTACAGAAAAGAGAGAGTGTTGACACCTCATTGACTTTGAGCTAAACAGATGCAAAAATGCACTCTTAATAATCAGAAATCAGCAATCTTAGTACATTTTATTAAAGTTCTGATTAAGCAAAGGAGAACAAAGAATAACCAATTATTGATGTAGTACTTAAAAAAACTAATTCTTTTCATCTAAATTCTAAGATGAGAAGTAACAATAAAATCTCAAGAGTCTCTAAGAATTAATTAATGGATGTACTTTAAGAAATAACATCTCCTACATAGACTAGACGTAAATAATAGGTAATTTTAATAATTGTTATAAGGTTGTGAACAGGGAATGGGAGTATTCATATAGAAAATAATAAGGGAATAGTACATTTTTCTAATCAATGGACTCAACAAATGAATAGGCAACAGCTTTGCCAAAATCTAGAAGTTTCAGTGTGAGATAATCAACTGAATAATAATCAAAGCAATTAAAGGATATGATTGATAAAGCAATTAAAAATACAAAAACTTTTGATGAATATTTATTAAGCCTAGTGAGATGAATCATCAATTTTACTATTTTTTTAAATTCTACTTTTGTATATTGTTTTATTGTAATTCAAAAATAATAAAATATTTGAATTTTTGTATATTAATAAAAATATAAGATTAATATAAGATAATAAAATCTACATGTTAATTATATGATAAAAAACAAATTTCTAAATGTTTAATTTTTAATTTTTAAGAAGAATATATATATAATTTATAATTTAAAATGTAACAGCAAGATTAATAATTCAAAACAGTGAAAGTGAAATCAAATTTTCATCAATTCCAATTATTACCTAATCGTTAAATCCATCGATATAAAATAGAATTGACTATTTATTCAGATATTAATGCATAAAAAGCAATAACAACTTATAGATAGAAGTTAACAGAAAGTTTGAATACATTTTATTGTATTAATTTGAATATTTATTCTCCAACAAAAATTGCCACTTAAGTTTTAGGAGGATTAAATGATGTTGATGAGATATAAAATGTTGCAACTTTAAAATTTGTTGAATCTGTTGAAGGAGGAATAAAACTTTAATAAATATTAGCAAGAATTGTAAAGTAAATAATGAGTACACAATAAGGAATGGTTTAAATAGGTAGAGATAAATTATTTTGGCCAAAGAAATCTCATTCATTTCATGATCATAAGTTTGAAATTTGGGAAGGTGTATAAATAGTATAAAAATAATTTGGAGTTGTAATAGATTGTGCTTATAAAATATTAAGATAAAATACATTACTTGATGATCTTTCTATTACTAAAGAAGTTGATCGTTATGATGGAATGATAGTTATGACAAAATATAATTAAAAATTTTATAGAGTAGATCTTATAGAAACTGGGATGTCTCCTAAAGATATTTTTATTACTGAAAATGGAGAATAAACTACATTTAAAGAGTATTATAAACAAAGATATAATTTAAAATTAAATGAAAAATAACCATTAATAAAGACTACTCTAAAAATAAAAGGGAAATAGGAAGAAAAAGTAATTTATTTAGTTCCAGAATTATGTTAATTAACTGGATTGAGTGATAATGTTAAAAGTGTATATAATATAATATTATTTAGAATTTTTCAGTAATGAGAGAAGTTGCTAAAATAACAAAACCAAATGCATATGATAGAATAGATTAATCTGAAAAATTTGCTAAATAAATAAATTCAACAGTTAAAAAAGGATCAAATACTAATTTATTAGATACTTGGGGTTTGAAATTAAATAGTGTATCAATGAATGTTGAAGCTAAAACTGTTCGTCCTGGTTCATTAATTATGGGTAATGAAAATATTGATTTATCATCTTCAAATCTCAATCTAGATTAATAGACATAAAAAAAGATGTATTAAGTACCAGAATAGAAATTAGTATGGGTTCTTATTCATTATTATAAAGAAAAAGGATAAGAAGCCAAAAAATTACTACTTGAAAATATGAAATAAGCTATTTCTGAATATTAATTTTATGGCTTTTACTCTTAACCAATTATAAGATAATTATAGGAAGAGAGAGATAAGGCATTATTATAATTATGTGATGACTTATATAAAGAATCTGAATAAAAATAGTAAAAGATAGAATTCATAATCTTCTTATTACCAGGTTAAAAAAAGAATAGTCGTTTATATAGATGTGCTAAATTTATATCCTTATAAAAGATAGGTTGTCCAAGTTAAGTTGTCTTAGAAGATACTTTAACAAAAAATACTCGATCTATAGTTAATAAAATAATGGTTTAAATTTGTGCAAAATTAGGAGGTGTTCCATGGGCTATTGATAAATTACCTAAACTCTTTTAATAATAGCATACTATGATATGTGCAGCTGAATGTTATGATAGATTACATCAAACTAAACATTTAGCCTTTTGTTCAACTGTTGATAAAAATATGACTAAATACCATAGTCAAATATAAAAAGGGGCTGATTACAAAGGTGATAATTTAAAGAAAAGTTTAATCAAAGCTATGGAAGTTTACAAAGAAAAAAATACTGTTTTTCCACAAATAATAATTATTTACAGAGATGGTGTTTCAGATGGTCAAATACCTGTAGTTCTTGGAGATGAATTTCCTTAATATGATTAGGCAATCAAATAGATAAATCCTTAAAGTAAATTAGTTCTTGTTATTTGTAATAAAAGAGTAGCAGGAAAGTTCTATCAAGCAGGACATAGACCTGATAATCCTGCATCAGGAACAATTGTTGATAGTAAGGAAATTTGTGAAGGATAATAACCAAACTTTTATTTGATCTCTTAAATGACCAGATAAGGTACGTCTTAACCAACACTTTATAAGATATTGCATTCAGATATACCTAATATTGAAAATGATATCAAAGTTCTTACATATAAATTATGTTGGTTGTATTATAACTTTGCTGGTCCAATAAAGATTCCTGCTCCTGTTAGATATGCTCATTGTTTATGTGAATTTATTGGTTCCAGATATTAAAGAACTGATAAGGATCCTTTCATTCCTGTAGAGGAATTAGTTAAAAAAGGAGTATTATTTTACATTTGAATAATTTATTTATATATATAATATTATGTTATTAGATGGTCATTCATCATCCAAATTAATTTGACTGCCAAATTTAGCATATAACTTAGCTTTCAAATTATTCATCGATTTGAGTGTCTCTTCAATTTTCTTAGTATCCTCTTCAAATTATTTCTTAATCTATATTACTTATTCATCTATCAATGTTCTTGCCTTTTTATATAGTGAAAGTTCTTTACTTTTTCAACATTCACTCTAATGAAAGAATCACCAAATTTATATGGAATCTTCTCATCATCATCCATTAATTCCATTTCATCTTTACCATCTGACAAACGAACTAATTCATCTTTTCGACTATCCTTATTTTTATTAATTCTATACGCTTAATTCAATCTAATAAGTTCATGATATTGCATATTCAATCTGCTAAAAGAATTGATTTTTTATTAATCTTGTCTATCTACTTCTATATTGTCAGTACTTGTAAATTTCATTATTTATAATTTTAATGTGTTGAGTACTAATCAATTGCATTGCAAGCACTTTCTAAAAAATCAAAGGATGGTTTAAAAAAGATAGAGGTGAATGTATATTTTATCTTAAGAGCCCCTCTAAGATGACTAAATTAGATAAAGTCCATCACCATCAATGGCTGCTTAAGCACCAAAATATTCATGAGGATGAGAAAGATAATCATAATTTTGATGGTACCTTCTAAAAGTAATAGACATTCTATTACTTTTTTTATGACATTAGTACCTTAAAATTAGAGGTATTGATTGATGAAAGAAGTGTGCCATTGATTATATTATAAATACATCATTAAAATAAAATATTCTTAAATCTTAAAATATTCTTCTTCTCATATACCTAAATATATATTATGATTTTAATATCTTTAACATAAATTTCAAAATTTATTCAGATACTAATTAATAATATATAACAATCTCAAATTTTATATTTAAATTATATAACAAATAAATGCTTCAACCAATTAAATGGGCTTAGATTAGTAATTTTCTATGTAATTTAAGCTAGATACTCCCTGTTGGATTTTCAATGACCAAAAATTAATACCTGGAGTTATTCTATAAGTTTCTCCTTTTTTGATTAGCACAGCTGAAGGCAATATAGCTGATTCCAAAAATGTATATTAAAGAAGTTTAGATAATGTACAAGAACTCGAAGATTTGATTGATCTATCAATTTTTAATGAAGCTGAAGTTCTTAATGCTTTGTATCAAAGATTTTAACAAAAAAAATTTCAAATTTTTTGTGGAGCATCTTTTCTCAGTATGAATCCAATTCATAAAGAAAATACAAAATCTTAACAATTGTAATAAATTGCTCTAAATTCTTTCCATTAAATGATTGATATACCTTAATCAATTATAATGACTGGAGAATCAGGATCAGGTAAGTCTGAAATTAGTAAATAAATTTAGTTATAGCTTTCAAAATTTGGTAATCTTCACACTAAAGTTTTGGCTTGCAATTAAATTATTGAAGCATTTGGAAATGCTAAAACTTAAAGAAATTCCAATTCATCTCGTTTTGGAAGGGTTACAAAAATGCTTTTTGATAAAGATTAAAAGTTATGTGGTATTCATATTACAGCTGTTTCCCTTGAAAAATCACGCATCTATAATGTACCATAAGGAGAATGTAATTTTAACATATTTTATTAATTCTTGAATTATGGATAATTGACTTTATTTAATATCAATACAAATCAATAACAAAATCTGATTCCAAATCCTTTAAATTCAAAAGCATCTTAATAATAATCTTAAAAGGAAACTTAGCAATTATAAGATACTCTTGATGCTCTTAAATTATTTAATATTAATATTGATGTAATTTTAGGAATATTGGCTTGTATTATAAAATTAGGTAATATATAATTTGAAGATCATAATAGTGATTGTACAATTAATGATTAGAAATCAATTCTATAGATAAGTCAATTACTTGGAATTTCAGATAAAGAATTGATAAGATGTTTATGTTATAAATAGAGATAATTACTGAAAAATGAAATAGTTGATACTCCATTAAGTAGAATAGAATGTATAAATTAATAATAAAATATAATAAAGCAATTATATGAAAGATTATTTGAATTCTTAATTGATTCAATTAATTGTTAGTTGTCTACATAAATAAATAAGTATTAAATAAGCATAGTAGATTATTTTGGTTTTGAATAAAATACAGTAAATAGTTTTGAGTAATTACTAATTAATTATTCTTAAGAAAAGATATAATAATTCTATCTTTTTGATATTTTTCAATGTGATACTAAAATATTTTAATAAGAGGGTTTGAGTAACAATTAAGGACCAACAAATTATATAAATAATATAACAATTTTAGAATGTTTAGAAAGACCTCCTTTAGGGATTTTGAATATTTTAGATGATAGTTGCAATGTGGCTGGTACAGATGAAACCTTTTTAACAAAAGTTAAAAATGCCTTTGTTAACAATCAAATAATTACATATCCAAAATCTTAATCATAACCAATATTTAAGGTTAGACATTTTGCAAGAGAAATTGAATATAATGTTATTGGATTTCGAATTAAAAATAAAGATGAAGTTAATAAATAGTTTTAAATTTTACTTTAAAAATCAAAGAATTAATATATTTCAACTATATATTAACAAATAATTACATAAAAATATGTAGGAACAGTTGCAAGAACTGAATTATAAAACTTAATTACTTCTCTTAAAGATAACAACAATTATTTCATAAGATGTATTAAACCTAATGATTAATTAATACAAGATTAATTTAATCAATCATTCGTTTTAAATTAGATTAAATATTCTTGTTTAGTGGAAAGTCTATAGATGAGGAAGGATGGTTATCCATACAGAAGAACTTATTAATAATGTTATATGGATTATTTTGGAGTAATTTAATAGAAAAAGGTTGATTACAAGACAGCAATTATAAATTACATAAAAAAAAATTTTGAATTTTCAGATGATTAAGTATTATTTGGAAATAGATTGGTATTCTTTAAATATCTAACATATCGAATTATTAAATAGGAAATAAATAAATAAAATAGTTTAAAATAATAGGCTGCATAAAAATTGTAGAATGCTTGGATTTGTTATAAGAACAAAATGATTTTTCGAGAATTTCAATGTAGAATTATATATATATAAGCTCACATTAGAGGATATTTAGAAAGATAAAGATATGTTAGATATATGTAGTCTATTGTTTTTATTTAATTTAAAATAAGAGAATGGTTAAAAAGAATAAATTATAAAAGAAATTTATAAGCTGCAAAAATAGTTCAAAAATATTTTAAGAGAATTTGTGCAATTAAATAAATGATTGTTGAAGAATAATGTGCTATCAAAATATAAAGATTTATAAGATAAAAATAATTATATTAAGACTAATAAATTGAAAATGATATAAAAAAATTATTATTTAAAGTGACAGATTAAGCATGGAAAGTAATTGTATATAGAGCTGCTACTAAAATTTAAAAAACATGGAAGGGTTACATTACACGTTTAATTAATGAAGATAATATATAATCAATTAAATTAGCTGGATTTTTAGTAACAGCCAATCAAGCTGCAATTACAATCTAAAAATATGTTAAAAGACAATAATAAAGAAGATATTATTAATCATTAAGAGCAGCCACTACTTATATTTAGGGATGGATTAGAAGTAAATGGTTGACAAATCTATTTTAAAGGATTAGATATGCTACAATAATAATATAAAGAGGAGTGAGGAAATATTTCAATTAGTATAGAAAATAAAGAAAGTATGAAGATATAGTATTAAAACCTTTGGAGAATGAATTGAATAGGATAAGAGAATAAGAATTTATGAATCTGCATGATAGTTATATTGAATCTATTTTGGAGAATGAATAAGAAAATATTCCTGGGAAAAAGATTGACTTATTCAGTTAAGTAATAGATTTAGAAATATTGACAGATGTAAGTGAAATATATGATACATTATGGACATCATTATATAAGAGATGTTTTAAGGAATGTTATGAAAAATAGAATTATATTTCTACATACTCTATAGGAGAATGTCATGCATATGTTGGAACATTATAAAATAAAATTTATTCTTGGGGATTAAATGATTCATTATAATAAGGATTACTTAAATAAAATACAAATAAAATTAATTAGATATAATTTCCATTTAAAATAAAATCTATTAAATCTGGAGCTAATCATGGATTAATTTTAACTTAAGACAATGTTTTGTATTCAACAGATGAAAAATAATGTATTTTAAAAAATGTTAAATTATTCTCTGTTTATAATGATGATAATGTAGCTGTTGATGAAAACAATTTAATTTATATTTGGAAAAAAAAATAGAAAAATCCAATTGAATTGAAATCATGGAGTACCTTCATTAGAATGAGTTAGATATAGTAGAAGATATAAATACATTAAATTTCACATGGTTTATAATTCTTCATAGTATTATCAACTAATGGGATGATGTTCTCTATGGGTGAAAATACAGTTGGAGAATTAGGTATAAATAGAGGTCATTCTAAAAATGAATTAACTTTAATAGAATTATCTGATAAAATAGCAGAAGTGCATTGTGGAATGAAACATACTATTGCCAAATCTACTTTAGGAAAAGTATACACTTGGGGCTGGGGTCAAATGGGATAATTAGGACATGGAAACCTTAAAGATGAAGCTTCTCCTAAGATTTTACCATTTGAATCAAAAGTTCTTTAGGTGATGGCTGGTCACAAATAATCTATTGTTATTTTAGATACAAAAAAGATTTATTGGTGGGGTACTAATTCTTGCTTATAATATCAAACAAAACCTGTTGAATATATGACTAATTATCCAGCAGTTAGAGTTATATGTAATTGGAGTAGAACTTTAAGTATTGTTTATATAACATTTGCAAAGACTTATAAATGTATAGATAATAACATAAAATTGAAAAATAAAATTATCAATTAAATGGTTAGCAAATGGAGTGAAAATGATATTTATTCTTTAGATCCTCCTTATTGTGATAATTTAGCTAATTATTTCAATCAAATGAAAAAGCCTTAACAAAAATTAAATATTAAATTTGCTTCAAAAATTGAACATTAATAATTGGTTAAATAACTTTAGTAATCTCCATTTAATTTACTTGATGATGTGAAAGATTCAAGTTGTTTTTTTAGTTTTAAAAATGAATCCAATATTTTATTACAAAAATAATTATTAGAACATTCTGAAAATACAGATATTATCAATGCTAAATCTTATCATATCGATAATTCAAATAAGTATAATTTTATTTATTATTTAGACTCAAATTGCTTAAATCTGTTAAAAAATATAGGAATGATCCTTAATTATAAGAAATACTAAAATAATCTGAATTAAGTGATATATTATAATATATAAATTGATATATTTAAGCAATCGAAAATGAGGTATTCTTAATGGAATAATTAGTGAGGAAAATAAGTAAGAATAACAATTGGTCTTTGCTGTAATAGAAGAAGGCTATTTTGATCAATTGCTCAAAAGAGTACTCAGAAAAACACAAGAACCCTAACATCAAATATCATTGAAGGAAGCTCAAGCAATTGTTAATACTGTTTCTCGATCGTCAGATTTGTAGTCAATAAAAGAATTAGGATTTAAAGATTTTGTTGGATATTTGCAATCTATAAGGGATGTTTATATTGAATATAGAAAATTTCAAAAACAAGTACAATCTTCAGATATACCTGATGATTTAGATGAAATGGTTTTAGGTTGTTATAATACAGTGCCTGCATATTTCTTTGATTAGCCATTCCGATTCAACTATTAATTATTTTCATTAGGCAAAGATAAAATTAATTAATATTTAGAAGAGATTAAGGATCATTTAGATGATGTAGAGATTACATTATTCTTTTAAATAAATTCTCGTTTTGATAAGTTTTTAAGTGTTGTATTAAATTTGAATGATATGAATTAAATCATAGATTAGAATATTATAAAAGTTAAGAGAATACGTGAAATTTATAGTGTAACAAGAGAACATATGATAAGAAAAAGTACTGAAATCACAAGAAAGAAACAAGTATTAATTCTTATTGAGTTTAGACAATTGAAAAAGTTGAAAACATTTTGTTTACTCTAAAACGTATTTAGTCGATTTAAAAGAGTTTCATTACATTAAATGAACTTATAAATACTAAGAAATATTCCTAAGCTGTCTAATTGTTAAAAGTAAGTGAATAAACATATTAAACTATTAAATCAATAACAAGTTTAAAGTTTATTCCATAAAAGCTAGAATAATTACAAAAAAATTTATATACTACAATTTTGAATCATCTTTTATCAATAATGCTTACTCAAATGACATCATTATTAACACCAAATAAATAACTCATTAATTAATTAAATCATTAATTAAATGATCATGATGATTCTGTGCTTGCCAATTCTTATGTAAATGATAGTTGGTTTGAATAATAACAACAATAAATTATAACTATTAATAAACAATCAGATGATAGTTTTATTAAAACACTTTTATCTTCATCAGGTATTATTGATATGGGTGATAAAATATTTAAATAAAAAGTTCTTGAAGAATTATAAGGATATTATTAGGAGTTTCTTATTGCAATTAAGAATTTCTTCAATCAAGAAGAATCAGAGTAATAAATTAAATTTGATGAATAATCTATAATGGAATAATTATCTTAGTATATGGAAGAACAACCATTAAGTATCTTCATAAAAATTGTTTAATTCTTTTCAGAAAATTTAAAAAAGACAATCAATCTATAAATTGCACTTGCTTAATCAATTGCCAAAAATGTATTGGATTAACCAAAACATATGGAAATTATTGAGGAACATTTTTCCATTCCAGTGGCTATGTTAAAATTTTCTAATGAAAAAGTAGCCTTATTATTATCATCAAAGAGAATTGCTTCTGACTCTTCAGTTAAAGATTTTATAGATTTACTTTAAATTTATAAATTTTGGGATATATTTTTGTAATAGGACATGTCTAGAATTAATGAAGATTTACAAATCAATGATAAAATAATGTAAAAAATTAGAGGATAATATTAGAAATGTTCTATAAATTAATTAATTTATATGCGAAGTGCTTAGGAAAAGTAATATCTCTAAAACTTTCATAAAGAGAAGAAAACCCAATTGAATAAATATCTAGAAAATGAAACATGGTTGGCATCAGATGTATCCTTTGATAATTATGAAATTATTACATATTTATTGGATCTAGAAGATTTGAAATAAGTTGAATAGCTAGATGAAAGTGTTTTACTTAATAACAGTACAATGGCAGGGAAAAATCTATTACCATCATATGTAAATAATTCACATTTCAAAATTATAAAAACAGAAATTATCATTTTAAAAGACAATTCTAAATATAAAGTAACATAAGCATTCTTATTCTTTTTATAAGCAATAGGTTAATATTTGCATTTATTTGAATCTTACTCAATAATCAATTATGAATAGACCTAAAAGTTAGTAGAACTTATAAAATGTTATAATTCTTTAGCCACATAATATATATTAGGAGCTGGAGCAGTGCATTTTGGTAAAATTACTACAATTACAGCTAAAAATTTAGCTATTTCATCAATATGTTTGAGGTTATTCTTATATTTATTAGATCCCTTATCAAATAAATTATTTAAATTAATTAAGTAAGTATTTAATAATAAGTATTAATTAGTTAATAGTAATAAACCTAATTTACTAATTTACAATAAATCTAGAATGATTTTGCAACAATCAAAGTAGATTATGAAAATCATAATGCTGAAATTATGGCCAAATTAACTACTATAGTATAGGATAGATTTTATAAACATTTTGAAGATATTGCTAAATTAGATTGGAATGTAATATTCAATTAATCATTTAGGATTCTTAAACTAAAATAACTGTTCCAACTAAGATGACTAATCAAATTTGTTAGAATACTCGATCTTTATATGTAGCTATTGAAGATATAATTACAAAAGAAGATCTTTGTAAGGTTTTTGGACATATTGTATCTATTCTTAGTTCTGATTTTGTAAAAATATTTAAATAGTTGAATATAACTTCAAAGTAAGAATATTATTGAATAAAATAGAATTGGGTTTACTAGAATTAAAGAAGAGTTAGACTATTTTATGAATTCTTTAAAGGATATAGGATAGTTGCCTTAATTATTAATTGATTAATATCAAAATTTAGAATCAGAAATCACTACAGTGATTGAGAGTAAACAATAATGAATCCTTATGTTTTATATATATATATATAATTAATATATATTAATTAATAATGTATTGAGAATTCAAAATAAGAGGAAAAAAATCAAAATGTAATTAAAATCTTTAGAAAAATATCTGAATTGAAGCAAATATAAATAATTAGTATTAACATTATTTTTATGAATTAAAAAGAAACTTCTTCTGTTAATACATCTCACTAATAACAATAATCTCATTAAAATAAAGAAGAGAGTAAATTAAAAAGTCTATTGTAGGGTAGCTATGATTATATTCACAGAGAAACAGGCAAAATGATATAGAAAGTAACTTGATTTATTAAGTTGAATAGAAACTCTATAAGCGAGCATTCTAACTTTTAGATAAGTTTTCTAGTTAGCGTAAAGATTTGGAATTGAGTGAAATGGTAATGTTAAATCGTAGGATAATGAATTGCATTAATAAAATTCTAAAAAAAGGACTGTTAAAACCAGATATTGAATAAGATAGGCCTGAAACTATGTTATTAATAGTTCAAAGAGGAACTTAAGCAATATTTGAATTATACAAATATATAAATCTATATATTTAGAAAGTTATGCCAAATGAAATGAAAGGAGTTGTGTAATCATATTATTTATATAGTTAGATTAGAAGACGTTTCACATTTAACAAGTTCTGATGAAGAAGGATAAGAAAGAATTAAAGAATAAGAAGTTACTATACTATTTTACAAGATTAACGAATATGAGAAGCCTAAAAAAGAGAGAACCAAAAAATAACCAAAAGAAATCAATTTTTTTGAATAAGAAGTATCAGAATCTAGTCGTATTGCAAATATGATTGTTAAAACATTAAAACCACTAAACATATAATTTGAATTAGATTAATACTTCTATAATTTAATTGAATTACTATTAATGACAAGTTTAGTATTTAAAAAAGCAAATAAACCTAAAGTCGCTTATTATTATTTATTAGAAGCTCAAAGAATAGCAAAATAAATACTTAATACTTCAAATCCAAATCTAATTAATGCTTGTGCTAAAGCAAAGGTTTATTTAGCTAATTATTATTTTGAAATAAGTGAAAACTAGGAATCATTAACAGTTGCTGAAGAAGCTATAGTAATTTTATGTGGAGAAATGAGAATTAGAATAAATTAAGAGAAATTTGCATAAAGAAAGTACAAAAATAGAGAAAGAAAAAGAATGAAAAGATGTGTTATAACAACTTTATCTGCTTTGGTTACTATGATGTGTAATTATGAAGCTTAAAATAATTATCATAGGATTGTAGAGTCATTAACAACAGCTAGTTGGTTGGCAGAAAAATATATATAAGGAATAGATGAGTTTAAAAAACATATCATAAAATTAGCAAGTGAAGGAAAGCATAGAGTTGAATAAAATCTCAAAGATTTAGCTGATTTAAGTTTTATTGCTGAATCAACATTAGATTCAGAGTTGAATAAAATTAGGAAAAAAAATAGAGATAAATTAGAGTAATCAGAATCTCAATATCTTAAGAAATTTAATAATGATATGTATCATCTTTTTCAAATCAAACCTTTAAATTAAGAATTATATATAAAAACATAAGTGAAGTAAGAATAGAAAATAAATAAATAAATTGATTAAAAAGTTATTGAGTAATCATAACCACATGGAACTGATGCTTCTATTAATATATTTGATAGTGATTCTAATAGCTAAGATAGCTTTTTTGATGGAAGTTTTTTTGCTCCTTCAATAGACAATTTATAATTTGATAATGATATCTTTGAAAAGAAAAGAACATAATCAGTAGCAAAAAAGCCTATAACAAATAATAGAAAATTATTAAAATTAAATAGAAAATTAGGAAAATCTGTTGGTTTAATTAAAATTGGTTTAGAAAGACCTTTAGATCATAAATCTAAAATTTTAACAACTAATTAGTATTTTAATGAATTTTAGAAACCAAAAAAGTAAGAAGAGAGGAGTGTAAGTAATGCAGGAAGATTATTAAAAAGATAATTAGAAAATATAGAATATAGAGAACATCCAGATAGAGATGAACATCATAAATAAGATTTGGATGTTTATGTTAATAAGATGGTTACTGGAAAGATTGAAACTAATGAATTTCAGGATTATAATGATATTCTAGGATAGTTATTTAATTTAAGAAAGAAGGAGGATTTTGATAAGAAAGAATTTTATTTTGGTAGGAAAATGCTCAATTTGAAAGCAAAGGAGGAAATCATGTTTTATAAAGAATCATTCAATTCACCACCAGTAAAAGTGGAGATAGACACAAAAGTTAGAGATTAAGCACATATTATAGATGGTAAAATAACAGCAGAAAAAGAATTAAAAGAGTTAAAAAGAAAAAAGATTGATAAAATGGTAGCAGGCAAAAAGATTGTATAAACTAATGTTAATATTGATTTGAAAGATGAAGAAGAGACTATTTATTTGAGAAAAGTATTAGAAAAAAGTAAGAAAAAGAAACTAAAAGATTTTATTTATAAACATCGAGAAGCTTTAGGATTATCAAAGTTTTTTGCAAATTTACATAGAGAATAAAAAGAAAAGGAAAGGATATAAAAATTAAAGTCTGCTTTTGAGAGGGAAACTTTAGTGGAGGTTACTGAAAATTAGAATTTATAATAGTAGTCTACTAAACATAGAAAAAATGTTAGAATTTTGGTATAAGAAATTGATAAGAAACCTCTAAATCATTAATTATCATTGTAACCATCTTAGGGTAGAAATTCATTACTAGGATAAGATGATATAAAGATATAATCAACTTAGAATCTGACATAATAAAAATCAAGTTCAATACCTAAGCCTATATTGAAGAAGAAATCTGAGACTTAAAAAAGTTCACAGGTAAGTCAATCAATTACAAATCTAGAAGCTTAAGGAACAGATTTAATATTATAATAAGAGAAATAACAAAAGGCATAGAGATAGGTAAGAGATTAGATAGAAAAACAATAAAAGAAATCTCATTAAGTGATTGGTATGATAATAGATGGAGTGGAAAGAAAAATGGATATTGAGAATAAGGAATTAAGTAAGATGTTATTCAAACAAAAGGGAGGATAGAAATAATACATTGATGATGATGAGAAAACTTTTTTAAAATTTACACCTAAATTTTCAGATATGAGCAGATCAACTTATCTTATGTATATTAAAAAAGAGTTAGCTGAAAAATAATTGTTCAGTTTAGAAGATAGCTAACCTCCAAGAATGGCAATGCCTAAAAAAAATCAATTGTCAGATATGGCTCAAATGTTTAAAGAATTCGGGTAACATTAATGATTTTTATATAATAATATTTTATAATAAATATGATTGGCAACAGTATTACACATTACGTAATTATTAATGACGAAATATCTTTGTTCGCAAATTAATAACACATATGGTCTGCAATTAGATATTTATTTGAATTCAATGACATCATAAACACTTTTGTTAACTTTGGGAGTATTGATGGTTTTGGGAGCTACAGCCTATATGAACTATGAGGAGAATGTTAGTTCAATAGATCATGGATTCACAGCAGATTTTGCATCCTTCATAAAATCTTTTGATTCAAAATATGATTTTATTAGATCTGATATCACTTGGTCAACATATGGGTAATCAAATATTTCTATTATTACTTATAGAGGTGCTGAAACTAGACCAACTACTGCTCCATCTAAATATCCAATTGTTTTTGTTCATGGAAATTCTGATATTGGAGCTGGTAATGGTGGAACTGTTGGATGGTAGACTGGATTCACATAACTTATTGAATATCTATAAAATTATGGTGGATACACAAAGGCTGATTTGTATGTAACAACATGGGGTAAAATTTTATAATAATAAATTTGTAGGTCCTGCCAATCCAAATATGGCATCATAAAACAGTCATAGTGAAAAATATGTGATGACTACTAGACGTTTTATTGAAGGAGTTCTTGCTTATACAAAAGCTAGCAAAGTTATTGTCATTGGTCATTCAATGGGAGTCACTTTGGCAAGAGCAGCTATAATTGGTGGAACTTATTCAGAATCCTTATTTAGTAAATTTACTGTTGGAGATCCTATAACTAATTCTATTGCTGCTTTCTTTGGATTAGCTGGTGCTAATTATGGTTTAGTTGATTGTACTTATGCAACTGGATTACCTACTTGCAGTACATACAATGGATTTTCACCATCATCTTAAATGTTAACTGCTTTGAATTCTAAAACTCATAGAGAAGGTGCTAAAGTTTATTCTTTTTGGTCTCCAAATGATGATATCATTAAATACAATTGCATTGTCAATCAAAAAAATACTTGCATTGTACCAGGAAGTGATGAATCAGTAATTCTATCATTTATAATATTAGTATTAATAAAGTGGATACACACATTTTGATGTAAGAGATAAGTTTTCAGCTGACATACTTCGTCTCATCTAGAAATTATGATTATTTTATATATTAATTAAATATAAGACTCAAATCTTTTTTAACAATAAGGGGGGTATTCTTACAAATATACTGCTAAAAAAGGGGCCAACATCAAAGACCCTAAGTATAACAATTTTTTAATTATGCAAATGAGACACAACAATAAAAAAGGTACAACATCATCATTTTCAGGTTTGTGATAGGAGTGTGTCTGAATTACAATTAATTAATTTATTAATTGCTTTTCAATTACAATTACTTTAATCTAGGCACACCCCCTAACACAAACCACTTGCAAAATCCCATATATATTAATGTCTATTCTTAACTTATATAGATTGCCTAAAGCTTAAGTTATAGAAAAAGGGAACCTTCATTGAAATTGTCCATCCAACCAAATCATCAGATGAAGAAACCATCGTTAAGAAACGTATTGTTAGTAATTTTAATGTCAATTCAACTTTTTGGATCACTCCTAAATAAGATGTTCCTCCTACTTTGGATTTTGAGACTCTCTTTAAAAAACCTTTTCCAGAATAAGCTGTCAAACACAATGAAACCTTTGAAAAGCTCGAAGTTGTCACTAATACCAATTAAAAGATACTAATTGATGTTCCATCTAGACCAGCTGCTTATTCTTTAGAAAAATTAAATTTGAAAGGGAAACCAACCCTTGAATAGTTATTTTAAGCCATACCAAATTGTATGGATTATAAGGAGAGGGATAAATATTTTAAATAAGGAGGATTTAAACTGAATTATCAATCTGGTTATGCTCCAGTTGAAATATAAAATAAACATAAGGATCCTGAAGATTATACAAAGAAATAACACTTTATTAGATAAAAATAATCATAAGCCAATTTGAATTTGAAAAGAACTTGTGGTGTTTCTTATGTAAAAAAGAGTGAAAGTGAATAGAAGGATGTTAATCATATTTTTAAAAAGTATTGATTAAATTTAATGAAGACTTCCTCCACTTGTTTATTAATGTTCATCAGGTTGTTAACCAATAACTGGATATGATGAAGCATTTGATAATTTATTTTATAATCTTTTGAATGGAAAGAACTTAATTGTGTTCACACTTTTCAATTCATAAGATGAAAGTGCCTTAAGAGAATATTTATTATTTCCAAACCTTAGAAATAAGATTGGAAGAGAAAGAGTTATGATAGCTAGAAAATTCTTAAATTTATGGATGTTATTTTAAGATGCTTTATGTTTAGTAATTCATTATAAATATGACGAGTATAAAATAAAATATAATTATTAGAAATTAATTATTAAGACCAATATAATTGGATGAATAAGAAGATATAAAGTAATAATTAGTGGATTTTATTTGTGAATCAGAAATTTCAATATGTTTATTGTTCAAAAAAAGTGTATCAGGTAGAAAAGCATTTTTGAAGAGTGTTGGATTATGGAATGAAGGAAGTGACAACTCTTCAATTTGCACAGAAACACAAAGAGAAGAATTATAAACTAAATTTGTAATATCAGTTCCAAAAGTTCCAATCAATAGTAATTCAACTCCATAAAGTCTATTCTAAGAATTTACAGATATAATTTAATAATAAGAGAATTATGTTTTAGAAACCAGAACTTAAACACAGGCTCCTCAAACTCAATAACAAAATCCAAATAGTGAGAAATAAACAAAAAAGAAAAAGAGAGCAAAGATCTTATCATCAACAGATGTAAGAAAAGATGGTGGAGCCAGTGAATAATTAATAAATCATTTAATAAAAGAGGATGGAAATCATAATATTAATACATGTAGTATAAGAATGGAGATGTATGTTACAGAAGAAAAATGGAAATCAGCCAATGATCATAATAAAGATTTACTTAATGCTTTTATCAAGAGAGTTGAACATCATGTAACTAGTTCATATTTAATTAAAATGATGAATAAAAGATTTAAAGCAAATGAAAAAGGATAAGATTATATTATAAGAAGAAGCAATAAAATCTATGAAATACTAACAGATAATGTTTAGATAAAATAGAATAAAAAGACAATTAATTGGACATCAACATTTACTCCTGAAAATTTTACAAATCTATCAACATTTAAATTAAGCAAGAAATACTAAAATATCTCTTTAGACATTATTAAAATGAAAGAATTAAGTTTTCTTAAATAACCATTATATTGTATAACAACTAGAGATAGTTTTGCATTTGATTTAATTACTAAAGTTACCAAAGTTAAATTAGGAGATAGAATGGTAGATAGGTATTAAATTATAATTTAAATCAATCTAGATTAGATTTCTTTTTTGAACCTAACAATTGTCCATGTAATTTTAAATCATTTTTACCAATGTTTCCAGAATATTAAGTTGGAGCACATGCATATGTAGGATATTTTACAAATGAAGAATTATTATAAATGGAAAAAGATATTTTTGATATGGAATTAAAAGGATTTGATGGTAATATTCTATATATTTATTATTTTATAGGTCATTATTTACCTATGACTGCATAAATTTCACATGCTTAATCAAATCATCATTCAAGTGTACGAAGAACTAAATTCTTTTTTGGTTATAGATATATGTGGACTAAATGTTAATTAGCTGAACCACATTCAATGGTAGCTGCTGGTGTCAGAAGAGATGTATCAGCTCCTCCATTATGGATGAGAAATCTCATTACTTAACTTGAAAATGATAATGTAGTTCCTAAAAAGTTTATTAATTCTATTGCTTGTAATGTTTATCATGATGGAAAAGAAGGATTAGCATAACATTTTGATGATGCTGTTAGATTTAAATAACCAATCTTTACTATTAGAGTCTTTTCAGATTGTAGATTATCATTTGGAAGCCAATTTTATGGATTTTGCAATGGAGCATTTGCTGTTCCTTTACCAAGAGGGTATCTATTTAATTATTACTATTTATAAGATGTATTCTTTGTATGGAAGAAGGTTCTTATGCTGCAAATGCTATCAAACATTGTGTAAGACCTTGTGATATGACTGGAAAAAGTGCAGCTTTAATATTACGTCAAATGCATGATTAAGTAACTTAGGAAGCCATAAAATATGATGAATACGTGGATTTACCATGTCATATGTCTACTTTGTCAGTTGATGATAATGCAGTTCCATTTGGAGAATAAAAGAGATTAGAAGCTGAATTACTAAGTTGATTAGAATAATAATAATAATATTATTTAATAATCTACTTTTCTGATGTTTAGATAAAATTATTATTCAATATTTATATATTGATAATGCAAAGTATTAAAACTTATTAGTAATTACTAATTAAATATTTTTGTATAAGAAAAAATAACAATTAGGTAGAATTGAAGATAAAAAGTTTTTAAGAATCCTATAAAAATATTAAAGCTTTATAAATTTTCAGACAAAATTGAAAAAAAAATCAATTCCATAAAAAGGTTTATACTTAAATAGATCAATAAAAAACTAATTTAGTTTATTTGATTTAAATAAGGAAGAACAATTAACTAAAATATTAAAGAAAAGGAGAATTTTCGAATATTTTTCCACATTCATTTGATAGCTTAATTCAAAAAATCAATAAAATGTAACTAGATTTTAAACTTTCTACAATATTATTGTTTCTTAATTATAAGAATGAAACCAAAACATAAATCATATTGAGTAAATGATTGATTTAATTTAAGTCCATTTTTATATTGGCAGTAAATAATTTGCAAATATGTAAACAATTAATAGGATTAAAGTAATACTGACAACAAATAATATTGATTATTTATATTTATATTGAAATCTTACTTAAGAATTCTAAAGTCTACTTTAAGCAATAATTACAACTTTTCTATAAATTAATTATTAGATGATCTCAAATGGACAAGTATGTTATTTTGGTAAATAAATTAGTTTGTAAATTTATTTCTATACTATACTTAAGTAGGTGACTATAAATCTTGAAAAATAAAAACTTTATTTAAGCATTCAATAAATATTCTCTATTTTCAAACAATGTATCTTTATAAAATTTAAGCTAAAATTATTTATACTATTCATAGAAATATATTTTACACTTACAAAAGAAATGCATAAAAATAAATATTATGATCTTTCAATAAAAATATCATATATTCTATTAAATATTGATCAAAAGCATATAAAATTTGAAATTCTAAAGAACATCATATTTAGCTTGATTGATAAGAAAACATAAAATAATTGATCTAAGATCTACAACTAAGAAGAAATTTTGCTCTATTCTACATTAGAATTGATTTTCTAAATAGATGATATACAAAATTATTATAAATATATATGCAATAATCCCATTTTTATTACGATATGTTCAAAATCATATCATTACTATTTTAGTAGGATCTAATTAATAAATAAGAGAAGGATGAATTGAAATGTACTTCAATTTTTAATGTTAGTTATGGTACTTGAATCTCAATCTGAATTGATGTTTTAACTGCAGGCCATTTATCGTTCATCTGTTAAGGGAAAATAATTACATATGGTCCATGCGATCAAAAATTATATAGATTCTCATAGATAAGGTTCTCCAAGAAATAGTTCGCCCAGATCATCAAGATATTTGGAAGCTTCTCGTATGTGGAGTATTTATGAAGAGAATGAAGAAGAGGAAAGAGATAACGAAATTAAATTGATAGGAATTCGACGCTGACAATTAGATTGTTCAAAAGTTATGACTCTTTTTGTTTATTAATTATTTATGGAGACTTAAACTCAATATTAAATTTCTCAAGAAGGTGTGTCTTACTAAATATATATTTAGATATTAAATCTCTGAATTCAAAATATCGTCTGGTTTTTACTTATCCTGCAGCTGCATTTACCATTTCTGCTCTAATCCTTAAATCCACTAAATTTTTGAGTTTCCCTAAATTTTTCAGAAACCCTCTTGAAGTAAGCAATAAAATAATTTAATCATTCTCCAGAAGGAAATGTTCTCTTCTCTACCAGACTATAGAAAATGGCAAAGCTCCCTTTATTATTATATGGTGCATGTGTTGGAGGAGGTATTGGGTTATTTCAATATGAATTATCCAAATATCATATGTTTTTGAAGTATAAAATCTTAGTAAATACATATTTGGATTCTTGTGAAGCAGTCTATATGAGTGAATTAAAAAGAGTCAAGAAAAATAAATTTAATAAAAAAATTAGTATATTATTATTATTCTTATAAGTAAATTAAATCACTATAAAATAGTTTATATCTGATATATGTATAAGTTAAATATTAAGATAAACAAGTGAGGTATTTGATAATCTGAATTACATTATAATCAAAATATAACAGAAAAACGATATATTTTTACTATGAAAAAAGTTAGAATAAAAAAATAAATAAATTAAATACCTAATTTGTTATTTATAAAATGCTTTTGATTCGACAAATATCTTATGAATAAAAGAATGTGTTATTACTATTACTTCTTTTTCATTTAGTTGACATTAATAAATCAAAGTATATATTAATTTATTGATTAAAAGGGGAAAACAGTTTTATAATGTCTAATAAAATTATGATTTGCTTAAATTAATGAGGATATAAGTAATTAAATAATGATAATTCTAATTCTTTTTTTAATATATTTATCAATATGGTTTGCATTATCTAGCAAAATAAACTGTGGCAAACAAAGATAAAGCTGGTATTCCACGGCTATATAATAATTAATATAAATTACAGAAACATTCTTTTTGCTGGATTCATTCTCTCAAATTTGATTTATCTTGCAACATCTCCAGCTGGTTATCTCAATGATATATAGGAGATAGTGCAAATTCCAGCAGAGACAACAGCAGCAATTGGTGAAATAAACTAGTATTTTATTATTATTTCCTTATTACATTAGCATTGAAAAATTTTTGACTAAAAGATAAGCATTCTGTATTTATCTTAAATTTATAAGATTCAACTATCGTTTAATCAGTAGGTATAGAATATAATTCTCTAACTTCTGGAGTTACTGTAAGGAAATCAAAATCCTAATTTGACATTTTTTATATAAATTTATTAATATTTCAAATATTTTATTTTATAAATACGAATAAATTATTATTGTATAAATAATTATAAAAATTCTTTTCCGTGATGTCGATTTTATAAGGAAATTTTATTCAAAGAGTTTAATGTAAATTCCTACTTTAATATTAATTTATGCTCTACTCTCTATATTTCATTTTTTTAATTATTTTCTCATAATAAATTTTTATACATTCTTAAAAAAGGATTAAATCATATTATTAAATGTATTTTGATAGAGTAGATTTGATGCCATCTTTATAATATACTTTATTTATAAAAAGAATATGATTATTATTTATAATATTGGCAAATAAAATTATTTATTATGAGTCTTTAAGATTTCTGATTTAGTTATTTTATTTAACTTAGTATTTATGACTCATTGAAATAATCGAAGTAAAGAAAATCATAAATTCTAAATATATATGAATTTATTGCTTTATATTTGATTAATTTTGATAAATATATCATTTAATAATCAGAATGGATCCAAATAAATTCATAAAATATTAACCTTATTAAATGACAGATTCTGTAAAGGCAGGTGGTCTTTTCAGCCCTCAATAGTGTGAGTAATTAGCAAAAAAAATTCTTGATTTATATGATGAAAATAAAGATGGATAATTAGATTTGTTGGACGTAAGTCAAATGCAATAAGATTGTTATAGAGCTATGAATAAGAATTATAATCCAACACCTACTGATATAGCTGCATTTACTAGAAAAATGGATAGTATAAATATAATTAACATTTATAGCAAATGGTTAAGGGAGAGTAGATGAAAAAAATATAAATTCTTTATGCATGAAATATCTTTCTACAATGGTTTCAAGCAGTAATTCTTAAATAAAAATTGAAAAACCTCTTTAAGAAATAAGTGTAAAAATATAACCATCTGATACTTCAAATTAGGTTGAAATCTAATTACAGTCATCTAGATAAGAGGGTAACTAATATATTTATGAAAGTTATAACAGAAAAAACTTAAGAAGCTCCAAAAGTAGAACAAAATCAAATATTAATTAAACCAAAATAAGAGGAAAAACCGATTTAACCTGTCTAAAAACCTGTCTTACCAGAACCAACAAAGACTGTTAAAAATACAGAACAACCCTAATAATCAAATCCTGAACCAAAATATACAAAGATGGTTCAGGATAGACTAAAAGTGGCAAGGAGGATTTTTACTTAAATAGATTCTGATTAAAGTGGTTTTATTACAGAAACGTAATTTAATAAATTAAAAATAGAGAAGTACCTAGTTTGCTTATTGAAACGTACAAATAAATGGGAATGACAATTGAACCAACAAAAGAGGATGTTGAATTATGGATGGAAATGGCTGACTAAGATAAAGATGGAAAAGTTTCTTTAGTAGACTATGAAGATTTAATTATTAAAGGTTTACAACAGTAAGGAATTAAATTGGAATGAGAGATAATAAATCTTTTAACATTAATAAATATTTATTTCTTAATAATATATATATAATATGATTAAAAATATTATTATTATTAGAGTGTAAATAATTCAAGTAAATAAATTAATAACTTTATATAAAATAATTAACCAATATACTCATTTATTAAACAGGCTTTCTTGAATCCGAGATAAAAAAGATTTTCTGACTTTTACTTATTCTGGAGCTGTACGTTTGATTGTTTAGTCTATAGATCTTATGATGGAATAATTTTTTTCTTTTAAAAATTTGGATATGTAGGATTACTCAATTTATTATTCATGATTAGTAGGAACTTTTGATAAATTTTGTTCATAATCTGATACTAAAGCTTTAAGATTCTATATGATAATATTAAATAATTTACCATCAATTCCCCTTCATTATGCATTGATTTTTATTTGATGATATGTTACATTTAAACTCTTATTTTCTATTCAATATCTTATGATCCTTAAATTACTAATCTAGCAGTATTGACACCTTCTAGATGTTCTTACTCTTTAGATATATCTGAAATAATTTTCATAATATTTGAATTTGTAGCAACTCTTTAATGTGTGTATTTTTAAAATTTTAATAATTTTTTGCCTACAATAAGATCAGATTAACAAATCTTATCTACTTCTTATTAAGAAGATATTTATTATTTAACTGATTTTAAAGATTTGATCTATATTGAATTATCAAAGGATGATAAAACTTTTTATTGATAATAAAGATCCAATTCTTTTTTTGCTTTTAAAGTAGAAAATTATTCAATTTCTCTTTTTGGAAATCTCTACAAAATATTATCTATATTAGTAGTATATTTATATGATCTAGTTTTAGCATGATTAATAATTGCAGTAGTTCTATGAGAGTGTTAAGGTGATGGATTTCCAGTAGTTTATTTACTAATTTTGATATCATCCAATGAATTTAAAGTTCTACATTTTTCATGTTAACGAGGTGTATGAATATATGATTGGATGGTAGTTTCTTATTCTGTTAATCTAAATTAATTTTTTTTATAACTTGTATCCTCTGGTTATTAAAGGATTGAATATAATTACCCATTTATTTCTTGATTGAATTTTTTGTAAAATTTAGTATTAGTTTCTGTCCAATAATCATTTTTAGAATTTTTATTATAATTTGTCTTGGGTTAAGGAAATATTGGTGCAAGTATTTGATTAATTTCTTTTATTTCTAACAAATATACTTTATACTATAAGATTATTATATATTATGATACTTAATTTTAGTTTAAATGAATTTACTCTTCTAAAAACATTGTTAATCCAAAATTATCAATTAATTCTGATAACCAAATAGCTACTTTATAAGTTTCTAATAATTTATTATAATCTGATTGCAATTCATAAATAAACGTCATAATATATAGAGTTATAATGATCCAAGTAATCACTTTTTAATACTGATCATATAGTTTCTTCAAGTGAAAGTCCTAATCAATAATATCAGTAAGTATTTATTGACATTCTCCAATTGCTTCCTTATAATATGATATTGCCACATCAAATAATTTAAATTGGAAATGAAGATGACCAACTTATATATTGTATTAAAACTTAATTCTATTGAAACGAGAATCCTTAAAATATAATTCTGGTTTCCAAACTAACATACATCGAACATCTTCATGAAGTTTAGATAATTAAAAAATTAAGAGATGAATTTAGGATATTCGATAAAGTATGTCCTTTAGATAAAATACTTCTATTAAATAGTGTATAAGATAATACTATATTCTTTTGCTTGATTTTCTAGTAATTCAAAGTAAAACATAATAAACTGTTATAGCTTTCTCAATAAATGTAATTAATTTTCATGTTTGAGTCCATTCTTAGCCTAGGATTTGAGAATTTTAATAAGACAAACTATTCCTCTTCTTAATAATTGCAAACGAATACGCCATCCTGTTTACATAATCAATGATCTTTCAAATTCTTTGTTAATTTTTTAAAATGCCATCTTATACTTGCCAGAACCTTGAAATTGTAAAATAGAATACGAATTGTTTGTGTAATTTCAACGATTTAACTTTGGAAATGATTTTCTTGTGTAATTGTTAATTACTTAGTATGACTCCTCATTATATTAAATATTAATCATTTATTATGTATATAATTATTTCAATTTTGATATTCTGCATTAATATTTTACTATTGATAACATTCTCTGAATTGATCCAATTTTAATTATAGAAAAGAAGATTGATCATTCTCTTAATTATCTTTACTCAAGTTTTGATCTTAAATTAATAATTTTACAATTATACTAAAATCTTTATTCTTTTATACTTCATTTTACTTAAAGTATTTAAGAATCTATCTTAATCCTCTTACTTTTTATCCATAAATATATAGATATAAAATTACTAAAATATTTAATTAAATTGATTATTTCAAATTCATCATAATTATTTTTGAAATGTCTAAATTATTATTCCAAAAGACCAAATATCAACTTTAAACTATTATAGTTTTAGATTTTAGTTTATAATAGAAATATTACAATTAATCTATTTCGATTCAAGTATTTAAATATGTAATAATTTCCTAATTGATTTATAATAATCATGTTTTTACATCTAATATATATGATCTAAACAGTTATTTATAGTTTTTAAATTAACTCGTATTCTTAATTTCAATAATTGCATTATGAAAACTTAAGGATCTTATCCCTTTTTTTAATCTACCTATTGATTGTATATATTATCTCTTTTTTTAATTTTAGATCTACCTATTTTACATGTATTATTCTTAAATATTGCATAAAATTAGTTTTGTCTGCCAAGAAAATACTTGTATATTTAAATATTTATGATGATTATTAAATAAACCTTTATTTTATTGAAAAATGAGTAGATTATTAATTACTTAGTAAATTATCTTTTTTTCCTTTTTAATAATACATTAATTATTATATTGATGGATTCACAACTCTTCATATTTGAAAGCATTATGATCTAAATAAAAGTTTATAAATACAGAAAAATCTTGTCCCAAAAGAATTTACCTTTGGATTTATGCATACTTAATAATCAGTTTATAAAAATAGCTAATTTTTTAATGATTTAAATATAATTATAATCAATAGGAATAAATTTTAGAAGTTATTTTATCCTTTAGTATTATATAAAAAATCTTAACACTTAAATAAAATTAGATATCGTTTTGATTTTTAAATAGCTTAAAATATTATGTTTATGAATAGATATTTCCATAACAAGTGTCTATATAAACTACATTACTTTGTAAATATAATGTTTAACAAATTTAATATAAATCTATATTTGCATGTGATATTCCTGTAGATTTTAGTGAAATTTTTAGTTTTTATTTAATTTTAATGTAATCAATTAGGGCTTAGAGAATGAAAAAAATAATGTAAGTTCAAGGAGAGGTTGGATAACATAAAGGATATACAGCAATAAAAATAGCTGGAAATGCTCATGAATTAATTAGAAAGAGTAAATCAGCTGCTAATAATATTGGTGAATTAGCAATACAAGATGTAACTAAGAAACTGTTGCAAGACTAATTCAATTCAATTAAGAGCTATGATATTGCAAAAGGTGAAGAGAAACCTGGTCTATCATTTAAGTCAATGCATAATATGTACGACTTGTAAACATTGAAGATTACAAAATTATATAAGAAAAAAGAAAGGAATGAACTTGAGAAATAAATAAGAAATCAATTAGCAAAGGATCCTGAAAAATAACTTTTACTTTCAGAAATATATGAATAATTAGAAGATAATTCAGATGGAGAAGTTCTAAAAAAGAAACAAAAAAATAAAGAAGAATCTCTTGCTACTCATTAAGAAGTGTATGATGAATCACAAGATCAAACAGCAGATCTTAAGGTTTGGACAAAAAGATTGAAAGAGTAAAAGAAAAAAGAAGAAAGTAAACAAGATGATAATAGTACACTTAATGCAATACCATAAAGAAATAAATAAAGAGCATCAACTGAAATAAGGAAACCTATTTAACATTAATAATCAGTTAAGTAATTGCCACTTGAAAGATAAAATTCAACATAAAATTCAGTGCCCTCTTAAAATACACCCAGATCCTATAAAGATGTTATGAAGAATGCTGTTTAAAAAGTTAAATAATTAAAAAGTTTAAATGAAGATTTAAGTGTAGAACGATCAGTAGAACAATATATACAAAAAGCTTCAGCTGTTGCTTTAAGTGAATTAAAGGAAATTGGAGAACTTAATGTTGATGAAGAAAAAGGATTAACTACTAATTTTGACTTTACTAGTGAAGGTGTATAAAGAATGTATAATACTTTGGTTAAAGTTTAGATGTCTCAATTTAAATCAGAAGCTGAAAAAGCCAAGTTTTATAAGAAATAAACACAATTGATTTCAAATAAATTGATCTTTAAAATTAAACAAAATAATATTATTATTGAAGCAAGAGTAGTAGCTTAAGATAAATTAAGATTAGAAACACATGAGTTCCATGAAAAAATAGGATAAATTAAATAATTAACAGAATAATTACTTAAAGAAATTATAGATTTAAAAGATCCTAGAAGTTAAGGTAGTCTATAAATGAGTAAATCAAGAATGTCATTAGTTAATTCATTCATGAATCAATAAAATAAATAAAAAGAATTAGATTAAGATATACAAATTCTCAGAGAAAGTAAAAAGGCATATAAATAAAAAATACTATTCAATAAAAAGACATTAGAATAAATAGATTAAGATATTCATGTTAAAAAGAAAGAAAATAAATCATTATAAAAATGTTTAGTAGGCTTTTATTTTTAAGTACTTAAAAATGGATAGGATGTAAGAACTACTGGAATAGCTTGGGTTATTTCTAAATTAAATTCATTAAATGAAAAATGCCATCATTCAACTTTACCTGATTATTTGGATTAAAAGGCTAAAGAATATTTACTTCAAGTACTTATTATTATTATATAAGAAAGCAACAATGTTATCAGATATAGAACAATTAGAAAAAGAGTTAAGTGAATCATTTAAACAATATAAATAAGAATAATCTCTTGATAGTAGTTTGGCTATTTTATAATAGAGTTTATCTTAAAATGATTCCTTAGAAGTTTCATCATTACCTTCAATCTTTCCTTTTGATAGTCATAAATTATCTTCTATTGATTTATAGTAAGCAAGATAAGAGGCTGCTAAAACTTGTAGAAATAATTATTAATTGGATAAATTGGGACCCATTACTTTAGGATTGACTAATGAAGATATTGAAAATTTAGAAAATATGTTAACCAAATTAAACTAAAAGAATTAACCAGTTACTAATGGTACATTAATTTATAAAGAAACTTAAAAAAGAATCAAATAATAAATTAAATAAAAAGGTCAAATGGAAGTCTCATAAATTAATGATCAATCTGCTGTTCTAAAAGAATAAGCAATTCATTCTTATGATAAATGCAATACATAATTAAATAAAATTAAATTAAAAGTATTTATTTAAATTATTTAAAGTTATAACATTTAGAAGATGAATAAGTAATTAGAGTAGTCAAGGAATTCGATTATAAGAACTATGGTAAAAGATTCAGTATAGATCCAATAACAGTGATTTCATGTCTTGTGGGAGGTGTTAGATGTGATAGGGAAATTGTGAAGTATGGAATGAAAAAAATCCACTATGAATGAAATAGTATACTTGTTATTTATATATATATATATCAGTAATTTTCTTTACTTATTTGTACATATTTTGGTTTAGCTTCTGATCTACTTGTATTAAATTATTAAGATCTTTAAAATTATTATTATGGTGACTTATTCAATGGCTAATATAAAGAATATAATTACAAGATAAATCATATTTTATCTTAGGGGAGATTTATTAAATTGATTAGATTATCTTATAGGTGATTTTTAATTATTTAAATGGTTTTAGTAAAATGGTATCATGTTATTAATCTTTTCTCTATATTTGTCAATAAAATCTTTAAGCATTTACCAAGAAGGTCTCTATTATTCATCAAACAATAATAATTATTTGATAAATTCAATTAAAATTTAAGAATAACCCAGTTATTTAATTCTAATAAATTTTGATTCCAATTTATCTGTTAAAACAATTCCTTAAATATAATCAAAACAATCATAAACTTCTTCCATTAATATTACACTTAATGCAGTCAATCCTAAAGAATAAATATCACTTTTCTATTCATCATGAATAGGACTCATGATCAATTCTTTATATTATTATAATAGTATAGGAGATAAATATGCTTTATCCTAACTTAGTATCATTTTTTAATATCCATTAATTCCATCATTAAGCATGCAACATTCAGCTATTTTAATACAACCATTTTCATCTAAATAAAGTGTAGAAGGTTTAATATCCCCATGAACAATATTTCTTTCAGATAAATATGTACATGGATCAATAATTTATTGTAATAGAATCCAAATATGTCCTTCATTGTAAGGCTTATTGTTAAGTTTTCTTATACTCATTTCATTTGATAAGTTTTCTTAATAATATTAAATTATGATGGTTATCTAACTCTAATCAGAACATATTTTTATTTAATCCTATTAATGTATTGCAAGTATTTTAAGTAAATTATCTTATTCAAATGTGTTTCTTTATCTTAGATGAGCCACTAGATTGGAGAATTCTTTTTCACTTTTAGTAAAATACTTCTTTAAACATATTTATTCATTAGTCTATTTGTTAATTTGATATTACTTAAATGTGTGTAAACAGTTTAATTGTTCCAAATTATGGATGTATAGCCTCTCTTTCTTGTGAGTAAAATAATAGAAATTATTTATACTCTTAGGTCTTTTCATTTGTACTTTATTCTTATCCCATTAACGATAAAAAAATTATTTATAAAATCAATTCCATAACTCTTCAACTGATTTCTATTTATATTTTTTTTAAGGTGGAGGATAAAGCTAATTATTAGATTTACTAGGTTTAATCATTAATTTGTTAATAATCTCTTATTATTTAAGATTCGATGTTTCCTGTTAAATCTTTTATACTGCCTTCTTAGGAGATGCTTCTTTATCCGATAGTATCTTTTGTAGTTTCTATAATTCTTAAGCTACAGTGGCAAGTGAACTTCCATTTGCAGGTTTGGTGAGTTAATTTAATATCAAATCAACAGATTCTAAATATGAGTGATAAAGATACTTTTAGCTTATTCAGTGGTTTGGTCATTTTCATATTTCTGATTCTACTCCTATAATGATGCTAATTCTTTTTTCTATCTTTCTTATTCCATTCTGCTAATCTTTAAATCAAGTTCCAACTTTTTGTTAATATTAATTTAGTTTTTTAATTCATATTGAGTTACAGCTTCAGAAGAATGATGATAAGAACCTTATTAAGGTAGTGTTTAAATATAACTATTAGATGAGGGATCAGCAACTAAAAGCATTTTTGAAGAAGGCATTTCAGCTAATAATAACTGTTATTTTGCATTATTAATAATAGAATTTGCTGGTAAATCTAAATTCATTGGAATTTCAATATCTTTTTATTTTAGAAGTTCCACCAATTATTATATTCTAGACTCTTTTGTTTAATTAATATCTTCTAATTCTTTTTGCAATTTATCATATGCCTCTAATTCTTCTTATAGTTATAGGATGGTTTCATCTCTTTCATTTAATCTATTAGTTAATGCAATCATTATATCTCTCTATTTTAATAATAATTATTTATATTTGTCTGTTTAAGCTTTATCCTCTTCTATATTTTATCTTTCTTTTTCCAACTCTTATAATTTTTCTTAATATTATTGTCTTATTATCTTTTACTATTATTCAAGAGCATTTTAAAATTAAGGAGTTTCTTCTATTTTCTATCCTCCTACTAACATTTATGAATTTAAAGCTGATATCTTCTCTTCCAATTACTTTCTCATTTCTCTCTCTTAAACAAGATCTCTATTTCTTTATTCATATGCACTCATTACTTCTTACTTATCCTCTAAAGCCTTTTATCTTTCTTTTTCTATTTCAGATACCATTGAATCTATTGGCATTTTACTTCTTTCTTCCAACTCTTATTTTAATTTCTAAATTTCTAATTAATATTTTCTAAGTAAAGCTCCTTAATCTTAATCTTAATTAACCATAGGTGTATTTCTTATATTTTTAGCTCTATTTGCAAATTTCAAAGTTGATAAAGACTCATTGAATGCTTCAATAGCTGGTGATATCATTGCCATAAAAGTAGTTTTACAATTACCTCCTAGAGAATCTTCTAATAATCTAGTGATTTTAGAATCTCTATATGGAATATGTGATTTTGGTTGTTTTAATTCAGTCAAAGCAGAAATTACATTTCCTAATGCAGATAATGATTAATTAATCTTTTTAGATTCTTCTAATCTTATACCAGTTGCTCCAGTGACTCTAACTCTTTCACTTCCTGCCAAATCTACTAAATTTAATTTTCCAACTCTTGCTCTCTTTCCTTCAGGTGTTTCTTCAATTTATTCAACAGTAATAATAAAAACTGCATGACTACGTGATGATGTATCATTCATTCTTGTACTTGCTGTTACTCTTTTTGCATTACCTCTTCTCATTAATTAATATATTTCTGGAGGAGATCGTACAGCCCATTCTGATAAATTCTCAACAAAAACACCTCTTTTTTTATCTTCTCTAATATTTAATTATTAATGATCAGGTCTTAAAAGATCACTTATAGATTCATTGTAAATTTATAAATATGATGCTCTCACCATAAAAGTTGTCATTGAATTAGATTTCATTTATATATGTGTAAAAATATTATGCAATGATCTTGGGATGATACCCAATTAATCTGAATTTGGAGTAAAAGAAAATCCATGCATTGTATATGTTTTTCCAGTTCCTGTTTATCCATATGCAATAATAGTTGAATTATATCCCTTTTGAATACTTATTCATTTCATACTTAGAGTGTGGAATCTACTGATAACGCAGCAGTGGTTTCATAGACTTCCACTTAAGTACTTTCTTAATCATATACATAATCAAATGTAAATTAATGAATGGTATAATTAGCTGGATTTTAAACAAAAGCCTCCAATTCTTCATCTGGAACTAGCTCTATTGCATGATAATCGAATATGCAAAGTTATTAATTATCAGGAGCAGCTTAAACCTTTGAAATTTTAGATCATAAATTTACAGTTGATATGAATTTACCATCCTTTATTTCTCTTGCCATTGGAGGACGAATTCTAATTACAACCCTAAGATTTTCATTTGAACCTTCTTTCTCTTTCTATTTCATTAATTTTAATGTTGTATTTACTTTTAAACTTAATTTTTACAAATATATTAGATGACATACAAAATATTTCTAATTAATTGTAATAATCCAATAATAATTCATTTATGATTAAAGATGACATTTTAGATAAGCCATATAATGAAAATTAAGTTCACTATTGTTAAATAAAAGAGCATATGCATCATTTAATACAAAATTTAATTAAAATTTATTGTAATTTATCTATTAAAAATGAAAAAGAAAAATTGAATATAGGGATCAATTTAGAATCTAGATAAAAAATTATATATCTTCGAATATTTATATGAGAAATAACTTTGAAGGGATATTTTAAAAAAGTGATTCAGGAATTTTAAGAATCTTCAAATTTAAGAGAAATTATAAAAAAATTAATGTTATTATTATTAAAGTGAAATAAAATGAATATGAGTACTAAAACAATGAAATCTCTCTAACAAAGTAATTAAAAAAATTAATTACTGCCTGATGCATTTTCTGATATCAACTTCTATAAATATCGTAGTCAGTCTAATACTGAATAATACACTCCAATCAAGGGATTTCAGATTGTTAAATTAAGAGGTCCTTCTCGATTATCAGTTTAATAATCTTAATAATCTATTAAGAGTGTTAAAAGCATTAAAAAAAGAAATAATTCTCAAAGCAATGTCGGAATTGATCTCTTTAAACATGTTACTGAAATTGATGATAGTGAAATGCATGAAAAACTTATGAATCTTTTTGAAATTGATCAAAAAATGCGTAAGAACTTAGAAATCAATAGAATGATAGTGCAAGATAAATAATAATCATCAGCTTAAATTGATGAGGTCTATTAAGAGATTTTATTAATGTTAAACAACACTATCGAAAGAATACATCAATATATTAATGCAAATAATCTCGAGCGCTCGAACTTAAAAAAGGCACATCGTAGAACTGCTATTGAAATAGAACATTAATTATAAGAGTTTATCAATATGATGTTAACTGCTATTTCAAAAAGGGATATGACTTTGGCAAGATTAACAGAGAATGCTTGGAAACTAATTTGTGTTGCAATAGAAATGATATTACAAAATGGGAAGGCAGAATAAGAATACATTCAATAAGAAGTATTAAATGAATTATAATAAGAAGTTGTATAATTAAAATAAGAGAAAGAAGATATCTATCATAAATATATGGAAGTCTCTGAATTAAATAATAAATTAACTTAATAACATAAATAAGAAATCAATATTTTAACTTATTAATTAAATATGGCAAGAGTAGAATTTAATGATTATAAATAAAATCAAGAAGCATAAAGTACATTAGAAAATGCTACTGGAAGTCTTAAAGATGTAGAACTCAATTTAAAAGATACTCATAAAATATTGAATAAAATTGAAGAGAATATAAGTAATAGAGATACTTAATATTATCAAACATTAAAGTCTGTTGTTTAATAACATTAAATGGATAAGGAGAGTCAAATGAATAAGGCATAGAAGTTAATTAATAGATATTAATTAAAATCATTAAATACTAAATAATGCATAATTGCTTCAGAATATTTCAATCATCCATTTGTTTAGTATTTGGATATTAATTTTGAATATAATTAATAGGATGAAAAACGTCTATAATAATTGTTTATTGATTGGTTTAATTAGGAATGTGTAAAACCTCAATTTGGGACTCATCCAGCTTAATAGAGATTAGAATAAATAAGTTCCTATGAGAGGAAAAGCAATGCAGAAAGTTTTATAAATTTTTTAATAAAAAATGATAGTCTTAATCAATTATAAAATTGTATTGCTTATATAAGTTAAAACTTAGAAATGAGTGATCTAAATTAATTAAATAAAATAGACAAATTTAATAGATAATTATGTATATTTTTTGGTGTTATTTTTTAATTTGAAGTAACAAATATTGAAATTGATTTGTTGACTTATGATCGGATTAGATTTTTATATTCAGGTCTTATGTAAGGAAATTAAGAAGAATAAACATAAAATTAAAATAAATTTTAATGGTATAATTTTGTAGTGTAAAATTTGAGTGATTTATGTGCATCAATTTTTTTAGATTATTCAGAAAAAGTAGCTAATTCATAATAAACAATTGTTTAAATTTTAGTATTCATTATGTAAAGTGAAAGTGATAAAAGAAAGCATTAATTAAAAAAATTGATTGAAGATTTTAAGTCAGTGGATATTGAATTGAATTTATAAAGAGAAAGAATGTTGAAATTTGTCAAAGAATTATGCACATTTTACAATTATCAATATAATTAATTGTAAGTAATGTAATATGCATAAGCTTTATTTGATCGTTATATTCGAGTGTATCAAACAGGAAGAAAACGTAATGGTCTTGAGATTGGAGAATGGATTAACTTTATTCAAGAATTATAGTAAATATTGAATAAATTGATATAAATTAAACCTCATCTACATCATTAAATCTATATGCTTGAAGATCTTCAATATGTAAACAAAGAATTTTAAGTACATACTCGAACTTCATAAATTGAAAGACGTGAATCTTAAGTAAAAAAGAAATGAATTAACTATTTAATCAAACATTATAATATTAATTTCATTTACTTTTTTTAAATGGCTTGCAAAGGAAATAATAATATCCAGCAGTTGTTAAACCTATTATAAGGGCAATACAACTAGTTATTGAAATGATAGATACACTGTTTTTTTATTTTAATTATTAAATTTGAAAATTCGAATATCCAAAATTTCTTAAATAATAAATGATATGTTTTACTGAGAATAAAGAATATCTACAATTTTTGTAATTTATGTCCATACAGAAATTGTGTCATCAAAAAAAGTAATAGGAATAAGTTAAGCTGTTTAAAAACAATAGGAATTTACAATCATTAAAAAATCAATAATGCTTAATCTACTTTACTCTATTTATTATTATACTTATAATTCATCATAAATGCTAATCACATATGTTTTAGAATTTATTATTGTTATTCTAGGTGATAAATTATTGAATTATTCTTCTAAGATTTTCTAATATAATATAAACTATAATTTACCTTTTTGTTTTTAGTAACAACACCTATATGAAATACTTTTCTCTCAACTATTTTTTAGACAGAATACCAAGAATCTTTTTTATTTTATGCTTTGAATGCATCTGCCATTTTGATATCAATTCCAATATAATTCAATAATTTATAGGCATCTTTGTAATTAAAAAAAGAGAATGCACTAAAATACATTAATATTTAAATAATACTTCCATAAGGCCAACCACTAAATTAAAGTTATTTCTTGTGATTGTGAATGATACTATGAATATAATAAGAATTATTTAATCTTTTTTTTTTTTTANGAAAGCATTAATTAAAAAAATTGATTGAAGATTTTAAGTCAGTGGATATTGAATTGAATTTATAAAGAGAAAGAATGTTGAAATTTGTCAAAGAATTATGCACATTTTACAATTATCAATATAATTAATTGTAAGTAATGTAATATGCATAAGCTTTATTTGATCGTTATATTCGAGTGTATCAAACAGGAAGAAAACGTAATGGTCTTGAGATTGGAGAATGGATTAACTTTATTCAAGAATTATAGTAAATATTGAATAAATTGATATAAATTAAACCTCATCTACATCATTAAATCTATATGCTTGAAGATCTTCAATATGTAAACAAAGAATTTTAAGTACATACTCGAACTTCATAAATTGAAAGACGTGAATCTTAAGTAAAAAAGAAATGAATTAACTATTTAATCAAACATTATAATATTAATTTCATTTACTTTTTTTAAATGGCTTGCAAAGGAAATAATAATATCCAGCAGTTGTTAAACCTATTATAAGGGCAATACAACTAGTTATTGAAATGATAGATACACTGTTTTTTTATTTTAATTATTAAATTTGAAAATTCGAATATCCAAAATTTCTTAAATAATAAATGATATGTTTTACTGAGAATAAAGAATATCTACAATTTTTGTAATTTATGTCCATACAGAAATTGTGTCATCAAAAAAAGTAATAGGAATAAGTTAAGCTGTTTAAAAACAATAGGAATTTACAATCATTAAAAAATCAATAATGCTTAATCTACTTTACTCTATTTATTATTATACTTATAATTCATCATAAATGCTAATCACATATGTTTTAGAATTTATTATTGTTATTCTAGGTGATAAATTATTGAATTATTCTTCTAAGATTTTCTAATATAATATAAACTATAATTTACCTTTTTGTTTTTAGTAACAACACCTATATGAAATACTTTTCTCTCAACTATTTTTTAGACAGAATACCAAGAATCTTTTTTATTTTATGCTTTGAATGCATCTGCCATTTTGATATCAATTCCAATATAATTCAATAATTTATAGGCATCTTTGTAATTAAAAAAAGAGAATGCACTAAAATACATTAATATTTAAATAATACTTCCATAAGGCCAACCACTAAATTAAAGTTATTTCTTGTGATTGTGAATGATATTATTATAGAAGTGGAAAACTTGTTTAATACATTACTGGATAGAAGATATAATCAAACTAAGTTTAAGTAAGATTTTATCCATTCAATTCAAAAATTGATTTTAGTTTCTATTAAGCAAAATCACTTAATTCAACTGTTTATCCAGCTTCTTAATTGAATATTAGACTAGTGGTTTTAATAATTTAAATACTCATCCTAAAATAATGATTCATCAAGTGTTAAATCATCTTTGTAATTAAAAAAACGAAGGATTGTCCAACTAATTTAAATCTTCATTAATTCAATTCCTCTCTTTTATAAAGCCATAAAACCTTGCAAAGTAATATACTTTTTTTTATTAGAATCATCTTTAAATTCCTCTTCTATCATATCTTTTATTCCTGCAATATCACTTTAATCTAAATGCTTTTTGAAGACTTTCTTTTAAAATCTTTATAATTCATAATCACTCCATACTCCATCACCATCTGGATCACAAATACGAAAAATACGAGTCAATGCTTTTTTAAAACTTTCTGTAATTGTTTTGTTTACTAAATTATACAATGGAGCTAAAGGGTATAAAATAAGATCTTTAAGCACAATTAATTACATCTTAAATACCCTAAAATTTAATTGATGAACACTCTATTCCCATTTCAACTTACTATTTTATATAGATACATTACACTGAAATCTTTTACCAATTGTTTAATGACTATAAAAATTCTGCAATATTTTCTATCATTTTCCTTTCCCATCAAATCAAGTTTATTACCTACAATAATAATTGGCTATTTAAATTCTTTCTTTTTCAATTCTTTTAACCAAAACATCTTTAATCTCTCACATGAATTATCATCATCTATTGAGTACATTAAGAGTAGGACATGTGCAATTTTAACTTAATCTGGAATTTAATTCGGTGGACATTTTGTATCAATCAAAGTTGTATTGCATTCTGGATGATTAAATATTTCAGGAGTTAATTAAATAGGTTAATGTTGATCAACATAAGTAAATTTATTAAGATTTTCATTAATCAAAGCTGAAATGAATGTTGATTTTCCAACTCCACCTAGGATTAACAATTAAATAACATAATAATACTATAACCAATTAAAACAACTTTAAAATCTCTTTTCTTCATTTTAGTAATTATAGAATTTATATATTTATTATTAATGAATTTAGAATATCCATGGGATGTATAGAAAATTAAATTTAAGAATATTTAAGTTTTTAGAAGTCATCAAAAAGAGGTAATTTGATAGCATTATTCACTTAGAAATATATTCTAATTGGTAATCATACACTATCATAATAATTTTGCATTTTACATCTAAATATTCTTAAAGGACCAGATCTTTATTAAAAAGAACTTAAACAATACATTTATGAAGAAGAACGTTAATTTGAGACATTAGATGATGCTAAACAATACTTAAATAAATATAATTTAACCTATCTTTATACAGTATCAGGAATAATTGGGTTTATAAAATTAATATAAGGATATTATGTAATGTTCATTAAGAGACGTAAATCAATAGCTAAATTGGGCAAACACAAAATATTTACAATTGAAGAAAGATCAATAGTGGAATTATTTGATGGACCATATTCATAGATTGAATAAAAATATAAGAAATTACTTTAAGATTATGATCTGGAAATTGGTTTTTATAGTAGTTATACTTATGATGTTACAAGTTCCTTATCAAAGAATATAATTCCATCTGAAGATGTTCAAAATAAGAATCAAAAATATCATTAAATTGGATAATACAGAAATTTATTTATGTGGAATCATTATCTATTAACAGAATTTGATAAAATAATTAAAGATAAAAGATGGGTGATTCCAATTATTCATGGTTATTGTGAATAAAGTACAATAAAAACAGTTGCTAATTATTTTAGTATTACTTTATTAGCTAGAAGATCTACAAAGCATGCTGGTGCTCGTTATTTAACTAGAGGTATAAATGAATAAGGTTATGTTGCAAATTTTGTAGAAACAGAACAAATTGTAATTGAATTAGATAAATCAACATGTTAAAGACCTGCTTGTTCTTCATTTATATAAATTAGAGGTTCTGCTCCTGTTTATTGGTATTAAGAACCAAAAATGTATTTATTTAAATTACCAATTAAAATACATTAAAGTGATCCTTATTTATATGCAACAAAAAAACATATTTGTGATTTGATTTCATCATATGGCAGATAAATCTATATGGTTAATTTGGTTAAATAGAATGAACATAATAAAAGAGAATAAGTATTAGCTGAAGAATATTTTGCATCTATTAATACTGTTAAAGAGGATATGTAGAATTAAACAGAAATAGAAATAGGATATTTAGGATTTGATATGAAAGCATAATTAAAATAGGATAAAGAAGAATTTGTTAATAAATGTTATTCATTAGCATATTATTGTATTATGAAAACAGGAGTATTTTTATTTGTAAAAGAACCTAAATGTAATGAGAATGTTATTATTGAAATATAAAATGGTGTTGTAAGATCTAATTGTGTTGATTGTTTGGATAGAACAAATGCATTTTAATAATTGATAGGTGAAATGGCACTTGGAATTTAATTGGCTAAAATTAATTAAAGTAGTTTAAAATTTAATTTGCTTTTATTAAATGAATCTATCTTATAAGAATTTAGGGAGATGTATGAATAATTAGGTGATTTTGTTTCGTAATAATATGGTAGTTCATTAGCACATAAATAAAATATTGGTTAGAAATCTAAAAGAATAGAATTGTTTACTTCATTAAAAAGACATTATAATAATAATATAGAAGATCCTTAAAAATAAAATTAAATTGATTTATTTTTAGGAATTCATCGTCCTTCTCCAGATGGACCCTTTATAGGTGAAAGAATTACTATATTATTGTTTCCAGATACAAAATATTTATAATAATACACTCAACATAAATAATGGTGGGTTAATCCTTATTTAGAATTTCAATAGAAATCTTTAATAGATGAAATAAGCAGAAGATGTAAAGAGGCTTGTTAATAGGCTAAAAAAGATTAGAAAATGAAAATAGAGAGAAAATAAACTATATTTAATTTTGATATTATTGAGAAGATGAAACATAAGACTTGTTAAAAATTAAAAGCAAAAAATGTTTTCATATTATAATCACCTTATACTAAAGTTAGAGAAAAACCACCTAATTATGTACCAAAACCTTTTAATTTAGAAGAAAAACTTAAGAAACCATACTATGATGTTATTTAAATTTTTGAAACTGAATAAGTAGGTGATTCTCCTTGTGAATCTCATTCATCATCTCCAAAATAAAATCCTTAAAATTTAAAAACTTAATTTTCACTTTTAAAATGTGATGAGATTCTTGAAATTCAAAAATATACTAGAATCAAAACTTTTGAAGAATTAACTGATGAAGCAAATCAAATAAGAAAATATTTAAAATATAATCTTTCATCAGATGATGAAGAAAAATTAAGAAACAATTTAAAAAGATATTTGAATGGAGAATAGCCTAAAGAATAAGTTGCTTTAATTGATAAAAATTAGGATGTTTAAAAATAATATAGTGAAGTGAAATAATCTATTGCACATTCAGAAACAGTCTAAGGTGTATCAGTATAATAAGCAAAGAAAATACCTGTAGAATAGAAATCTGTCAAATTTTTAGAATCTTTGCTAAAAAAGAATTTTGCTTAATCGCAGAAACTAAAAATTAATAAAATATGAATAATATGATTATAAAATACAACGAACTCAGAGTTTCTATTACTCCCAAAACCTAGACCAGTCTCAACAGTCCTGTCAGAAAGTATTGTAATCTTTCTATAATAGTAACACATAGCCGGTATTTATAACATCTCCAAAAAAATAATTGTCAAGCATTAAGGAAATCACTAATAAATAATAAGAATTAAATAAACTTCTTAATTAGCATGTTGATTTCTAGACTTAATCTGCTAATACATCTATCAATTCATTTGATTGTATTACTGCTTAATCAAAATTTAGAAGAAAACAAATCAATGCTGATATTAGTTCAAAATTAATGTACTTAGATGATGAAATTGTAGAAGTATATAATGAATTCGAAAAGAATTACAGATAAATTAATGATTTAGATAAATTAGAATATACTAAATAAGCTAGTTAAAAATAGATTCATGTTAGTAGAAAAAGTCTAAACAATTTAATTTAAACACATGATGGACTCATGCAATCAGATTTAAAGTTCGGAAATATGAACAGAATAAGAATTAATAGATTCAAATTTTATTATTTTCGTATTAGACTAAGAGGAAAAGTATCTCCAATTTAAGTATTCTTTAATATTCCAGAAAGAGTATAAAGTTCAGCTGTAAAAATGTTTTTATCAACAAAAGCAGAATTCCCTACTAAATTTAATGCTGAATATATTCTTCATTCTCGATTTGCTAAAATATTTTCTGAAAGAAATTAACATTATTTTACTGAAGAATATCTTTTCATAACTATATATTCAGATGTTGATTTCGAATTCTCAATAACATTTTAATTTGGAAATACATAAATTACTAAATCACCTCCTAAATAAATTATAGAGTCTCTTGATCTTATATAAACAAATAGTTCTCCAATTTAAAAGCAATTACCTAATGATAAAATATTATAAAATCTTTCTTTAACTTAATATCATGGAAGTTAAAAATTAAATAAAATATTATCAGTTCAGTCAGAAAGAACTCATAAATAAAAAATGGCTAAATCTTTGAGATAATCAATTCTAGAAGATAAATAATTAGATAAGAAATCAAAATTACTAGTTAAGGATTAAATTCTTCATTTTAGAGAAGTTGAAAGATAGATCAAATCAAAAAAATTATAAATGCAATTTGCTTAATAAAATTGGTTTCAACTTTTTAGTTTATTACTTATTACTGAATATGTTTCTAATTCTCTTTAAGAATAGAAAAGAAAATAAAAAGTTGCAGCCAAAGGAAAATTATTAGTTTGGGCAATGAAAACTAAAGCTTTATTAGATGTGAAGGAATATGGTGAAAGTGCAAAAGAAAGAACTATTTTTAAAACTAGATGTGTTATCTAAAGTTTTGCAAGTATGATTAGAGAGAAATCTAAAATCAAAGCAGAATTTGTTATAACCAAATTTATGGGACGCATACTATTATTTTTAACTATTCTTAATAAACATTAAAGTACTCTAAACAAAGGTATTTTTAATATTAATTAAAATAGTAATCTTTATATAAAGAAAATTTCGTTTATTAAAAGCTAAAAAGAGAAAATTCAGAGATAAATTTTGGAAATTAATCAAAGAAAATATAGCTGATATTATTTATGATCTGAGAAGGTAAAAAGAAACATAGTTCTTCTTTGATAAATAATAAATTAATATTGATATGTACATGATAATGACATATTTAGACCTTAAATGAATATAGTCATAGATGAGTATTGTAAAAAACAAAGGATTTTATGGATGGAATATATCCAACACACCTTTTTAGAAAAAGATTAAAAGAGAGTAAAAAATTTGATTTAATTATCATAGAAAATTCATGAATATGCTATAAATTTGAAAGAACCGAAGATTTATGATTTACCAAATAAAAACGAGTTAATCCCACTTATAGAGTAATATGCAAAAATGAAAAAAATACTATGACTATAAAATAATTTATTTAAATGGGAAATGCATGTTAAGCGATAAAGATTAGTCTCACAACAGAAATTAGGGATGAATCTACCCGACCTCAAAAATAATGGAATCTAAAGAAAGAATTATATATAAGGATATTATAAAAGGAGGTCATATTCATCACCAATTCTAATTCATCTTCCACTCTATAATCTGTATTTAATTGTATCAGAATAATTAATTCCTTAAATTAATTATACAGAAGAAGAACGAATTTAGAAACATAAATTAAAAAGTTGAACATCTTCTTATAAACCTGATTAAGACAAAATTTCAATTACAAAATAACTAATTAAATCTTCACTTAAATCCATCAATTCTAAGAAAGACAGTTCTAATAAAAGTCTAAAGTCTGTTATAGATTAGATAGTATTTAAGTGCTTTCCTTAATTTAACTCACTATCAAAATTAATAGATATGAAACTAATTATTTATTTATTATATAATATGGACGAAAACCAAAAGGCATTCTATTACTTCTCTTATAAATCATAATTGTAATTATCTATTTTAATTCTATAGAGCTGCACAATCAACTAGAAGTTAAATATCTCTTTCATAAAGTTAAGAATAAGCATCGATGGCATTTTAATCAAGAATTAAGATTTAGAAGAAAGATCCTCTTGCTTTGAAAAGGAAATTGAGTCCTGCAGAATTGATTCCATTAGATGAAGAAATTTTAGAACTTTATGATGATTTTTCTAGAAACTATTAACTGTTGGGACATATCAATTAAGCTGACACTTATTATAAAAAATAAAGTCCGTTTGATTTGATTTTATCACCACCTATTAAATCAGTGAAGAGTGCTAGATCATTTGATTCAGAAGAACTATTTTGTGAGTAGAAGAATAAGTTAATAATTGAGAGATTTAAATTTTATTATTTTCGACTGAAAATTAAAGGCAGACCTTCTCCTTTGTCTTTGTGTTTTAATTTTACAGAAAGAGTGGTGGGTCTTAAAATTTATTTATCTACAAAGGCAGAATTTCCTTCATCTTTTAATGCAGATTAATTTGTTTAATCAAAATATGCTACTTTAATAAGTTAACATGGGCATAATAAATTTCATGAAAATTATTTATATATTTCTATACATTGTGAAACTGATACAAGATTAAATATAAAAATTTAATTTGGAAAGCAATCTTTAAATTAAACAGAAAATTTATCTAGAAAATTGAAATCTGAAATTAATGAATAATAATTACCAGATATATAGATAGAAGAAAGTCAGTTTAAAAAAAGTATATTTATGAATAAAGATAAAATTGTTAGAAATTTAAATGTGACACAAAATTGCATGAATAAAAAATTTAAATTTTTATTTGACTTATAAGTATATCTAATTATCTACATAGTCTGAAAGAATATCAAAATAAAAAAGTGCCTTACAAAATAAAAAAATTGTATCTCGAGAGTTCTAATTATAAAAATTATTAAAATATTAAACTAGATAACTAATACCAGAATATAGAAAATATGAGAGAACATTTAAATAAAATAATAGTGTTTTATAAAATACTTAAATGAACTGGTTTTAAATAGTTTTTGTTCTATAATTAGCAGATGCTTTATATTAAAGTCTTCATGAAATTAAAAAAGCTTATCATATAAGAGCTTCAGGAATGCTTTTAGCTTGGAGATGGAAGATTAATATTTTATTAGTAATCAAAAGAAATGGAAATACTATTTAAGAGAGAAGCCTTCATTAATCAAAAATGGTATTTAAAACTTATGCAAAATTTATAAAAAAAACAATAAAAGTTTAGGCAAGTTAAGTTTTATAATCAGTTTTAATTTAAACATTTCCAGTGATTTCATTAAAAAATAGAATGCTTAAATTTAGATCATTGGTTTTAAAAGTCTAAGTTAAATTTAGATGGTTAAAATATTAAAAAAGATTATTTTACGATAGATTTTGGAAAAATATTAATTAAGTTTATTTTTAAGTTTTAAATGAACTTTAAAATAAAGGCAAATAAAATTTAGAAAAACCAGCATTGCTCAAAAGATCTTCTATATATTTGATTGATACGTATTGTTAAATATTTATGAAATAGAAATACTATGATTCCTTTAGTAGAATCTTATTTATTCTAGATAAAAAAGAATTGGCTTGAATATATTCATTTCAAAAGAATTAAACGATACTCAATTTATTCTTTCTAATTTCCTTCTTAATTCGATAGATTAAAAGCAGTTGCATTTTAAATTAAGGAACCTAAGTTGTTCAGAGATCCATCAATAAATGATTTAACATTAATAATTGAATAGTATGCTTTGATTAAAAATTTAATATGAATTTACTTATTATTTTATTTTATGATACCCTAACAAACATTATTCAAGACTCCTAAGTAAAGACAAATAACCACAACAGCAAGTAGCAATACATATTTTCTTAATTCATAAAGAAAATTAAAGTAGTCTTTAAATATATATTAAGCTTCCTTACAACAAGCAGTCTTTAATCAATTTCATATATTCATACAAGTTAAGTATTAAATTAAACTCCTACACTTAATGAGATCAAATAAGTTAAAAAGGAATAGAATCAGATTTAAACTATATCTCCATCTTTCATGGAGCTTTATGATGAATTTGAGAATAATTACAAAATTGTTTAAAAGATTAAAACTGATCTCAATATCTCATTGGATATAAAGTCAGAAGAGAAACCTCATTAGAATTAAATAATAACCTAAAATTCAATTAAGAATCCCTCTCAAGCAGAAACTCGAATAGCAAATTTATAGTTTTGTGATATTGATTAAGAGTTGAATTAGAGATTACATATAAATCGCTTTAAATTTTATTATTTTCGAGCTTCCATATCGAAATAGTAATCTCCTCTATTACTAACAATTTAATTTGAAAATCAAATAAATTCTGCATAATATAAATTATATCTCTCTACTTAACATGAATTTCCAACTAAATTTAATGCAGAACATAATCTCACTTCAAATATTTGTAAAATCTATACAAATAATCATGAAAGTATATTTTAAGAAAATTATCTTTACATAACATTTTATACAGAAATAGATGTTATTGTAAGAATTAAAATAGTATTTGGTTGGGTTTAATAAAATAAATCACCAAAAAAATAAATAATAAAAAAAGAATATCCAAAATTTCCTGGTTTAATAGCAAATACAAAAATGGATTTAATAAAAAGAAATCTTGATACAAGTTAATTTTAATTAACAAGAAGAACTGATCTATTAACAGAATTACTTGTAAAATCAATTAAATATAAAATAGAGTGAAAGAGAATAGAAAAGAAAGTAAGTTCTTTAAAAAAAATAAGAGATTGATTGTGAATAAAAGATTAAATTAAAAACTTAATATAGTGCATAAATGTTAAGAAATGATTATAGATTATTTGAAAAAGTTTATAAATTAAAACTAAATAAAAAAATTTAGGGAGAATTGTTTTGGGCTCAACTCATAAATTTAATTAGATTTATTGCTCAACTTAAAGTTAAATTAATAGTAATAGAATTATTTTATATTATTAGCAATTTAAAAGTAGAATGAGTATTAAAGCTAATGGAAGAATTAAAGCATTAAGATGTGGATTAAATTTATTAATAAATATAAGAAAGTTTGGACCTACACCAGAAAGAAGATCATTTTGTAAAAGTTTATTAGCAATACAGATGTTTAGTGCTTAAATTCAATTTTTAAGAAAAAAGAAAGCATAAGAAATTGCTACATCTTTTATTAAAGAATGTATTTCTATTATACATTTAGGACATAGATTATTAAAGACTAGACATTATGGTAATAATATAAATATATTAATTTAGTAATAATATTGTAGAATAAGTTTAGATTCTTTTAAAGATAAAAGAAAAAGTATTATGAAGAATTTTGGCAATTAGTGATAAGAAACTACAAAGAAATTATAAGAGGTTTAACATAAAGTAGTTAAAAATAGAGGAGTAGAAGTTAAAAATAAATTTATGCTTTTCAAATAGATAATCAAATGATGCAATTTTAGATTGATAATTATTATTAAAGGCAAAAATAGATATGGTTAGCATTTATAAGACAAAAGATTTAAGATAAATAATTGACTATTTATTTAAATGATAGAAAAAGTGATGAGATTAGAAAAGCCTTGATTAAATTTTAAGAGCCTAAACTATTCTAACTTCCACAAATTAATGAAGTAGCTGAAATAATTGAGCTCTATGCAAAAAATAAAAAAATGATTTGAGAATATGATGATATATTAAATATGATAAACTCAGATTAAATGAGATAATCAAGTTCCCAAAGAATTACTTTAAGCACAATGTAGAATCAAAGATTTTACTATGGCTAAAAATTAAAGACCCCCAATAAGGAATTCTTAAAAAGCAATCGAAGTTAAGTTACACTCTCAGATTTGTAAGACAGTAAGTCTAGAGCAAATACATTATTTGAAAAAATCAAAGCTTAAAATACAACTATTCACAAATCAGAAAACAACCTTTTTTTTAAAGTTGAAGAAGCAATCTTAGAATTATATAATTAATATGAGTAAAATTATTAAGGACTTGGATCACTTGGTAAAATTTAGACAGTTTAAGAAAATTTGTCAGTGGAATTCAAAAAATAAAATAATTAACTGATCAAGACATTTGATGGTTTAAAGTTATCAGACTTAGATTAAAATGGTGTTAATCAAATTTAAATTGATAGATACTAATTTTATTATTTCAGGTTAAGAATTTTAGATAAACCTACACCAATTCATATTCACTTACAATTACCAGAATCATTATCATTTTTATTATTTAAATTGATGCTGTCAATTAAAATTGAATTTCCAACTAAATTTAATGCAGATTAAATAGTCTAAAGTAATTATGCAAAAGTCTATTCAAGTAATCCATAAGCTCATTATTTTAAAGAAGAATTTCTATATCTAACATTTTATTCTCATGTTGATTTTATATTAAAGATAACTGTGAATTATGGATAATTTAATACTGAAAAAACACCATCTAGAAGAAAGGAAGCTAGATCACCAAAATTAATGATGGTATAAAGTGAAAATGTTAAATTTATACATAGTCCTGATGAAAGAAGAATAAAAAAAGGTTTTTCTCATGTTAAATCACATATCTATTAATCATCAATTGAAAAAGAAACAGAATGTACTAGAGTATAAACTGAAAATTCAGAAAAAAGAAAATTTATAAAAATATAACCAGTTTAATCTAAATTAAGCACTTTATTATAAAAGATAGGTAAAGAATTTTAAGGTCTTACAAAAGAGGAAAGATTAAAAAAGATTGAAGAAAATTAAATTTAAAAAAGAAAAGAATTAGAATAAGATTATTAAAATAAATAAAAAACATTCATGTATGAATTAGAAAAAAGAAAAATATAAATAGAATAACATTCTAAAATAAAGAAATAAAAAATTGAATTAGTATTGCAAAATAAAAAAAATAATTATAGTGAAAGATAATAATATATTAGAGATAGATTATTATTATAAGAGTAAGTATCTTAATTAAGAGAGATAGAACGTTCTTTTAGTATTAGAAAGGCTTATGCATATAAAGTATCATTAAGTTGGGGTAGAATAATAAAATATATTCTATTTATTGATACACTATATAATGTTATAAAAGTATAAGATGTATTTAAATTTGTAGGATAGTAAAAGAAAATCAAAAGTATAAGCAAGAGGTAAATTATTGGTTTGGACAATAAAAACTAAAGCATTAATATCAGCAAAAGAATATGGTTATACAACTAAGGAAAGAACAATTACTAAATGTTGTATTGCTTTAAAAATGATTGCTGTCAATTTAAGACAAAAGATTAAACTAAAATCTTAAGTAATTTTATCTAAATATTTCACTTAAATGAGATTGGCAGTAACTATTGTACATTAACATGATAAGACATTAAAAAAAAGTAATATTGATTTTATTATCTATTAGTAATTTAGATCTAAAGGAATTTTAGAACATTGAAATAAAAGAAATTAACTTATAGAGATAAATTTTTTAAACTTATTAAAGATAATATTAATTAAACTATTGATGATTTACAAAGATAATATGGTAAAAAAACATTTTATGATATTAACGATAAACCTGTATAATAAATGGATATGTATATAATAATGAAATTATTATTTAAGAATCTGTATAAATTAGTTGATTGATGAATACTCAAAGTAAAAAAAATAGATATGGTATGAATATATAAATAATAAATTTTTTGAAAAGGATTTCCATAAAGTATAAAATATATCAATTATTAGAAAATGAAAGATTTTGCTATTAATTTAAGAGAACCTTAATTATATGAACTTCCTAGAAGAAAAGAATTGATTTAAATAATTGAAAAATACGGTAAGATTAAAAAATTACTATGATTATATATATATATATAATTAATGATAAAAAGTAGATTACTTTAAAGAAGTTCTTCTAAACTAACTCAATCTTAAACCTCTCTAATGAATCAATCAATGACTCTGTAATCAATTATTCAATACATATAGAATTAACAGTATTAGAAAATAATCATCTAATTTTTCATTGGATAAGCAAACTGAAGAAAATGGAACAAGTAAATTGATGAAAAGGATTACTTAAAAATAAACACATAGAAGTATAGATGATATTTCAAGATTACTACCTTTAAATGATAATCTTATAAATGTTTATAACGATTTTGAAGATAATTTTAAAGTTATTAGAGAATCAAATAAAGTCAAATAGGAAATACCATAAACAATTAAATAAGAAATTGTATAAATTAATAATTTTAATATTTTAAAAACTGCAGATGGTTTAAGTTTATGTGATTTATATCCTGAAAAATTAAATCGAATATAAATTTATAGATTTAAGTTTTATTATTTTCGAGCTAGAATAAAAAATAAACTAAGTCCTTTATAAATACATTTTACATTCCCAAATATCTCATAAAATTAAATATACAAAGTGTTTTTATCAACAAGTGTAGAATTTCCAACAAAATTTAATTGTGAACAATCTACATCAAGTAGATCAATTAAAATTAAAACAAAATCAGGAACAAAATTATTTTATGAAGATTATATTTTCATGACTTTATATGCTGAATCAGATTTTATTATCAGTATTCATTTAGTATTTGGAGAATTTCATAATATGAATTTGAATGAGAAATAATAAGAACCTTAAAGATATTTCAAATATTGGGATGATAAATAAAGTTTATCACCTAAGAAAGATAAAATTTTACAAAATTTAGATTAATCTCGATATAAAAGTACTCATAAACTTAAAGAGTTTTTAAAAGGAGCAGGTATATATATCAAAATAATATAATATTTAGAGGTCAGTGCAAAAAAGATGATTTCAGTAGTTTAAAAAGGAAAACAAATTATAAAAGAGAAATAAGAAGAAAGATGTATTAAAATGTTAGTAAAATCCTAAATTCAAGAATTTCGCAAAGTTGAAAAAAGTATTTTATAATAAAAACTTGAGAAACATATTTAATGCGAATACTGGGAATAAATTATTTCATTATTAAAAATATGTAGATAAGCTTATACTATTTTACAAGTTATTATTATTTTTTAATTATATATAGGAAAGGAAAAGAATACTTAGAATTTAAGCAAAAGCAAAGTTAATAGTTTTAAGAATAAAGACAAAGTTATTCATAGAAGTATAATAATTTGGACATAATCCATTTGAAAGATGCAACAATAAATCATTACTTTTATTAAAGACAATTGCTATCCATCTATAAGAACTATCTAAATCAAGAGCATAAAAAATTGCAACTGATTTCTTGAAAAAAACACTCATCTTTTAAACGACTTTAATAGTTCATAATAAGATGGTGTCTAAAGGTACGATATTTTTAATGTAGTAAGAATGATTATTAAGGCATTTAAAGCTAAAAGGTTTTAAAAACGTGCTTTTAAGGATAGATTTTGGAGATTAATAAAAAATTATTTTGGTCAAAACAATGATACTCAGTTATTTACAACTTCTTCAGTCAAAGCAATTTAAATTGATAAACCTATTATGTCAAAAGTTATAGAGTAATATATAAATAAGAGGAAATTATAATGGTCTTAGTAATATAAGGAAAACAATAGTTCTGATTCTAAGGAATATCATAGACCAGAAATTCAAATATTTTAATTACCTAACGATTTAGAATTTTAATAAATTATGAAGGATTATTATATATTAAAGAAAATCAATTGAAATCATAATTTATTATGTATATATATAATACATTACTTTATTTATTATTAATACAAAAATATGGAAATTAATAAGATTTAGTATAATAGATAGAATATCAAATTAAACCTTCAAGTTTTACATCATTATTTGCTTTATATATCTTTCTTAGAAATCTATAGAATTTATCCAACATCAGTTTATTTTAAATATTCTTTTTACTTCTTAAAAGTAATAGATTATCCAGGTTCAACAATTATTACCTATTTAAACACCTTCTTCTTAAATTCTGTGTATATTTTTAATTGAAATATTTATTTTTCATAAATTTTAACTTATTCGACATATGATAACATTGTTTCTGTACTTTAAGCCACAATAGGACTGGGGAATATAATTTTTTAATTTAACTAAGGCCTTTCACTATTCTTACAATCTATGACTTTATAATTAATTTATATTTAATTAGTTTTGTTTTTATAGGTGCCATTTTTTTAAAATAGGTAAACTTTTTCATCATCATAGCAAGAGACATAAGGTTTATATGAAACCAAAATTGGTTAAAAAAATATCTCTTAATAGGGTGTAGCCTTTTCATTTGAAGTACCACATAATGATTTAAAACTATAAATTAATAATCGATCAATTAGTATTATTATGAAATGATCATCTTTTCCATTTATAGAAATTATTTTTTTAAACTTTTGAACACCACCTTCTATACTTTCTTTTTAAACACTTTGTATTTCTAATGGAGTTGAATCAGAAATAATTCTTTAGTTTAATTTTTTTAAAATGAGATTCACATCAGCACAATGGATTTCGATTTCATTTGTATATTCATTTAATCTTGTAATAATGAATTTCTCATAATCCTCATGAAATATTGTAAACTCTGAAAAATCAAAAATTTTAAGTTTTGCATTCCCTAATCTATAGTTTGTAAAAAATTTAAATTTCACACTTGAATTATCTGATACTTTATAGGCTTTATATATTTTTGTTGCTGCGTCTATCAATTGCATTTTTATCATTGCTAAGCAAGGAAATATTTTTGATAAAAATATTATTAATTTAAATTCTACTTACCTTTCGACTTTAATTAAGGTAAATAATCTTGTTTTTGATATTTAAATAAATGATGGACAACAAATAGAGCTTAATAGGACTAAAAAATAATTTCTCAACTTTAAACAGATTAAAAGTTTATAAACATTTTTTTAATTATTTATGATTATATTTTGACTTAAAATGAATATTATTAGGATGTCATAAAACATCTATCATTTAAAAAAGTACTAACAGGATTAATTCATAAGTTAATTTATGAAAATAAATTAATTTATAAAAAATAATGTATTTTTATCAACTAAATTTCAATATTATTAATAATTAAACTCATATATTTTTTATATTAAAATTTAAGAAGTTTTATTATTTTATAACTTTGTTAAATATAAAACAATAAATAGTTTAAAAGCGTTGAATCTTTCTAATTCCTCTATTTATTTAGGAATTATTCATTTCAATCATAATTTGTTTAATAGAGTTATAAAATAATATATCATTTTAATAACTATTGTATACTTATTACATTCTTGAAATATCATTTGACTTTCAATCTTGAATAGTATATAAACAAATAAATTTATTTTGAGAATATATATGAATTAATTTTTTTTGAATATATTTAAAAATAAATAACAAATTATAAATGAATATCATCCCATCACCTTGCAACTGGATTACCATATTTCCAGTTTATTTCAAATATTTTGATTAATAGAATTAAAAATTATATATTTAATTAGTTAATTTGTAATATTTTGATGAGATATTATTGGATTTGATGTTATTTTAAAGTTTTTTTTTGGTTTTATTAATTTATTGTAGTTTCTTCATGATTAATTTCAACATCCTTATTGATTATTAAACAATTCTACTGATAATTATTGTTATGATGACTAATAACATATTTATTTGTATAAAAGAAGCAAAATAACAGTGTTAATATATTTTTTAAGTAAATGATTGAAATCTAAAAATTCCTTTACGTCATGAACATAAAATTAATTTATTTTATGATTTTACGTCACCATTAAAAAATATATTAAATGAATAAAACATTTATCCTCCTCTTAATACTTTCTGTCTTAATTTTAACAGCAAAATCATTAGAAACTAACGATAAGCTTGAAATTTAAGATACTTTTACGAAGAGTATAATCTAATAGATTTTAAGAAAATCATATTTAGGCACTAATTGCCCACCAGAACAATCAAAAACTTACTGCTCTGGTAGCCAACCATGTTGTAAAGTTGGAAACAAATATGGATGTTGTCCTTATTCATATGGTACATGTTGTGGAGATGGTACATGTGTGCCAAGTGGAGGAAGATGTTGAAAAAATAAATAATCAGTTTTCTTTACCTTTGAATTAATTATTGAAATAATAAAAACATTTAATAATATTGTTAGAACTAACCTTCTTATATTTGATTATTGTATATTATCATAGTTTTAAATGTATGAAGTTTATATGTATATCAACTTTGATATTGACTTTGAATTCTTTATTTATAATTTTCAGTTTCTAATATTTAAACTCTTTTAAGAATAAATATATTTTTCCAATTTATATATAATAGAAATTAGAGATGATATATAATCTATTAAGTATTCTATTTTTAGTTGAATTATTAAAGAAAGGATTATAGTAAAATTATTGTTCTTATAAATCTCAAACTTTTTAAATATCTGTATTTTAGTTACAATCAATTCTAAAATTATTTATTATATCTAGATTTCTTATTTAGTATTGGTTTAATTAAATAGAGTACTTTTTGATAAGGCTTTAAAATGATAGAAAATAAATTCATTAATTTATATATATATATATATATATATTATATTTATTGTTATTTATAAATAATTACTCTAACTCTTTACTTTCTATTTATAAAATAAATAAATAACGATAATTATCATTCCAGAATTTCTTAATTTTAGATACAAACTTTAATCAAAATAATTAAGAAAATTATGAACTATCACATCTTATTCCATCAGATAGTTTTAATAGCAAATCTTTTAATTTAATCTTTGTTATTGGCTTTTCAACACCAAATGCTATTCCACAATCCTTAAATTATTCAATAATTTCTTATGTTAATTTATGACCAGAACATGCTATAATTGTAACATTTCTATCTAATTTACGAATTCTAGTAGAAGCCTCTATACCAAGCATGAGTGGCATTTCTAAATCCATAAATATTAATTAAAATGGAATGTTATCTTTCAATCTATCATTTACTTTTTCTATAGAGATTATACCATTCATAGCAGAATCTGAACTGATTCCACTTAATTCTAATAAATATTATAAGGCTACAATATTAAATTCATTATCATCAACAATAAGAATAGGTGGATGTTATTAAGTTAAGTCATTCCATTTTTATAATAGATTTTGAATTAGACGACTTTGAATAGATGGTTTATTAGACAAATTTCTTTCTGATTCATTTCTAATTCTTAAAGTTGCCTAATAATTTAATGAACTAGTCATAAAATTAAAAGCTTTTAGATTTTTTTTTTAAATAATTCTTTTACTACTTTCTCCCATAGGAATAGCAATTGAAACTGTTGGTGATTTTTATTAGATTATATTTTACAAGATTCTTAATTCTAATGTTGGTATTTTTTAAGCTAATTTTTGAGATATCTATGAATCTGAAATGTCTTCTTGAGGTTGTTCTTCATTTTCAATTTCAAAGTAAAATTTAGAACCAGTTCCATATTCTGACTAAACCTAAATTCCTATTGAATGTGTTTTGGAAAGTAATTTTGCTAATTCATTACTAATCATTAAACCTAATCCTATACCAAAAGGATTAGCTTTTTAATTTTCTAAATCATTAACTCTAGAGAATTCTTGAAAGAGTTTTTTAAGATTTTCTGATTTGATACCCATTCCAGAATCTTAAACAGAAATAATAATTGTATTTGCTTTTTCTTCACTTTAAATACATTCTATTAAAATAGATCCTTTAGGTTAAGTATATTTAACAGCATTACTCAATAAATTCATTATAATTTATCTAATTCTTAATTTATCAGAATTAATTTTAAGTGGTAACTTAGGATCATAACTAAAAGTAATATTAAGTCCTTTTTTCTCTTTTAATAAATCAAATAGAGATATTGTTTTATCGATTAATTTTGCTAGATTAAATTTACGACAAACAATTCTTATTGATTTATTTTCAATTTAAGCTGCATCCAAAATATCATTTATTAAATTTAAAAGTAAATGACAGGAATTTAATGAAGGTTTTAAGAATTTTTAAAATAGAGATGGATCTATTAATTCTTACAAACACATTTACATATTAATAATTGCATTTAAAGGATTTCTCATATCATGTGAAACTTTATGAAGTGTTTTAATCATTGTTTAAACTTATTCCTTTTATTGTTATGATTATTATTTGAATGATTCAATATTATATAATTTATGTTTGATTATTAAAATAAATTCTTAATTTTCTATATGTAATTTTTATACACTAAGTTAATAAGGGGAAGTGTTAGTTGGCTCAAAAATTAATTTTTAATCTAATTTTAGAATTTTCTTTTTTAATTATTCAATTATATCGCTAATCAATAATGTAGGTCTTGTAGTGATATTTTCTAAACAATGAGATTATCTAACAAGATTTGTTGTTTAATCTCTAGGTGTAAAAATTCTGCTTTAATAGTGATCAGATATACTCATAACTTACTCTTTAATAATTGAATAAAATAATTTAGATTCATAAACTGGATTGTATTACATATCCAATATACAAAATTCTTCAGATGAAATTTAAGATAATAAACTCTTTATGTTGATAAAAGATTAATTTCCTTTCTTCTTATAAATTTGGAGAATCAAAAAGAAATTAACTACTGCTCTCAAAATTTCTACAGTAATTTCTGAAACACTTCCGAAGCAAATGCATGGAATACATGCTAAAAAGAAAAATAATGTTGTTAATTTTAAATACTATTCGTTCAGTTGAATGATCAACACTATCTAAATCCCAGTATAAATTTACCATTAAGGCATAAGTAGATAAGACACACCTATAATTACAACTCCTTTAATCAAACACAATATCATCAAGATTAAATTAGATTTCTTTTAACACATGTACTCGAAACAAAATATAATCAAATGAAAGCTAGCTAAAGTCAAGCCAATAACCAAAAAGCTAAAGTCTTTTGTTAAGTAGGTCTACATATGAATTATTAAGCCATCTATGATTAAAAAGAACTAAAGAATCCTTTCTTTGTTTAATGTTTTACAAAGAGCAAGCATAATATATAATTAAATTACAATTAAGAATATAATTTTGTTAATTGATTTTTTTTAATCAAGATGATATCTAGATAATCATATTTTTTAATTCATTTATTATTTTTTCAACTAAATTGTTGATATCAATTAATCAAAGGGAAAGTTGGATTAAATAAATAAATAATATTTTTCTATTTTTAATAGTTTTACAAAAATTATGAAAATCCTATAATTAATAATATAAATATAAAATAATACAAAGAATAATAAGAAATATTTAAGATTCTATCTCTTAATTCAAATTAATAATTATTAACTTTTATGTAATAATTATTAAATATGAAGAAATAATAATGAAAATTTTAAAGTTAGTTATTCAAATAAAACCTATTTTCATTAATAACTAATTAATTTAAAATTAATTTATTAATCGACATACTCAATTTTAATATTATTTTTGTTATTAAAATTGCAATATAACTATGATATAATTTTATTTTTTATTTCAATATTCATTTTATCTTTTCTTTAAATATAAAAATTATTTTACATAATATGATATATATATATATATTAACAATCAATTCTTTTTTGTTTGTCTTTTTTCTATAAATCTATTTAACTTTTAAAAGAATTTGTCTTGCCCATATTACAAATCTGGTTCAGATTTCAAAGATAAATTCATTATTTACAAAAACTTATCCAACTTACCAACTAAAAAGGCATTTATATATATTTTTAATTTTTTTAATGTCCAATTTATATCTGTAATGGTTTTAATATCAGAAAATACATTCACAACTATTAATTATACCTAAATTAATTTTATAAATACTTATTAAAACTATTTAATCTTCTCTTCAATTTAATGTAATTATACTAAACCATTTTTAAATAATAATGGAATAGCCAATACTATAAATTGAGTATTCTCTTTAATTTTAAAATTACTTGATAATATTTCTTTAAGATGAACACATTAAACTTAATCTATTTCATATTTATCTTATTATATGCATTTTTCTAGCATAAATAAAGTTTATTTAAAACAGGATTTAACCACTTTATATATTTATTTTTCATTAATCAATTTTCCAGCTATAAAATTTTATGTTAGATAAAGAAAATCGGGTTTCATATTTTCTTCAGGAAAGAATAATTATTTAAATGTTGCATTTGGATTTGAAAAGTCTACTTTTGTTCTATTTCTCATGAATCCATCAATTGAATATAATAAATCACCAAAGTAGAGTAAAGTATTTAATTTTTCTCTTAATAATCCATTCTATTTAGCCATGTTTTTCAAATGGTTTACTATAAAAGCAACAGAAACATGATTTTATCTATGTCCTGGTATAATTAAATCAGCTTAACTCATCAAAGGTGATATAAAATTCTCAAATGATCTTTTCACAAATTTACTATACTAAAATAGTACACTCTCAACAGTTCTTCCTCTCTCTTTTACATCTCTTAGAATACGACGACATAAACGTATATCATCTTTATTTATTATTAACATTTACCATCACAATGTATAAATATTTTATAAGACATTAACTCTCTTATTCTTTCATCATAAAGTGCCATGATACCCTCAAATACTATAACTTATGCAGGAAGCATTATTGAACATTGATCTAATCTTTTATGATTCACAAAACAATAAATTGGAACTGATGCTGGCTTTCCTGACAATAATGTAGAAATGACTTCAAAGGCATTATCAAAATCCAATGAATCTGGATGATCAAAGTTATATTAAGAAATATCAATTTTAGACTTGTCTACTCCTTTATAAAAGGAATCACATGAAAGAATAGTCATGTCAACATCAGAATCGTATTGGATTTCCCTTTTGATTGTTTCACAAAGTGTAGTTTTTCCAGCTGCAGATCCTCCTGTAACGCCTACAAGAATACGTTGAGGTTCGTACTCAGAATTCTTCATTTAATATGAACACTACTTTTCTTTAAGTGATTGGCGATTTCATTAGGTGAGAATCATTAATCATGAATTAAATTTTTAAATGAATTTAATTTTTTATTTAATTAAGAAAGCTCTAATGAAAGAATATCATGAAAGATCTTTAAAACCATAAATAATATTTAAATTATCTTAAGTTTCTTATCTTTCAAGAAAACTTAGTTAATTAAACAACATTAATATTTATTTAAATCATTAATTAGAATCATATATATAATTAGATATTAACATAATTTAATTTAATATTTTATAAGATAATCAGATTATATTTTAGATATATATGTAAAAAATTTAAAAGAAATCAAAAAATTAGACATCTTTAAAAAAAAATATCGATAAAATTAAGTCTAATAAATTAAAATAAATTAAATCAATTAGGGTAGTGTTCCTTTTAAAATAAAATTTCAATTTATCTTAAGATATGACTAGGTATAGATCTTTATTTAATTGAATTTTCTTCAATTAATTATTATAAACTTTTAGTTTCATCCTAATTTATAGCATCATAGAATTCAATTGGAGTCTTCCAAACACATGCTATTGCTTTAGCTGATTCTAGTCCCACTCCATGTATACCTCTTAACATACTTCCCCATAAATTAAAAAGTGATTCTGCCTTTTTTGAATTATTATATAAAAATTCTGAAAATTTAATTGCATTTGGCAATAATTTAACAGTTTTAGTAAATAATGCTAACCATCTTAAGGAATCTTCTAATGTTTCTGTTTATTAAATAAAAAAACCATCTTTAATTTATGTATTTCTTATTGCTTTATCAATAGTAGCTCTTGGAACTGGCAAATTAGAGGATTATGAATTTTCTACTAAATAAAATCTATTATTAATTCCACAATGTTTTAATTTATGTTTTTAAACCTAGTATCTTTTATCAAGAATACTATGAGCTAAATCTTGAATGGTTTTTCTTTCAATTATATAATCACAAATATATTCATCATCTCCTTTTTAACATATCCACATAAAATCTCCAATTGGTAATTAACTTAATCTACATTCTATTTAGTATATATTAGTAAGTTTTTCAAAGATTATCTACCTATTATTACTTTAAAATCTTTCTCTATTATCAATTAATAATATAATCTTAGATGGTCTTTCTGAAGGTACTGTCATTTATTGTTAGATCATAGTTTCTGTAAAATATTGTTATCCTAATTTAATGCCATCCTCAGTTAAAGCATATTTAATTTCGTTATCTAGGACAGTTCTGATTAAATGTTATCAATTTACTTTTAAATTAATTAATGCTTCTCTAATGTCTCAATGGCATTCCAACTAGATAATTCAGTATTACAAATTCTAAATAAATTATAAAATAATACTCTCTTAATTATTCTTTTATTTATTTTTTTGAAGCAAATAGTTTATTCTCACTTTTTTAAAATTTATACAAACTCATTAAAACTTATCCACTTTTTGAATTCTTTCCAGGTTGATATTATCTTTTACTTTTTGATTATAAATCAGGTCCAGGTTTTATTACTTATTTTCTAAGTTCATCAATAAATGATGACTAAATTTATTTATCTTTTCTTTTTGAAGTTTCATCATTATAAATCATAGATGGTGGACAACTTTCTGAATAAATTTAATCCATATCATCTTCTTATTCATTAATTACATCTAAGTTATCTTATATTAATGCTTCATTAAATTTATGAAATGGAATCTCATATTATTGATATTACTTTTTTATTAATTATAAAATCATAACAGATGTCTTATCTCCTACACCTTATAACATTTAAACTTAATCTTCACATAATAAAGGCATAGGATATTTTTGAAGTGATTAAATGATCTTTTAATAGATGAAAGCTAATTTATCTTAACCTGTTCTTAAGCATCTATTCTTTAATTCAACAATATGATCAGCAATAAATTAATTATGAGGATTTTTAGATTTAATCAATTGTTTAGGCATTCTTATATAAAATATTTATTTATATTTTAAATTTATACAAATTAGAGAGTACTAAATACTATATTAATAAATTAATATAAATTTATATCAAAATAAATGCAAGTTTAATATAAAATTTAATCAATTTAATGTATGTATATGGATATCAAAAAGAAAAATAAGAATGAAAGTAATATAATTAGTTATATTTCTAGATCAATAAATAGTTATTTGAATTTATTTATGATTATATTATATTTATTAGGTAATAATACTTATTAATATTAATATTCAATTTAATATTAATTTTCTTTAATGGTATTTTTTTAATTAAATATAAAATATTTTGATTCATCTTATTTTTATTAGTATGAATAATTAAGATTCTTAAAATTTATAAAGTGGATTGTTAGAAATAGATTGAAAATATTACTTTAAAATTCTGAAATAAAATTTTAATATTTGTCTTAAAATATTTATAAAATTAATTATAAACATATATGAGCTTCGGGTATGAAAATTTGATTTATCGAGTAGAGTGTACTCATAATTTCAAACATTTGGTTAATCTTAAGAATTAGAAAACATTTTAAAAAATAATAACCCAACTTTGGAAGAATTGTTGGAAAGAGACAATTTCTTATTTGACATCAAAGCTGGAGCTATGAATGCTTTTACTGAATTGTAATAAAAAGTATTGATATAAGTGTTTGGAGATAACCTGAGAATTTAGAAAAGATGATTCATTATATTATTGTCACAAATGAATAGATGGATGATAATGAGAAAAGTCGAAAATTTCCATATATAATAAGCGAGATATTTGCTTTAGAAAATACAAGATTGTTTGATTTATTATTCTTAAGACATCGAAATGAATCCTAATCATCCTTATTAAGCAATGAAAGATTGGTTTCTAATATAAATCTAAATTAGACTACTATTGAAGATGATATATTACCAGAATATTAAATGCATCATGAAGATCAATGTAAAGAAGAAGAAGATTTTAATGGAGGAGGAATATCTGGAACATCAAGTTAGTATATGTTAATATCATAGTCTAGTGTGCATCTTTCAAATCTAAATCAGGAATGCATCTAAATGAAAATGTTAGGTTGAATATATTAAATGCATTTTTCAAATACTTAGAATCTCCAAACATTAATGATACATCTATGGGTTATTATACTAAAATTTTAAAACCTGTAACTAGTAAATATGGAGGAGAAGTAATACTAAATCCTACATTATTTTAGTTTTGGGATTATATAGTAGTTAATAATAATATAATAAGTGATTTACTTTAACATATTAACCATTATTAAATTGTAGAAATTGTGGTTAAACTATTAATTTTAGATTACAAAATTAATGATAATATATACATCAACCAAAAATGTTATGTATTCATTAAACATAAGCATAGAAGAATTATAGAAAATAGCTTTTAGAAGAAATGATACATTAAATGGATAAGTTTTGTGATAATATTACAGTATAAAAATTATTTATATATCAAATAGATGGTAGCAGATATCACATAAATATTTGATTTGCTTTTAGAATAAGGAATTTAATAAAAATTGTATGAACCTTTGAGAGAATTGTTCGACAATGTTTTAAAACCATATTACTTTTTTAAAATTGCTGTAATATTTTATATTATTAATAAATTTAGAAAAAAACAGGAGTGCTTACTGTATATAAAGTATTCTCTAAAATCTTATTATTTATTTAAGCTAATTCCTTATAAGGTAATCAAATAATCATGTATTTAGATTAGAAGACTTCTGATTTAATATAAGTAATCTAATAAATTAATCCACTTATTATCTCAAATTTGGAAAATTAAGAAACCTTTGGACTCAAGAACTTGTGTCTTATTTAAGCTCTCGATGTTTGCGATAAGTAAATAAATTCAATAGATCATCTATAGATTAAATAATCCACTCTTATTTGAGTCAATGTTTTAAGCTCAATTATATTAAAGTTTAATAGAGTATGCAATTAAGTATTAATGGAATAATTAACTTTAAATTTATGTGACTTCAATTATCAAATCTAGAATCTAAGATGAAAAGTATTGTCAAAGAATTCTAAAGGAAACAGAAATCTTGAATTAAATAAAAAAGAATTTAATTGATTAACCAACCAATTTAAGCTTTAAATCCAAATGCAGTCATGGATGTAATGGTTTTTTAAAAACAGTTGGTTATAAAATATTATAGAAACAAGCAATGAGCAAAAAAATTAATTCACTATTATAGGAGTGTAATAATCAATATGATAATTAGAACATGGATAAATTATAGAAGCCTTGTAAAGATTATAAAAACTTGAATAAACTTATTTATGTGATGTAGAACCAAAAACACACATGTAAGAAGCTCCACCAGAAATCAGTATTGATAGATAAATTGAAATGCTTATAGATTTACAAAAAGAAAAAGAAGATTAACTCACAAAATCAGAGTAATAATGAATATATGAATTAAAAAAATAAATTCATAAAACTCTAACTAATAATACCAATTATCATAATAAATTGGATTGAATATTTAAATGAGATGTTATAGTCTCAATATCTTAAATTGTTTTTATTTAATTAGAATAATTAACATAAATTCAAATTTTTAAGAAGATAATATATGAAAATGAATTTCTAAATAAGGTTTAAAGGCAATCCAATTTTAAATATAAATAAATTAATTCAGATATGTTTTTGAGGAATAGATTTCATTCTCTTCGTAAATTGGCTTAATTTTGCACAGCTGAGAGTGTCTCAGGAAAGAAAACACCTACAGCATAAACTTAATAAACTAAAGTTGAAAGAAATTACTAATTACAATTCTCTAAGTCAGCATTAGTGGATTTTGGAGAATTACCAACAGGTGAAATTCCTGAAGCCTTAAAATATGACAGACCATAAGGTATGTATTGATTTTTATAACATTAGCTTTAACTTAATTGGACACTGGTCTTAGAGTAGTGTCTGAATAATACAATTCCCCATTAGCTTCTATAACAGTAGCTGTGAAAGCAGGATCAAGATTTGAAACTTTAGAAAGCTCAGGTGTTTCAAATTTCATTTCAAAATTAAACTTAAGAGTATTAATATATATTTATACTAGGGAACAACAACAAGATCAAGAGAATAAGTTGAAGCAGAAATTGATTACTTGGGAGGATCATTAAAAGTTAAATAAGGTAGAGAATTATAGACTTACACTCTTACTTTCTTACCATCAGAACTTGAAAGAGCAGTCAACTTTTTGGGAGATATTTTAACAAATTCATTATATTCACCAGCTTAAATTGAAGCAGAAAGAGAAGGAATTTATAGAGAATCAGTTAGCATCAATGATTAATACAGAGTTGTTGCTGAAGCTGCACATTATACAAATTATAGAGATCATTATATGGGTTAACCTGCAGCAGGAATTAGAGATAATATTCCAAATATTACAGAAGAATAAATAAGATAATTCCATAAGGCTAATTTTGTTGCACCAAATGTAGTTGTCTCTGCTGCTGGTAATGTTAATCATGAAGATTTTGTATCTGCAGTAAATAAGGCATTCAAAGGATTAGGTACATCAGTTCCAACTGAAGTACCAAATTCAGAAAAACCATATGCTACTCCATCTATTATGGTATTAATATTTTATTAATAATCTAGTTAATGAAAGATGATGAATTAACTAATTTAAATGTTGGTGTTTTCTTTGATACTCCAGGATGGAATCATCCTGATGTTTTTGCTCTCCATTATTTCTAAAGACTTATTGGTGATTATAGAGCTGATAAACACACTGGATTCCATTTGAATGCTCCAAGTAGATAATATAATACTATGCATTCACTTCTTGGTGGATTACCTGATGTTACATATTAAAGATGCGTTTATTATGCATATTCAGACACTGGTCTTTTTGGAAATTATTTGATTGGTAATGAAGTTTTTGCAACATAAATGGCATATGTCAGTCAAATGGTTTTATCTGATTATGCTTCATCTGTAGGTTAAGTTGAAGTATTTAGAGCTAGAGCCAAAGTGTTTAATGAATTATTAAGTTAAGAGAGTTCTGCTAAATAATCAAGAGAAATTGCTTAATAAGTTTTGTATAAATATTTAAATAAGATTTAGCTATTGGGGAAGAAGAGTTCCAAGAAGTGAATTTGCTAGAAGAATCTCTGCTCTTGATGCTGGTCATTTGACTAGAGTTGCTACAAGACACTTCTGGGATAAAGTAATTATTCTATTTGATTTAATAGGATATTTCTGTTGTTGTATGGGGACCAACTCATTTGTTAGATGCTGTTGCTCATTACAATAGATCATGGAAGAGAAGCACATTGGGTGGATATGCATAGCCATATTATGAAGGTTGATTCATTAAATAATAAATATAAAGTTTATTCAATTATTTTTTACTCTTGTTTTCTCTTTGTAACTTATTCTAAAGAGTTGTATTGGATTTTTAAATTAACTATAAATTTAGAAATTTAATCTATACTTTTCTACAGAATCTTTTTTTAAAATACTGAATTTGTCATCAAGACAAGGACTTTCATCTTCATTCATTTAATTCTAGCTTTTCACAGTAAAATCCAGAATAGATGGATTATTCATTAGTCCTAATTATAATTCTACAATAGAATTATAACAATTTGGTTTGACATCCAAACTTAATTTATGTACAACTCTAATCTAATTTTGAGCAGATGTACTTCTTTCTGCTTATTTTGGAGTATTAATTTCATTATGAAATGATCCAAATCTCACATTCCTTTAATAGGCTATCATACAACTGACTTCTGGTTAAATGTCACTGTATTGTTAATTTGATTCATTAAATGAACTAGTGCTTTTGTGTCTTAAATTTAATCTACTATCTAAAGGTAAAAGATTATAAGAATTGTTAGCAATTGATAATTTACCATTTGATTCTCTCTTTGATGGTCCTGTATCATCAAACTCTTCACTTTATTTTTTCTTTTTTGGAGAATAGATTTACTATATTATATGTGGTTAATCCATAATTTTAATTGATTATTACTTTTTAGGAGACATAGATCCAGATTTTTTCTCTTTATTATTTTCATCTAACCAATCAAATCTATATTCAACCTATTATTAAATAGCCACTCTTCTAAATAGTTACTAGAAATATCTAATAAATAATTATCTAATTAATTTACTTATAACCTGGTTTCTCTCTATAACTCATTTTTTTTACTAAATCTATAAATCTCATAAATTCAATTGGCAAATCTTAACATAATTCTTGAGATGAAATTCTCATTTTCATTAAACCAACAACTTTAACTTTTTCTTCTTCATTTTTATGATTTACATTTTACCATGGCAAACTTCCTTTTAATAAAAATCTCTTTATTGTATCAATATTACATTAACATATAACCTAATGATTCAAGATCATCTTTTCTTGATAATTCATATCCTTTATGTGCTGCTATACTTGCATATCTTGAAGTTCCAAGGAATGGTTTGTTATCTTTGAATGGACTAAGATTAACTTACATTTTATACATATGTTTATCATCTTTATCTTTAAATTATTTAGCAATCCCAAAGTCAACCAAATATAATTAGTCTTTCTCTTTATCCTTTCCAACCAATACATTTTCTGGCTTCAGATCTCTATGAATCACACCCCTGGTTTGAATAGAAAATTTACTTATTGTGAACGTTTTCTAGTATTGTCAGTAACTAATCTGCGATACCCAAAACACAAGGTAAACTAAGTCTTTTTCTCTATCTCATATAATGTGTTAGATCTCTACCCAAAAGCTGAATTACCATCACATTATTTCCTTAGTCTTTTCCAGCCCATTTAAGCTTAGGAACTTAGGGTACTCCTTATACTGATCTCAGGATTTAAATCTATGTATTTTACTATTAGTCAACCTCTCTATCTAAACTTAATAATTCATCCACCTCTAACTTTTCAACCTTAATTGCCACAAGATCTTATGAATGTAAATCAAATCCTTAGTACACTACACCAAATGAACCTGCTGAAATCCTTTTTTTTACAACAAATTAATTATTGAAGATCTTTTATTACACTCCAGCCATTTAATTTAATATTTATTATTACTCTACTTAGTCATCAATATTAATGTAAATAAGATAGTATTTTATAATCAGACATGAAGTTTCCTTTTTATAGTAATAAAAAAATATAAAAAATTATGTACATAGATCAAAAAAGATTTAATAATATACAAACCCAATAAGGTTTAAAGTAATAATTAAACATAATTAATTTATCCTAAATCAAACATTTTTACAGTTAATTGTTAAATAACAATAATACAATAAAAAATAAATATTTCTTTCTAAATGAAAGTAACGATTCCGTGATTAAATTTTTATTGTTAACATAATGTATATTTTATTTAAAAATATTAGATAACAAATGATAATCAAATATTATCAAATAATTTATAGTTTACCAAGTATCTCTTAATATAGAACTATTTATGATCAAAATTCCATAAAAAATCTAGTTGAAGATTAAATTGTAAAAGGGATTTGATTGTTATAAAAAATGACAAAATAAAGTAATGAAAAAATATTAATTAGTTATATATATAATTAAAAATTATTATTAGAAAATGTTATAAGGTGATGTACCATCTGAAGTTTAACTTGCAATTCCTTGCATTCAACTTAAATCATAGTCTGTTAGATTGATAGCCAATATGTAAAAGTGTGAGATTGATTGTTTGGCATCTTATGAACTTACAATTGGATTTTCTGATTCTAAGGATAGATTGGTTGACCTTAATTAAACAATGGAATTCATTCTATATGGACGTCAATATGAAATAAAAAATATTACTTATATTCCCTCTGAGAAATATCCTTAAATAATCAAGTTAGTGAAATAATAATTTAATTCAAATGAAAAATAATCAAATTTATTGAAATCATAGAAACCTTTTAAATCACCATGTTCTTATATGACAATGAATGCTCTTTTGAACAAAATTTAGGATGATTGTTAATAAATTACTCTATTATTTTAATTTGCAACAGAAAAATTGGAAAGCACTGATTATGACTATATTAAATCATTAGAAGATTAGATTGTCTTTAAATTACAAATAAGTTATGTAATATCAAGACCTATTTCTGGATTAAGATTTATTAATAATTTAGATAATAAATTTTTAATCACAGAAAAAGGATTGCATAATTCTAGGAATTGGATTCCAACTCCTTATTATAAATAATAAAGTATATTAATTATATATATTTAGGATATCCACCATATTGTCATGAAGAAAAGGACTTATTACATTATTCTAAAATCATAATAACAGTACCATCATCTTATTATGTTGTAGCATCTGGATAATTATAAGAAATAGTTGAGATTGATGGGAATGAATAAGTTGGATATGTGTTTAATGTAAATGAATACATAAACCCTGATGATTTAGGTATATTTATAGGAGAATTTTCACATCATTATGCAAATCATGATGAATTTCGATTAAATATTTTCCATATGAATGAAAATAAATCTTACTTGTTTGAATCTGAAACAGCTAGAAAAATATTCGAATCAGTTGATAGATTTTGGTTTAGAGATGCTTTACTTTAAAAAGCAAGAAATATATTATCAATTGGATCTGGAGTTGAGTTTTTTAGATCTTTGAATGTTCTCATATTACCTAATGTACAAAAACATGGATATCTTTCATTTTACCCCTTTCGAAATATTTTAGTATTTGATGAATCTTAACTTCCTGAAACATTACCTTGCAAACATACTTAAGATGAATTCTATAGATGTTTACATTTATAATTGAATGCTCTGTCTCTCAAATTTTTCTTGGCTCCCTCTGTAAAATTGTCAGATAGATGGATTGAACTTGGATTCACATTCTAATCTACTTGGACAGAGGATTATGCATAATTACATTAAAAGTTATTAGAATAAATAAAGAATGGTTAGGATGTTAAATTAGATTAAACTTAATTTGAATAAAGATTCTTATTAGAATCATTAGAATATTAATTAAAAACTAGAATGGTTATAACTATGCTTGCTAGAATGACACATCAACCAGATGTTTTCATAAAAGAAATATTAAATAGATTTTATTAAGATCTTAAAGGAAGTATTCCTGCACCTTTAAGTACTGATAAAATATTCATGAGTATGAAAAAGGTATTTTCAGTATCAAAAGGGAAATCTTTCTTAAAAATGTTTATCAAATCTGCTGGAGCATGGCATTTTAAAGTTTCATATGACTATGAGAGAGATCATAAATTAAATTTGAATATTACTTAGTCTCCTCTTATAGGTCATTGGGTACATGTTTATACTCATAATTATATATAAGGAGCAAAAGCACTTGACATTAAATCTGACATAATCTTTTAATTTCTATAATTTTAAGAAAAGATTAAGCATACATAAAAATAAATTTAAAAGGCTTTTAAAGATTTTGAAGAGTAATAAAAGGAATAACCTTATGATTAGAGTAAGAAGCCACATTCTTCTTCAACAATTAAAGATTTTAAAAGAAGAGATTATTAAATCTAAGCAAGTGGATTAATACCAGAAGAATTATCAATGCCTTTACATTTTTCAGGATGGGTTCGTATTTAAGTTTCGGAGACAAATGAATTAAAACTTGAAATAGAAAATACTGAAATAAAAATACCTCCAAAATTATGGACTAAAATAGATATTAATTGTACACAAAAATTAAAAAAATACAATATTCCTAAAAGACATTTAGAAATTAATGCTTAAGCCTATATTTAAGAAGAATAAACTGGTAAAATAGAAATAGAAAATGATAATAATAATCAAGTCAAAACTCCTATGATTCATGGAATTTTAGGTGAAGCTGTTTTGAAATCAGGAGTGAATATTAATACTGGTAGAGAATAAACAATTAAATCATATTCAGAGGAAATATAAAAAGAACCTCCATAATGGATCAAATGGGATCCAGTTGGTTTAACTGTAAAAGAGGTTGAATATTAAATTTAAAAAGAACTTGTTGTAATGTGTTAAGTTTTGAAAGAAAAAGATATGAATTAAATAGCTTGTGTTTTAAGAAACATTAAAAAATTAGAAATTAGAGAAAGAGTTGTTAGAACAATTGTTTTAATTATTGAAAATTCTTATGCTCATCTTGAAAGTAATATAATTGTACAATTACTATAATTACTTAGAGAAATGGTTAATAAAAGTTCAATAAAAAGATTAGAAGAAAATTGTGATTTTGAAGATATGGCAGAATTATAGGCTTATTTAAAATTAGCTGAAAAGATTACTTATAGATTTTTCTTTAACTAAAATGACAATAGTCTTAAATATTTAAAATTCAATAATTTTGATGATTATGATGTTATAATAGCTCTTTTAAAAAATCTTAGAAGACTTAATACTGCCTCAACTTTAGGATTTCATAATGAACTTATAGCATTATTAGTTAGTATCCTTTAAGGTTATGATAATTCATAAAATTAATATGATTGTAGTTATATGATATCAAAACTAATAAAATTATTGTTGTTTACAAATTGTAATCAATCAAAATTCTTGATAATGACTACTTTAAAACATGAATTAAAGAAAGTTATATTTTTGAATACATCAAAGAATTATATACTGAAAACTATAATAATTCATTACAAAAGATTTACTGATATCAATTTTTCAGGAGAGATGGAGAAGAAAATAGAGGAGATATATAAAAAATATGATGAAGAAATATCATCTATTATAAAACATCATTAATCAAATGTATTAGTTAGAATTGATAACGGTTATTTAGAAAGAGCATATTATAAAAAATATTTATTAGAACAATATGAAAAATAAAAGAAAGAACCTTATCATTTTATATTAGATCAATTGTATTATTTAAGTAAGAAAAGAGTAAAGAATGGATCTACTACAATATATTTTAATGTATTATTATAAGAACTTTAAATCTTTATGGCTAAAAATTATTAAAGATTTGCACATGAATTATCTAGAGCTGATATTAATCCAGAATTAGCTAAAACTTTGGCTCATACAAATTTTGAATGTATAATATCTGGTCCAGCACTTTTAAATTATAATGTTTAAAGCAATTTTGCATCTATCTATAGAATTTTATTTTATTATTTTGCTCCACTTAGAACTGATGAAGTTCATAAAGATATTAAACATTTATTATACACTTTAACAAATTTTACACCTGATTAATAATGGTCTTAAGCTCATGCTACTTAATTATTAGAGGAATATTAAGAATTAACAAAGAGAACTTGTGGATAATAACCTAAAAAGAATAGACCAGTAAATAGAAGCACAAACTAAGATCTTATTTAATAATTAGAAAGATTTGCAAGAAAATTTCCTAATAAATTATCAGAAAGAGAAATAACTAAATAAATATTAAAACATTTAGGCACTTTACCTTAAATTGGTTAACTTGAAGAAAAGGTTGGTGAATTATCACCATCTTCAAAATAAATTTATAGAATTGATTAAGTTAGAGCTTCAATGAAAAGAAAGAATTAACCTATGAATATAATATTAGATAATGTACTATCAATGTTTGAATACTATTATAGAAAATAGTAATTGAGTAAGAATGAATTAGATGATTTTTGTCAGATGGTTAGAAAGTTCTTTGATGATGGAAAAAAAGTTTTAGAAAATTATTCAAAAGCTAATGTGGATAAGAAGGTTTAAAAAATGGTAATAAAAAGTACATCTTTAGAAACAAATTTAGCTAAAAATACTTATGATGAAATGAATGGATGAGTTATTGTTATTTATGTAAAAATCATTATTAATTTCATTCTTCAAATAATCCTTATTAAAATATTAACTCAGGATTATTTTATTTAAGTACTTCATGTGGATCATCAAGATCATTTTGATCTAAATATAACTTTTTTAAAGCAGTTAATTTTTGTAATTGAATAGGAATATATGTTAAATGATTGTCTCTTAAACTCAATAATTTTAACTTATTTAACTTATCAATATTCTATGGAATTCTAAAAATTTCATTATTAGATAAATCCAATAACACTAATTCAGATAAAGTTGTAAATCTATCTATATTTGATAATTAATTCTTAGCCATATTTAATTCTTACAATGATGTTAATTCAAAAAATTCATTCTCTATATTGTGATCTTGTAAATTACAACATGATGCATGAAATACTTTCAAATTACTTAAATTTTTAATGCTTTATGGTATTATTTAAATTTTATTATTCGAAATAATTAGTATTTATAGATTATTCAAACCAAGAATCTATTCATAGATTGTAGTGACTCCTCTATTTCTTATTGATATTAAATTTGATATTTTTGCTTATTCTACAATTTCTTTTAATTCTTAAGGATTTATAAATTTTTCTGATATCTGATTTTACTATTGAATTCCCCCATACTTTTATAATTTAGTAACTAAATCTTTTTCTTTCTCATCTTCCTTTGCCTTAATTTCCTCCTTCTATTATTTAGCTTTATCAAAAGCCTCTATAATTTCTGGATCACTCAAACCTAATTTATAAATAGATTTTACCTTTTTTCTTAAGATATTTTTCTAACTCAGATCTAGGTACGTTTTGTAGATTTGGTGTATTTATAAAGTTTATGGCAACTGCTATTCTTTTATCTTTCTCATCCTTTTCTTTCTCTTATTTAGTTTATTTAGACATTTTAATTATAAATAAATATGTGCATCATATAATTTTTATTATTAACAGTAAAATGGAACTAATTAACGTATATATTTTAGTTAATTTAGCACTTTCCATCCAGAAAGTTTGGATAAGAGTTAACTAATCTTTATTATAGACCTTAAACTAGATTAAACTTATCACAATTAAAAAAGAAAGCCGAATCAACCAATACTTCAATGAGACATAAATCTTAAAGAGATATAAATAATAATAATGTTTGGTACTAAGTGTCAATAAAGAAAAGAACAAGTAGTTAACATAGCAGTGGAGATTCAGTCACTCATAGATAAAAATCTTCTAGATGTTCAAGTAGAAATCAAACAATATAAACTGTGAGATTTTGTGATGTCAAATAAATACTTATTGATGAATAGAATAAGCAATTTATTGAAAATATAGATATGGTATATTCAAATAAACCTTAGTATTGTAGTGTTTATGCCTATGATATTTAAGAATATATGAAATCTATTGAATTATCATACTAGTTTAGTGTTTAACAGTACTTTCATCATTAACCTTAAGTAACTCAGAAAATGAGAACTATTTTAATAGAGTGGATTATAGATGTGACATCAAAGTTCAGATTGAAATAAGAAACATTATATTTGACAATAAATTTACTTGATAGATATATGTTGACAACTCCAGTTTCTAAAAATATATTATAACTTATCGGAGTCTCTGCATTATTTATAGCAAGTAAATTAGAAGAGGTGCACTAATTGATGGCTAAAGATTTAGCTTATATTACAGATAAAACATATACGAAAGAATAAATTTTATATACAGAATCACTTATATTGAAACAGCTAAACTTTAATCTAACAACTCCAACAATAATTTATTTTTTAACTAGATACTAAAATATATGTCCTTTAAATTTAAAACATTTCTACTATTGTCAATTATTAATTGAAATTTACTTATTATTACAACCTTAGACTCATAATAGTAGTTTATTAGCTGCAGCCTCATTTTGGTTGATTAGAAAATAAAAGAAATATAACCCTATATGGCCAGAAGAATTAGAAATTATTAGTAATTGTAATGAGAATAAATTACATACAATAGTTAAAGTGCTTTAATCATGTTAATTAGAATTTCAAACAAGATAGAATATATTTAATTCATTATATACTAAATATTCTTAGTATAAATATTGTAGAATAATTAATGTGTGAAAATAAATATTTTATATATATTTATTATACTTATACATTAATCAATGATCATCCAGTTAAGGTGAGAATTGCTTGTACTGTGTCATTATCAGATTTTCTAAGAGCTTCCACAGCTTTACTTCTATCGCATTTGCAGTGCTCCATAACCATTTTGATAGATTCTGCTGGAATACCTTCATCACTTACTTATTCTGTAGTTTCAGATGGCTTTGGTTCCTTGTTTTCTTCTTATTTAGGACTATAAGATATAAATTGAATATTACACTTATTAAGCTAGATTTTCAGCTTCTTTTTTGCCAATTTAACCTGTTGGGTCATGTACTTTAGCTTCACCAATCACAATATAAGAATTATCTACATTGGCTGATTTTAAGACTTCTGGATTATCAATATAAAGAAGAAATTATTTTCCTCTTTTTATTGTTACTCTATTAATTCCAGCTACTGGTTTCATTCCTAATTTAAGCATTGCCTTTTTGAATTTTTTTTCTCCTCTATTAGCCTTCTTGTCTTTGTCATCTCCTCCTTAATGATTGTGACCATCATCAGAATCTGAATGGCCATGTTCATGAGGATGATCATGATTATGTTCTTAAGTTTATTCTTTTTCTTCTTTTATTTCAATCTCCTTTTCTTAAGCCATTTATTATTATTATTATTATTGCATAATTTAAATTTTCCAATCTTGATTAAATATTTCAAATGTACATAAATTAACAATAGTATAGATTTTAATATATCTGATATATAAATAAAAATGATTAGATTCTCATTGAAGAAAGCATAACAATTATTGGGAAAACAATTCCAAGCTTTCTCAACACAATAGAATCTCATAGAAATATTCATAGATGACGTACCTCACAAAGTAGAAATGTGTGTTTGATCATTTATAGGTTGATCCATCAGCAACAATATTTTAAGCATGTTATTCAGCAGGTGTGATTATTCCAAGATTCTGTTATCATGAAAGATTAGCAGTTGCAGGAAATTGTAGAATGTGTCTAGTAGAAGTTGAAAAGTCACCAAAACCTGTATAATTAAATGAATATTCTAAAAGGTAGCAGCTTGTGCAGCATAAGTTGCACCTGGAATGAGAATACTAACAAAAAGTGAAAAGACTAGAATAGCAAGAGGTGGTGTTATGGAATTCATGTTAGCAAATCACCCATTAGATTGTCCAATCTGTGATTAAGGAGGAGAATGTGATTTATAAGATATTTCTGAATAATATGGGTAAACTCATTATATTCTATCATTAGATATGGAGATAGCAGACATAATGAATATAAGAGAGCTGTAGAAGATAAGAATTTTGGTCCTCTAGTAGCTACTAGTATGAATAGATGCATTCATTGCACTAGATGTATTAGATTTTCAGATGAATATGCTGGTGTAACTGAATTAGGAACTAGTGGAAGAGGAAGAAATACTGAAATTGGTACATACATTGACAAAATGATCACTAGTGAATTATAAGGAAATTTAGCTGATATTTGTCCAGTTGGTGCTTTAACCAATGGACCATATGCATTTACATCGAGACCATGGGAATTAAAATCATATGATTCTGTTGATGTTTTTGATACCATCATTCCACTTATTTAAATTGATACTAGAGGAGCTGAAATTATGAGAGTTTTACCTAGAATTCATGAAGAAGTCAATGAAGAATGGTTAAATGATAAATCAAGATAAGCCTTTGATGGATTAAAAAAATAAAGATTAACACTACCATTGGCTAGAGATGCTCAAGGCAATTTTACAGATTTATATTGGGCAGATGCTATATAATAAGCAGCTAAGAAATTATAATCTGTTAAAGGAGAAGAAATTGTTGGAGTTATTGGAGAATTTGCTGATTGTGAATCTATTGTTGCTTTAAAGGATTTATTAAATAGATTTGATAGTGATAATTTTGAAATTAGAGGAACTGGTGTCCCCTAATTAGATGCAGATTTTAGAGCTAATTATTTATTCAATTCTAGAATTACAGGAATTGAAGAAGCTGATGTTCTTTTATTAGTAGGTACAAATCCAAAAATTGAATCACCTTTATTGAATTCAAGAATCTTAAGAGCTACTAGAAAAAACAATTTAAAGGTATTTTTGGTTGGACCAGCAAATGATTTAACATATAATTATGTCCATCTTGGTAATAATGCTTCAATTCTTGATGAAATTGCTAATGGTACTCATCCATTTGCTGCAAGACTTAAATCTGCTAAATTGCCTATGATTTTAACAGGAGCTGGTGTCTTAGAAAGAGTTGATGGAAATGCCATTCACAATGCTTTAAAAAAGATTGCATAAAATTCACCTGTAATTAATCCATAATAAGGTTGGAATGGTTTCAACCTTTTACATAAAGATGTTGGAAGAATTAATGCTCTTGAATTAGGTATTACAGCTAGAAGAAGCAGCGTACCACCTAAAGTTGTTATTTTATTAGGAGTTGATAATAATTTAAATGCTTAAGATATTCCAAAAGATGCTTTTGTTATCTATATTGGTAGTCATGGAGATGAAGGGGCTTATTATGCAGATCTCATATTACCAGGTGCTACTTATACTGAAAAGAATGGCACATATGTAATATCTTATATGTATTATACAAGATTTCAACTGAAGGAAGAGTCTAAACCACAAAATTGGTAGCCCTTCCTCCATCAGGTGCAAAATCAGATTGGGAGATCTTGAGAGCTTTATCTGAAGAGTGTGGATGTGCCTTACCTTATGATAGTTTAGAAGAAGTAAGTCTTTATCTATATATTTAAATAGGTTAGATATAGAATTGCTGAATTAGCTCCACATTTATTAAAATATGATTATATTGAGCCCACTGTTTTGGGATAGGTTGCATTAAAACCTGAATCATCCAAATAAACCATTTCAGCCACTCCTTTCAGAGATCTTATCGATGTACATTATATAATTTATTAATAGAACTTCTATATGACTGATGCTATTTCTAGATAATCAGTTACTATGGCTAAATGCTCTACAGCATTTAATCCTCATAAATTTAGCACATTTAAATAATTATGATATAATATCCAAAAAAATTATAGCAATAACATATATAATTATATCAAGCCATTTTTTTACTTACAGGACTTTAATTTGATCTTTATGTGTGATAGACTTCGAAGATTCCTTTCGGATTACTTTTTAATGGACTATTGATTCGAGCAGTTTAAGATCCTCCTTATTTTAACTTTGTTGATGATTTCAGATCCTCAATATAAATATTAACTATATTGTTTTAGTTGATATTGTATACACCCCCTCCCTTTTTTGTTGAACCTTACACACAAATATTATTGGTTATTTTTAATGGATCCTTTGAATTATCATGCTTTTAAGGATATTTTGGAGGAGATCCTTTATAACTTCCCAAATTATCTTGAGATTTAGTCCTATAATGCATTAATTAAGCATTTAAAATGGGTGCCTACAAATTATTATTAGAAATCAATGTAGATTTCTTTTTTTGATCAGAATTTTTGACTTGTAATCCTTTTAAGGTTGATAAGGCATACTATGTGAATTTTTAAGGTAATTTTTATCTATATTTAAATATTAAATGATACATATTTTTAGATGCTGTTTTCTATAAGTTCTATTCACCAATAGTATATACACTCTATCTCTAAACTCTGTCTGTGGCCAAAGGTTGTTTACCTATTTATTATGAATATTAATTATACTTTTATTATCATCTTCATATTTTTAAAGTTATGAGGCAACTCTGGTTCTTCTATTAATGGATTATCAATAATAATTACAAGAAATTAACTTAATAAGATAACAAATCAGCTGATTACTTTTATGTTGAATTTTATCTACTTGGTAATCTGAATTAACTTTCTGTTGTATTAAAATTACCACTCACTTTTCGTTAAGAATTAGATTTCTAACAGTTATTAGCTTTTTATTATTTCTGTATATTTTGTTATTATTATACAAAGTTGGCAAATCCTTCAATTTGTGAGTAGACTTTTTACATTAATTATGATTATTATGAATTTCTTAAAGGAGATTATTCTTAATTTGATCTTTTAGTCTATTCTCCAGCCTTTATAGAATTTTCTGCCTTTAAAGAAGAAACTTCTCCTTGATTAAACTGCAAACGATTAATATTGATTTTATCAAAACTTCCTTAATAACTGACTTGATGAGTAGTTTTTGAATCAAAATTCTGTAATTAAGAACTTTTATTAATTTAAGGTTTAAGATTAGTCATATAGTTAGATTTTAGATTTTTAGTGATTGTCGAAAGATCTTAAGATCTTAAAAGAAAACTATTGCTTTAATCAATTGATAATAATCCTGATATTTATCCGAGACAATCATATTTTTAACCAACTTACTAAATGAACTCTCTTAATTAGACACTACTAGAGATATCTACTTTTTTTTAGAGATAAGAATTAGTATCTAATTTTAAATCTTTCAATAGATATTTTAACTATCCTATTGTAAGATCTTCATCACTATGCTTTTATTTCTTCTTCTCTTTCTTTTTGGATGGTTACTAGATTTAGTAATAGAATTACTACATCCTCATCTGGAATGTTCAACTTCCTTTTAATATTTGCATATTCTAATCTCCTCTTTTTTTCATGGAACTTATTTATGGTCAAATAAACATTTTGCATAAATAAACGAGGAATATCTTTGTGATATTTATAGTATTCTTGTAATGCTTTGACTTTTTATATTGCCTCTTTTTTTACATATGATCTAAACATTATAGTATCATTATTACCTTTTCAAATACTCTTCCTCTTCTATCATACTTTCTAAATCTCTATAGAATACAACTGCAGGAGTTGACTCTTCTTCTATTATATCGTTGATGTCCTTTGAATAATAATAGTTTTATGAAGATGAATATTTAGCAAATAACGCTTTATTTAAAAGTGGAGCATAAGATTCTTCTTTGCAGTTTTTGAACTTTTGACAAAACACACAAGGAGTTGATTTCTAGTTGTTGGGCCTATTCAATATAAAAAATCACATAAATTACGGTGAACATAATGATGAAAATCGTTTTCTTACTGACAATGGATTGCTAGTAGATTGTTTGCTATTTGATCTCGATGTTTTACCACCAGTGAATTACTTTTTATTTGACATAATCCTTAGCTTTTTTATAAGTTAATAAATTAATTGTATATATTGTATTATACTATATGTGTCATTTTTTTGTTTCTTTTGCTTACTTTCTCTTCTCTTTAACACCAACAAATTTAGCATTATACCATTCCTATCTTATTCTTCTGTAAACATTCTTTGCTCTTAATTCTTTTGAAATTACAGTGGCCTTTTCTCTTTTTGGTGTTCTTTAGAATGTGATGACCTTTAATATAGCTATATTCCTACCTCTGGATTTGTATTTTAAGCAACTGGTTAAGCAACAGCTTCATTTGTAGAATCTTTAACAACTCCATTCTTAGGTTTACCTGCAACTCTTGGATAAAGTACTAATTTTGAGAGATATGCCTTTAATCTCTTAACATTATTATTCAATTCTTCTTAGTTTAAATTTCTTCTTCTATGATCAACAGAAATTCCAATTGTTCTAGCAAATGCTGCATTGAGTCCTGCTTCCTTTAATTCAATCAATGAAAATCCTCTTCCAAGTTTTTAGACATTATTATATTTTATTGTTTAACCTCTCACAACTGGACGAAGAAGCTCAACTGGTCTTGGAGATGCAGCTATTATTATTATTGAATAAAGCACATACATAAAGCTTATGTTCTTCTTCTTAATTATCTTCTTCTTTTAGCTGCTGGTTGATTATAAAATGTCTTTACAAATCTAGTCCAATGTTTTCTCATATGAGCATTTGGAAGTTGTTAATTGTGTTTCATATAGGTAAATTTTTTAAATAAAAAAAATGTAGATATGTAAAAATCAATATTAAATGACTTAAATAAGTCATATATATATAATTTCACAAATTTTATATTCATCATAGCTGAGTTAAGTGTTTCATAGACTTTCTACTATCATTATAAATAATAGCTACCTAACAAAAGTCTTAGTCTTTTCTGAAGGAGTTTGGTTTAAATTTGGAGTGGATTCTCGTGGTTTTTATTCTTATGCTAATTCTTCAAAAGTTTATAGGTCAGTTATTGAGTTATGGAAAGATAACTTCATCTTTTTCATGTTGTTCTCATCTACTTCTTCTACTAATTAAGGTTTAAACATTAAATATGGACGGGAAGGTTTTGATGACTATTCTTTCTTTGTAGCTTAATCAGGAATATACCCAAATTAACCTTACTTTCTAACTATATATATTTGAATGTTACATGATTATATCCTATTAACTTTTTTGTTGAATTATTGACTTCTACTCCCTTGGTGTTGGAACTGTATAAACTTTTTTCATCATCTTATTTAATTAATTCTAAAACCTTAAATTTATTAATGAAAGTATTCTAATAATATCAAATGCACTATATGATAAAACAACATTAATCGCTTACTTTCTGATCTCATAAAATTAATATATATTTAAATAACAACATGTCTTTAATCTACATTAAAACTCATAAAATATAATATTAATAAAATCCCCTTATTAATAGATACCTATAAAGTAAGGATATCTAAAAATAATTGAGTTGTTATATTTCACTAAATCTCATCATAGTAATTAATTACTTAAAGAAAACCTTATAACTAAAGTACTAAATCATGCTATTAAATAAAATTTAAAATATCATTTAGCACTAAAAGATGTAATCAAATTAAAAAAAAGATCATTTTAAATGATCTTGAGGAGAATAAGTATAAATATTCTATGGTTTAAAATAGAAACCAATTTAGATATTGTATTTGTATTATTTGACTAAAAAATTTTAATGACATTTTTAATTCAGTAATCCACATATTAAATTAACATATTTGCTAATGGGTTTAATATATTTATTTATTACTGTAAATATATAATAATAATTATGGATAAAGATTATATATATCTAATAAATATGTAAAATTTACAATATTAAGTTATTCATCAAATTTTTATTATTTTTTATCATCCATTTAAAGAAAACATAGCCATTTTATCAATCTATTTTTTATAAATCTATTAATATCTATCTGTTATATCATTTTTATTATTCATTCTGAGTAGTATACATTACTCTATTATTGAATCCTATTAAAAATTCTGATGGTTGTATTTTATAATAAATCTTCAAATCTTAAGATTCAATTGTAAATTTAAAGAATTTTCAAAATAATTAATTTATCATATTTTTCTAACTTTCTTTTTTCTCAAAAAATATTCATCATTTATAACAAATCCTATATTTAATAATGACTATATCCTAATTTCTTTATTGTCCATTTAATCATTAACTTTATTATTTTTATTAATAAAATTTATCTAAGAAATCAAATCATTAAGGAATTGAATAAGAAATTTGGATTATTTCCATATAACTCAATATATTATAAAATAACACTTTGATAAATGTCCTTTTCTACTTTCTTGGAAAATTTGGCAGAAATATTATTACCATTTGAAGTTTAAAAATTATACTATTAGGTTTTAATTTACTTAATTGAATATGCTAGCTACTCAACTTAAATAGAATTTAATATATAGGGTTTTTATGATAAAATTCAGAAAATATAGATTGATTTAATATTGTACACGTTTTGTCAAATCAAAATTAGCTATCTGGAATAAATAGGATAATGTTGATTAAAACTGTAAAACACACAATAATGGTATTCATATAAATTAAGGTGTTATTATTATTGTTGGATATTTAATTTGATTAAAATAGAAAAGAATTACTAACCAAAAGATTTATAAAAAATTAAATGCTTTATTAAACAAAATTATTTTACCTTATTCTACATAGATTTCTATTTATAAGGTACATATTAACATTCAAATATTAAATTTCATTGATTTCATTTTAACTCATTTTGTAGTATTTGAGTTATTTTCATAAAAATTCAAATTTTATAAATATTTATATAAAGTTATTAACAATTATTTTTTATTCATCATCTTATTCATCATAAAATAGTTATTATACTCCTTTCACACTTTATAATGGTTGAATAATTTTAATTTCTATTTCTCAAATTTATTCATTCTAAAGTCTTTTACATTTAATGGTTACTTGCTATCCAGATTGTTAATTAAAGATAAATATTAATAACCAGATTGTAATAATTGAAGAAATACGATAAATTGATTGTTAATTTTTAGGGATTTCATTTAAATTATTCTTAATTAATGGAAAAAATATAAGAATTAGTGAATAGCCAAAAATTTCAGGAAGCAATAGAAGAATTGACTGATTTATTAGAGAGTGAATTACCAAGCCCTAAGCTTGAAACTTTAGAGGTGCTAAATCGCATTTTAAGTCTAAGCACTAAGAGACAGGATTTGTAAATAGCAATTTTAAGGCTGGCAAAATTTGAGAATACAGAAAGATATTGCGATTTGATACTGAATTTGGCAAGACTATATATTGATTTAGGATAATTGAGTACTGCAAAATAAGAGTTAGAAAAGTTAAGTAGCATTAATAATAAATATATTAAATGCATACTTTAAGGATTTGATAGAATGTTTAATTAAAGAGGAGAAGATATATAAAAAGAGGATTAATGGGAATAATTTTAGCTATTGGAAAAAGAAGAAAAGGAGTTAGATTATTTCTCATAAGATGGTTTATGCAGTTATCTGATACCAGCAGGTTGGTTTTAGAAATGGAGATTATATGTGAAAAATGAAGATCCGATAATGCTTGACGATCCAATTATGAGTTTAAATGTTACAAAATTAAGATAGTTACTTAATCTTAATGAAGATTGTATTAATGAAGAAACTGATGTTATACCAGGTCCAATTGATAGTTCAAGATTACTTTAAATAAAATGGAATTTACTACCTGATCCAACTTAATAAAAATAATATTTGAATTATGTGTTAAGAAATGACTTAAGAGAAGGAGTTGATTTTGTCCATGTAAGTGGAAAAGTATTGAAATTCTTTGAAAAAATTTATGGTGCATTTGTTGTGAAAAGACTAATTGTAAAATAAGAGGAGTAAGAAAGAATAATAGTAGATGTAATCATTATGAATAATTTTTAAGTTAATTCCAAGAGTTGTTGAAATCATAATTCTGGAGAATTAATTAGAAGAATCATCTTTATAAGTTAATGGATTTGAATAAGTATAAGAATTAACAAGAAAAGTAAGAGTTATTAAAGGTATTGGTAATGAAATAAGATGGTGGAAATTTAAGGATTTATAAAGCTAATTAGATTGGATGTCTATGATATAGAAAGGAACATTCATTAAAAGTATCAAAGGAAAAGAATTAGACATAAAATTTAAAATTGATGATTTAAATTTAACTACTTAAGATATCCTCATATGTGAAATTAAATAAGGAAAAAGTTGGTAATTAACTGCTGAAACAAATGCTGTACAATAAAAAGAATAAAATGTATCATAACTCTATGCAAAATTTGGCATTAGTAATGTTCCTAAAGCCTTGCCTGATAGTAGAAGAGGAATGACAGGTTTATAGAATTTAGGAAACACTTGTTTTATGAATGCCGCTCTCCAATGTCTCAGTAATACTTATGAATTCACAGAATATATGGTATATAATCATTTTGCATAACATTTGAATCCAAATAATGTATTAGGACCCAAAGGATTTTTAGCAGCATCTTATGCTGAATTAATGAAATCTATGTGGTTTGCAAATTATTCTAGTGTTTCAGCTATTGATTTAAAAAAAGTAATAGGAAAATTTGCTCCTCAATTCTATGGATATGGTTAATAAGACTCTCATGAATTCTTATCATATCTTTTAGATGGATTGCATGAAGATTTAAATAGAGTACTTAATAAGCCAATAGTTACAGATATTGAAATTACTAATGAAAGTGATTAATAGGCTTCTGAAAAATTTTGGATTAATTATACATTAAGAAATCAAAGTAGAATATAAGAACTTATGGTTGGATAATACAAATCAACTTTAGTTTGTCCAATTTGTAGTAGAATATCAAAGACATTTGATCCATTTATGAGTTTATCATTACCCATACCTAGTTTTTCATCCTTTCCATTTTCTTTATATTTTATATATGACGATAGTGAAAATTTACCTGCAAAAATTAGTTTATAATTAAGTACTGATATGACAGGATTAGATATATTAAAATAATTAGAAAATCTTTTAAATGTCAGTCACAAAAGAATGAATATGATACTCATAAAAGATCATCAAATTTAAGAAAGAGTCTCTTATGATAAAGAAGCTAAATGGATAAATGAACATAATGGAATATTGTTTGTTGAAGAAGTTGAATCAAATATATAAAATTTGAAATAGAATTAAATAAATGTTGATTTTTATTATGTAGCTAGAGCATAGAAAACTAATGAAAGCGATAAAATATTATCATTTCCTAGATAAGTTGTAATAGATAGAAATTTGACTTCATAATAACTTTATGGATTAATCTACAATAAATTTAGAATTCATTTAACTTTAGCAGTTAAGGAATTAACTTCTAAAGAATTTCCATTAAAAGATGAATTTTTAACATTGCCAAGACCAAAAAGTTTAGAGGAATCAATATAAGAATTTTTAATTTTAGTATAAAATTAATTATAACCATTTACTCTAAGATTAAAAGATCAATTAAATGAAAAATTAAAAAAAGAAATCTAATTTAATGTATTATATAAAATTATTTTAGGATAATATAATACTTGATATTAAAGGTTCTAATCTTTCTATTGAAGTTATTATTTCAGATTATTTAGGAAAAAATGCTTAAATTTTAAAATTACAAAGATGCAAAGAACTAACAACAAATGATACAAAATCTTAAATAAGAAAGGGAGAATATGATTTGGATGATTGTTTAAGAGCATTTACAAAAGAAGAAATATTAGGTAAAGGAGATGAATGGTATTGTAATAAATGTAAGAAACATGTTCAAGCATCCAAAAAAATGGAAATATATAAAGTTCCTTAAGTAAATTTATTATATGTATTATTTTATAGATATTAATAATTCATCTTAAAAGATTTAAAACAAATAGAATATCTAATTTAGGTAATTTTTACTTTAGTAATGGAACATAGAAAATTACTTCAATGGTATAATTTCCACATGAACTTAATTTAAATAATTTTGTATTATCCAAATAAGCTGGAGATAATTAAAATTATATATATGATCTTTATGGAGTAGATAATCATTATGGTGGTATAGGAGGAGGACATTATACAGCATATGCTTTTAATAGTGTACTTAATAAATGGATAGATTATAACGATTCAAATGCTAGAACAACAAGTAGTAATGTTGTAAGTGAGGCAGCTTACTTATTATTTTACAGAAGAAGAGATTCTGAAAAATGTTAAATGTTCAAATGATAAGCATATATAATATATATTCAACATCATATATTTAATCCATTTAAATGAAAATATATCTATGATTAATGTTAATTTTTATAAAATAAATAATATGACTTTTAATTCAAAAATAGTTCTCTATAAGTTAATTCTACTGAAATTATATTATATAAATATAGATAATAATAATATTTATTGAAAATCACTTATTAATTTAAGAATTAGAATATAGTTTTCTTTTAGTTGATTTTTAAATGAAATATTATTCATAAATATCTCATAATCTATTTTACCTCTATTTACAACTGAATATATTTATTTGAAATCTAAATATTAAGTGTAATTTATAACTAATGGACATACCAAAAAGAACAGAACATAGACCCCCTAGACCTCCTATACCAAAGTTCCGACTTATTGGGGCTGGAACTGATACACCTGATTTCCTCCCTCCTCCCAAATCTGAGGAATCCTCTATTATTGCATTATCTATGGATAATACGTCTGAAACCTCTATCGAAGATAATAATGAATCATATTTTACTAGAAAAAGATTTTCTGCTATTGTTGAAGAGATATCAAATCAGATTGTTTTATTGGATTTAACTCAAGATCTTTTAAAAATAGGGATCTCATTTTTAAAGCCTGAATTGCTTGAAGGATTGAAATAAAAAAAGTATAAAGCTATTGCTATTGCAATCATTATAGCTTCTTTAAAATAAATTAATGCTCCAGTAACATAAAAAGAGATTCTATCAAAAACATCTGTCTCTGAAAAATAAATTAAGAAAATTCTTTTATAGATTCATAGTTCATATAATTTAGAAGCTATTGTTCATTCATTTATTAAATAAATTTCAAGTTCAATAGGACTTAATGATAAATTTATTAACTTTTGTCTTTAGATGTTTAAAGAAATAAATTAAAGAAATCTTATATAAGGTGAACATGAAAATGTAATAGCCGGAGCAATTATTAAATATTGTGGTGATATTATATTTGCTGATAGAGGAGGTATAGTAGCACAAGTAATAGCAGATCATGCTAAATGCAGTCTTGGACCGTTAAAGAATTTTCTAAAAAAAGTTGAAATTAGCTTGCCTTTTAATTCTTAAATTTAGAAAGAAAAATGATAATTACATACAATCAATAAAATTATATTCAATCATCATATTTAATTATTATTTAAAATTCATTACTTTATTTACCTTAAAGAGTGATTTAAAATAAAAGACTATATAATTTAAAAATCTGACAAAATTATTCAATTATATCATTCTAATTATTAATTAAGACATTTCTTTAATAAAAGATGTGCATCAAATTCTTCTTTAGCTAAATTCTTAGTAAATTAATTTAATTCAAAAAAATTAATATGATTGTTTTAAAAATTATGCTAAATTAATCTTAAGGTATCACGAATACTCTTTATTTTTGCATCTATTTCTATTAATTAATCTTAATGAGATGTTTTTAATGAAATAATTTATAAAATATTATTTTCATCTACATTTTTATCTTAATTTTGTTTTTTAAATTAATTCAATAAATCTATTTCTTTTTTTAATTCATTAACCATTTCTTATCCATCAATTATCATTTATTTAATACAAGCTTTTCTTTTTAATCCTTCATTTAATTCTAATATTAAAAATTCATTTATAGAATTTAATTCATTCCAGCTATTTTAAATCTAAAATCATTAATTAGTTATATTAACATTATTTGTAAATTAATTCATCTCTTATTATTTAAATTCATTCATTCCTTCATAAGGATGCTATATTTTAAATTATGTTTTCATTTTATTAAAGACATCAATCAATTTATCAGTTCTTTAAATATAAAAACTAAAATCTATAAATCCAAGGATTGCTAAAATTTAATTAATAACAATACAATTATAATAAGGATTAAATTAAATTTCTTAACCTTAAGGTTTTATTATTTTACATCTTATTCCATTTTCTAAAGGACATAAAAAAAAAAGTTCAAAAACTATTGAAGTATTACCAATATTTGTTAATTCTCCATTTATCTTAGATTTAATTTAAAATACTACTTATAAATGAAGATTTCCTTAAATCTTAATTATTTTTAAATTCAAGTTTTTCAAATCAGAAAGATCTTAAATTACATCAATTTATGAAATTATTAATATTCGATCTTATTCATCATATACCGTTAAAACTAAAACATCAAATGCTTAGGATATCATAATTAATGATAATATTTGTTAATAAATAATATTAATAATAATATTGAAATATAGATTTTGAATAAATTTATACAATTATTGCATAAATTTCTTCAAAAAAATAATAAATCTATAATTTAAGATTCAAAGAAGTATTATAAAATACTATCCATTATCTCTAAATTAAATTAAGTCTTGTTTTATATATTTTTATTTAGACTTATTATTTCAATATTCATATGTTTTATTCCCAATATAGAAATCTTTTAAGAATTCACTCTTTCCTTTGAGTTTTTAATTTTCTAAATATGAATATCCAGCATCAGATCTATTTTGATTTACAAAGTATTGGAATAAATGATCTCTATTTAACATATGCCATTCAGCTTGATAGAGTAATTCATATCCTCTATAAACCTATTAATTTAATAACTAAATATTAACCCATCTATCAACTGCATCAGGATCTCTTAAATATGCTCTTTTTCTGATAACATTTGCTACATTTAACATTGCTTATTATGAATTGCAAGTCACTTCCAAATCATGAATTCTTAATAAAAATGGAATAAGACGACACACTTTTCTATAAAATCTTAAGACTTTAAAATGAGCTTAAATAATATTCTTTGATGGTCTTCCACTTGTAAGACCTTCAAATATTTCTGTTCCTCTCATTGTAATATTATTTCCACCATATTACTAACATAAATTTAATTTATTACTTTTCCTCTTGATCCATGTGTTCCTATTTCAGGAAATAGATTTAGATTGTTTGTAAAATTTTAATTTTAATTCATTTATATTTATATTTCAATAAATATCAAACACTCATTTATCTTTTTTTATTTTCCATAATTTTTATAAAATCTAATTATTATCTTAATTAATATCCTCTAATTTTTTCCCATTTGATAAATTTTTCTTTAGGAATAAATAAATAAGGATCTTCTAAACTAGCCTTAGCACTCAATCTAAAAATTGAATTAGGATTCATCATTCTACAAATTAATCTTCTTAAATTAATAGAATAGAAATCTAATTTTTTTTATAGATATATAATAAATACCAGATCCAAAATCATTAATAGTTAATCCTTATCTCAATTTCAACCATTTTTCACCACATGCAGGTAGAGTTTCTCCTATCATAATTTCATAAATTGAAGCACCAAGTGAGAATATATCTGATTTACTTAAATCAGATTAAGCTGTTAGCTAAAATTATAAAATATTATACATTTGATAAAATTTCAGGAGCTAAATATCGAGAATCTCCTTCATTAATATCTTCTCCTTTTTTTAGTTATGTTAATCTAGATAAACCTAAATCAGCCAATTTATAACAGCCTTCAGTTTTGCTATATAAAATGTTATCAGGTTTAACATCAAAATGTGTTATTGATTATTCATGAAGAAATTTCAAACCTTGTAAGATATCTTTCAATATCTTTTTAACTTCGAATTCTTCAAGTCTTTAATTTTATTCTCTTCTTGATTCCTTAAAAATTATATTAAAAAATTACTTAGAGTGAAGTTACATTAAAATTACAGTATTCCATTTATAAATAATAATAACATCTTTCATTCCAAGCAGTATAATACCTTATTATATTTTTACATCTTCCTTTAGCTGTCAAATACGCAAGTGCTTATGCTTCATTAAGAGATTCAGCTGCATCATATGATTTACCACTTCCTTGAAGTTTAACACATTTAATTGCATAAATTTGTTTATCAATATTATTTCTGCATTTATAAACAGTACCAAAATTTCCATTACCTATTACTGCTAATTATGTATATTCATTATAATATCTAGATTATTCAAAAGTAGGACTCTCTTCTTCTGATTAATCTTCAATATCCATAGCCCATGCACTTGTCTAAATACTTTTTATTGCACTCTTTCAGTTAAAATATTTTATTACTTTCTTTTTTTTTGGAGTGGCCGTACCCTATTTTTAAGCAGTTAATTCTTTATGTGATTTTGTTCCTTTGTTTTTTGGAGTGCTAGGAGGACTTTATTAAATTTAATCTAATGTCATTTGATATTAAAATCTTTGAACCAAAGAACTTCCAAAGCAATCATTTTCAGAAGTACTTGGAGTAACATGTGTATGATGATGTTTTTATTTGATTGGTGTTTAAGTCTTAATAGGTCTAATTATTTATTGATATAACTTTACATTATCTAGAATTTGAATTGTTTTTTGCTTGAATTATTGAATTATTGTATTTGATCATCAATAATTACTTTCTTACACAATTCTGGTTCCATTTACTATTTTTCAGGAGTACTGAATAAATTTCTTGCAAGAGGAGATTAAAAATTCATTTCCAATTTGAATTTGAAAAATGCTACTTTTTATAATTAATTAATTTATGCTATATAGATAATGGTTTTGACTACCCATAACAGAAAAAAATGAAAAAATGGATTTTGAATAAAAAACTAATTGATTTTTTTACTCACCAAACTTATGGCTTATTATATTGAATTGAAAGTTAATCAAAAGATATATTTGTAATTTAATAGATGAATTTGATTTTTCATCTAACCTTATTATCAATTAATCGATAAAAATTATTAAACATAAGTCATTTTATAATTAAATAAAGAATATTAAATTTAATTTACATATATTTTATTGAAAAATTTGGAAAAAAATCGCTTATTTATTTATCTAACCAGTATATAGCACAGTAATTTATATTTATATTATTATAAATATATACATATCAAATTCATTGCATTTTACAATCTAAGTTATTATTCTTAAGAATATTCAAAAATTCATTGAAGGCTAGGCTAGTATTATGAAATCTAAGATAATTTTAAAGGAAGCTTAAAATTTAATAAAATTAGAGCCTACATATAATTAATGTCAATTTTTTACTGAAACTAAATTTGAATAAAAAATCTTATATATATTATGGAAATCATTTAATTGGATGATCAAATGGAATACTTAAGAAATGAATTTATTAAAATTTAAATATTCTATATGTTATTCATCAGTTCTTAAAAAAAAGTGATTAATTAATGATGTAAAAGCTTATCAAATTTTCTATTATTGATTATTATTAAGTTCAAGAATATTATGCATAAAATGATAATTAAATGTATAAAGCATCGAATTTAGTTTAACATCAACTCCTTTGCGTTTTAACATTTCCATAGCAAAATTTTAATTATTTATATGAAATAATTAAGTAAATTTAAATTTAAATTAAGCCTATTCAGTAAAATAAGATATCTAGACCACTTTTAGAATTTAATTTGAGTTAACTTTTTTTTGTTTTTATGTAGTATAATATGTAAACCACTTGAAATAAACCATAAAATAGATCGAATAAAATTGATTATCAAATTCTTTGAAAATAAATCAATTTTTAAATGAATTCTTTTATAACCATAAATTGTTATGAATAAATTAGTAATTTATTTTGAATAAATTTAGATGAGAGAAATTTATTTGAATTATATTTGTATTTAATATTGATTGGCATCTTTATGTTATCTATATAAATATTTTAATATTATTAAAATTCCTAAATAAAATTTAATGAATCGTTAAACAAGCTAAATTTCTCACAATTCCTCGACATAACTATACTATTCTTAGTATCTTAAGTAAAAATAAGTGAGTCCTATCGCAGAAAGATTTGTGGTTGATGAGGTTTAGGAGCTTAGAAAACAAGTTGAATAACTCACCAAATAATTAGAATTCAAAGAATAAATGATTAGTGAAATGAGAGCTCATTAGAAAATATTAATGAATAGATTATCTGAACCAACTTATTATTAAAATGATAGCATAATAGAAAAATTAAAGGAATTTGAGGTACAATTAAAAGAAAAAGAAGTTTAATTTCAAAATTAATTTATTGAAAACAGCTTGCTATTGAAAGAAAACTAAAGTTTAAAGCAAGAGATCACACGTTTAGAAAATTTAATCAAAGATCCTTCAATACCAAAGTTCGTTAATTCAATAGTTGATCTTGTAATACAGTGTCATCCCTAAAATCATTTTCCAAATTCAAAACCTGAATTGCGATAGTGCTGGAGATGGTTGAAAAAGATTCTCAATGATTACATACAACTTAAGCAACGCATGCATTGATTATTTTATTAAAATTATGAATAAAGATGGACTTGAAACTATTGTGAATTTTCTCCATCAAGAAGTTAGGCAATTGTTGAAAGAATGTAGAGAACTCAAACAATTGTTCATTTCCAATAAAGAAACCATTAAAATCTAAGTGGAATATACAATAGTTTCATTATTATTGAATACTTATTTCAGCAGATCAGCTCAATTTCAAATGTAAAATTCAATTACTAATTAAAGAAAATTGTAAAGAGTTAAAAAGGAGAACTTCCATGATTACTTGTTAATTTTACGGCTATAATAAATTCTCTATTTTTCTTATTGATTAATGATAACATAAAAAGATAAGTTAGAAATACAAGAAAAAACATATGCATTATTGTTTTGAACAAATAAATTATGAATAACATTTTTAATTTCTTGAAAAGAGAAAGGGAAGGTAGAATTAGAAATTATTTTTTTATTGAAAAGTAATGATTAATTAAATAATCTCTGTACTTTCAAATTTTTAAGCGAAAAATATATTGAGAGAAAATTTTGTTGATGTGATTGAACAATAAAACAAATCTCTAACAAATTTGATTATGGCACAATTATAATAAATAAATAATAAATTAAGAAAAAAAAATTAATAGTTCCATCCTAATAATATTAATAATAAATAGTTAAATGCATTTTAACTCTTAATTTCTTTAAGTTAATTTCATAATAATATATAGATTTTATAAAATTTTTAGACAAATTCATTAAATTGAATTGATGAAATGCAAACTAAAATTAATCAATAATTATTAAATTGTTCTATTGTAAGTTTAAGTCAGAAAATCAAAATTCTTAATGTATTTTATAAAAATTTTGAATATCATTAATAAAAAATTTGTCTTTATCAAAACTTTATGAAATTTAAAACAATCTTATAAATAATGATTTTTTTAATAAATATCTAAACTTAAAAAAACTGTGAAAGATCATTTATTCATTAGATTTAATCAGTAGTATAAAATAGATTTATATATTGGATGGAAAAATGGAAGAAAACACCAATGTAGAGTTTTTTATATTTTATACATAATGTACTTTCATTACTATTTCACCTTCTTGAACTTTTAGTTTTATGTTAAATCTTCTGATGCCTATCTTTTATCTTCACCTTTTGAGAATTTCTACATCCATGTAGCTCCTTAAGGTTAAAAGTCTGCTTCTTCTTAATATTGAGCTTAAGAGGAAACAGGCTTGGCTTTTCCTCTTTATGGTGCTTTCACATCTCTATAGTTTACTCCTTCCTCTAATTAATGAACTCTCTTTTCTAAAAAGGCTTTATTAGTGATACCAAATTCAGCATCTTATCCCTCACCTAGAATAATTTAATAAATAAAATATACCTAAAGCATCATATCTAATACACAAGGCTGTTTTAGCAGCTAATGTTCTGGAAACTTTACCTTTCAATTTAGCAGGAGCACTTCCAACTAAACTGGCTTAAAAGATCAAACCATATTTTGGTGTGTTATGTTTAGTTCTAATAGCTTTAAACAATGCTTTCTCAGCTCCTAAGATTTGAACTGTTGAAGCTGGATATTTAGCTAAATTAACCAAAGATCCAGCATGGGATATGAGTCTTGCTCCAACTAATTCTCCAACCATGGTTGTAAGATTAGGGGCAATAGCTTACATTCTATTTTTCAAATATTCTGATAATTAGGCTCTGTAATCTGTTAATTCGATTACTTAGTCAGCCAAACAAAGAATAAATTTTTCATCTTCTGCTGTGATTTCAGTACCGAAAGATACTTCTGCTGCTTATTTGACATCTGCTTCTAGATTGTCTGGTAAAATTCCAGAAAGATCAGTCTAACTTGTTTTGATCCTCATACCTATGGCTTTAACAATCTTAGCATAAATCAAGTTATCTGTAATGATCTTGCCTAATTCTGGAAAATGCCATCCAAACCATTCTCTAAGTCTCATCATATAATTATTAATTTCTTTATCTAAATCATCAAGAAGAGCTATAGCTTGAATAATCATGGTGTCCACTTTTTCAGTTGAAAATTTTAACTTATATCTAGACAAACCATGTGCTAAACCTAAAGTCATATTTTTGAGTTCAGCTTCACTTAAGCCTTCAATTAAATTAGTTAATTGTGATTTAATGCCTCTAAACAATTGTTCTGTGACTGGTGTTTAAATGCAACTTAATCCAAGTTAATCTTGAAGCTACTTAGCTAATTTTTTATCTTAAACTATAAAATATATAATCTATTGATACCTGCTATTTAATCTTAAACTTCCTGTGAAATTACATTCTTTTCCAAAAACTTACTTAGTTTCTTAGGAATCTTACCATTAATAAGCTTACTAGTGGCAATAAGAGCTTCCTATGTATCTTTAAATTGTTAGAAAGCAAAAGGTGTAATCCTAAGATCATTTTATATGCAAATGCTTACAATTTTTTAGCTTGCTTCTCATTTTGCAAGTAATCGTAGATATTCTCAATTTTGTTAAGTGCCTTAGTGTTAGCCACTTGGAAGAGGGCAAATCCAGCAGGAGTCTCGATTAATATTAACATATTAAAATATTTATGAATCTCTGTCCATATATTAATAATTTATTATGTATAGTAACAATACTAAAACTTTCAATTTTGATCACCTTTTTATAAGATTGCTTTAGATATATATTCAAATTATCTTATTGTTAAGATCCTAACTAACTAGAAAATACAAATAATTATCTTAAGTATAACCTTATATTGATCCTAAATTGTATAATAGAGATTGGAATTGATTTCATTACTCATTTCAATTAGATGTGATAATTTCATAAGAGAGTATTCCTTATGATTAATCTACCTATTAAACATGAATTATATTTGATTTTGTTGTTGTTATTACAATATTAATAAACCATGAAAAAAATGACATTTTTGGAGAAGATAATTAAAAATAAAAATAAATAAATTAGTAATTTTATAGAGCATTTAATGAATGAGAATACAAAGTTTATTCAAGATAAATACCTTATATATAATATAAAATAATATTTGATACATGTGAATGACGAATATGTATTCTTAATCAGAAGAATAATATCTCGTGAAATGAATATTAATGGAAATAGAGGATTTATAAATAAATACTTATATTTGCAGTTCATTGATATGTAATGAAGATGCAAACATACAATTTAATATAACCGAATCTAAAATAGAATTGGATACCTTTCTTATTTACTCATCTAGAGAAAGACCTTAAACACGTGAATCAAATCAAAAACCAAAAAACTTCTGAGAAATCACAGATGATAAATATATGATAAATTTTTGATTGAGAGAATTGAATATTATTGGAAGAAGAATATAAAAAGAAACTAGAATTAAAATATTCATTTAAATCATATTTTTATTCTAAGATCAATATTAGATTACAACCTTAATTGAGTGTTTTCATTTATTAAATTTCGCTTATTTATTGATTATAATAGATTTTTAGGAACTAATTGGATTCTTTTTAAACGTAGTAGTTTATGTACAAATTTTAGTTTTTAGGTAGATCTGTTTGAGTATTAGAGTAAAAAGAACTATAGAATGTCTAAATAAAATAAAACCTGAATTTTTGGATTCTCTATGGTATTGGGTTCATCACTTAACTTAATGATTTATTTTTATATAATTAAATGGAAGAACTTGAATAATACTATTAAGTCATCAAATTCTTAGGAGCTGGGGGTTTTGGAAAGGTAGTTGAAGCTGTATACAAAGAGGGAGGAGGAGAACATGTGGCTGTGAAAGTAATATCGTATTCTAATGTTTAATCAGATTCTTCCCAAAAAGGATTATAAAGTAGCCTAGATCTTATCAGAGGCTTAAATTCTTGCTAAGATGAAGCATCCTAATATAGTTCAATTTAAGGGTGTTAGAGAAACAGAAAATAAGCTGCTTATTGAAATGGCACTTATCAAATAAGGTCCGTTGAAAGTGCGCAAATATACATAATAAGAAGCTAGAATCATTATGACCAGTATATTCAAAGCAGTTTAGTTTATTCATGAACATGGAGTAGTGCATCGAGATCTTAAGCCTGAGGTAACTATAATTGAATTAAGATAAGAGAATATACTAGTAGAAGACTCTAACGATTTCAGTACACTAAAGATTGTAGATTTTGGATTATCGGCTGGATAAATTGTATTACATGGACAATGTGGAACACTTATTTATATGGCTCCAGAGCTATTTAGTTAACGTGTTTACTCTAAGCCAATAGATATTTGGAGTTGTGGAATTATACTTTATTAAATGTTAACAGGAAAGCATCCATTATATAAAGGAGGAGAGCATTCTCATGATTATAAAAAGAAACTTCTAGATCCAAAATGGGAATTCCCTGAAGATTTTGATCCATTAGCAAAACATCTCTTTTTGAAATGTGTTTCTTTGGACCCTATTCATAGATATAGTGCAAATTAAATCTTATAACATCCTTGGATTACTAATTCTAAAACAGATCCAATTCCATTAACTTTACCAGAGATGTATAAAGCATTTACTGCAAGAGAGTTAATTCTTCAGAAAATTAAAACTATTATGCTATTAGTTTCAATTAAAGGTTTAAAAGTAGACACTACGTAATTAATATTGATTATATGAATCTTAGATATTTGATGAAACAATAATAATAATTATAGACCAATACTTCAAATTTATTAGATAAAGATTATATTAAAGAGATGCTCAGAGAATAATAAGCATTAAAAGAAAATAAAAATATTCCACCTATTAAATAATAATTGAGATATGAAAAGATATTATAAGTATTTATAATATCAATATTTTAAGAGAATCTAAGAAAATGGAGTGAAAGAACCAGAAGAAAAGTGTTTATCTAAAAATTCTTAACATGTGCATACTAATGAAAACAGTTAACCTTCTTCTTCTCAAAAGTCTTTGAATAGCAGTGTTATTCATCATGATTTAAATCTTAAAGAACAACTTTATATATAAACTGGAAACAAACATCATTTTAAAAAGAGACTTTTCAAAAAAACTCATTAAAGTGATAAAAAAAGGATATCAAATCCATTTGTAATACCAGCACTTCGTTCAAGATCAAATACAGCTAATCATAAAACTGAATCAAAATAGGTTTAACCATAACATTTTGAATCTCCAAAAAAACCAATCTCTATGATTCGTTCTTTTAAATAATAGATTAATTCTTAACAATAATAATAATAATAATAATAAAGCCAATCTCCTATTAGAAAACCTCCAGATATCAAAAATAGAAGCAACAGTTCAACTAAAAAATTAAGTATGGTAGAATAAGAATGTATAGATGCTTACCGTTTCGATTAAGATAGTATACTATTATTTTTATTAATCTCATAGAAGTTATACATAGTATGTTCATGCCAAGAGTGTTTAATAAAAAAATACTACCATTTTCAAGAAATTTTTAATAAAGACTTCCTGTTTAACCCCAAAGTTTAGAATTAAATATACTTAAACCACCACTACCTAAAAAAGTTATCTGATTATGTTTTATATAATATATATTTATTTATCTTTTTTTTAAAGAAATCACATATTTTCTGAATTTTCATTTATTGGAATAGATACTTCCATCTCATCCATCCATTTCTCTAATTTAATAGCACATGCCAATCTTGAACTAAAAAATCTATAAAATTCTTTACTGCTTTGCAACAGCATAATCTTATCTATTGATCACTAATTCTTCTAAATAAAATGGGTCTCTGATCTTATCAATCCAAGGTGATTAAATCAAAATATGACAGGATCCACATGAAGGACCAAAAGTATTTGTCTAAATTGGATTCTCCAGTATGCTATCCAATTATTCTCCTCCTTCACAGTCACCTTTTAAATTAATATGCAATTATACCTGGAATATTTGTTACTTTAAATCTTCTAAGTGCAGACAAAAGACTTTCACCAATATAAGCAGGGATTCTTTCAAATTCACCATCATTATAAACATTGATATAGATCCTACATTAGAGCTTTGAGATTACATTTTATCCTAAACAGATGGAGCAAAGATTGGACCTGTTGGTTTGTGTGATCCATGAGCAAAACAATATCTCACAATTCTTTATAACATTTAATAAAATTATTATATATTAATCTAACTTCTAAAATAAATCAACATGAATTAATTAATCTAGTAATATTATGAAATTGTCTTTATTGATATAAAAGCATTAAAGATAGAGATGAGTTTTGGATTCTTTACAATAGAAGTATTATTTTATATTTTAACATCAAACAATCTCTTTTAATATTGAAAATTTACAATCCTATATCTAATTATATTGAAAATCATATGATTTTGAATGCATTTCTTTATGGAATTTATAAATTAAGTTAAATTTATCCTTAATTATTTTGGATAAATTTATTATACATATTTTATGCAATTCTAGATTGTTTTAACGAAATTGATAATCTGAATGAAAATAAATAAATGAATATACTCGTTTTTTTATTCATTTAATTAATAATGAAATTAATATTATTGATAACATTCTTTACAATATGTATATGTTTACGCTATGATGATGGGAACAGTGGTAACTCTGTAATTGAAGAATAAATTAAAGAGATCTAATAACATAAAATTGGTTAAGCCATTTTAAAGATGGCTGAGTTAAATTATAAATTATAAGGTCCTGTAGATGAATTAATTTCAACAATTAAAAGTTTTGGACGTTAATTGATTGTATATTTAAGAATAATATATAGGAAAGAGTAGAATAAGAGAACCTCGATTACGAGGCTATAAAAGCAGAAAGCGTTGTAAAAGTTTAATAATTAAAATAAATAATTTCTGATGCTGAAAACGAATAGAATAAATAGAGAAAAAGAATTGGATAAGATCTTGAACTAAGAAAGGTAATTCTAAGTTATTATTATTTATTAGAATGATATAGAAAAAGAATTATTAAGATTGAAGGATTCTAAACAATAAAATGAGTCTAGACTTTAAATGTAAGAGGCTTTACGTAAATAATAATATGAGAATTTTGAGAAATCTAAGAGAGATATAGGGGATTTAATTAAAATAACAGATGATACTTTAAAAATGGTAGGATCCTTATTACCTAGACCTGATTGCAGTTTTATTGAGATGGATAAAATTTAATTGAGCAAAGAAGAATCAAAAGATTTGACTAGAAGATTAAGAAATATCAAAGGAAGAGTATTTATTGCAATTAATTGTAGGTAGATGGATTAAAAGGTTATGAAAATGTGATGGAAACTTTAGTATAATTAACAGATTCAAATTTTAAATAGAGACATTTTATAAAATCAGTTTTGGATTTATTGAATAAACTACGAAAATCTTTGGTTGAATCTCAAAACAAATTAATAAATGATGAAAAAGAATAAGAAAGAGCATTTTCTTAATGGGATAGTGCTCAAGATAATGAGACAAATGTTTTTGATAGAGAATGGAATGATTTAATGGAGGAAAGAGATGATATTTAATCATTCATTGCTGATTGTGAAAATATAATAAAAATCCATTAAGCTGATATTGATTTATATGGGGAACGTGTTAAATTAGAAGAATAATCATTATTGATAAGTAAGTAAACCCATGAAGAATTGGTGAAACAAATAAATAATGAATTGGATATTATTCAAAAATCCATTAAATTATTGTATTCACCTGCTATTTTTGAATACTTGAAATACAAAATAAACTTAGGTCCCTGATTATTAGAATAATATACATATATATAAATATAGAGAAGATTTAATTATTTATTTTATCATGATTTACGATCAACCTGAACACTTTGGACTTTTTGAAAAAACAGTCACTGCTAAAGAGAAAGAAGAAGTGAAATAATTCTTGAAATATGATAGACATGTTCCTTTAAAATTGACAGAATAAGTTTTCCATGCTGAAGCGTATTTATTTTATTCTCAACAATAGAGATGCATCAAGATTCGAAAGATTAGGTTAAGTTGGAGGAGCAGTCTATTCATTCTCATTCTTTTTCTTCCCAATTATTAAAGGTTTACCCATTAAATAAAGACTCTTTTGGGCAGCAGTACCAGGTGGCATTGTTGCATGGTTAGGATGGAGAATTAAAGAAGAATTAGAATGGAATAGAGTTTATAATTGCTATTAGAAATATTAAGTAGCTCATTCCATGCACAAGAAAGTGTTCATTTGAAAAATATAACATCGCAAATATATATATATACAAAACCAAAATATCTAATTCAATAATTAATTTATCATGTTTTTTGAGTTAGACGACATCAGAAGAAGACATTCCTTGTATTTTGATTGTTATAATGCTGGTGTATGGACAGATGCTCCAGAAAAGTAAATACTCTTTTGAATAAATTAGTTCATTGAGATGGAATTATACTAGAGGAGCAATATCAGGATTATTGGGAAGTGTTGTAGGTGAAGCATGGCATAATTTTTATGAGAATTGGAAATTATTGTATCATATTTTAGTATATCTCAGGTTACGAAAGTATGAATAACCAAATACTGTGAAGGAATTGTATAATTTTAGTAAAGCAACAGTCAATCTTGAGAATTTCAGAAGATCTATGGGCACTAGAATGTAATTTGCTTTTGCTTCAGGTGGCATCGATTGGGCATTAAGATTAGCAGCATTTAGAGCAGTCAATCATGGATGGCAAAGTAATATATTAATATAATAAATATAGGAACTTGGGGTACATTTGAATATGGATTCTTGAGAAAAATCCCAGGCACTATGTTCATTTCTCTTCTTACTGCTCCAATTGGAATTCCTTTTGAAGTTGCTAGAATGGCTTATTATGCTGATAAGACATTCCCTAAAGAATTGTAAAAAGGATATACCTCATTTTTCAATGCTTTATGGAGAATTCCATTTGAAGAGGGACCTTACTATTTCTTTAAAAATTCATTCCCTCTATTTGCTAGAAACTTCTTTTAAACATTAACTCTATTATACTCTTTTGATTGGATGAAGGATAAGGTAATAAATATAGCATATTGATTAATAGCTTTCTGTCTTAACAAGAGTAGCTGAAATTCCATATTTCCCAGTTAAAGTTTTAAATTGTTTCTTATCTACATACTTGGCTATCTTAACAAGTTACTCACTATCTTAAGTTACAAGGGAAATGGTAGATTTATGGCCAAAACCTAATGGTGTTTGTCCTTATGATGGTAATTATAGAAAAGCTGCTACTCATATTTGGTAATTGAAATTATTATTATGTTTATAGGTATGCCAGAAATCTCAATAATTATTTCCCAGGAATGTTAAGAAATTATGCTAGCAGATAATTCTTACCAATGTTTGTGACTCTTTGGTGGGCTGACTCTTTTGGATTGTTTACTTATTGGAAAATAGATATGTTTAGTGGAGCAGGATCTAATACATGGGAAGATTCATTTTGCTGAAATTATTAATCAATAATACAAAAAATAATATAATAATATTTATATATGTTATATATACCGTTTTTAATCATATTTCTGTTCATAAATTAAATAAATGAAAACAACATTGCTTTTAGTCTTAGTTGCTTGTGCTTTTGCCACAAACACAGCTTTATTCGATAGAATCGAAAAGAGCGATTTGGGCAGAACACTTTTAAACACTATTGCAATCTAAATGACAACAGGTGAACCTCTTGAAAGAATTTTCTAAACACTTTATGATTTAGAAGACAGATACATTGCTGATTAAAAAGAAGATGATGCTAACAACTAAGCCTTCTAATAAGTTTGTGATGCTGATTTGAATGCCTTGAACCAAGAACTTGCCAATCTTGAATAAAGAAATACAGAATTATAAGCTGTTCTTGATGATCTTCAACCAATCAGAGACTAAAAAATCGGATAAAAGAAAGCAAAAGAACTCTAAAAGGCTGAATTATAAAAGGTCATTGATGAAACAACAGCCAAGAGATAAGAATAAGCTGATGACTTTGAAGCTTAAAGATAAGAATACACATTTGTTTCCTCTGTTTTAGCTGAAGCTAGAAGACTCTTCACTGATAACCTCTAAGCTCCATCTTTCTTATAAAAAGGTGAAGAAAGAGTTCATGTTACACCATAAATTATGGCTTAAGTTGCCAGTCACATGAGCCAAGGTGCCCACAAAGCTAGCACAATGAAACACGTCAGAACTTTTGGAAAAGCCATTAAATTATTAGCTAATCTTGCAAACAGAACTTAATAATTTGCTAATTAAGAATTAACAGGAAGAGTCATTAAATTGATCGATGATCTCTAAAACTAATTAAGTTAAGCCTTTGATTTAGCCAGAAAAGCTGAAGATGATAGAGCTAGAGCATTCTAAGCATATATGAGTTTACTCAATAAAGATATGAACAAATACAATTCATCAATTGCTAATTTAACAGCTGAAATCTAATCACTTTAAGACAGAATCGATGCCACTACTTCAAGTTAAAATGATGTTCTTTAAAGAATCTAAGCCAAGACTTAATAAAGAGATGACAGAAGAGGAGAATGCTAAGAAGCCGCTTATGATTACTAATAAAGAAGAGCTGCAAGAGACAACGATAGATAAACTGTTAGTGATTTGATTGGTATCTTGAACAGTAACATGAGAGATCTTAAAGAATATATTGCTTTAAGAGTTGCTGCTGGTGATACAAACCTTGAATGAAATTGATAAATTATACCATTAAAATAGTAACTAAATCAATTTCAAGTATTAACATCCTTCATATAAATTCTTTTGTTAGTCAACATTCCATCTCCATTGCTAATTCAAATTTATTGTAATATACATACAATTCTATTTAAAAAAGGTATTGTAGGTATATTACAAAACTACCAGCTTTTCTTAGCCATATTTTATTTAAAGTAGTACCAAAATTAATTATCTAAATGATTGTCTAATAAATATTCTGGCTTAAATAACTATCTTAGGTTGAATTCAGCAATTTAATTTTGAAAATTTTGTTTAAATTGCATATGACTATATGGCAATTCTTTTTATAAGAAATATTTTCATTAAATAATATTATCAAATTCTTATCAAAAATTCAGATATTATAATATTATAATAAAGGTAATCATTTAATTATGACTAATTTATAAATAAATGATTGTATTAATTATTAATTAAAATTCATTACATTAACTTGATCTATGAATTTTTTTTATAGTTTTATATCTTTTTAGGATTTATTCGATTTAAAATAGATTTAGAATTATCTGAAATATTTTGAATTGATTATAAATTCTATTAATAATAAATTACAAAAGAAAATAAATTAAAAATAATCAAGCTCTGTAATGCTCAGCAGAATGATTATTTCCTCTAGTTTTAGTTGGGGCATATTTTAAAGGGGATTTAGATGAACTATGCTATTATATTCTTGCCATTGCATAGAGTTTATCTGTAGAAACTGATTAATTAAACATGAATTCTTTAATTTTGCTTAATAATAGATGACGATTGAAATCTTCAGTCTATATTATTGAATATTTTTATACATATAATTTAACTTTCTATTTATTTACTAAAGATTATTAACTAGTGAGATTCGAGAGCTAGATTTTTGGACTTGTTGCATTGTCTAACTATGAAAATTTCTATAATAAATTATTTGCTAAATTTAACTGTTATTACATACAATTTTTTTATTATGAAGAAATTATTCTTGGAGAGGATGCAGCTGTGAGATTCTTGACTGCTTATCTTTGAGTAGAACTCTATCTTTCATACTTATCTATCTCATGCATTTGATTTATTAGTGAATATATTTTCCCATAATCTAATGGTTAAGTTTACAACAAACTCAAAAATTATTCCCAACATTCCATTATAAATCCTTGCTAATTCATTGGATAATAAGACAAATTTGATCTTATGAATGAATCAAACATAGAAAAAAGTGTGTCCATTTAAATTATTTAACGATTAAAACTTATCTAAATAACTAAAAAGAAAACATAATATTAATTTTAAAAACATAGGTTAATTTGGTACTTTATTACTCTGATAAAATATTAGTAAGAAATCGATAGATTTTACAACATTTAAATATTTTGAATTCCTACTTAAATAAGATCAAATATTAAATATGCTATTCTCATTATTTATATATAGTAAAAATTAAATTATAAAAGAAAGATTGAATGAATTTTAGAAGATTATGAATAACATATCAAAAAAAGAACCTATAAATACAATAATGTATGTATATTTTTATATGTTGATGAATTTACTATTTTTTATTTTATTTAATACTATCATTTTCAGAACTTATCTAATGTAGACAAATCTTAAGGCAATTATTATAACTTATCAGGATATTATTTAAGGATTTATTATAAGACCTAGTTTTAGAATGTTTAATTTACTTCATCATCTGTTTATTTTTTTCCATCACTGGTTTCTTCTTCTGATTTAACGAATGAGATAGCTACACCATTAGTCTCTTATCTTCCTGCTCTTCCTACCTAAATTGCTAAATTAAATTAATACTCTATGCAAATAGGTTTCCAAAGAATCAGGCATATCAAAATTGATAACATAATTGACTTTATCAATATCAATACCTCTTCCCATCAAGTTAGTAGCAACTAACAATCGGAAATGCCCATTTCTAAATTATTCATATGTCTTTTATCTCATTTTTTAATGATCAGGACCAAGTCTATTACCTCCATAAAGTTATCTAACAGACTCTTCTCCTTTCTTTTTTAATTCTGTAACCAAAGCATCAGCTTTTTCAGAACTCTTAACAAAGATTATGCATTAATTTAATTTGCAGGTATTTAAAATTTATCTCAAATAATGAAATTTGAGTGCTTCAGGCATTTTCATATAATATTGCTTTAATTTGTCTAAAAAGAGTTATTCTGGTTTAATAGTAATCTCATAAATCTAACAATAATTAATTTTTTATAATTACATGTTTATTGTCAGCAATAAATCTTTTCAATGATGTTCTACTAGATTCTGTGAATGTTGCACTAAATGCCATAAATTATTTCTCCTATGGTGACTTTAAAAAGATGTCCTAAATGTCCTTTCTAAAAATAATTATTTCCAAAAATCAACACCTCATGTTCAAATCTTCAATCATTGTATCGGCTTCATCCAAGATAAAGTACTTCAATCTATCTACTTTCAATGCTTTTCTCTCACAAATTAGATCCTTAAGACGTCCTGGAGTACTTCATATTAGAATATATTAATACCCAACTACTATTTATGGCTTTACTGTTTCGATAGTTTAGATATTCACAGATACAGGTTCACCTCCACCATAGAAACATTCCACTTTTACACTTTTCATAAACTTTCCCAATCTTAAAAATTCATCTCGAGCCTAACATAATTCCAATTAAATATTACTTATTGGGCTAACTCTCTTGTATGTGTTATTACGAGGCATTCAACTTTATTACTTTCAGTATTTATAGTATTTAACACCGTAAGCACAAACACAGCAGTCTTTCCAGTTCCAGCCTTAGCTTAGCAGATCAATTATTCCCCTAACAAAGCATTTGTCAATGACTCAGCTTGGACTGTAAAACATAATAAAATTTAATACCTCTTGTGGGATGCTCAAATCCAGCTTCTTTAACTGCTCTTAAGAGCTCCTCTTTAAGCCCAAAGTTTTTAAATTAAGAGACATTGTAATTGTCAATTCTAGGATTCTCAATATTTGCTCTTACTATATGTCTTTGCCAGTTGGCTATTGTTCTTCTTTAAAATCAGGAATATCGTCCATTAATGCGCTGCTCTTTTGATAAAAGATTTATATAAATAATATCCTAATTAAAAAGCTTCTATTTAAATATGCATTTTCCCTCTGTTTTCGAGAATTAATATCAAAATCTTTAATGAATAAAATTAATATAATCATACTCATTCCAATATTTTGTGATTGATATTCCAACCTGTTTAGCTTTACCTTAACTTAAACCAAAAAATAATTATTCTATGGCATGTCAAGTGTAATTTATTGATAATTAAAATACAATACTTTTATTTACTATATGTGAACCTATAAATCTATATGAATAAGAGTAAAATATATTAAAACTATGAATAAACATATATCTTCCTTAGATAATGATTATTTGTAAAATGAATTTGATCACAAATTGAGAATAAATAAAAAATATCCATTTTATTATATTTATACCTTATTAGTTGAGAAAGACTAAAAATGAATCAATAAAATCATTTTATAAGACATTAATATGGTCTAAATATTAAAAAATCCTTTCATAGTTAAAATAAATAAATAATTGATTAAGGATAAGAAAGTAAAATAATTATTAAATTATTGTAAAATGTACTCAAAAACTTAGATTACTTATTAAATCGAGCAAACTATAATTTATAAAATTACCAAAATATTTGGAATTTATACTTTCCATAATAGGAAATGATTACAAAATTAGAATAATCATAAAAGAAATTAAGCAAATGAGTTTAGCTTAAAATCAATACATCAATAAAACCAAGACTATGATTAATTTAAATTATTCTTTTTTTTTAGAATGTTATTAAAAGAATTTTTATTAATACTTCCATTGATGGAGTAATTAATAGATAATAATAATAATAATAATAATAATAATAATAATAATAATAATAATAATAATAATAATAATAATAATAATAATCATAATATTATCACTTATATAGAAATGAGAACAAATGTACTAGTGAATTTGAAGTTCTTTAAGAAATACAATTAATTAAGTTCAAAGAAATTAGAAAATAAAATCTCAGGATATTTATCCATACATTACTCGACTATATATATGATATTTGTAATGTATAAATTTTATATAATTAATTGAATATTATTATTGATTTATTATTGTACTATATGAAACTTAATAAATGCTCAATCAAAGAGTCCTCCCATATCAACATCTTCTTCGGGTTCTTCAACCTTCTTTGGTGCTTCAGCTTTTGGTGCTTCTGCTTTTGGTGCTTGAGTTGCTTAGGCAGCTGGGGCTGAGCTTTATGCTAAAAACTTAGAAATCAGAATTACAAGCTCCTCCTCCGACTGACAAGCTTGTGAGTTACTTTGATCCTTCCTTAATAACATCAGCCAAGCTCTTTCCTTTTAATGCATCGACAACTAATTGGACATCTGCAGCAACTGGTTCAACTCCAGCCTCTTTGAGCAATTAAGTAACTTAAGCCTCAGCTAATCAATAGAGATGTAATAATACTGGGTTGGTTGTTTCCTCCTAAAACAAGCAAGGCATATGCAGCAACGTACTTCATTTTATTATTATTTAAAAATTATTTTTAAATATGATGCTACAAGATAATTGTTTATTTATAATTTCTCATTAGAATGCATTTTTTTCATTTATTTTTTTTTTTATCTTTATCTATAGTTTTAATCAATGTATTCCTGATGTATAAGAGATACTAAAATTTATGTCAAGCATCGAAGAATTAATCTTGAATTATTATTAACAATATAAATTAAGAATGATTCATATAAAAGAGATTGAAATGTTTAAAGAATAAATCAAATTGAAAATTCTTAAATAGATTTGTTTTTATTATTTAATTAAATAATAAGACAATAATAATATTAGTTAGAAACCATTTTATATAATAATATTTAAGAAGTAAAATATATATTAAGCATTAAAATGTCAATAAATTATCATTAGAAATCATAAAGATGCCCATTTTGCATAAAATATTTGACATCAAATTAAAATAATTTAAGCAGTCTTTTTATATTTTGATTGAGTGGAACAAATCCTATATCTTCCTCCTCTGATTTATGTTTTTATTTTTCTCTATTAATAATATGTACTGTTAAATCTCTATTACAACTCCATTAATTTATAAGTACTCGATGTTATGAGATATGTCTACTATCAAATACAGGTAATCCTTTTTACCATTTGAGAATGTTGTCTTTTTATATTATACCATCTAAATCCATATCATCAATACTAAAGGAATCCTAATCATTCAATTATGCCTTTAATTTTTATGTATTTAAATAAGATGATACTCCAGCTAGTCTAATATTAGATTCAGCAGCTTCAAATTCTCCTGACACAAATTTCGAATGGAAGAACTAAGCTCTATCTACATCTCCTCTATAATAAAAATTGATAGCAATCATGTCATAACATAATAATTCATAATTTCTATCTTTAACAACCCAAGATAATTTTAATAATTTCTTTAGATAAATTGCCTATTTATCCAAATCTCCTAAATCTAAAGCACATTTTGCTAATTATCTATAAGCTAATAGTTTATATTTTTAAAGTTTCTTCCCTTGTAAATTACAAGTTCTCAAAAACTTTTTCCATATATTATAACCCTCTTTTCTTCTACAATATACAAATTATATTTAAGTTTAAAAATAGATTGCCATGAAATAAAAACTTACTATCCCACATTATTTACAGGCATTAACTAGCTTTTCTAAATCAGGTAATAAGGTTTCTAATTATTGGATTAAAACAGATTTTATTAAAGTAGATAGGATTGAATAGATTTCTTCAAAATGATGTTTATTAATAAATGTTACAGATGGTGTAAAATCACTTAATTATGAAAGAGATCCTATAAGAGTGAATTTTCTAGCTTGTTCCATTTTTTTTTATTGTTATTATTTTAAAAAAGGTAATAAAATACTATCTTTTCTATTTCTTCTCTCTTTCTCTAATTTCTCAGTTGCCAATCGAGTTTAGGATGCTTCTCGAAGAAAAACAAAATCTTAAAACATTTCATTATTAGATAAGCCTCTCCATTCAGACTTAATTTTCAATAATTCTTTTTTTTCATCACTAAATCCCGTTTATGTTAGCATCTATTTCATTTTTGTAAATGATGCTGTAGTTGATAATGAGCTTGAGTTCATAATATAAATTAAATATTAATATTAGGTTTAATTAAACGATTTACAAATTATTTTCAATATACTTAAGTGTTAAATAATAATATAAATTAATTTATTAAATGAAGAAATGGGAAATATTAAAAGAAGTTTTTAATAACTAAATTAGTTGATGTCTTTCTATATCCCCTTTACAAAATCTCAAGGATATTATTAAATAAAATGATTATAATAGTTGTACTATTTAAAAATTAATAAATTGTATTGTTTTTTAAATAGAGGAACTTAGATTAATATAAAAAAAACTCAATAATATACCATAAATTAAATAGTTATTTCCTATAAATCCTTAGATTATTTATATAAATTAAATTGTATAGAAGTTTAAGAACATAATATTTAATATCTGAAAAACATGATTATAAGTAATAAAATATGGAATTGAGAATATATTAGATGAGAATCTATTTAAAAAATAAATATTACATTAAATAAAGAGATCATATAATTTTTTGTATTTTATTTTTATCATTTTAATTAATTTTCTTTGAACTATTAATTTTCTTAAGAATTTTATATCTATAAAAACTAATTTATACTTTAGAAGTAATTTTCAATTCTTTTGTTTTCTAAATAGAAGTTAATATATTCAATTTATTTATGACTTTAATAATATATTTAAAATTTAAAGTAAAATAATTATTTTTGAATTATAAAATAAATAACCAATTTTTTCAAAAATTTATAGAAAGAAATATTTTAATATCTAAAAATTATTATAGATAATGAAATACTAAATCGTTAATAAGTTTTATCAAAATAAACTAATTATTTCAATTAATACTAATACTTAATAATAAAAGGGAGTATTTATACAAATCAATTAAATATTTAAAATATCTTATCTTCATATAATTTATGTCTAATAATTATTAGTAATCAGATTCTAGTATTGATGAAAGTAAAGAAAGTGTCACTTCCCAGTTTATAATGAGTGAACAAGAATCATAAGAATAAGGTAGTTTTTATAAATATTTGTTAGCTTTTTCTAATTACAGTACTTAAAATAATTACTTGAATCTTCTCAATTTTGATGATGAAGAGAATTTTAATGATAATGCAGAGAGTTTAAAGGTCATAATAACAAAAGGGAAATAGAAAGATCAATTTTCATAAAAAATCCTTAACATTAACTTAAAGAAGACATCCAACAAAAAAAAGGTTAAAAGAATTAAAGAATTTCAAGTTTAAGAAGACATTAGACTCTTAAAATTAGTCCATCAATATGGAAGATAATTTTCAAGAATAGTGAAATAATTCCCCAAAAGGACTGTTAGTATGCTTAAAAATAGATATTATAAGAATCTTAGATACAGATGGGAAGAATTATTGGGAATGTAATACATACATATATATATTAGTAAATACATAGAAGAAAAGAATTAGTAAAAAACTAAAAATTAGATTGATGGAATGAATTTGGACAATTAATCTCTTAATCGTAAAGACTTAATCAACATGATACCAAATACCTATAGTTGTCCAATAATTGGTAACATGCTCTCATCATTCATTATAAAAATGGACTAATTTCTCAAAACTCAATTTTGATCATTCCAAATAACTTGATAGAGTTTTCTATATTATATTTTATCCAAACAATTATAAAAATGCTCCTCTTATATGTCTGATGAAGTAAAGAAAAAATTCCATTTTTCATATAAAAACAATAAAAAAAACTGAAATTCCGATAAATTATTTATAATATTAGAAGGTACGACATTTATCATTAAAAAGTTTAATTAAATTGTTTAATGAGTTATTCCAGCATATAAATGCGACATTAATTAAAATGCTCTATATTTAGGCAGAATTCGACTCTATAGTTTATGATAAATAGAGTTAATAAAAATGAAAAATTATATATCAAGTAGTTCATAAATTGATTTCTTGATATTAATTAGATATATAATTTGTTAATATAGAATTGATATCTAATAATTCATCACTAAAATTATCTATAAAAATATTGTATAAATTTTATCAAATAAATCTCAATTAGAATAGATAATATAAAATAAAATGAAAAAAAAAGAAGAGATTACTCTTTGTCTTTCTCTCTATATTTAATAATAAATTCATCTATATTAAAAGTATATTCTTTATAAAGTAGCTCTTTAATTAAAAAAATTATAATTACAAACGACATTGTATTATAAAATTTATGATAAAATTATCAAGCTTTATATATTTATTGGTTTCCTAAATACTATGTTTAGATTAATGGTAATGTACATGTGAATAGTTAATGACAGAATTTGATTGTATGACATAGTAAAAAAATAGATTTAGATTGGGAGAGATTGATTAATCATCTATTTGCTTTTGGTATTAAGAAAAATGTTAAAATTTAATGAATTATTTATCTGATGTTAGTTGTACTAGTTTAAACAACTAAGAATGTTCATTTGTAAGTGAAAGTCTATTTACAATAAATCCAGTTTGTGCTTGGTATTATAAAGCAGATGGTGGATAATGTACTAAATTTACAAGGTGTTAAGATTATAAATACTAATCTGAACTTATAGCTGAAGTAGAATGTTCAAATCTTGGATGTAACAGAATTAAAAATTAATGTTCATTTGATTATAGAGGAAGATAAGAATAATATTGTTCAGAAATTGGAGATTAAAAGACTTGTGATATCACTTTTTTAAAGGATAAACTAACAATATGTTAATGGAATACAAGTACTAAGAAATGTGGAGGTTTTAATTTTGAATAATGTTCTGATTTAACAACTGAATAAAACTGTGATTTTGCAAATACTTTTTGTAAATGGAAAGATTAATTATGTATAGAAAGAGTATGTGGAGATAAAGAATTAGAATATAAATCAGGCAGTTAAATTTGTATATCATTTTATAGTTTGACAAATAAAAAGTATATGTAATGTGTAGAAAATAATAATGGAGACTGTATTGAAAGTGATCCAGAAACATTACTTCCATATCAATGTAATTATTTTAGTAGACTTACTTATTTATGGAATACAACTACATCTTCTTGTACTCCATGCTTATATGTTGGTTAAAGTGATATAATCAAAGTTGCCATAATTATTTTATTTGTCATTTTTTTATGATCAAATTTTGAATATATATAAAATAAAATAATAAAATAAATTCAATGGAATATGATATTAGAAAATTAGAAGATAAAATAAGGAAAATTGAGAATGAATGTGTTGAATTATAAACTAAAATAGATTATTCAATCAAAAAAAAACAAAGCGTATAAAAAAAAAATGAATTTCTAAAACAAGTAATTGGCAGATTAAATGATTTATATACATGAATTTAATATATGCATATTTAAAATAGTATATTTTAAATCATACATAAAATAATGAATTATCTATATATATATATAGATATTTAATAATCTTTTTAGAGGTTTTTCTGAAAAATTTTAATTTTTATCCTTCTATTGTTATGGTATTAAAAATATATATTAATATAAAAAAGAAGACATGTATTTTATTTATAAAAGTTATTTGTTTGAATATTTATTATGATTAAATTTGGATTAAATTATCTTTTCAATTGTTGGCTTAATTTATAATTTATGTTTTAATAATATATATATATATATATCCTTTATATAAATAGTTAATATAGAAATCATTATTCTTTAAGTTAAATTCTTATATTAGAAGTTCTTGGAGAGACAATAGCTGACATCAAAGATGTTTGTCCATTTACTTAAGGCAGATATTCATAACCGAGAAATTATTCTAAAGGTTTGATCAATATTATACATTAGATTTGTTCCGAATGTAGGATTGATTAATCTTCTAAAGATTCTAATCTATTTGATTTTAAATAATTTTCTAATTTTCCATCTGGAATAAATGGAGAAGGTATTAACTTTTTTTCATAATCATTCCAATATATATCTTTAAACCATGGATGATTTTTAACTTCTTCGGGTCCATTATATCCTAATCTATTGGTTGGTTTTCTATTTATAAGTTAATTTGTAAAATTAATAGCTTCATCACTCCAACCTTATGGAACATCTGTTAATACTGCTTATTTTGCTATAATTTAATCTCTGATTTCTTATCTACTTTTACCATTATAAGGTCTTTTACCTAACTTAATCAATCAAATATATTAAATTACAATGCATTCATGCATTATTATTCCTAGTGCAAAGTAATCTACAGCAATGCCATGATTTTATCTACACATAACTTCAGGAGCCATATATCCTGGAGTACCACTAGTTTCATGACTATTTTAAGGTTTCCATATTCTTGCAATACCAAAATCTGTGATTCTTAAATAACCATCACTATCAAAAACTAGATTTTCAGGTTTAATATCTCTATGTATTATTCCATTGGAATGAATGTAATCTAATCCAATAATAATACAAGCAGCTATATGTTTAGTAATTGATTCTGAAAATTTTCTATATTTACAAATATGAAATCTTAAATCTCCTCCAGCTAAGAAATCCATTGCTAAATATAATTGATAACGATCTTAAAATGCACTTACAATATTAATGATAAATCTATAGATATGTAATATTAAAATAATACTCGTGCTTTAATGTTGACAATATTTATAATTCATTCATGACTGAACTAACACTCTTTTTTTGTATAACTCTTATGTTTAAAAATGATTTAATACCTAACTTTAGACATAACTTTTAAAGCAACTATTAAATTTCTTGTCTTTTAGAGTCTAGCCTTGTATACTTTACCAAAACCTCCTTGACCAATAACAGATATTAATTCAAAATTCTATAGAGACATCTCTATATATATATTAATAGCATATCAGTACAAGTATCATCACATGATCCTCTAAATTTGAACTCGCAGCCTCCCATAATTATTATATGAGATTATTATAATTATAATAAATTGAACTTTATTATTATTTTCTCATATTTTAATTGTTGTTGAAATCTACATTTCAAAAATAATAACAAAGAAATTATTCATCAATATCTAAAATTAAAAATAATAACTATCTAAAAAATCTTATATTATAATAATAAATTATCTACTAATAACATATTTTTTATTAATTTACTATATTCAAAGATGTTCATTAATATTTCAATTAATAAAAATATATATAGTTGATTATTTTATATATATATATATAATTAAAATTAATTATTTCAAAAATAATATTACAAATTTAAGAAAAATATATCATCTTTGTAAATATTAACACCTCTCTTTCAATGTTATTTCAAATCTTTATAATGATTCATTCATTTCATCATAAACTTTCTGATTACAAGATTGTTGTTCATCCATTTCAGTTTATTATGTATTAAAACTTTTTGATCTGACATTTTTTGAAGATTACTACTTTTATCTTGTTTACATACTCGTTTAACAATCATATTTCTTCACATGCTAATATAAAGTTGGGCAATGATATTATTCAAGTGCTGTCATATTTAATAATAACATTCCTTTATATTCTGGCCTAATCTATCTTAAAAAACTCATCTCTAAACCTTAAGCATTTCCCTTAGATGATTACAAAGATTTATGTTTTAATAATTTATTTCTAAAATCTACTTATGCTTAAAATTTCATTTGCTAAAGTTCAATATCAGCTTAGAAATTGTTATCGATTTAGCTAATTGCTTTCTTCTATCGATTAAATGTTTTAGGTCCATAAATCTATTTTAAATGTTTCTTGTCAAGCAGTTCCAAATGATTCCATTAATTATCAATTTAATTTTCCTATTATTACTTTAATAATTACCAAATGTGTAGGAGATCTTTAAAAAAGAGGTAAATTAAAATCTTCATCTGTTACTACATACTTACTTGTCTCAGATGACTTCTATTTACTTTTTATTTCTAATATAGTTCTTCTAAATTCATTCCTCTTTAATCTCAATTAAGATTCATATTTAAACTTTTGGAATTATTCAATGTTTGGTTACTCATTAGGTTTCTATTGAGAAAAAGCAATTTTGGAAAAGAACTAATTTCTTTTGCATTCCATCAAAAATATACTTGTTATTCCAATAAGTTTAATCCTTTTTTGTTATTGTAGTACTCTCTGTGGGTATCTCATCTCTAATAAAATCCATATAAGATTAGGGACCTAATTTTCTAGCCTTAAACATGGATAAAATATTATTAATAATAATCATTATAGTTAGATGTCGTTAATAAGGAAGAAGTATTTCTTCTAATACTCCTCCATTTATTTTTTAATAAACCCTAAAATTACATTAAATTCTTTAGCATCATTTCCAGAATCATTAAAAGAATTGATGTTCTTTTTTGACTATTAATTATTATGACTAATTCCTACTTAATTTTATTCTCTATATATATTTAAGACTCTTTAATTGATGATTGAGAATTTCAAATGATTGATTATTTATAAAGTTGTTAAAATCATTAAGTCTATGACTCTGATTAATTTTGATAGAATCACTCAATAAATAAGGAATATTAATTTTATATATTGATTTTTTCAATTGAAAATTTAAATTATCCTTCCTTCTCAAAGAGTTTAATTGGTTTTTATTATTTTCATTAGATAATCTATTTTTATTTAGATATGTCTTGTATTATTTTGATCAATTATTTAATAATTATATACAAAATAAACCAAATGATATTGTACTCTAATTAGAATTCAAAAATTTAGATTTATATAAAAAGTATGAATTTATAATGATCAAAATCACCTTCTTGGTTTTGGAATTTTTGAATAGAGAATTGCCTATCTTTATTCAGCAACTTATTTATATGTCACAGGTTATTCTTTAGATTATGATCTTATTTTATTATAAGAAGATAAAGTATCAGCTTAAATATTTTCTTTTTCAATTGAAATGTTAATTTATTTTACAGGTCTTGAGTCATATTATTTAACATCATTCCTTTAATCTGATTTATTTGATATTGATTGTGATTATTGAGTATTAGAAGGTTTAACTTTATTATAACATCCAACATAATGTTAAGGTTTTGCTTTATTATTAATCTCACAATCCTAAAGAGTTTTTATATTCTAAAGACCTTGACAAGCAGAAAAAGATTTACTACGTGAAACCTATAAATCAACACTATTATCTTAATGAATAGATGTTTAAAGATTTTGTTTCCTTTAAATTTCAAATTCTAATTATTGCATTTTGCATTCTGCATTAGAAAGTTAACCAAAAAGATAATTATTTTATTCTCTTAATTCATCAATTTATTAATCTAAAATCTTTCTTTGATCATCTAATTATTACTAATACTTTTATTTTAAATCTCTATATCTTTATTAATACAATTCTTCATTTGATTTCAATCTACTCATAAACTCTTATTAGAATGTTGAACTTTATTATAATTCTTCTTCTAATTCACAAATTCTTCTTTGATATTCTTCTTCTTGATTAATTATGTTTTAAGTTAATAATTAATATTCTTCATATTCTTATTTTATTTATTAATAATCTTGTTAATCATTTCTCATAGTTTCCTATAATTTATTTTATAGATCTAGATATTATTTTTATAATTCTTCAAGTGCTTTATGTAATTCCATAACATCAGGAATATTTTCTTGTTAATTTTAAAGATTCTATAAATCTTCTTATAATTATTGATTTTAATATTCTAATTATTAATTTCTACGATTTAATTCAGATAATTATTGATTGTATTATCTTTCAGTATCGAATAACTTTTTTTATAGTTCTTAGATTTATTAATTTTTTTATTCCAATAAACTCTTTTATTTAACAGAGCTTTTATCTAAATTACTCTCTCTCATCAAATCAGAATTTTTTAATTCATATCCTGTTTTTAAATACTTTTATTCTAATCTCATCATAGTTTATTAATTTTGTTGACATCTTTCTTACATTTCTTTAAGTTCTTATTTAAAAAAGTTTTCATCAAATTTTGAACTATCATCAAGCTGTCTGCTTCTCTTTAAGGCTTAATTTACTTATTCTTCCAACTCTTCAATCCTTTTCAATTCTTTATCAGTCTATTACATTTATCTAACGGATAATAATTAAATATTTATTTATTATTTTATGTATTTGGAACCAATAGGATATATAATTATTCACCTTTAAAATACTTACTAAATAACATAAATGAGATTATAAAATAATATATATATTTCTCATTTATATCTTAATTTGAAATCCCTTTAGACTTATTAATTTATTATTAAATAATTTAATGAAAAGTTAAATTTTTATCTTATTTGGAATTTTTGTAGCTTTTGTTGTATACTTGAGAACATTAGAGATTAATGAATAAGTATAAAGACTTAAATTTGCACCTGAAGTCAATACTCCTGGAGATGTATTAAAAGATGGAAATTTAGTTGTGAATGGATTTGCAAGAAGAGATATTAGGAAATTTGATTCTTCTTAAATATCTTTATTAAATAGATTGTTTAGATTCAAATAATGGGATTATTTCCATCTTGTAACATCTGATATTTATCTTGCCATTGCTTTTGTAGATTTGGGATATGTACAAAGCATTTAATTTACATTTTATTCTGTCAAAAATAATTACTTCATTCATAAGGATAAAGTAGTGTATCCATTTTAAACTAGACAATTTACTTTAGAAGATGAATGTACTCTCAAAGGTAATTTAACAAGAACTTTTAAATCTGATTCAATCTATGTAGAATATAAAGGATGGTTACATAATGGTATTGAAATGAGAAGTATCTAAATTATTTTTGATGGATTTGATGCTTCTTTTATTATGGAATCACATTAGAAAGATGATCTATTTATATTAAAACCTTTTACTGAAAAAGGAGATAAATTTTTCTACAGTAGAAAAGCATATGGATGGCATGCATATGGCTCAATTAAATATGATAAATAATCCCATAAATTTACAAAGGCAAATGCTGGTATGGATTATGGTAGAGGAATCTTTAATTATGCAACATTCTGGTTATGGGTATCAGGTATGGGATTCTCATAGGATCATAGAATTGGATTTAATTTGGGAGCTGCTGGAGATAATGTTAAAGGTAAGGAAACATCAGATGAAGGTATATTTATAGACAATGAATTATTTATTCTTAGTGATTTGGAATATAGTTTTGACCTTAATGATCTTAATAAGAAGATTATTGTAAAGGGAAAAGATTTTTATTTAGAATTCATTCCAAAAACAACTCATCTTTTCACTGAAGATTTATTATTAATAGATGTTAAGTTTAGATAGTTGATAGGAGTATTCAATGGAAAATTTAAGGATATTGAATTCTCAGATATTGTTGGTCTTGTTGAACTTAATAGAGCTAAATGGTGATATATTATAAAAGAATATTTAAAAGTCATTATGAAGATGTTATTGAGGCTTTATCTTCATCTTTATTGTTTTAATCAACTGAATTTGGTTTTATTCTCCTCAATTTTATATTGTTATCTGTCTCAACAACTTCAAAATTTGGATGTAGAGGTCCAAAGCAGTAAAGTATTTCATGATTTTTAAGTACTTCATATCTATGTTTAGCCAACACATTTCGTATATAATCTCTTAAAAATTTTCTACATTGCTAATAACTTTTTGTTTGAATGAATTAGGATTAATATTGGAAGAATACTTTGTCTTTTTTGATTTTTTTATTTCTTCTCATGAATCTTTTGAATTTTATAATCTCTGACTCTTACCATTCCTTAACATACTCTTTCTTAAACTATATTTGATTGTTTTCAGATTGAAAAATCCCTATCAGTTCTTCATAGGTAACAAAATTCAGAGTAGACATTTATTTTATTTTTATTTATATGTTGAATTATAAAGTTTTGCTTACAGAAGTTATTTGAATAATAATTAATTCATCAATATATTTACAAGACATCTTTAACAATAGCTAATGAGATTATTTATATTTTTTTACACTTAAATTACACATATATTTTCTAGAATCATATAATTTTATTATAAGAATTAATAATATTTTTTTTAATATTATTATTTAGATCATAATATTGTAATATTTCCATTATTTAGACCATTATGTTCTCCTACAATATGGGTATCTGAGTATGGAACAACTGGCTCTTTGAAATTAGGATTTTTTTATATTGCTTATTTAGTTAGGTTTTTCCACTAATTATAAATGTAAAATTAATACTTTCTCTTCAATCTTTTATCTGTCTTTCTTTTGATTCTTGGCATCTTAGATAATATATAAATATTTTGGATCTTTGTTATTCAAAGCTTTATCAAATGCTTAGTAATCAATTTCTTTTAGAATTGTCTTTAGAGCATTCAAAGATTCCTATAAAACCTTATGCCAATGAGTGTCTGCTATTTGAGCAATCACTGGTACTAATAATGGAAATGTGAATGGCTTATAACTCTTCAGAATAGTAAGGAAATAATCATTTTCAAAGAAACACATAGCTCTATCAGCCACTTATAAATGTGGTCCTGCTATACATTTAATTAATCTCTTAAATAATTTTGGAATCAAAGGTTCTAATTTTGAAATTTCACAAACCTCTAATACTTCTAAAAGTTCATTAAGAAACATCACTTCCTTAGCTGAATTTGCAAATGGCCAATATCTAAGTAAACCTTCTACTAAGAATGTTGCTAAAGTTGGATCTTTTGATAGAAAGAGCATTGAGCATCTTAACAATTATTCATGATAAAACTAACAAGTTTAAACTTTATGTAAAGGAATTATGACAGTTTTAAAGAAAATAACATGTTCTTCTCTTAAAGGAACTGCAAATCCACTAATAATACTAGCCAAAATATCTAAGAGTTCAGCTGCTCCATTAAATTTATAGGTCTCATGAATTAAAGTATAGAAGCAATCATTTATTGCCTTTCTAATCATTTTTCTTCTTGGTACTAATTTTGCATATAGTCTATGTAAAATATTCTTTAAGTATTCCCTTTCTCTAGGTTCTTCAGAATCAAATAATTCAAGGAATTCTTGAATAAAAGAATGAGTAATGAAAATCTATAAGAAATTTATAAAAGAAATACTTTAAGTGATTTAACATCAGGTTATTCATTAACAATTAATTGTAAGAAATATTCATAGACAGGTTATAGATGTGTCCAGGCTGGATCTATGAGTTGCTTTTTTATAAATGAGATATTTTACATCATCATCTTCCATACCAATTTCTCCATTGGTTGCTGTTTTCTTTAAAATAGGCAAAGGCCTAAAAATATTCTTTTCAATCATTTCTACAATCAAATCTAAATGTGGAACAACCAAATTAGCAACAAAATTAGGTTCCTTTAGTAAATCAAATAATTCCTATAAGTATTATGAACGTTCCTATTTTTCCTTAACATTTTTTGTGTCATCATTAAAATCATAAGGTTAAGAACAGAAATGAATTTTCTTTAAAAATTAATCTCTAATTTCTTTAGGTACATGTTTAGGATCTGTTACTCTGGCCATATTTTGAATCATTTATGGTGGAGCCTAACATTATTATGTGTTATTACTCTTGTTTATTGAGCATTTGCATTTGGCTAAATTTGTGGTCTTCCTGTTGCAGTTTATTTTGAATTAGCAGTCCTATTTTACATTATTTTTATATTTGATTTTGATAAAGATGTGTTTTGAATATTTATATTAGATGATTTAATATTAATAAAATGATCTATATTCATATACAACATTAATCTAATCTACTTCATTAGATGATAGACAAATACAATATTATTATGGTTTATTTAAGAAGAAATTATTAGAATATATAGGTTTTTAAATTTTGATTGATTGAACTACTTTACAATTTATGCTGCATCACTTAAAATTGTAAATTCAAATTATATCTAAATTACTGAAGGAGCATTTTGATTGGAAGATAGTCAATACTAGTATTTTTCAATTTAATTGTTATATGAAAATATCAATAAATAAGGATAGTATATAAATATCATTATTTGATTGCATATAAATAAATACAAATATTAAAATCAAAACTCTCTAAAATATGAAAGAATTCAATAATTAAAAATGAAGAAATTATACTTGAATATATTGATATTAATTTAAGATAGTAGTAGCATTTATTAATTAGATTTTGAAATTTATTAATTGTTTGATTAATATAATCAATAAATAGAATTATGATTCATTAGAATTATAAATTAAATAAAAGCATAATTATTAATATACATATTATATTTTCATAAATCATCTTATTAATTAGCATAAGGATCTTTTCTATAATATAATTTGACTTTCTTAGCTGAAGTTTTTCTATCTTAAACTATAAGAGATAATAATAATATGATACTAAATCTATAGTTGCCATTTGGAAATATATCAGTATTATGATATAGATTATAGAAGAATTAAAGTTAAGAATTTGGAGCTTTGAATGGTCTTTCAAAAATGTACCAAGAATTTCTTTCTGTACAATCTGGATAAGTAAAAGAACCTGCATATAAATAATATGGTTAGATAGAAAATGCTGAGGTAATCAATTGACTTAAATCTAAGATGAATTCTTCTCTTTAATAATTATCAATAACCTTAAATAAATATTATTGATTAATACTGATTATAAGAAAGGATGTTTTTGGGCAGTGTCATCTTGAATAAAAAATACAGAAACTGTTGATCTATTTGAAATTGTTGCAAAGAGCATAGTATGTTAAATTTAGACTTCTAAATTATATTAAACTCCATTAAATTTATGTTCAGCTTCACTTCTAAAGAATATTATTTTTCCACCATATGCAACACTTTCAGACCAAGAATTAACTGTGTATAAAGGGCCAAAGTTATCTGAATCATTAGCTGGTATTATTCTATGAGAAGTTTAGTTTTTTGTAATTCTAACTTTAGTAGGTTTGTATTTTGGAAAGAAATAGATATCATCTTCCTAATTTTATGATTATATATTATTCTACATTGGTATTAGTATAATTATTATCTAGGTTGATTGGAGACTGTAATTATTTACCAAAGCAATATTCATGAATATTAGGCCAATCTTTACCATTTTGTGTGTAATCATAGTCATCACTACCATAAATACCTTTTATACTGAGTATTAATAATGGTAATATCATGAATTAATAATAATATTATTTTAATTGGATTCGACATTAATAATATTTATATAGGAATTTAAAAAAATCTAAACTTAATTTATGATCTTAAGAGATAAGATTTAAGATTAGATGAATTTTTAAATAACTTATAAAACATTGTTCAAAATATAATACATTCCTTGCATTATTAACATCGTTATTAATTATCACTTGGTTTACTGTATTCTTATATATATCTCTACATAAATTCTATATACTTTGGCCAAATCGTATCCCCTTATATATATTATTCAGATTTACTATATGATTTAATTTCTGCAATATTTATCAATTATTTAGCAGCTGTTGATAATTCTCCTGCCAATTAAATACTGGCATCAATCAAATCAAAATATCTGTGATATAAATCAATAACATCTCTATCAGTATGAGGCTATTGTTTCTTGGCAATATCATATAATGCATTTGTTTTTTAGAGATAATCAAATGCAAGGATCTATCTTCCTGCCTTAATAAATAGTGATTTACCCTACACTTCCCTTAAGAACAAAGCAAGCTTTCTCCATCCTTTTTTAATCAAGCAATTATACAGCTAAGTACAATTCTTGTAGTTATTTTTCAAAGGTCATGTTGATAAATTTGGAAATTATAGATACATATATTTCTTCACTTCCATATTCTATCTTTCCTTGATCATAATTTATGGTTTTATAATCCATTTTATTAAAATATATTTAATTATTATTGTCAATTAAAAGTTTAATTTATAATTTCTAACGATAATATAAACATTATCTTATACATTAAAATGAGTTGGATTACAATAAATAGTTAAAATGAAGGTCCTGGAGGTAGATGGGGACATTCAAGTATTGCATTAGATGATAAATTATACATTTTTGGTGGTTTTGGTATAAATTAGAAATATAATTAAGATGGCAATTATCTAAATGATTTTTATTCTTATGATTTTGATAATAACTTATGGCAAACAATAGTATAAAATGGTTTGGTACCAGAACCTCGATCAAATCATATCATGTTTATTAATAACGGAACTATATATATTCAAGGTGGTGGAGGATTATCTAAAACTAGATTTGGAGATCTTTATTCATTTAACAAAAACACTTGGATTAAATAGAAAATCAATTTAATACCTAGAACCTATCATACAGGTTGTGTTGGCGATAATAAATTATTTATATTTGGAGGAGAATCTGGTAGAGATTTAGACGACTTAGAAATTGTTGATTTAATCAATAATACATAATATACAGTTAAGGTTGAATGCACAAAAAAACCAGAACCAAGGCGTTTTGCAACACTTCAATTTTATAATAATTAACTAATATTAATAGGAGGATGTACTTAATCTTACAGTCTTACTCCTTCTATATATATTGCCAATTTTAAGGAAAACGACAATTATATAAGCATTTTTTGGTCTTTACTTAAAACAGAATTTCCTAAATGGGGCCAATCTTGTGTACAATTTGATGATTTATTCTATTTATTTGGAGGAAGAGATGACAAAGATTCTGATGAACTTTACTCTTTTGATTTATAAAACAATTAAATTCAGATAATTAAAAACGAAAATAAAATTAAAGCAAGAAGAAGACATAGTGCATCTGTTATTGGTAATTCTTTAGTTATTTTTGGTGGTTTTAATGGAAAATATTAAAATGATTTATGCTTTTAGGAATTACCTCTTGTTAATTCTATACCTCTTTCTGTTGAATTGCTTTCTAAACCTTATGAAGAAATATCATAACATTAGTTTGAAAACTACTTTTAATCAGAAAATGGAATTTATTTTTATAATGATTAATATGATTGTTTAATCTAAACTGATGAAAAATGTTTTGGTGTTGATTAATAAGTTCTAATTAATGCATCAGGATACTTTAGAGAATTATTTTATGGAGATTATGCAGAAGGATAATTACTATAACTTGACTTATCATATGTTGATAATATTGCTTTTGGTATTGTATTGATATTCTCATACAAAAATAATTTGATACTTCCTATTCTAAATAAAGAGGAACTTTTCAGCCTATTAGAATTGTGTGATTACTTAGATATGCCATAATTAAAAGAGAAAACCTAATATTATATTGCTTAAACTGTAGATAAGAACACATTATAGGAAATATACAATCTCTCAATAGAACATTAGAATAATTAGTTATAACATTTTTGTGCATTTAAGGTTTCAAAATTGAAAATGCCATTACAAGAAATTGACAATTTATAAAGTTAATAAGTAAATAATATGAAAAAAATAAGAAAATTGTCATTAGTTAATGAATAATGATTAGTTTATATATACTACTATTATAGTTATAATATTTATTATTCATTCAAAATATTTTGAATTTAATCACAAAAAATATATATCAAGTTTTATAGATTTCTCTTTCTATTTTTTGACTTATAGTATTTAGTAAGGAGAAATTTATAAATTTATTATAATTCTACAAAATCTAAATCTAAGTAAAATTTCAAAATTTTCCAATAGAATTAGAAACAGTCCTATAACTTTTTTATTAATAGTATATAAATTTTTGAAATAATTCATATTATCATATGGAGACTGTTATCTTCAGTGTTATTTTGTTAAATTAATATTTCTTATATGTTTTTATCTTTATGATATTGATGTAATGCTAAGTTAGAAGTTTTTTCTATTAGATGTAAATCATCTGATAAATTTATGTTTTTAAATTAAATAAATGAAAAAGTTGACTTAAGAAAGATAATGTTAACTTCAATCTTTTAAAAATGTGAAAACACTGAAAAAATTAAACATTTATTAGAATTAGTAATAAAATTAAAAACCCTTTCAATAGATGAGTATTTTAAGTTGAATTTAAGAAATCAAGACAATATATAATTAATTATTTAAGAAAATATTCTTAATATGTTAAGATTAAAAATTAGAAAAAACACAACATCTAATTCTTCACATTAAATGATTATAATTATTTACAATATGTGTATTTACAAATGACTTCAATTAAGTTGTAATAAATTCTAATATAAATTTATATGACGTAAACTTATTCGAAATTAAAATGATTGAAATAGATGCAACTGTCAAAAATTTTAAGAAGCATCAAATATATTCTTCTAAATATATTATTGATACATTTATGACTTCTTAAGATGATATTCATAAAGTAGATTCAATTAAAAATGTAAAATCTATATGTTTTTAGAGAGATGACGACATTATAAAAACTGATTTCCAATATAAACTTTATGTATCAGAAATGATCAGATATAATATAATCATAATTTGCATCATCAGAATTAATGCATAATTTTCTGCATTTTCTGATCGTATATATATTCAATTTTGTTCTAATTAAAACTCATTAATTTATAAATATACATTCAGCAAAAACAAAAAAATGACTGAACAACTTAATAATCAAACTTAAATCACTTTGATGACTGAAAGATATAATGAATAATATGAAAATAACAAAGAAACAGAAATAAAAATGCAAAAAGGATTAAAAAAAGATTTGACAGATTGTGTCACTAAAGTAGTTGGAGAAGTGGCAATGAAAGTTTGCTTTGCTTTAACAGTTGCTTTCTGTATTGGATGTTGAGAATTCAACCATAAAAACTTTCTTTTCTTGACTTTTATATTTATGTGTATAGCATTTTAAACCTTAAAAAAAACAACTAATTCTTATAAATATAGACCTTTATTATACAATTTTTAGTTGTATAATCATTTACTAAATTTAGACTTATAAGTTCTTCTTCAAAAAGAACATTATGAAAAATTTATTGTATAACAGATTAATTGCTTAAGTAAAGTTATACAGTACTATTATTTGAATAAAAAATTTCACCATTTTGATAATACTCATAAATTACCTCTAATTTCTTAGACATAAGGCATCTCTAACCTTAATTCTAATGTAATTATTTTTAAATTGTATTGATCTATAAATTTAGTAAAGGAACAATATTTTTTATATAAAGCAATTGTTCAATATTATAATACTGTTGTAAATACTGAAGAATATATGTTTTAAAATAAGTAATGGTAAATTATATATATTACAACTAAATATTTGTTTTAAGTATAAAAATTCTTATACTTCTTTAAAGAAAATATACCTCATATTAAAATTTTATATTATTAAAAGAGAGATATTCTTTATAATTAATCTCAAAAAATAAAAAGCATCATTTGAATTACGAATTATGAACAAAATGACTATCTTTCTTAATTTAGCAAAAAAAGTATTAAAATAATTTACGAGATAAAAAATACTATATAAATTATGTATATATGAAATTTTGTGTTAAAGATATAAGATTATATTAACGAATATGATGTCTTAAGATTAAATTCAATTTTGATCTGATCGTATCTTCATACAATAAGAAATTTTATCCTTAAATTATATAAATTGAGATACTATTATAAATAAGTGATAAATTATTATAGATAGCAATTAGAAAAGTATAAATAAATATTTGCTGAAATTATTTTGTGGAATTTATAAACTTATTTTCAATAGATTAGAACTTGTTTTATAAAAGCATGCATATAAATATATCATTTTTTATCAGTATGTTAGAGTTTAAAACTATTTAATCAATCACAATATTAAGATTTAGGATAGAAAAATAAAAATGAATATTAAATAAAATAAATTTATATTTGAACTTGATATCATAATTAGTAAATATTATTAGATGATACGACATTTAAGTTTAATTCTACTATGCTAAATCGAATAATTAAGTAATTAATTTAAAATAATATCGATATCTATCATCTAAAATATTAAATATATGCTATTATTATATAAATCAAAAATAAACCTATATTGTATCTTTTATATTTGAAATTATTATAACCAAAAAAAAAGAAATTAATTCATTATTATATTTATTATTAAATCTTATTATCAATTAAGATAAAATAATGAATAAAATATTATAATATAAATTTGGCTTGTTTTTAAGTGATTAGAAATAATTTAAATGGTTACAATAATCTGGTTATTGCCAAAATAATATATTTTTTGCATATTTAGTTCGTAAAATCAAGTTTGCTAATTATACTTAAGTTATGCTAATAATAAGATATAAGATTTAATATCACTTAAAATCTGATTTCACAGATTAATTAATCAAATTTATTTATATCTTGATCATCGTCATGTTAACATAAGTTAGGGAAGTAACAATAACAAAAAGAACCTCAAAAGCCTTTAAAACTAAGAAGGATTTGGGTTTAGGAGGATAAAAAAATGAAATATTATAATTAGACTTTCATCATCCTGTCAATACAAATTCTGAAATCTTTGTCTATGATCATAAATACTTTACTCCAAGTAATGATTAACCTAATTGTATGCATTTATGTCATTTTTAGATGTGTGTGATATAACTGAAAATGAAGATAGCGTTTATTCGCAATAATTTATGATGGATTAAGATAACCAAATAAACTAAACCCCTTAACAAGAGAAGATAAAATTAATACGCTATTCAACTAAGAAAAATAAGGAAAATAAAAAAAGAAAGTATAAAAATAGAACAAAAACATTTTCTAAAGAAGAAGATTAAAGATTGTTAAACTACATACTTAAGAAAGGACCCAAGTTTCATAAGTTCTCCAGATATTTTCCAGGAAAAACAACAAATATGTTAAAGAATAGATATTATAAATAACTAAGATTTGTTTGGGATGATATTTTAGGAATGTATAATTTTAAATATTTTAGATAATACCATCATTTGAATTTCATTTCTAAAGAGCAAACATCAAGAACAGAAAAATCTATTGATTAAATAAACATAGAAGAAATAGAAGAACTTTAATTGTTTCCAGAAGTAGAAGGCGTACTATTCAAATTTTTAGATTGTTTATCTACAACATTTAATAATATTCATACAAACTTTATATGAGTTTACTAATGATGAATATTTATACATAGTATATCGAGTATTAGATTACACATATTTATTTTTCAAAAAAGTTATATTTTATTTAAATATCTATAGTCTAATTAATTACGTTTCACTATTAAAAGAAGTATTTTTAATGAATCCTCCTCATCTCATAAAAATTAGAAGTCATGAATCCATTTTGAAAATATATTTTTAATCCAACTTATCATATCTTTTTGAAAAGTTTTTTATATACCAAAAATTTATCAAATTCATTAAAGTTCCTTCAGGATTTTAATAGATTAATTGAGATGACTTTATATATTTACTTTTTCTCCAATTTGTTTTCAGTTAGTTTAGAGATTAAAAAAATTAAATTTTTAGCAAGATATTTAATTTAACTAGGAATTAATTTAAAAGAAAAAATTAACAATTAATATTATGATAAGGCATGGCGTTTTTTTAGTCAATAATAATTTTGATGAAAAAAATTTGTATTTTTTTGATATTTGCAGTTCTAAATCAATTCAGTAATAATTTAATTCTTGCCATATTAATCTGATAGAATTATTTAAGCTGTTATTAAAAAGTAGCAATAAAATAAATTAAGATAAAATGACTTTTATTTTCTTTAGCATATCATATATTATTTTACTCAAAACATATTTTCAAATTAAAATAATAATATCATATTTTTAATATAAATATATATATATATATTATTTAAGTTCCATTTTCTTCTTTATTTGATAAATTCAGTCATTTCACAGATAATAACATATATATTTGATTATACTTAAATTCAATAATTGAAACAAAAATACTAACTTTTCATAAAATATTTTTTAATTATAATTATTTTCATCTACCATGAATATATAGACATTAATCATTGATTAGAGTTTTAAGAAATTTAACTATTTAAATTACTATAAGTTTTAGTATAAATAGTTTAGGATAACATAATACATAAACATATAGTATATTAAATTCATGATTTTTATGTTCCTTTTTGAGTAGGTAAGTTTGAGACATTCTTACCTTCACTTAAGACAGGAGATACTTCACTAACTATTTACTTTTTGGCCTAAGTAATCCTTGTGGAGTTAATTTTATATTCCCTGGATATGATTCCTTCTTCTTTACTCATTTTTCTTCCAGCTTAAAGAGGAACATTAACAAAACACATATCCTTCTTAGATTTTAGTTTTGTCGACGTACAACCCATTTATTATAAAATAATTTATGTTTTTTTTAGTTATTTTGATAAAGAATTATATACATGAAATCTATGTTTTATCAAATTAATAGTTAAGATTCCAAAACGAGAAGAATATTGTAGTAGTTAATATATATTATAAATTATTTTCATTTTAGTTTTTGAAGAGAAAGCATATTTAGAGTGAGTAAAACAATTATCTGTTTATGAAAGCTATTATAAAATAAAATTAACTTACCATTCAACCACTATATTAAAGAGTATCTTTTTAGTAAATTATTTGTTTAATAACTAGGTCTACTCTATTTATTTATTTAAGGAGATTTAATGGAGTTGAATGAAGTCAGTTAATTTGATTTACTTGCCCAAAATTTAGCAATCATCTTCAAAAGCATAAATAATTGCTTTTCAGTATTTTTTCGAAATAACAATTATTCTTTATCCATCTGGATAATTATGCACTTAGGTATCAGTTTAACTTTAAGTTTTAACTCTTTTTTTTCCTGTCTCGTTTATTATGAGACATCTTATTTTGTAAAGGATAATTACCTATCTATATTTATACCTTTGAAGTATAAATGTTATAGAGCTGTCTAAGCGGAAATCCTTTTATTAGGATCAAGAGTCAACATCTAATCTATGAGATTGACTAAAAGGGGAGACATTTTCCTTTCAAGTAATGAATGTAAGATCTTGGGAAAATTCTCGTTATTGATCAATTTAGAGTAATTTTTTAATGTTGTCACTCCTTACCAAGTTTCTATTAAATTAAATATTATTCTATTACCTTCAGTAGGAGTTCCACATAATTTTAAAATTTATTGAAAACTATTGGCTTCAGACTATCCCTTGAAGGGATTGCTTCTAAAGAGAAGTTCGATAAACAAAACCCCTGCTGACCAAACATCAACCTTAGAGCAGTATTTTTAACCTAATATTAGTCATTTAATAAACCAAGGAACACTTCTGGAGCCCTATATTGATGATTTTATATTCTGGTGGTTTGAGGCTTGAATTTTTTTAAATTTTGAGCCATTCCCAAATCACAAATTTTAATTGTTAAATTTTTGTGTAAAATATTGTTAGCTAAAATAGTTTTAAACCATTTTACGTTTAAGGTCTCTATGTATTATACCAAGATCATGTAAATAAGCTAAACCTTTTAACACTTAAAACATAATCTACTTGGCTTAGACCTCAGTGAAGATGTCTCTTCTCATAGCTGTAAGTAAATCTTCTTCCATATATTCCATTATTATGTATGTCTTTCTATTTTAATAAGCTAATTCTTTAAATAACACTATTTAATCACAATGAAGAGATCTAAGTATTTCAATCTCTCTTAATGCTTAAGCATTTATCTTATATAGAATAATATATCAAACCCCTTAATCATTAATACGATGGGATAATTCTTTGATGGCAACTGTCTCTCTGGTGTGCATATTCACACCTTGATATACAGTTCTAAGATTAAAATGATCAATTTACCCATAATCACCATACCCAATATTCTTTTGTATAATAAACTTTGATTTTAACTCTTTGGTTTACATAGAAGAAGAAGATATTCGTTAGAAAGTGAAATTCTAAATCATTGAAAAAAGGAATATATTAATTTATATTTATAATAAATATCAGATGTTTAATCATTCTATTTTTTGGACTCTATCAACCTAAATAAAGACTATATTCATGGAATTACTAAAAATTCCTATAAATTTTTGGTTCAAAATAAACACACTATAAAATTATCACATAAATAATATAATCAACTTTTATAGCATTCAAATTCATCACCAACTTTCACTTCAACATTTGATATTATTGATAATCCACAATCTTTTCCAGATTCTATACGATCAACTTCTTCTTTAAAATGTTTTAAATTGGCAATTTCAAGATCAGCTGCAACAACCTTACCTCCTCTCAATAATCTTACTCTACACTTTTTATTCAAAACTCCATGAGTAACAGTTAAACCATAAATCTTTCTAGATTAACCTTTGAGTTTCACATCGAATATATTTTATACTTTAGCTGTTCCAATTACACTAACCTTAGCATTTCTAGGAGCAGTTACTAAAGTTTTTAAGTCATCAATTAAATGATAAATAATTTAATGTTAGATTATATCTATTTTATCTTATTAAGCTTATCTAATGATATCATTTGAAACATTTGAATTTAATGTGACTATTGTTGCACCAAATAATTAAGCATCTTTAAAATCCTTTTAGGTAACATCTCCAACTCCTTATGAAAGTATCAATATTTCAGCATTCTCCTTTTCCTTTAATTAATTCACTAATTTTATAAGGGTCTCCAAAGTTCCAAAATCTTAACCTTTTATCACTAATTTTAACACTTATGTATCTGGTGCAAGATTAATCATTTAAGAAGAGAATAATTCATGTTATCTTAATTTTTCTACTAAAGCTTCTTTCATTTCTGGATCCTCAGTTGATTCAATTTCTTCTCTTAACATATTTTAAATTTCCTTATATTTTTCTATAAGATGTTTAGTATCACCATAAACATCTCTTTTTTCATGTTTATTTTGAAATTTAATCTTACCAAATGATCCATCAATAATTTCTGCATTTTATAATAATTTCATCTCTGCTTCTTTTTTTCTTTTATTTACAATCAATTAAGCTATTAATTCATTTTTAGCTACAAAAAATTTAGAACCACTCTAAGGAATATCCTTTAATCCTATCTAAAAATTATATAAAATTCATTAAATACAATTTCAATTGCACTTGAAGGTCCTGCTATTTACAAAAGGTTTGATCTATCATCCCTCATTATTCTAATTTTTCCATATTAATTGCCAACTACAATTAAATCATTTATTTTGAGACTTCCTTTTTATACTATTATTGTAGATCCTCTTTCTTCAGTCAATTCTGCTTATCTTGCTTCTAGAACAACTCCTTAAGCAGGTACCTAAGGATCAGCCTTTAATTCTAATAGCTCTCCTTAAAATTGTATTAATTCTAATAGTAAATCAATATTCTTTCCAGTTTTTGCACTTATATGTACAACTGGAATATTTCCTCCTTAAGTTTCTAAATCTAGACCACATTCTAATAATTCTAATTCAATATCTTCTGGATTTACATTAGGAACATCAATTTTATTGATAGCAACAATAATAGGGATATTTAATTAAGAAGCAATTTAGATTACTTCTTTAGTTTATGGTTAAACTCCATCAGCTGCAGATACAACCAAAATAATTATATCAGTAAACTCAGCTCCTCTCTATCTCATATTAGAAAATGCCTCATGTCCTGGAGTATCAATAAATGTGATTTAATTCTCTCCAACTTTTACATGAAAAGCACCAATTTTTTATGTTATACCTCCTACTTCTCCTTCAGCTATATTTGAATTTCTTAGTCTGTCTAATAATGTAGTTTTTCCATGATCTACATGCCCCATGATAGTTACAATTGGAGGTCTTGTAATTGGATTTTCTTTGTAAGAGCTTAAATTATATAATGGTAAAATGGGTTCAATAAGATCTTTAGTTATTTTAGTATAATTAACAGGTTATTTAGAAAATTGATTTATTGTTCTGATTAGTTCTTTTTAGTCAATATCAGTCAAGATAGAGAGTTATTAGATTGAAAGCTAATCAGAGAGGGCTATGTTTTTTAAAACCATTTTTGTAGGTATGTTATCTGGGTTTGAATATTTAAAGATTTGTTATTAGGAATCTTAAATGGCTTAGGCAAACCTATAACAGAACTTTCTAAAAATAATCATAATTAAATTTTATTACAATAGAACTTCAATATTTGGATAGTGTTATAAAAAATAAGAATAAATCATAACTTGTTTAATAATAATTTCATTAAATCATAATTAATATTGCTAGACTGATGATTTAAATTAGAGGGGCATAGCAAAGTTCACAACTTCCGCTATCCAATTCAACGTTATTCCATGTTGCAAAATTCAATGTATTTAAACTACATGTGAATGGTGATAAATCAGATAAAGAAGCATCCCTACATTTAGCTGGCTTTTCTGAATAATCAACGTAACATGGTTAAATATATGTAGAATTGTTATTTCTAGATAAAAATAAGGTACATTCAGAAGTAGGTTTATTATCACAAGTAGCTGAAACACATGTTTAATTATTCAATATCCAAGTACAATATAAATTATAAGTTTAGCATTAAGTTTATGAATCTAATAGTGTGCAATTAAAATCTTAACATTATGTATTTTCCCATAAGCATAATTAACCTTAACCAGAATATAAGCATTCTGATTATGTTGTGTATTAAGAACAAGGATTAGTAGTTAAACTATAGCATTCCTTTGCTGTTGAATTATACATTCCACAATAAGATGATTATGATTCACACTATGATGTGGATGTTGAATTTAATGAACTACAATTTGTTAAATCTAAACAGCTTGAATTCTAAGCATAATAAAAGCATTCTTTCTTATTCTTACATTATAATGGATAATAAAAATCACCGCAACTTTTTTTGATACAATTAGTAGTGTTCCAAATACATTATTAATTTAAAGCACATTCATATTGATTTTTATAATCAGTACAAAGACATTAGTTCTTTTGATTAACAACAATTGCAGTTGTATAAATTAAGAAAGTCAATGGGATTATAAATTATATCATTTTAAATAAATAATTTATAGTTTCTTTAATATTTTATTATATATTCACTCCATACTAGCCTTTTTACGTTCATAAATATTAAGAATAGAGATCTTTTCACCTCCCTTCTATCTACCAATTTTTACACCTCTCATCATAATTCTCATTTTTCTACCATCTACCAATTTCCTATTAAATTCAAGTTTTCTCCATTATGTCATAAATGGAAACCATTGTCTTTTAGCATATAATAAATCATTACGCTGGATTCCATACTGGTACACTATATTATCTAGCTCTATTTTAGCCTGAATCTAATCTCTTAATTGCCTTCATTCCATTTCTTAAATTACCACCAAAGGAAATTCCAAATATACGAGCTGCCACTAAATCTAATTTTTATGATGGAGTCAAATTGTCCATTTTATATGATGATCTAACAGATGGTGAAATACCAAGTCGAAAGTTAGGTAACTTAATATGAGGCATAAATATAATCTAATAATTAAAAATTATGAAAGAAAAAACAAGAAATAAATTAGTATCTTCTTTTTGTATTCAGGAAGTTTAGTATGAAGAAGTCCATTTTACTCTTTTACCATTACTCCATTCACCTTCTCTATATAATCCACTTTTTGAATAGAAAGTTCCTTATCCATGTTCTTTGCCATCAACCCAATTGCCTTTATACATTGATCCATCGGCATATGTGAAATCCCCAAATCCATGTTTTTTATCTTTCACATACTAATCATTATAATAAAACTTACATATCCATCATAACATCTACCATCTGGCCATGTAAATGTTCCATATCCATCCATTTAATTATCCTTCCATGATCCATCATATTTTCGACCATCTGGAAAATTAAACACTCCTTTTCCATTAAATTTATTATTAACAATTGAACCCTTATACCTTTGTTTTAGCTGAACTAATACTTGGATCCATCTGAAAAAACAAATTCTCCAAATCCTGTTTTATTTCCATCCACAAATTTTCCTTTAAAATTTGTTCCATCTGAAAACTTTTCTATGCCTTCCCCTTATTATTTATCATTAACCCAAAAACCTTCATATGAATATCCTAATGAAGTCACTTATTTTCCAAATCCATTTGCTTTATTCTCTTTAAATTCTCCTTCATAATAATCTCCATTCACAAAGATCAACCTTCCATAACCATCCATTTTATCATTTTTCCAAAATCCTTCATAAACACTTTTATCTTGAAAAATTGCTCTACCTTTTCCATGTCTTTTACCCAATTTCCATTAACCTAAATATATTGTTCCATCAGCAAGTAAATATGGATCTAAAAAAGCTGCACTCAATTCTTCCTCTTCGTAATTTTAACTTTCCTTCTTTAAATATTCTTTATAATTAAAGTTCCCAATTCGAAATATCAAAGAATTGATTGAAGCAGGATATTCACTTTATTTTCTATCTATTTTTGTACCATCAGGAGGAGAATGATCTACAACAATAGGGACTTCTTTTATCTATTCCATCTATGCAACTTCATCTTAAGGTTACTAATGAACAATTGCAATTTCAATAGGCTCCTAATGACTTCTCTAGCTGTCGTTTGTTATAGATACTGGAATTATAGATCTTCTCTTCCTACGCTTGAACTCTATTGATTGTTTAAACCAAATATACATCTATAAGCTCTTTGTATTTAAATAGCTTTTTAAGTGTAGTAACTGAGGAAAGATAGTTCAATTTTTGGCACAACAATTTACAATTAACCCTACGTACCGCAACATGTTCCCATTATTTAATTAAATTATGTAAATTATTAATCAAAAATAGCAACTTTTCATTCTCAACTTAACCTAACTTAGACTTAAACAATACTTTAATAATTAAAATTCTCATCATTTTTTATCCATGTTTTAATTCTAATCAATATATACCAATATTGTGTTTATGATAGAAATATATCTTAATAAAAATAATTATAAACAATAAAAACTCTTCATACACATTCTTAATACTCTTTCATAAACCTATTTCTAATTATTTATTCTTTTAATTTTGTGAATTACTGGTTTAACATTAATATATTTTATTAAAATGGAATCAGGTATAATTGATTCAGTTTAATAATTTTGTTAATTGCATATTTTTTATTACGTAATTATTTATCATATCTCATTCTTTAATTAATAGTAATTATATTAAATTAATACGTTGTATAATTAGTTTGATATAAAATTAATGGATTAATAATGAGATAAGTGAATATTATGTAGAATTTTAGTATAATTAATTCATTCCTTTTAATCCTTCAAATAAAACAGATATGTGATTGAGAATGTTTTAGAATATTTAGAAATTGTAATAATAAAAAATATCCAAATTTTGGAATTAGAAATTTAGAAATATTGACGAAATAAGATTAAAATAGATATTTTAATATATAAATAAAGTTTAACAAAATTTCATTTAACTGATTAGAAGGTTTATTTCAAAATATTTAAATTTTAAACAGCATAAAAATAATACTAGTAAAGATTTTGCATTTGATATAATCTGTTTTGGAGAATAGTATTTAGTTAAAATGAATATCTGAAATAAATTATATATATATATAAATAGATAATAAATGGCATTAATGATATTTGAAGGTATTAATTAGAAAATTAAGAAACTTAAATGGAATTAAGATTGGGAAGAATATAAATAATAAATTCTGGTACATGTCCAATTTTATGATGAAAAATCTACATTATTATATACTATTTTCTTAATATGTTTACTTTAATTCTCATTCACTTCCTTAATACATAGCTTCAATTTATTTAAGAAAATGTTCTTTGGCCTTGTGTCTCATCAATTTAAGTGTGTTACTAGTTAAACCATGAGCAATAAAGGATGTTGGTTCAATGTAAATCTTCTTAACATTTTCCATACCATTCAATTTTTCAGTTTTACCCTAATAAATAATATATTATGGATACATATTTAACCATTTCATCAATAAAATACTTATTCACTTTGTCATTTGCACACAATTCTTCAAATGTACCTTATATCCCTAATGTATTTGCTAAATCCAAGACAAATGGTTTTTCAGGGACAAGAATACCTACACAAAAGCTTTTTGTTGAATCTCCATAGACAAATACTTCTGCAATTCCTTTGACTTTCAAATATACTCCTTCTACTTTTTCAGGAGCAATGTATTCACCTTGACTTAACTTAAAAATGTTTTTAACTCTATCAATTATTTTTAAAGATCCATCAGGTCTAATCAATCCAATATCTCCAGAATGCATCCAACCATCAGCATCAATCATTTCTTTAGTTTTTTCAGGTTCTTTGTAATATCCAGCAAATAATCCATTTCCTCTTATACCTATAATTATATAAATTAATTGATTACAAATTTCTCCTCTTGGAGTAAGTCTTCCTTATTCATCTTTATCAGTGCTGAAATAATTCATTTATGGAACATCAACAACTTTAAATTCAATATTTGAGAATACACCTCCTACATGTCCACTAATAGGATCATCAGCTCTACTAATAAATGAACCTCCACATCCTTCAGTTTATCCATATCCTTCAAGGAATGGTACACATACAACACATTTCAAGAAATCTACAACTTCAGGTGACATTGGTGCAGATCCAGATAACATTAATCTAACTCTACCACCAAATGCTTCTCTTGTTTTTTTGAATACTAAATTATCCCAAACTTTATGTTAAACATGTCCTCCATTTTATAAATAATACATTTTGCTTGCTAATCCTTTTTCAAATAATGTTTTTTAATATCCTGTTACTTTATCTGCTTTTTCTTTAATTGCATTATATAATCTTCTATACAATCTTGGAACACTTACAAAAATAGTTGGTTTTACCAATTAAATATCAACATTGATTTTTTATACATCTCCACCATACATACAAATTGTACAACCAAAACCAAGTAATGCTGTTACTACAACTCTTTCTAATACATGAGGTAATGGTAGATAACTTAAATAAACATCAGTAGGATATAATTAAATTCCCTAATAAACAACTCCACCTGCTACTGTAACAAAGTTTAAATGTCTTAACATAACACCTTTAGGCATTCCTGTTGTTCCTGATGTATAACTGAATGTAAAAATGTCTTTTCCATGAACTTCTGCAAATGGATGTATTTTTTCTTTTCCAGCATTTAATACTTCTTCATAATTCAATACCTTTATTCCTTTTTCACCAAACTATTCTAATATAATTTACTATTACCTTTTAAACTATCTCTTAAGATAATTCATCAAAAGTAACAACATTTTTTAGTGCATGATATTCTTTTACTTTTAATAAAGTATCAACAATTGAATTTGATATGAATAATGTACTCATCTAAGTGTGTTCTAAAATATAAGGGATACTTTCCAATCCCAAAGTATCATATAAAGGAATCATTGTATTTCCATACAATGTATTGGCTATATCTAGAAGTAGCCATTCTTCTCTGTTCTTTGAGAATATTCCTATCATTCTTAATTCTTGTCCCTCATAAACTACTGGATTTGGAATCAAATTTAAATTCTTTATACCTGAACCAAGTTATCTAGTTTTTATTTAAGATTTTACTCTGCAACATCTCTGACTTCAATGTAAGTTTTATAAACATAATGTCTACTATTCTATCCAGTCACTACTTGTTTACCCAAACATTTATTATTTGGGAATTTACGGCAAGATCTTAAGAAAATTCCTTAAACAGTTGTTTCTCCTTCAAAGTTATCTAAGAGCTTCTCTGTATTATTTGGATTTCGATAGATATGACTTTCTCCTTCTTTCTTTTCTCCTATTGGTACTGCATAAAATTTAGTTTATCCTTAACCCATTTTTAAAGATTTAATTAATTATAAACCTTATTTATAATATATTATATGATGAGTCTTCAAATATAATTATTGTTCTCCTGTGTTTATTATATAAATTATAGTAAATCTAATGATTAAAAAATAAGCTATATCTAAGTAACAATAAATCTATGTTGGAACTCAAATTGTAGAATTCTCTTGGTTTAAATAACATGAAATAGTATATGAACAACCTACAAATCAATGGAAGTAGTTAATATTTGACAATTTTGAGTGGTTCCTAATACTCTTGCTACTGATATATTGCATAACATTTTACTTTATATACAAGGCCTTTAGTAAAAAAGCTAATATAAGAAAAGAAAGCGTAGCCAGTGATGATATGCAAAAGTATACGTGTATACTATTATTTAGTTCCGTACGTCTTAGCTCTGAATAAAATGAATTACATAAAAATGATACTACATCAAGCACTGAAAGCTCTCCAAGATAAAAAATTTTCACATAGACTTAAGATTCTGTTTAAGAAATCAAATAAATTAATAAAAGAAAGCTAACAGATATCTCTGAAGAGAAGGAACAATAAAAAAAATGGGAAAAGAATGAAACTGATAATAATATTGTTCATAGAGAAAAAAATAAAGACATTAATAAGTTAGAAGATAATGATTAATTTATTAAAAGTGACGAAAATCATAGTAATCTTAAGGCATCTCATAATATTGAATAAGATTGTGCAAAAGAATAAATTCAAAGAATTTAATTAAGATTACCAGATTGGAGTTAATATTTGGAAAATGGTAAATTTAAAAAATTGTATGCTTCTCCAACTATTATTGGTAAAGGTAGTTTTGGAGAAGTTTATAAATGCCAAAAAATAGTTGATCTTAAAGAATATGCAGTTAAAAGAATTTATTTCAAAGTTTAAAATGAAAAAAATCTAAGAGATCATCCCATATTCCGTGAAATCAATGGACTTTAAGAAATTAATCATAAAAATATTGTAAGATTTTATACAAGTTGGATTGAAGAATTAAGTGCTGAAATGATTGCAGAAAAAAGAAAATTACATGATTTAGTTAATGAAAAACAATAGGAAATATAAAATAATGTATCTATTGATTCATTTCATCCTCACATTATTGATGACATGTCATATTTAAATGATTGTGTATAATTTATTGGAGAAGGTGGAACTGAAAATGATTAATAATTATAAACTATTTCTAAAAACTCTTAGACTATACGAAGTTTACACCTCTCTGATTTCAATAGCTAAGTTTAATCTTGTATGAGAAAATTTCATTTTAATCCTAATTAAAAAGATGAATAATATTAATTATTTTTGTTATATATAGAAGTAATATATTAATAATATTATTAGATGGAATTATGTGATTAAACATTAAAAGATTTTATAGAATATGTTGATAGAAAAAAAGATTAAATAAAAATTAAAACATATTTCAAATAAATAATTGAAGGAGTTATTTATATGCATAATTAAAAATTCATTCACAGAGATTTAAAGTAAATTTTATAAAATATCCTAGACCTCAGAATATATTTATTAATTCTAGAGAAGAAGTTAAAATTGGAGATTTAGGATTATGCAATAATCCAATATTATAAGATGAAAAAGAATTAGTTTAAACTAATTTTGAATATACAAATAATATTGGAACTCCTATGTATATGGCACCAGAAGTTAAAGGAGATTAATATGGTTATGCTGCTGATATCTATGCTTTGGGAATTATATTATTTGAGATGTTATGGGAAATTAAAACTTATTAAGAAAAGTTTAAGTAAAAATTTATTCTTATTTTTTTAGATTAATATAAAATCTTACTAAAGATTATAAATTACCTCCAGAATTTTCAAAGGATTATCCTAATGAATCTAAGTTAATATTAAGAATGGTGAGTCGAAATCCTAACAACAGACCAACTGCTTTGGAGATATTCGAAACACTAAATAAATTTAATTGACAAAATTATAACAAATTCTTTCAATATCTATATATAAAATATAAAATTAATAAATATAATTTCACTAATTATGTTACTATCGAATTTAACTTGTTTTAGGTCTAGAGAAATTATTTGTATCAAAAATAGGTGCATTCAAAATAGGTGCATTCAAAATAGGCGCAAGTCTAATTGTCGATAATTATTTATTTTTAAGAACTCTATGATTTTTTGGTATAATTTAGCTCTATGCTATTTAATTTTATTCATTAAACTTTTATAAAGCTTAACCTAATTTATTATATTAAATTACTTCTTCCACTGTTAGCGTCTAAATGATGACTTTCTTAATTTATTACTTTGTCAAAAAAATGAATAGACAATAAATAAATTTTATTTTCCAATAAAGATTATCCAAAAGTATAACATATGTCCTAATGAGCTTGATTATTCTCCAAATATTTTTAACAATAAACCATAGCTTCTTAAAATTTATCTTATTTGAAATAGATTTATGCTAAGAATAGAACCTATCAATACGTTTCAATCTCATTAATATCTCCTTATCTTTATTTTTTAATTATCTGTTCAATAATTCTTCTATAAGATTCTTACAGTCATCATACTTTCTTTTTTTTTTTAACAATTAAACTTTAGTATATTTTAAGATTATACCTTGAATTGTTTTATTTTCTAAATTATTCTAATCAATTTCATTGGCTTTCTGTAAATTTTTTTAAGCATTTTCTAAGAAACCCTCTATCAAATCACATTTTGCTACGAAATATATTATAATGTCTTTAACCTAATCCTTAAAAAACATCAATAATTTGTCCATATTTTTGCTCAGTTTAATTTAATAGCTTCCTAGCATTCTATAATTAATCATTCTCTATAAAATTATTGCCTTTGATAACATTAAGGTTTACTAAGCAATTTTAACAGTTTTTTTTCTTGTTCTCCATCAAATTAATTATCTCGTAATTTCTACTAAATATATTCAATTGATTCACTGTATTTTTTATAATTATACAATATTAATCCTATTTTTTAAAACATGTTGAATTACCTTGATTTAATAAAGCATCAAAATTTTATGGATCCTATTCAAATATTTTTCTCTAAAACAATAAAGAAGAATTAAAGTAATTCATTTCTTAGAGAGCATTCACTAATTTAATATTTTTATTTACTTAAACCTACTTTAGCTTAAATATTTATAGGCTCTAATTTTAGAACTTCTCCAAAAGATTAGATTGAATTTTTATATTCTAGAGATTTTAGATAATCTCTTCCTCTTTGAAGTAGCTCCTCTAATTAATCTCTATTAATTTATTATATAGGAGGAGTAATTTATTAGTTTGGAGGACTATTTTATTAGATAGGAGGAATCATTTATTAGGGGTTCTGATTATTCTAAGGTTACATAGTTTAAAGTAATCAGGTTGTTTCAATCCTTTGTAAAATTGTAGTTCTTAATTCTTCCTTTTAATGTTAGACTAAATAGTTTATTTTTTGAGTTGAGAACACTTATAATATGTCTTTAATATTATTTGAAATTTATTTTATTTCACTGGATACATTAGGTAGTGTTCTCAACCTATTTACTAAAGAATTTAAATCTTCAAAATTAGTAATGTACTAGTATATTTCATCAATTTAATATCCACATACTACTGATTTAATAAATTTTGTTTTTTCTAAAAAACATTTCTCCAAATCATTTATTGATTCTAATATTTCTTTATAGAGTTTGTCATGAAGCATAACTTATTTTGGAATATTCTTTATTGAAATTGATTTGCAGCACATATGCTCATGTTCATGTCTACATTCGGAACAAAAAATTTTTGTCTCAATTTGGCAACTTTAATTTGTACAAAACTACTTGATTTTTTTATGATTATGTTGCGGACACTTTATCACATGTTCTTAGTTTATAAACATTTTAATAATAAAATAAATATTAAGAGTTTGAATCATTATTTTTATATTTATATGCTAATATTTTTTGAGGAAATCAAATTCTGTTTTTTATTTATTCATATTATGTAATTTTATAATATTGTTATATTATGAATCCTATTTTATATCGAGATATTTATTTATATAAAAATATTAATCAATATTATTATTGTTAATTGCAACAGGATTTAACGTTAATATAAATATATTGAGCAAAATACTTTTATTTATATTGATATATAAATAAAAATCACTGCTAATATTGATTTACATTATCAAATGATTAAATATAAACTTTACAAGTTAATGATTCTGAAATAACTATTTTAAATCTAAATAAATAAAACAGATTGCATCAAATTGATATCGATAATAAGTACTTAAACTTTCCAAATGATGACACAATTGAATACAGTAATGAAAATATTTTAAGGGCATGTATAAAAATTATAGATATTTCCTTTAAGGTAATTCATATTTTTTAGAAATATAAATCAAAGTTTTGATTATTTTTCCTTTCCTAAATATTTCTCGATTTTTTTTTATTATAGTAATTAACTATTTTTATATATAATTACAAATTTTGTATTATAATGAAATATTAATTATTAAACTAATCAGCAGTTCAATAAATTAACTGATTCTTTAATTTCTTTCTTTGATTTAATAAATTTTTATAAATGATGTTAAAAAAAATAAAAAAAAGTTTTCATTTTTCAATTAAAATTCAACAGATAGTAATTTGAAGAAGAGAACCTTGATGATTTTCCATAATGTTTTTGTTAATTAAATCTGATAAAAAGCTTGATTTTAGAATTTATGAAGTTTATATTAAAAATGAAAAAAAAACATATAATACGATAATTTTTTTTGTATTATTAGATTTACAATAATTATATTTTTTATTTAATTTCTTTAAATGGGCTCTTATACATGTTCTAAATAAGATAGTAATTTAGTTTAAAACCTAATAGGAGATTTTGACATAGCTTTATGTTAAAAACTGTAGATAAGTGGTTTAAATTAGTTAGAATAAAAATAATTTTAATATCAATCAAAATCAGAGGATATTCTTACCAAAAAGAATTTTAATTCATTTTTTCATGAAGCTAAACTTATCATCATAAAAAGAAGTCTCAAAAGAAATAATAAAAAATTAAAGTATTTATAAATTGGTTTTTATATAGAAACTTGATTAAACTATCCAAAAAATATTTATGATTTCTTTATAAATCATGAATTCCTTTGAGATTCACTATTAAAAACTAGGATAAATATTTTTTAATATTATTTTTTGTTTTGCTTAGAAATATTAAATAATATTTCAAAATATTGAATTTAATTTAAAAAGCATTCATCAACTAATCGTGTTTTCTCATTTTAGAAACTATATCAGAGAAATAGTCTAACTTTATTATAGATTATATATGAAAAACAATATCTAAATTAGCATATCTATATTATTTAATGATATTTCAACTATTTATGATTTTTTTAACAAAACATCTACTATTATGCAATATAATTATAGTATAATTGTGTTATAAAATTTCTTAAAAAATTAGTTTGAAATAAATTATATTAATGTAAATTTAAATCTATAACATAACAACTTATCTATATAGCAAAAATAATTATCTAAAGAACTTTTAATTAATTTTTATTTAAAACAATGCTTTCAGAAACAAATAATTCAGAAACAGATATTTTAATGCTTATTAAAAGTGATGAATCTTTAAATTATGGATGTCGAAAATAAGATAAAAAGCTAAATCTGCCATAAAATAAGAAACCAATTCATAAAAAATAAAAGGCCAAGCAATTCACTTTATAGGAGGATTAATTACTTCTATTGCAAGTGATTAGAATTGGAAAGAGATTTGAAGCCATTGCAAGGAATTTTCCAAGAAGATCTAAACATGAATTAAAAAATAGATATTATACTCACTTAAGAGATAGAGAAAATGAGATTTTCGATTCTAAGTAATCATTTTTCATCATTTTTTAGAAGCCTATATTATCTTTCTCAAGAGACTCCAAAGAAAAATAAGAATCCCTAAACCGATAAACATGATTTAAGATCTTAATTAGAAAATGTTGGCATGGAAGAGGAGTATAAAGTAATTTTAGAAAAATTCATTGGTCAAGTATGCGATTTGTTCTCTTTTATCAAATCTTTTCCAATATGAACTTTAAATTGATTTATAAAATATCTTCGAGTTGTATTTATTATATTATAATATCATCACTCTTTTGGGGTAATATCAATATATTCATTATTAGTTTTCTGGTTCTTAATTCATTGTTTGTTAAGTCTTCTTGGTAATATTAATATATTTCTTGAACAAATAAACCGTACAATTATTATTTATTGATATAAATTTAATTAAAAAATAGTACTAATATATTAAAATGACAAAAACTATTTAACTCCATATTTTATGTTTTAGAACAAACATTTGGAATTTTATTTGATAAATAAATCTGAAACATAAATATAAAGAAGAAATAGGATATAGAGAACTTTTTATAAAAATGAATAATTATTAATTGAGATGTATACAAGTTGAATTTTATTGTCTCCCAAAATTACTTGATTAAATGTTGAAAACGATTATTTGTTATATTAATATAATTAATTCCTAAAAATTAAGAAAGGACATATAAGGGAAATAAGTCATATTGTCTATTAAATTGCTTTCAGAGTATTTTGATGAATAAATATATAATGAAATTTTAAATATAATATATTATAAATTTTATGTAGTTATGATAATTTATTATCAATAATTTATATTAATAATTCGTTTAAAAAGGGTTCTAATCTTATTTTCTATCTTAAATTAATTTTTACATCCGGAAAAATCTTGTTTAGACGTTAATTGATATAATTATTATAAAATAAGGTTTATTCTCAATTATATTCAGATTAATACTACTACAGAATTACAAAGGTTTTAATCTAATTATACCGAAAATGGTGTTAAAAAACTGATTATATGTTGTATTGGTTGTATTTTTTTTATATTTAATTGGTCCATTTCTATAAGTGTTTATTTATATAATCAAATTTATTGATTAACATTATCAGATTATTTTTGCATTTCTTAATTATTATGAAAAATCAGCATTTTTTTATTTTCTTTATTCAATATTAATATATTAAAATTATAGAATTAATATTAACAATATTATTTTTGAGAATATAAATATATATATATATAATATACTTTATGAATTAAGAAGGATAGATTTAATAAGTTCAAGAATCTTTAATACTAAAAAAACCTTCTAGAGTTGTTAATAGATACAAACATAATTAATTACTTTATAATTATTTTGTTATTAGAGATTTCAAATCAGCTTTAGAATTAATTGAAAAACTCACTCAAGAACATGGAGATATTCATGAATATGCAAACTAGATATAAGGATATATTTATAAGATGACTGGATAACTTTCAAAATCAACTGAGGCATTCAAGAAGTTTTTATCATTTAATGAATAAGATCAAGAAGTCTTAAAAACTATAGCTAAAAATTTACAATTAGGTAATAATAAATGTAATTTATAGATGGTAGATTCNCAAGTTGAATTTTATTGTCTCCCAAAATTACTTGATTAAATGTTGAAAACGATTATTTGTTATATTAATATAATTAATTCCTAAAAATTAAGAAAGGACATATAAGGGAAATAAGTCATATTGTCTATTAAATTGCTTTCAGAGTATTTTGATGAATAAATATATAATGAAATTTTAAATATAATATATTATAAATTTTATGTAGTTATGATAATTTATTATCAATAATTTATATTAATAATTCGTTTAAAAAGGGTTCTAATCTTATTTTCTATCTTAAATTAATTTTTACATCCGGAAAAATCTTGTTTAGACGTTAATTGATATAATTATTATAAAATAAGGTTTATTCTCAATTATATTCAGATTAATACTACTACAGAATTACAAAGGTTTTAATCTAATTATACCGAAAATGGTGTTAAAAAACTGATTATATGTTGTATTGGTTGTATTTTTTTTATATTTAATTGGTCCATTTCTATAAGTGTTTATTTATATAATCAAATTTATTGATTAACATTATCAGATTATTTTTGCATTTCTTAATTATTATGAAAAATCAGCATTTTTTTATTTTCTTTATTCAATATTAATATATTAAAATTATAGAATTAATATTAACAATATTATTTTTGAGAATATAAATATATATATATATAATATACTTTATGAATTAAGAAGGATAGATTTAATAAGTTCAAGAATCTTTAATACTAAAAAAACCTTCTAGAGTTGTTAATAGATACAAACATAATTAATTACTTTATAATTATTTTGTTATTAGAGATTTCAAATCAGCTTTAGAATTAATTGAAAAACTCACTCAAGAACATGGAGATATTCATGAATATGCAAACTAGATATAAGGATATATTTATAAGATGACTGGATAACTTTCAAAATCAACTGAGGCATTCAAGAAGTTTTTATCATTTAATGAATAAGATCAAGAAGTCTTAAAAACTATAGCTAAAAATTTACAATTAGGTAATAATAAATGTAATTTATAGATGGTAGATTCAAGAGTAGTTTAGATGTTGCTTAAAAGGCATTAAATTTAAAAAAAAATGATTGGGAAGTATTTTATACTATTGGAAATTGTTATTATGCATAAAAAGATTTTGATAAAGCACTTATAAATTATAAAAGGGCATTTGAACTATCAATAAATGAAATAACATATAATAGATTAGGAAAGTTTTATTTATCATTAGAAAAGTATGATGAAGCTTTAACAGTGTATAAGACTGCTCTTAATTCATAACCACAAAATAATGAACTTAAGGCATTGCTTGGAGTATTGCTTTTGAGAATTGGTTAAACTTAAGAGGCCAAGAAATATTTAGAAAGTGTTACAGCAACAGACACAAAGTGTATATATAAATATATTATATAGCATTGTTGGGGTTAGGATCAATTATGTAGGATTAAGAAAGCTATGATGAGGCTCTTGTATATTATAGAAAGCTTATAGCAATACATCCAACATCAGCATAAGTTTGGAATAATATTGCAATGTGTTATTATGGGAAAAATGAAATTCTTCCAGCAATAATTAGTTTGAAAAGGGCAATGTATTATGATCCATTTGAATCAACAATTCATTTTAATATGGGATTAGTACATTTATATGAAAAATAATATATGTCTGCATTTCATTTCTTTTAATCAGCAATAACTTTAAATCCAGATGATTCATAATCATATATGTATTTAGGAATAGCATTAAATAAATTGAATGATTTTTAGAATGCTTGTAGATCATTTGAGAGAGCCTTAGAATTAGATAAAGACAAGTAAAATATTATTATTTATTATTTAATAGAGATTATTTAATTTATTTAAATTATTGTATAATTTTATTATAGAGAGGAGATGAATCATCATAATATGCTTAATAAATTTTTCGATATTTTTGTGATTAATATAAAGAATAAGAATAACTTTATGATAATCGTTGCAAAAAAGAAATTGTTTTAGAACTTAAATCACAAATTTATAAATATCTAAAATCATGATAAATTATTATTATATTATAAAATAATCATTTCTTAATAAATTTTAAAACCCTCATTTTTCCACTTTCAAATCCTAATAACAATACCAATTATTGATTTTAAAATTCTCTTTAAAATATTAATCTGCCTGTTAATATTTAATCATCAAATTGAATTCCTGATAAAAGTATCTTATTATTTAAATCTTAAAATTTAACTTTTGTTTCATTATTTTCCAAAGCAGCAAGCATAAATCCTTCTTCTTCCAAACCATATTAATAAAATACATGAAAAATACAATGACAAGTTTAAGAAAAACTGTAAACTAATTTATAATTATTCTCTACAACATTATCATCATAAGTATATACATAAAATCCTCTATTAGTACTAACACATAAAGTATCTTATTCTTAAAAGTTATGTAGAATTGTTGCTTATTCTATACAATCTCTTACATTTTATAATTATAAAGTCTACTTTTTGACTCCATCTATTAATCCAAAAACATCAATTTTATTTTTATTACATCTAAATATATGTTGATTAGTTTCACTCATCAATAAATCACCTTCATTTGGAAAAGAATATTAATATCTTAAGACTTTTCTAATCTTTGCATCATTAAAATGCCAAATAATTACATAAAAACAATTCTATTTACATCCTCCTGATGCAATTAGAAAATTTTAACATGGACTTATTAATATTCTATAGAGTGTCATACCTTATTTAGGACATGTAAATTGTTTATTTTTAGAATTCATACTTTTACTAGAAATAGACATAATAGAATTATCACCAAATAATACAACAAATTCATCTTTCTTATCTGCTACACAAACATATTTTAAATTTAAAAATGGTAATGGAGCAATTGGTTTAAATTCTAAATAACATTTACTATATTTCCATAATTTAATTTCATTAGGATGTACAGTAATTAAGTTTTCTGAATTTAATGGTAAAATTTATAAAATTTTAGGAGTTGATGTTGGATCATCTTCATTTGTTGCTAAATCAACTTCTACTAAGACAATATTATGAGTTGAAGAATTAGGTCTAATACTCATTTTACTATGAGATAACATACGTTTAGAAAAACGTTTTAAAGCACCAGCTAATTTATTCATATTTCTTTCCCATAAACCACCTGTTAATCTTAATGCTTTTATTTCATCTTATTATTAAGTTTATAATGATTAATTATGTTATAATTTTTATCTTTCTCTTTCATCAGCTAAAAAGAATTAATCCACAATTTCACTTATTTATCTTTATAATTCTTTTCTTTCTCTTTCTTCATTATATTACATTGCCATTTATTAATCTATTTCATCCTTAACCAAAAATTCTTAATGATGTTATTTAAATTAATCTAAATTTTAATGTCTCACTAGTTTAAGTAATCTTATCATTTTATCAAATGCTTCCTTTCTTGATGTTGAACTTAATTTAATTTTAATTTTTTATTCAGTTGTATCTTCTATAGATCTACATTCTTTTTCAACCTTTTTTAATTATTTGATTATATATTTCAAATATTTCATTCTCTTTTTTCTTTATTCACTTTTTAATACTGAAATTTCATGAGTTGTAGTTTATTGTACTCCATGTCTACGTTTAATCTTTTCTCTTATATGATTAATATACCAATCTAAACTATCTGTTTTATGATTTGGATGAACAAAATGTGCACATTCTTAACAACATAATTTTTATAATATTCTGCATTCATTTTCATGACATACAACATCTAATTTACATTCCCTATTATTTTCATGTGGAAATGGTCTTGGTCTAATATAATTAATAGTCTTTGTTTATCCATCATTCTAATCATCATCATCCTATTATAATAATCCAGCATTTTAATTATTAATATAATCTTATTCATAAGCTTTTCTCATAATTCTAATCTATTTATTTTTAATTCATAATTATGTAAATATTATGCTCTTCCTAACAAATTAATTTAATGATTTTTAATTATATTATTATTATATAATATATATATATTTATATTTCAATTTCTATAAGTGATATATTATTCATATCTTTTATTATTTCTTTAACTCTTCATCACTATCAAGTTCAATTATTTTATTTTTTTCTGTATATGACAATAATTATTCTATCAACACTTTTATTTAATATAAAATCTCAATTTTATCTGTTTTATCTATAGGTCTATTAGATTTCTCTTAACATATACTTAGTATCATAAGTAAACTATTACTAGTTTGTTTTGATTCCTCAAAAATAGTTTTTAAATCAACCAAATATTTTGAACGTTCCTAATATACTAATTCTAGCATTTTTTCAATTATTTCAGCCTCACACTATTCTATTGGATTTAAAACTGAAGTTCTACAAAAATTATTTAATTAAGTGAAACTAGTAACACTATAAAGTTCAACAAGTGGTTTCTAAATATATTAAAAATATTTCCTTAATATTGTATCAGTAGTATCAAATTTAAGATTTCCATTTCTTAATTTCATTAAATTTATTATTTATGGAAATCCTGTTTTATCCTTTATCATTTTAGAAATTACTTATTTCAAAACTATCACAATATTTACTTTAAGATTTCTATTTTATTGTCTTCTTTCTGTCATTTATTATGATGTCTCTAATAATTAATTAAATAGAGTTTTCAAACGATTAATTTATGGAGAATTCTATATTTTTAATGTTTGATTTAATAAATTTCTTATTTGAATTTAATTTACTTCTATTCCTTTCATAACTAATACTGATAATGTTGAATCAATTAAATCTTACTCTGGTATTTCTAAATATTATTTATAATATTGTAATTTCAATTCTAAAAGACCTTACTCTGCCAATGATACATTATTATATCCCAATTCTTCAGCCACTTTCTTTACTTAAACAATTGACAATATAGTTCTTTCTAGATTCTAATCTATTCTCAATTTCATCTGATCTCCTGTTAAGTATAAACAATTAATAAAGCAAGGTAAGGGAATCTATTCTTGATTACATACAGCAATTAAAATGAATATTATTCTCTCATTATGCTATAATAAATAGATTAAAGTAGGAGGTTAATTAATTTAATAGAGTTTAGTAGATATTGGATGCTAAATTTATTAATCTAATAAATATTTGAGATGATCAACATTGACTCTTGTTTTAATTCTTTTCACAACTTCATATATGATATCTTATAAAGTGTATAAATCATCTGTATGACTATCAGTAATATGACTAAGTTCATCAAGATGTGCTTATGAAAATTCAATAGTATATTCATTATTAATTATTTGGATGAAATTCACAAATTTAGGAAAAGACTTGTCATATTTAATGATAGCTAATAATTTGCCTTTTATTTTTTATTCAATTATCATTTATTCCTTCAAAAACTAATCTAATTATTTGAGTATTAATCCAAATTTAATAATGTTCTTTCTGTCAGGAATATTGTCCTCAATCTATTTGACTGCTAAAAATTCATTGATGATAGGATCCTGCATAATATCATTCATTTATTTAAAGATGTGTTTGTAGGTTGAATACATTTAATAATTAAAATTGATTTTGGATCATAGATGCCTAAATATTTTGGTCTTATTTTCTTGTTTTTATTTATATTCAATTAATATAATATATTTCTCATTATTTTTATCAAATATATAATAATCATTTCTTTTTAGGTTATGTTTTTTTTAATTTTTTAATTTCCTCATCTTCCAATTTTAATTTCTATTGTTCATTTAATGATTTATCAAATGCCATATATTTAAATACTTTACCAGAATGACTGAATGATGTACCATTAAAAGTTATTTCAACACCAACATCATGTATTCCTGTAGGTAACTCTAATTCAGGAATTTATACCACTAATTTGCTTTTATTTTTGAAAATAGCCTTTAAATTAATAAATATTATATACCTTTTAATTAACAGCCATGTTGCCATTGAAAATGAATTAAACTAAAAGAGATTCAGTATTGGCTAAATTTTCTCCATAAACACTTAAATATTGACCAGCCTTCTTGAAGAAATAATTAATTTCTTGTTCTTCAGCTTCAAAAACTTTCTAGAGTTCATCTTTCTTCTTTTATAAATCAGCCCCTTATAAATCTTTAAGAGGATCAATCTCTTATTCTTCTTAATGTATTAATTATTTCTTCTATTCTTCTGGTAATTTTTCATCTACAATAAAAGGACCTAGACGTAATACTTCAGGATCAATGTAATAGAATGTTCCAATAGGTATCCATTCAATACCAGAAAGTGTCAACAAAGCAGTGACTCCACTAGCTTTGACAGCATTAAGTAAATCTGGAGTAGGTTATTATCCACCTAAGAGCCATGATAAAGGAGGAGCAACAAAGGAATAAAACCTATCTTACTTATCCCACATGATTTCAATTAACCTTTCTCCAAAAAGAGTTTTAAAGATAACTCTTTTATTGGTTGTATCAAAAAATCCATCTCCAATTATTTTAACAGAGGCTCCACCCTCAGACATAACATTATCAGGTTGTAATTCTTTTATTTAAATATCATAAAATCTAAAAACCATAGGGTTACCAGTAAATTATTATCCATTTATACTTACATCAACATTAAAATTAAGACTATCTGTTTGTAATTAACTTACATTAGGGATTGTGCATGAGATCTTTCCTTTTTCATAAAAGCCTTCAACACACATCCAGTTTTCTTTATCTAATTCAGGATCATTGATACTAAGATCTAAAGGATTTAATGGTTTGTTAGTGCTTTATTTCATAGCAGATTTATCTTCCTTCTTCTTATTTCTTGGTTAGAATCCAACATTTAAATGTTTCATATATGATGCCGTCAAATCATCTATATTAATATTAATAATAAGTGTAGTTCCACCTTAAATAGATGCACATTTAGGATAGAGTGAAGAAATAACAATCTTTGATGAATACACTAGAAACTTCTATTCGCATTCAACGTAGACATTACCATCGAGAGTGACTTCTACAACACATTCAACTGGATATTTATCAATATGTTCTTCAAAATTTGGAGTTGTACATCTAAAACTATCTGTTAATGAATCATATTCACATCCAACTTCAGTATATTAATCCCCTAATTTGAATCTAGCACTTTATCTCCCAGTATCACAAAATCCTGTACCTATCAAACTAATAATGGTTCCTCCAGTAGAAGGTCCATGATTAGGTTTCATTGAGATAGTTCTTAAAGAAGCAAAGAAGGCTGCAGCTTATCCATTTGCATACATATTAGTAAATTTACGATCTTCTAATACTATTTTTCTTGGTAAATCTACTAATTTATCATTTTGATGGCCAAGATTACCTCCACCCCAACTCCATAGACCTCCTTTTTAATCAATTGCATATGTAGTATAATATCCACACATAACCTTACTAAATCCAGGTAATTATATTCCACTTATATCTTGCATTAATCTTTTAGGATAATAACTACTTTTCTTATCTTTATCTCCATTTCCTAATTGTCCTCTTTAATTAAATCCCCAAGTATATAATTCCCCATTAGATGTAACAGCTGCAGAATGTCCATAACCTCCTGAAATTGATATTACTTAAAAAGATGTTTCTTAAGGCAAGAATTTACCTACTCTTAATTCACTCTAATTCATTGGTTATTCAAGCTAAAAATCTATTCTTGATGGCAATTATTCTGAAACCTTTCTTCCTGTTCCTAATTAACCAAATCTAGCTTCTCCCCAACCATACAATATTCCTTATTAATCTACAGCTAATGAATGATATGCTCCACATGCAATCAACTTAATTCTGTTCTTATAAAAGTAACTTAAAAACATAGGAGATGCAGCTGTTTCAACATCCTTTCTGATTCCTAATTATCCTTCAAATCCTCTACCCCATGCAAATAGATCACCATTACTTAATGCTAAAGTATGATATTCACCACATGCAATTGTATCAACCTTTGAAATTCTTATAATCTTTTTAGGTATTGTTAATTCTATTATTCCACCATGTCCCAATGCTCCATATTCTCCATAACCATAACTATAAATATCTCCTTAATCACTTAAGAAAATTGTATGCTTTTTCCCAGTTACTATTGTTTTGATTGATCCTTTGAAATCAAATGATTATAAATTATTTGAATCTTATGAAAATGTTTAATCATATTCATCATGTTCTGGTGAATGCAATGTTGAAATTATTCTACATTTATTCATATTCTTACCCTTAATTATCTAATCCTTCTTCAATTACAAATAATTTTCTACAACCACCACATAGACTGCTAATCAATTTTCCTTTAAACAGCTTCAAGTTCTCTAAACCTCCTTAAACATCATCTGTTGTCAAAAAAACTTCTCCAAAAGTTGGAAGTTGCATTAAAATAATTTTAATTAAATGTTAAGACTTAAAGTAAGAGCAGCTAGCACCAATCCAACTCAGTTGTAGTCATTTCAATTAAATACTCTACTAATAGCATATAATAACTTATAAAGAGACTAAGAGTATTCATCAACTATTATCAATTGGTTCTAAATCAAAAATCCTGATAAAATCCTAATTTCAAAAAATACATTAGGATATCATAGAATCATGTCCTTTAAAACTAATAAATTATCACTAGTACATGATATAGTAAAATTGCAGAAAAATAATCTAGAGCATCTTTTATTAAAAACTGTCTAAGCCTAATCAATATGGTATTTATAAAGTAGCCATTATTAATATTAAATAAATTGAAGCAATCAATAAAGTTAAAGAGAAATACTATAAATTTAACAGAATCTAAAATTTTATAGCAATAATTATTTTTACCATTTTGCTTTACTTTTAAGGTTGGAAGCCATCACCTTATATTAATAACAATTTAATATTAGTTAAGTTAATGCCAAAGAAAATTGGAAAAGTTTTAAGTATTTTTTGTAAAATCAATGAGATTTTTTAGAATTCAAAGAGATATTTTCACATTTCTGATTAAATAAAGTTTACAACCTTTATTAAAAATCAAAGAGTTCTCTATCTTATTTAAGGAATAATTATATTCATCAATCAGTTTTAAAGGATAATTAGACACTTTATTTTAGATTTTTTTAATGGATCATCAAATTTACGATATAAGGATTATTCAACAAAATATATTTAAGTTTTAATTAAAAGATTTTTTGAAGTCGAATGAAATTAATAATTATAGAAGTCTAAATAGTGTTTTATTGAAATAAGAAATAAATAGTTATTATAATTATTACTATACTAATACTATTTAATTAGATTTAGAGATAAATGAAGATTAAAATCTGTTCATTTGAATTTATTTTTAATGATAAATGATTAAATAAGAGTTATTGAATTATATTTTACTAAAACTATACATCTTTATAATATTTTTTTTCATATCAGAAATAATAAGTAATTTAATAAATTGAATATAATTCAATTTCAAATTTGTGATAATTTTTGGATAAATGATAAATAATTTATAAAAATGGATAGGATATTAGTGAAATTTGGAGAAAATGGGAATAAATTGATTTATTGATATGTTTATGAGAAAGAGTTTATTTTATAACAGTAAAGTAATTAAATAAAATTTATTCATAAATAATAATAATGTCTCGCTACGTCAATTTAGTAAAAATTTAGATCATTTTTGAAAGTAAGACAAGAGTGTTCCATGCAAGCCACTTGAAGAGTTTGATATTAAAATATACAGAGAAAAACTTAATGATATATATGGAAAATCACCACTTGCATCTTAGTATACCTAACCTTCATCTCCTAAAAAGAATAATAAAATTGTGTATTGAATATATTTTATAATAGCAATCCAAGTTTTGATTTATTACAAACTAAATTAAAGGATTTTTCAAATAAAAAAAGTGCATCACCATTAAAATTAAAAGTTGATTAAGGTTCTCCAAATAGAGCTTCAGGAATGCAATAGTAGTAATCTATTAAAAAAATAAAAGAATTTCTAAGATAGGAACCTTAAATTTTACATTGCCATCAAAACAAATGAGAGTTGGATCTGTTTATAACAATTAATAGTTTAATGGTCCAATAAGTGAAGATAGAAAAATATATCCAATTAGATTTGAGACTGAAGTTTAAGAAAAATCATCTTATACTTAGAAACCGTAAGAATTAATTATAGATTTTAAGGATTACAAGTATGATACCTCTACATGAAATTATGAACATGAGAAATAAATTAGAAAATGCCTAATTAAATGTTAATTAAATAAGTTCTGCTTATACAAGTGAAATGGTTAAATTGGCTTCGGTTATCAACTCATAATTGAAAAAGAAATAAAAATGATTTATATTTAACTTATATTAATTACATTTTATATTATATTATTTTGATAACGTATATATTAATTATTTATGTATTCTACATGAAATTATAATATTAATTATGTAAGATCAATTTATTTTTATAGATTTTTCTTATTTATATAAGAATTATAAATATTATAATTAAAAATAATAAAATACTGTTTAAATAGTTATATAATTTAATATATATCTTTTAAGAGAATTTATTAGATATTATTTATTATTAATAAAATCATTTAACTATTTAAATTTAATTATTTTCAATTAAGTGATTGATTTTATATACTGCAAATAGGCCTAGTAACCCAATAGTTTAAAGTAAAATTAATGATAAAAAAGTGTTGTTATCAAAATTGCAAGAGATAAAAATTAATGCTAGGGCTGCAAATGATAAGGAATAAATAAAATACATTAAATCCACTAAATAAATATACTATTTATAACAATAACATATTACTTTAGGGAATCTCAAAGTTAAAACTGAAATTACAGTTGATGTCATTGATGAATCACAAAATCCTGTTGTGATAGAGAATACTAATATTAATATTTCATATTAAAATAAATAAGAAGCCCAAGCTACTAAACATCCAAATTAAAATATATATAATATATAAATTAGAGCACTATAATAATAATTAAAAATTTACTTTATCTTATCTTTTGATTCTCCAAGCATTCCTATTCCAAATGAACCAAATAATTCCCCAACACCAACATATAAATATCCTTATAAAACAAAGGCAGCTTAAATTGTTAATTATTTAGTCCCTGGTTGAGCAAAAAAAGGGAAGAAATAAATATATAAAAATGATTAAATGCTGGCAATAAAACATAATAAGAATAGAACCCATGAAAAACCATCCTTATAGAGTTTATCTAATGTAATGTAGAGTTTTGAAAAGTAAGATCGATTTTAATATTCATCAATACATATAAAATTTGAGCAATTTTAATTGCTTTAAGAAGATTCTAATAGTTCAATTAAGCTTCTCTCTTCAATTGAAAAACACTATAATGTCAATATTGATTTTGTATTCGAATTTTACAATAGTTGAGATGTAAATAAATGTAAGTCTGTTTACTATTGTTTTTCATTACATTTATCATTTTATTGTGTATTATAAAATGTGTTATTTACATCATTATCATCACATTCTGAATTTGATGATTTTAGTAATAGTTCTCTTATATCTTATTAATTAGAATCCATTTTTGATTGCTTTTATGATTTTTAATTATAAAATTGAATTAATGTTTTCTAAAAACTATAATATCTTCCATTATAATTCTCTGGAATAGTAAGATATATTAAACTTATTGAGAATTACATAATTATAAGAATTCCAAAAACTTTAGATATAGTATTTCTAGTATTCATATTATCATATGTTATAAATATCTCGCCTATTAGACTTCCAAGTAGCCATTAAAGAGAATGTCTATTTAAATAGAACCATGGATTACATTAAAAAAAATGAACCATAATATATAACTTTTTCTCTACTTTTTGCTAAATTAGATAGGTAGAATAACATAACAAATAAAAGTAAAGATTACATTAAACCAGCTATTATTGAAACTACAAATGCACAACAATATATCAATAATGTGTTGCAACCTGAATTTCCTGAGTCTTTACAAAGACTAGCATATAAAGCTGGGGTCAAAAATAATATAGGTCCAAGTGACGCAATTAGGAAAATAAACTTGAATTTCATTCTGCCAATAATATCAGGTATTAAAGGAAGACTCAAAGGTCCAACCATTTCAAATAGAAACCATCTATAATATCTTTAAATATTCAATTACTGAAAATTAGCTAAATTTAAGGAACGATAGTTTAATACTGAAAAGTTATCTGAAAATGAATAGATGTATGTGCAAGTTAGAAAAAATTTACCACAAATGTTAAATGATCCAAAAAGCAAATAAATAAGGCAGACATAAATAACTAACCAAAGAGTGTTAGATGATGACTGTTCTCTAATCTTCAAATTTTTCTTATAATTTAAAAATTCTGATTTATTCATAATTTAATTAACAATAAATAAAGTGATATTAACAATTATTATTTTTTAGAATTCTTGTTGTAATTTAAGAAACTCTAATTTACACAAATAATAAATTAATATATTTTCAATATTTATCTATCTTGACTATAATGATAATTTATATAAATTTATTGAATTGATTTATTTTACATAGAATTTTTAAAATAATTATCAAATTCAAATAATGATTATTTTAAAGTCTTTGAAATGATTGTTAAAGATAATAATAAGAATAATGATTAAAGACTTAATTAAAGTATAGATTAAATTTCAAAGATACAATCACTTTTACTTTTATTTTTAATGTATATCTGATTCAATTATCTCATCTTCAATTAATGCATTTCGCATAGAGATTTATTAAGTTGAACTATCAAACATGTCTTAACTTAAAGCCAAGCTAAAGGAAGGAAAATAAGATCTTTGTAATGAATTGATTAATCTATTATCATCATTTTAATGATAACTATTTTCTAATTCTTATTTGTAAATTTTAGCTTAAAATGGATAAGGTTGATTTGCATGATCTATAGTTTATTCAACTTCAAATTCATCAATATCATTTTAATGACTTTTAGTAGTGGCAAATGATCCTCCCATTTCTTTCAAAATTTATTATTAAGATAATAATTAAATAGCCTCATCTGATGATAAACGTTTATTTGGATTAACTTCTAAAAGTCCTATTAAGACTTGATTAAGTGCATTTGTATAAAAATTATGATATCCTTTATTAAAATGACATTTTTTATTTTATTATAGTAAATCTTTAGTTTTGTCAGATTCAAATAATGGTTATCTATTCATTCTAAATGATTATTAAAATAATAATACAATCTATAGAGAATAACTCCAATTCCAAACATATCTACTTTAGAAGTAAACCTAAATTTTTATCCTTATTTATTTTCATCATATTACAAAATCTCAGGAGCTATATAACCTGGTGTACCACAAACAGCAAATGAAACAGGTTAAATATTTGAAATTGCTAATCCAAAGTCAATTAATTTAAGGGAACTTATGACATTTGGTTTACAAAAAACAATATTTTCTAATTTGATGTCTCTATGGATATAATTTTCAGAATGAAATGAATTGATACCCTGTAATAGTTACTAGTAAGTTAATATTCAAACTTACCAGCAATATAATCCTTATTGAAATATCTGGAATGTGATCAGTTTATAATTTTAAAAATTTGTGCAAAGTTTCACCTTCTAAATATTCAAAAACAAGATAATATGTTTATTCTCCTTCAAAAATATTAATCAATTTAACAATATTTTTATGATTTTGAATTGATCTTAATATATTTATTTCATTAAATAGTCTATTCAGTCTATCAGGTGTTTTTTTTTTTGTAATATAATCTTTGCTTATGCATTTAGCAGCATATTTTTTTTTGGTTTATATATCTGTTATTAAAAGAACTTTGCATGAGGCTCCAGAACCTATTTATTCGTTGGATGTATAGAAGTTAGAAATGCTATTAAAAAATATTCGATTATTTAGTATGGCTTTTAATTGTAACAAATCTGAAGGTTAACCATAAAACCATTTGCATGAATTTTAATATTTTAGACCAAATGCTAATAAAATCCCTTGATCATTCACTTTCCAACTTATTTTATTTTGCAAATTTATTTCCAGCTCATACTTTGCTGGCCGATCCTATTAAAAATTAAAAATTAAGATTGTACTTCTAATCCAATAAATAATTTCTCTTCCTAGATCTACAACTTGTATGTCTAATTCAACAGAAAGTGTTTTCGAATGACTTAGCAGCTGTAAATCATCTTAAATTAATTAAAGTATATAAGAAACTATAAAATAATTGTAAATTATAATAAATGCACCATTTCTCACATCTTATTTATTTTTCTATTAAAAAATCTATTTCCATATTAAAATCTCATAAACTTAGCATATTATTAAGATCTATAAATTAAATTAAAGACATCCTTTATTTTTAATATAATGAAATAATATCAAATTCATAATTTTTGTAAATTCTTATATATATATATATATATACTATCACTGAATTTGTAAGATGTGAAGTAAATAATTAAGATTGTAATTGTAATATTGTTAAAATATAATAAAATTGAATAGTAAAATACATACAATATATTTTAGGGATGATAATATCAATATATATATTTTAGATTTCATGAATAGTTTAATTACTGATTGTCAAATTATTTATATATTATATATTAGTATTTAATAAATAATACATAATAAAAATTAGTATTAGAGTATAATGGAAGGTTATTTATTGAAATGGGTTAATCCATTTTAACGATGGTAAAAACGATATTTTATACTTAATGATAATATACTTACCTATTGTGATCAACCAGGAGGCAGATCAAAAGGACAGATACATCTTAAAGTAGCAGGAATAAATGAAAGTAAGGATGATACTTTAAGAATTATTATTAATACAGGAACAGGTTAGATTTTATTGAAAGCAGCAAATATTGATGAAAAAAATAAGTGGTTGATTGCATTAAAGAAAAATTAGGAGTATTGTTAAAGACATTAAGTGTTTAATTATGGTTAAAGAATTTAAGAACTTTTAACAGATATATGGAGCAATTTTGCATTATTTGATGAATAATTGACATACCTTCAAGAAAAGGCTACTTTAAGCATGTATAAAGAAATCAGTAACATTATTGATATAGGATAATACTTAAAAAATGGAATTACCTTATGTTGTACATTAATAGAAGAAGAAAAAATAAAATTATATGGGGAATCTGATACAATATATGAGAGTTTTGATTTTGAGAATGAAATTCCATTAAATACTTAAACATCTAATTATACAATAAGATAAGAAGAATACAAATAAAATTAATTAGAAAATATGAACTCCCATCAATTTTTAGAAACTATCAAACTATTGAATCCAATCAAATATAATAATATTAAATACAATAGAGTTTATTCTAGATTAAGTATCACTAATGAAGCAACAAGGAAATGTTTACCTTACAAATAAGATCCAGATGAGAAGTTTGCATTCTGGCCATTTTTAAAAGAGTGTATAGGAAAGGATCTTACTAGAATACCAATGCCACGTATACTTATGAAAGTCTAATTTAGTATTANACTATCACTGAATTTGTAAGATGTGAAGTAAATAATTAAGATTGTAATTGTAATATTGTTAAAATATAATAAAATTGAATAGTAAAATACATACAATATATTTTAGGGATGATAATATCAATATATATATTTTAGATTTCATGAATAGTTTAATTACTGATTGTCAAATTATTTATATATTATATATTAGTATTTAATAAATAATACATAATAAAAATTAGTATTAGAGTATAATGGAAGGTTATTTATTGAAATGGGTTAATCCATTTTAACGATGGTAAAAACGATATTTTATACTTAATGATAATATACTTACCTATTGTGATCAACCAGGAGGCAGATCAAAAGGACAGATACATCTTAAAGTAGCAGGAATAAATGAAAGTAAGGATGATACTTTAAGAATTATTATTAATACAGGAACAGGTTAGATTTTATTGAAAGCAGCAAATATTGATGAAAAAAATAAGTGGTTGATTGCATTAAAGAAAAATTAGGAGTATTGTTAAAGACATTAAGTGTTTAATTATGGTTAAAGAATTTAAGAACTTTTAACAGATATATGGAGCAATTTTGCATTATTTGATGAATAATTGACATACCTTCAAGAAAAGGCTACTTTAAGCATGTATAAAGAAATCAGTAACATTATTGATATAGGATAATACTTAAAAAATGGAATTACCTTATGTTGTACATTAATAGAAGAAGAAAAAATAAAATTATATGGGGAATCTGATACAATATATGAGAGTTTTGATTTTGAGAATGAAATTCCATTAAATACTTAAACATCTAATTATACAATAAGATAAGAAGAATACAAATAAAATTAATTAGAAAATATGAACTCCCATCAATTTTTAGAAACTATCAAACTATTGAATCCAATCAAATATAATAATATTAAATACAATAGAGTTTATTCTAGATTAAGTATCACTAATGAAGCAACAAGGAAATGTTTACCTTACAAATAAGATCCAGATGAGAAGTTTGCATTCTGGCCATTTTTAAAAGAGTGTATAGGAAAGGATCTTACTAGAATACCAATGCCACGTATACTTATGAAAGTCTAATTTAGTATTATTTCATCAGCCTTTATCTGCTTTATAGTTTTTTGCAGCTTCATTTGAATATTATGATACATTAAAATAGGCAGCAAAGGCAGAAGATCCATATAAAAGAATGGCATATCTGATAGTTTTTTCATTAGTAAGATGTATACTTGGAATAGATTGTTAAAAGAAATTCTTCAATCCAGTTTTAGGTGAAACTTATGAATATTTTACTCCTGAATATAAAGTAATTAGTGAATAAGTATGTCATCATCCTCCAATTACAGCTGTTCATTGTGAAAGTGAAGATTTCATATTATCAATTACAATGGAAGCTACAGTAGGTTTTTCTGGAACTAGTATCAAGGCTAAATTACCTGGTTTAGTTCATTTTAGAAATAAAAAAACAAATGAACATATGACTTATTCATTTCCTAGTATAGCTGTTAAGAATTTATTATTTGGCAAAATGTATTTTGAATAAGTAGGTGAAGCTATTTATACTAATCACACTACTGGAGATGTTGGAATTTTAACTTTGAAGGAAAGAACTAGTGAAAAAGTTTAAAATTTGTTAATATATATAGGATGCTCATTAAGTTAAAGCAATAATAAAAGATAGAAATGGCAATATTAGATGTTAATTAAGTGGTTATTTTAATAAAGAAATTTATGCAAATAATGAATTAATTTGGAAAAGAAATTATGTTGATCCAGAAAGTAGATGGTATTACTTTTATTCTCATCATATTTTATAATTAAATCATATAAATGAAGAAATTTTAAGAGTATAAATCTATTATTATTATTATATAAAGAATATACCATAGACTGATAGTAGAATGAGATCAGATATGAGAGCATTAGAATGTGGATTCAAAGATCTAGGTTAAGAAGAAAAAGTAAGAATAGAAGAAAAGTAAAGAGAAAGAAGGAAAATTATGGAAGAAAAGAAACAATAACATATACCAAGATTCTTTAAGGAAGAATATGATTCATTTTCTAAGAGAAACTAATGGGTTTATTTATATAATTATGAGAAAGAGAAACATTTAATAGATTTAGATTTATTTTGATTTTATTATTATTTAATATTTATAGAGATATTAATTCTCTTAATTTATATATTCATATTATATTAGGAAATATTAAATTCTAAAATTATAAATCACTTTTAATAGTAATTATATATTCATTCCCAATCAGAATCTATTGATTTTTATGTTTTAATATCTTCTTCACATATATTAGCCTCTGAAGTAAATTTAGTATAGACACCTCTTACAAAATCTGCAATTGATAAGATTTTCTTATTATTTCCAGTATTTTAAGTATCCCAATACTTCATCTAATGATATAAATTTATATCTTCCTCTCTAAAATTTCCAGGTGGATCTTCTGATTGTTTATCAAATTGAAAAATCTTATATTTCTATCATTAAATTAATTATATTACTTCATAATTTTTATCGAATACATTTCCTGAAGTTAATAAGAAATCAGCAAAATCTACTTCACTTTATTTCCTTTAATGAATCTCTATATCTTCTTATATCTCTTTTAATCTATTTTCTATTTTTATTAGTGGATCAGAAATAATAGGAATATTGTTATTTTATTGTTTTTCTAAATCTTTTTATGATTCAATAACAGAATTTTCTAATTCAATACTATGCTACGATATTCTTTTTGATTCATTTTCATTCATATCTAAATTTTTCTTTTCCTGTTTAGGTGATTTAATTATAATAGGATGTTCTAATTATTAATTAGTATTAGGTAAAACTGCTTAACTTTAAGAATCTAATAATATTACTTACTTTGGTTATTTAGAAATAATTGATTGTGTTTAAATAGATGATTTAAATTCATTTTTTCCTTATTTTTTTGATTAATGTTGTTATACTTAATATTATTATTATTATTATTATTATTATTATTATTATTATTATTATTATTATTATTATTATTATTCCATTTTTTTAGTTTATAAATATTCTCTACTCTAATCATTATAGTCTTCTGAATTATATTAAAATTACTCTTATCTTTCTTTTGTCTTCTATATTCTTTCTTCTAATTCTCTAATTTGTTGTTTCATCTTATCTCTTTGTCTTTGTTCTACTTCATCCAAATCATTTTCATTCTATTGAATTATTTATTCTATTCTATCTAAATCTGATAAAGACATCTAAGATTATTGTCTACTAATTTTATTCGATCTTATTCCATCTGATTTTTTTACTGATTGTATACTTTAATTTGTTTTAGAATTTAATTGTTATTAGTTTTATTATTTTTGTCTTGATTAATTTTTATTTTTCATTTACTTTTTGTCAAATTTAATTTATTCTTCATTTTCTTCTTCATAATCCTCTTCATCATCATCATAATTAATTAAAGAAATTTCATTATTAATAGATTATTACTAAGGATATGAGAATTATGATATAGCACAACTTTCATTAACTTACAGATGTTATTACAAATCTTAAATATCAATTTATTTTAGGAATTCTTTATGAGAATAGTTTTTATTATCTATTGAATCATTTAAAACTATTTCTTCATTCTTTTAAATTGTTATATCTTCAATTTAATGTTCAACATTTATACTTGAATGACTTTAATCTTATTAATTAGATATTTTTCTATTATACTCATCTTAATATTACAAGACTAAATATTAATTTGATTGTTGTAATTATTAATATCTAGTAATTTTTTATATACTAGATAAAGAGTCTTGAGATCTTTATGTTTCACAAATACTACCAACACGATTAAACTTGGATCTATTTAGTGCTAATTCTAATTTCTTTTAATGATCAGAATTTTCATTTAAATGAATATTTTCAACTTAAATTGATTATTACTATTGTTTTCTTGTCAAAATTATTTATTATCCTTTAGAAATTTTTTTATAATCTTTTAATTTATATTGTGAACCATCTTTATGTAAAATATATTCATATTACTAGATATCTAATGATCTAGTAGTAATTTATTCAGGAGAATATAAAAGTGATTAAAAATCAGTAACTTTATTGATTTTAGCATAGTTTTGTTTATTTTATAGAAATTTAAGTGTAAATTTTTAATTTTTTAGTATTGAATTGTATCCTCCTACTATACTACTTGTTACTTTAATCTCGTTTTCTTAACCTTTAGTGAATGGTATATAATCAAGCATTTTAATTAATTTAATTGAATAGATAGATAGGTATTAAAATATAAAAAATACATTAATATGATCATTACTTTAGTTTACAAATATAATTAATTAATGCTATTTACAATTGACTGCTAAAATATTGAAAAATGTAAAAGGATTGCACTTACTAACACTGCTCAATTCCCTATTTTGATAAGAATCTTAGACCATAACGTCTATAACTTTATACCAACTTTTTCATTACTAAAAATAGAGGAATGTAAATATTTCCAGATACTGCATAAATAAAATTACAAGGATTTTAGAGATATTAAAATTGAAGCAATAGAGTTTGATGAACACAAACTTGATTCTTTCGTAATTTGATTATATTCTAATTGTAAGTCTGTTCCACCGTTTTGGAACGAAAAAGTACAAGGTTCCCTTAGGACATAATCTATATCACTGCCTGTTACTACTAATGTAAATAGATCTAATTCCTTCACCTCATATGAAAGGTTTCCATCTATTAATTAGACTTTTTAAGATTAGAAAATACTATAAAGTATTAATGATAATTCAATGAAACTTGACAATCAAATTCTTAAATAGAGTATTTCTAATTATGAAAGTGATTAATAAAATAATAAACATAGATTAAATTCTTAATAATCTTTATAAATTATCAATTCAATCAAAATTGCAGAAGAAAATAAAAATCAATAAAATTCAAATCAACATATTTTCAGAAATTCAACAAATAGTTTTGAATCATATCATTAAATTTAAACTAATACTGTTTAATAACCTATACAAAATGATATGAATTAGTATTTAGATCAAATTGATTCATATAATAGTCCATTATAATAATTAACTCCATCTTAATTGTAATCTTAAACACATTCTCAAAAATACATTAGTGATAATGCATAATAAGATTTAAGTTTAAGTGATACTACTTCCATTTAGAGATGTGAATTAAGAAAATTATCATTTTTACAATAAAGTAGATAGTAATTTAATGAAAAACCTAAATTAAGAGTATCATAAACCTTAATACTTCATACAAAATCAGCAATTGAAAGTTAGAAATACCTTGAAAAATCTAAGGAGATTGAATCCTAAATCTAAAAATAAATTGTAAATTATTATTATTACAATCTTAGGCAGAATTGAAAATTAGTAAAGAAGCTCTTTCTACTGAACTATAATAATTGAAATTTAAAGCTATGTTCAATTCTAAAAACAAGCAATCAATTTATCAATATAATATATACATATGGCATTTGCTATTGACTAGTGTTATATTTCTTATTATAGGAAGTATTCTGAAAAAAATGATTTCACTATTTTGATTCAATAAATATGAAGTAAAAATAATTTATTATTTGCTCTATATAATATATTTAAAGTACTATTTTAAGTTCAATATTAAAAATTTATGATAAAGTATTAAAAATCAATTAATTGATTAATTTAATACTTTATCTATTATTATTATTATTAAAATATCATAATCATTATTATTTAAGTATGAAAATAAAACAGTATAGCTAAGAATTTTAATTTAAACAAGTATTAATTCTCATTATAAAGATATAATAGTCGCAAAATTCTAAGAAATATTTGATTAAGGTAAAAATTAAGGATTTTATAATTATTTCATTTCTAAGTTATTCATTTAAATAAAGAAAATATTATAAATAAATTAATAAATAAATATTTAAATCAAAAAATAAAATACTAATCATCAAAATTAGTCAATTTTAATATTTAGCTTATAATTTCCCCCTCATAGTAAGTATGACCTGACACTTTTTTAGTAAAATTATGGTTTTTGACATTAGGATGCATACTATAAACCGGATTTAGTCCTAAGTTAATATTTTTTATATATTTACCACATGGAGTAATAGCTTTATTGTATATAGGAAGAACAAGACTTAAAATAATATCCTTTTCACTATAAACATTATGAAAGGTTCCAGAAATACATCTAAAATCCAATTATTATAATAAATTCTTATCTGCAACTCCCCCCATCATTAATACATTATGTATTAATTGGGTTTTATCTATATCTTATTCTTTTATAATTTAATCAATTATTTTAAACAATAATATACTATAACTGTTCCAAGTGAAAAGCCAATCAAATTTACAGCTTTAATTCCTAATTAATTTTAATCAAGAAAATAAGCTAAATATTTTCCCACTATTTTTGCTTCTTAAAAGGCTGTATTAAATTAACTTAATAGTTTCCCTGCACCCAAAATTGCACCTGCTGTAAATGTCACAAATGGGTCACAAAAAAGAATACTCAAACCAGTAAATTTAAAAATAGTACTTATGCATGAAGCACTCCACCCAAGGACTAATGTTTCAAGATATGAATCTTAATTGAAAGGCCAAAGCTTCTCTAAATTTTGCTTTTTTTAAGTTATAAATCCATTTACAAATATTGTTATCACATTCGATCTCAACTAACCTTTACTTAGAGATTATAAATAGAATATTTCTGGTTTTCTATATTTTTCTAAATCTTTTGGTTTTAATTATACAATTTTATTGATAAATATTGAAAAATAATTATTAAGAATTTCATCAATTTTATTTTGTGAAGCTGTAATTTAATATTAAGAGGAATAATAATAAGCTAAATTTTTTAGTTTAAAATTGGATAAAGCTTATTCATTATTACCAAAAAGTACAATTTACTCATAATTATTGAATGCTTAAAAAATAACTTTATTTTAAAATTTTAGATTTAATTATTAAACAATTTGATAGTGAATGTCTCCTATAACTTTATCAGCCAGCTTTAAAATTTAAGAATTAGTAAAATCCCATTTTCCATTATTGATTTATTCACAAAATTTCAATAAAAAAGCATGGCTTGATGATTAATATTTATCAATAAACAATGAATGATTTTAAAATTTAAATCCTGATAATAAAATAAATATCTCAACCAAAAATTAAATTGTTTATTTAGCAGTAAAATCTTCAAAAAAATATTTTTATAAATTTTAATTTTTTTAACCAAATATCTACTAAATATCATTTTCATCTAATTTAAATTAATTTAGACTAGATAACTCTAAAATAAATTTTGAAAGTCCTTATTGAACTTCTTAAAATTTTGATTTATTCAATTAATAAACAAATTAAATAAGATTTATTATATAATCTTTGTTTAGCAACCAAAACTATTGAGTAATTAAATAAGTGTGAATATAATCTGTAACTTCCTTTTTATAGTTAAATTAATTGCTATTTGTTCTTTATTATTCAATTAATTAATAAGTTAAATGTTTTTTCATTTTTTCTTCATATTTAATCAAAATCCAATTCATTGTTTTAGGTTAAGACTTATAGATATTTTAAACAAACATTAAATAATGCTATTAATATAATTTATTTAATGAACAAATATTTTAATTTTTTTCCAAAGGAATATCAATCTGTTTATATTTTATTTATTAAAGAACTGCTTTATACATAACTTATTATTTTAGTTTTGCTAATGTTCTTATTTTTTTAGCAATCATTATTTCAATTTTTTATTTATACCAAATATAATTATGTGGTGATTTCAATTTAAATTCTTTCTCAATTTAATTACATGTATCTATATATACAATACCATATTGATAAACAAAACCTTACTAATTATTTTTAAAATTTTGTATTTAGATATCAATTTCATTTATTTTCTTAACAACATATTAGGCTAAGGAGTTAATTTCATCTTCTCTTTATATACAACCAGACTCCTAATATTATAAATTGATTTTTTACTGCTGTTTCTCCAAAAATAAATTCCAGCAGTTAAATCATAAGCAATAGAAAATCCTTTAAAATAAATAATATTAAAAAAATGATTATATACTAAACTTAATTTATTCAAGTTTAACTAATAAACAAAAATATTTGATATTATAATTTATATAATTAAGCAAAATAATATTAAAGATGTTTTTTAAGTATATAAAAAATAATACTGATAATTTTTTCAACTAATCAAACAACACTTTTAATTTGTATTATCATATTTATTAAAGTTGTGCTCTTTCCAACAATCTACTAATATTATTTAATGTATTTTTTTTTCTTTCACAATTTCATCGATGAAAGTAACTTAGTGCATTTTATACCCTTTCAATATAGGATGACCTTTTTTATCAATTCTTATTCCTTCACTCAATTTCTTAGAACTCAATCTTGTTCTTGATAATTAAGGCACTTCCATTTTACAATAATTTTAAATTAAACATATTTAAGATTATTTTAAAGGAAGTCAGTTCGTATCATATAGAACTTTTGAAGTCTAAATTGCTTATTTAAAATCAAATATCTCATTTAAAAACAGATTCTTGACTGATTTTAGTTTCAATTATTTTTTGCCTTATTACTTTAATCATAAATTGATTCGATCTTATAAAAACAAAAGATTGAAAAAAAAAAAAATAAATTAAAACATAATATTTATTATAATATATCCATTGATTTCTTGATCTCTTATATTAATTCTTTCTTACTTATTTTTATTAATTGTGAGTACTTTTATTTCAATATAATAATAAATAATTGATTCACTTTAGATATTAGATTTTATTATGATTATTTAATATGTTTTGATTTCTAAGAATTAATATCATTTTATTTCAAAATTTAATATTATCTAAGAATGGATGACTTTCAAAATCAATATTATTTTATCTAATCTTTCTGTCTTTAATTTTTATTATATTTAAATTCTATTTAAACTTAAAGAAACCAAGATATTATTATTAAATTTGATAATTGTATAATGGTAAGACTTATCTAAGTTAATATTGATTTTTTTTTCATAATCTTTATTTTTTTAAAACATCTTAAATTTCTATAACTTTATTCCCTTCTGATTAATATAAAATAAAGTAAGAAAAGGATATCTATTCTTTTCAATAAATATTTTATAAAATAAGTTTACTTTTAACTTAAACTTAATTTTAAGAATCAATTTTTACTGTTGTATTATCTAAGTATCTGAATATCAATCTTTTTATTATTCTTGTATTTGGATAGAATGTAATTAATCTGAAAATAAATTAATTAATATATATATTACTTTAATGTTTAATGCTGAAAAAGGTTGGGAGATTGATGAGTCTCAATACCTTGATAATTTAATTAGTGGAAATCTTTAAAAAGCATAAGAGAAACCAAAATTTGCTATTACAAGTCATAGAGTTAGAACATTATCATAACCAAAAATTAACCCTTATAGTATTTAATCATGCAGAAAGAATTTAGTTACTAGATCATAAATTCAAACTCCAAAATAGAACTTGTAATTTAATTTTGTTATTTTGGATTAAATACTTTAAAGAAAAAGATCAAATCATCTTTCTCATCTTTCATAATTATCCTTCTCTCCTACTAAACAAGGTCTATAGTGTACATAAAATTCATTTAGAAAACATAATTCAAAGTGTAATATAGTAAATATGAGCAATTTGTTAATGAATTCTCCAAAAACAATATAGAGATCTCAAATATAATTAAGTCAAGTACTTGGTAGAGTTTATAAATGATAATTATAATATTTTTGATATGTGAAAATGAGTAAATAAGAGAAATATTTAATGATTCAATTGAACACATTGTAAAATATAAGGATTTTAATTTTATATATATATATTATATGAAAACTTCAATTCCTGTATTATCAAAGAAGCCAATAAATCTTATGAAATTGAATTGCTAAAAGATAATGAACCAAATAAATCAAGAATACGTACCTACACAAACCAATTTTCATAGTCCAATCAAACCTAAAAAGAAGAAAAACTAACATTTCACATTTGCGTTATCTACAATTGAATAATATTAAACAATTAACTACAATGATGAACCTAAGTTACCAGAAATAAGGAGATAAAGAAATGATTCTTTTACACAAGCATTTAAGTTACATGTAGACATAAAGAAATCAGAAGACAGTTAAATTCTTTCACTAGAGAAATGGTAAGGTCCAAAAAAGAGAAGTTAATCACCAGCAAGAAGATCTACAAAAATATTACCTCCTGTTAACGTTAATTATAAATAAAGAAATAGTCAAAGTTTAATGGTTTTGAGAAGTCAATAATTAGAGGAAATGAAAAAATTGTAAAGAATAATAAAAGATGTATTGACAAAATAAGACCATTAAATGAATCATCATTTTGATTCATTATAATAAGAACTCTCGGAATGAATGTATGGTATTTTTAAATACTTTCTCTTTTTAAGAAAAATCAACATATATTTATAAATAAATTATTATTATTTTACATAAGTTCATAATTTTAAATTAATATGAAAAAAACACTATTTCTATTCAATATACAATTCACTAATCCATCTTATTATGCTCATTTAATAATTTTAAATAGTCTTAATAAAATACAACTTATCAAATTGTATGTGGAATATATTGGATCATCAATCTATATTAAAGAAAATATTATATATAAACGTTTAAGTGAGGTTGAAATATATTTAATTAAAACCAACAATTATTTATTCTGTGTTAGTTGAGTATATATATATTTTTACATGTTTTGCTATCATTAAATATTAAATGTAAGATAGTGAAGCTAATAAATTATCCTAAAATCAAGAGAAAGCTAAACTATATAAAAGGAGATGGGTTGTCTTGATTTTATTCACTTTGGCTGTGTTTATGAATAGCTTACCAGGTGAAATTTATGTTCCTGCTTCAAATGAGACTTAACTAATTTATTCAGAAAGTGAAACCATGATTACTTTAGCTTAAACTAGTTATGTAATTATGCATCCAATTTTATCAATTCCTTGTTCTTAGTGTAAAAATTACAAACTAAATAATTATTAGTTATTGTGAAGTATGGATGGGCAAAGGCAACAAATATAGGTGTAGCATTGACTATAGGAGGAAGTTTAATCAAATTACTTGTTAATTAGACAGGGTAAATATATTATAGAATCATATAGATTTTTTATTATAGTTGTTGGATAAACATTAATTGGAGCAGGAAAGCCTTTTATTTTAAATGCTCAAGCATCTATGGCATAAAATTGGTTTTATCCAGAATCAAGACCATCAATTATCATAGCTTTAAATGTTCTTAATTTAATATCTAATGTCGTAACTTTAATGATACCTGGAAAATGGATTTTTAGAAACTATGACTTTTAAGACACTGAAGAATCAATTGAAGAGGGAAAAGAATTAGTCAATAAATTAAATTTAGTTTGTCTTTATATGACACTGACATTGATCCCTTGTTTTTTTTTCTTGAGAAGTGCTGCTCCTACACCACCATCTGCACTAGTCTAAAAAGAAGACAAAAAATCAAATATAAAGAAAACTATTCTTAAAATATTGTCTAATCACAATTTCTAATGTTGTTTACTGGCATATTCAGTTTACTTAGGATTAGTTAAATGCTTAGTTTTGATCTTACCTTATTTAATTAAGCCTGCAGGTTATGGAAAAGGTGAAGTATCCATAGCAGGATCAATAGCAATGGCTTCTGCTGCAATTAGTTAATCTACATTAGCTGCTTTTATATAGAAATTTAAAAATGTAAAAACCTAACTTATTAAAATCCTAATGATAATATCAACAGGTTCTTTAGGTTTATTCTACTTTTCTTTAGTAAATGGCAATTTAATTTTTATCTACTTTGCAATTGGACTTGTAGGATTCTTCATTATGCCTATTGCACCTGTTTTGATGGATATCAGTTGTGATGTTGTTTTCCCAATAAGTCCAAGCTATGCTATTGGGATAATGTATATAGGATCATAATTATTGCTTGTTATTTTCACTTAAGCTGAAGCTGTTTTGGTTGGTGGTGCAAAAAGTACTATGACTAGAGTGACAATTACATTAATTTTAGATATGGGTTTATAATTGCTTGGTTTATTTTTATTCTCATTTATCAGAATTAATAGAGGAGGAGTTACTTAATCTACTGTATATATATTATATAATTCATAGCATACTATAGCTCCTGCTGATGTATAAGAATCTTTAGTCCAAGGAAGATCTTTATTTGAAAAAGGATAAGCATTCGCTTCATCCTATGTTGGAAGTTCATTTTTTAATGCTCAATCAGCTATTGCCTTTGTTGGAACTACTCCAACTGCACCTTATACTGATTATTAAAAAGATTAAAAGTCAGGTATATTTACTTCAGAGATAGTTTAATGGCAAAATAATGAAGTTCATCAACAAGAATAGTAATGAATTTACATAACAAAGTCTTTATATTTATTATCTTCATGGTTTTTCAATGTGTTTCTATAATTATCTATCTAATTATAACTAAAAATATAATATTAATATGTAAATTTGGAATTTTTAATTTTTTTGTTAATTTATATATAAATTTTATAGAATAGCATTATGAAACATTTACATTAAAATATATAATAAAAATGAGTTATTATTATTTTAAGTGAAATCAGTTCTATTAGAAATGGATTAATCTTCTAGATTATAATAAGGAATATTGATATAATTAAGGAATGTGGCTACAAAATAATATCTGAAAGGAACCATTCATTTTGTGACAATGAAAAGTTTTTTTAGACAAAAAGAACTTGAAGAATACTATTTGGGAACAACTCAAAAAGAAGATGACTTTTATACTTACTTTATTATTTAAAAATACTTACCCACTAATAATAATTTAGAATTAGGAGATATTGTATCAATATAAAACTATGGATAAGTGTAATATGTGAATCTAAATTCAAAAAGATAATCAGAAGTTACCAAATAATGTTATGCCTATTTAGGTGAAGAAAAACATTATTTTGTTATTCAATCTGATAATGATATATTTACTAATAATTGTTAAACCATCGAAACTTCCATAACCAATAAATATTTAAGATTTACATCTATAGATAATGGATATAGTTTGCATTCTCATCCTAAAGCTTATAAAGCCTAACATGTGTCATAATATAATGAAGTGTCAGGATATAAAAATTGTGATGAAAATACTTTATGGGAAATTCTTCCTGTTAAACAAAATTAAATCAAGGGTTTTATACATAAGGTTTAAACTTATCAACTAATTCAAATCTATTGTGGAGATATTATAATAATTAGAAATCTTAAGACTGGATGGACTCTACATTCTCATACAACATGTTACAAATCAACAAAATTATAAGAAGTCTCTCTCTTCAGTTATCCAAGAGATAGTACTATTTATAAATATTATAATAGATAATGATTTTTGGATTATTACAAAGTCAAACTTAAAAGATATAGATGATGGAATATTAAAAAAAAATGATGAAATTATACTACAACATTATTAAACTAATAGGTTTCTTTAATGTTCAAATTTTTAATCATACAGCTAATCAGGACTTTAAGTTTATGGATCAGATAGCAAACCTATGACAGGATTTTTGTTTGAATGTATAAAAATTATTAAATTTAGAATTTGATAACTTTCCTTTGAGAGTCAATCACCCATTTGTAATTAAAAATAGTACAAATAACCTTTACTTATCATGTTCTAATTTTTAAACAGAGAGTAAAATAGGAACATAACAAGAGGCTGTTTTTGTATAAAAAATTAATGATTAATGTCTATGGGTAGTAGAATTTAGAAAACAATGAGTTTATTATTTCAATTTAATAAATTAGAGGATTTTTTAATTTATTTTTTTATAAATGAATGTTCATTTTTTTTTATTCTCAATTTTTTCCAAATATCTAAACTAATAATTTTAGCAATTCTAAAAATAGTATTATTATGTCAATGTACAAAATGAGTGCCCCAATTATGTAATCATCTTTTTAAAGAGAATGTCTCTGTTAATATTATAGAAAATAAATACCTTTGAACCAACTATCAATTAAGTATCAACAATGATGTAAATGGAATACAAAAATATTGCCAAAATTGAATAGATAATTTATATTAATCGGCTTGGAAATAACAAAGAGAAAATAAAAAGCATTAATAAGCATATAGCTAAAGACCAAAGTAAACCTGTGCAAATTGTAAAATCCTCTTTTGTTGTGCATGCATACATAGTTAATCCCATAGTCATTAAGACGGTCATAGATAATGCAATAATTATTAGGTCGACTAATATAATTATAATTCTAATACTTCCATTTGAATAATCTGTTGCAACTGAGCAGCAAATAACTGAGACCACATATGCTTCACATAAAGTAAAGAAGCTTAATAAAATATAATTTTTTGGGGCTTTTCTTGCGTTTTACTTACAACAAAGGAGACAGCACATTAACACTATGGCTGTTATGGCAGCAATCACAAATAGCCAAATTTGTGTTACTTCAAATTCTCTTATAGCTGGTTAAGTAATTGACACTATTGTAAGTAATGCTGTGAATAATAATTGCATGGACAAGATAGAATACACCTATAATTCATAAGTCTAAAAACGTACTTTTTAAATGAATCCTAATCTACTGGTCAAAGAAGAATCTACTTCAGGGGCCTCATTGTAGTGATCATTTTTTTCTAAAATTCTTTATGTCTCTTCATCTCTTTACTACATTGAATTAAAAGAGTTTAATAAAAAATATTGAGTTTTAAAGTCTAATTCAATATATTTATTATGATATTTTAATTTCTATCGAAAATTATTATGATTGGTGACCAAGTTTCTCTTAAATTAATTATAATGATTTTGCTTTATTTTCATCAAGATCTAGACTTCTACATTTAAACGAGTATCATTTAAAATTATTATATATTTATATATCAATTATTTATGTTAGGAGAAAACATGATTTTCAAAATCATATATATTTGATATTTTAATGATGAACAATTTTCTGAAATTTCAATTAAACTTTTTCTTTAATCTAATTTGATAGATAAAACAATCATAGAAAAATATATAATGTAATTAATACTTACTCGAATTTCATAATTATTAATAATCAAATCAAATGAATGATGGAGATAATAGCAAAATATTTTCCAAGAAATTAAATCCTGGAACAGTTATTGCAGGCAAATATAAATTGTTGGAGAAAATTGGTGCAGGATCTTTTGGAATGGTCTTTAAAACTTAAAACCTAAAAAATGGAGAATTAATTGCAACTAAATTTGAGAAAAGGGATGAAAGTTAAAAAGGTGTAAGTTTATTAATTAGAGAAATCAAAGTATTATAAGATGTTAAAGGTTTGAAAGGTATTATTTTATTAAATTTAAAGGTTTTCCATAATTAAAATTCTATGGTAGAGACGACCATTACAACTTCTTTATGGAATCTTATTTAGGAATGAATTTAGAATAACTAATGAGAAAATGTAATGGAAAGTTTACATAAAATACTGTTTTGAAGATTGGTCTATAATTGTTAGAAAGAGTATAAGGTATTAAAAATATAAAATAGTAGCCTTTCATGAAAAAAACCTAATTCATAGAGATATCAAACCAGAAAATTTTACGATTGGTCGGCAAGATAATAGCCAAATTTACGTTATTGATTTTGGATTATCTAAGTATTATAGGGACAGTAATGGTAAACATATCCCATTTACAAGTAATAAAGGATTGATTGGCACAGCTAGATATGCTAGTGTGAATGCATTAATAGGTTTTATATACAATAGATATAGCTCTTAGGAAATGAGTAATCCAGAAGAGATGATATTGAATCATTAGCTTATGTACTTATTTATTTCTATTTGGGGGAATTGCCTTGGTAAAATATTTAAGTAGTTAACAAAGAAGATAAATATAAGAAAATACTATAAATGAAATAAAATAATTCTTTGGATAAATTAAATGACTTATTACCTAAAGTATACATCATTAATTTATTAAGTCTCTAGTAAAGATGCTGAAAATATCTAAGTAATACGAATTCCAATAGACTCCTGATTATGTTGGATTAAAAAAACTCTTATAAGATGATTTAATTATAGATTCTAAATTTGATTGGGAAAAAATACAAGGTCTTTTTTCAGAAAAAAACAATTTGAGCATATCAATTGATGTCTAATCAAATACGAATTAATTTGAAGATTTAATTGATTTATAACCTGGTTTGGAAAATTCGATGTGCAAAGTGACATAATAAGAAACTAAATTTATAAATGGTAGATTAGATAATAGTCGGAAAAATATAATATATTTAGAAGTTCCCAAAAGAAACTCTACAATTCTTGAGGGAGCATCTAGTCCAGGAGGAACAATAGCTTCTTTTAATACTTCTAAAATGAATCATTATGAAGGATCAAATAGAAATCTAGCTTCTTATAAATAATTTATTGATGTTTAAGTCTAATCTTTAGAAAATGATTATGATGATGATTATACACCAAATCAAGATGATTCACCTTGTCTATATGTTAGAAACTTTGTAATAGGCTCTAAATATAAGGATCATCATTGAATTTTGTTTATTGATTGTCAAATATTTTTATTTATTCATTATTTATTAATAACTATGGATAAGGATCTATTTATATAGAAGTATGGATAAAATAATTCAATTAAATAAATATTTCTAAGAAAAGCTTATCAGAATTTTTTTATGTTAAGATCTAGTGTTAAATAGGATTTAAAAAAAAAAGTGAATAAGAGTGTTGATCCATCCTAATTTTTATCAACAAAAATAAAAACAGATTAAAGTAAAAGTTCTTTTGTAGAAGTGTCAAACAATACTAATAAAGATAATATGTATAGAAATTATAAATAATGTTAGATCATAGATGACAGAGTTTCATTATAATAAATTAAGAAATAAGTGGTTAATGGATGATAAATAAAATGAAGCATTTATATAAGTATTGTATAACAAACGGAAATAATTAGAATTGGAAGAGAAATAAAGAGAATTGGAAATCTCTAAAATTTAATAAGCAATTTTATTAAGAGAGAATTTAGAAACTGATAGAAAAAGATAATTTTATAAAGAAGCTGAATTATTTCGAAATTAATAAAGTGAAAGAAGACATTAAGAATAAGAAAAACTTAAATCAAAAGAATAAGAATATTTATTATTAGCAAAAAGAATGGCATAAAATGATGAACTTGCTAAATTAGAATAATAAATTGTACACAGACAAAAATGTAAATTATAATTTTAAATGTTGGAACAATAAAGAAGAACCAATTCATTTTTACTATCTTGATTTTTGATAAAAATCTATTTTTGATATTTATGTTGCTCTACTAATTTATTCAACTAATATTTCATTAGTTGGAATATATTTTAAATTAAAAATAGCTTTATAAATGTTTATATTTAAGTTTGTAGTTAGATATTGTAAATTAAGTATAATCATTTTGGAAATGCACTAAATATTCTTCTAGTTGGTAGAAAAGGTTTCATTGGAATAAGCTTTTCACCTGAATCAAAAGCCAATGAATTCTTCTTTGGTGTTAATGCATTATCTTTTGGACTATGAGGTACTAATTATATCATGTTCAGCTTATTCGGTTAAGATGAGAATGGTCTCCATAATTTCTCTTTTGTTGATGGAGGACGAGGAAATGGTTCTGTATCAAATGGTGTAGCACTAATTAAACGAGAATGACTGTATGTAGGCAGCCATGCACTTTGAATACGCTCCAAACCTTATTTATGTTATTTAGGTAAAAGAAAGTCACTTTTCTAAAAAAATTATCCAACTCCTTTGCCTGGTTAAAATTAATATGGATGTTTAACTAGACCATCAGTCTATCCAAATAATAGTAAATTTCATTATTTACAAGTTTTTTTTTGTCTTATTTAATCTCTGCTATTTTTTATTTCTTTAATTAAAACATTTCTTATTTTTTCATTATTTTCCTTTCTTCTGCTTGTTTTTATAGAATTTCAAATATTTCATTTTATTTTTCCTACATAAAATATGATAAATATTTTAATAATGCTTTTAATTAAAATATTAAATTATTTTGTCGTTTTTTAGTCTTATATATAATAATTATTAATTCATGTTGTTTAGCAATCTTGAACAATTTGTAATTTAATAAGTTTACATAAATAAAATGGAAATTTATTAACTTATTTGATTATTACTTTATTTTACAAAGGATAATTTTGATTATTTACCAAATTTCATTATTTTATTTTAATGAAACAATTCAAAAAAGTTGAATTAATCAAAAACTCAAGCAAAAATAAGAAATTTTAAGACATTTATGAAATAAATAAGAATGATGTATAATGATCTCATCAATATAGAAACTTGGTTAAGGATCTTATGGAATGGTTTACAGAGCAATTCATCGTGCTACTGGATTAGCAAGAGCAGTGAAAATTATCCATAAAGCAAGTGTAAAATAGAAAGAAAGACTTACAAATGAATTGAGAACAGTTGAATTATTAGTAATTATTGAAATTCATATTTTTTAGGATCATCCCCATGTAATTAGAGTCTTTGAAACATTTGAAGATAATGACAATATTTATGTAGTAATGGAGTATAAAATTAACAATTAAATTTAGAATATGTAAAGGAGGTGATATTTTTGACAAGGTTTTAGAATTGGGTAATTTTGATGAATAAGGGGCATTAATAATATTTATATAAATGATTAGATCAGTGATCTACTATTAATCATTAAATATTGTGCATAGAGACTTAAAACCAGAAAATTTTTTATTTCAAACGAATAATGATCTTAATACTCTTTATATTATAGATTTTGGTTTAGCTCGAATATTCTAACCTGGAATCTTGAATTAATGGACTAAGGCTGGAACTGTATAAATAACTTATATATAATTTTAAGGCATATTATGTGGCTCCAGAGGTTTTAGAAGGTACATATGATAATAAATGTGATTTATGGTCAATTGGTGTTATATTATATGTCTTATTATGTGGATACCCTCCATTTTATGGTGAAACAGAATAAGAGATATTATATTCTATAAAAAGGGGGAAATTTGATTTTGATGGACCAGAGTGGAAGAATGTGTCGCTTTTAGGAAAGGAATTGATTAGCTAATTGTTAAAACCTTCTAAATAAAGATTAAATTTGGAATAAATATTATAGCATGAATGGCTCTAATAATATATTTAATAAGGTGAAGTCATATTAACAAAAGCACTTATTGAGAGATGGCAAGGATATCATTAGATTAAATAAGTTGGTTTGCTCTATTTAGCCACATAATTAGATTAGAGTGAGATAATTAATATTAAAAATGGATTTTTATTTATGAATAAATCTCAATCAGGAATATTAACAAAAGCTGAGATTGATAAATTAATCAATTATAAATATTAAGATCTGGAATACTATTGTAAAAAATCTATAATCATAAATTTTAGAATTCATAGCTATATGCTTAGAGCCAAATGTATATAAAATAGAAAAATATTTAATATTAATGTTTACATTTCTATCATCGAATGGTCAAATAACTAAAGAGAGTTTAAAAGCAGTTGATATAAATCTTGATTTTAATTTAGATTACAAGCTATTCATTAATCTATTTTGATTATTATAATTAATTTGTATATTTTTATTTTCATTTAATATATTATTTTCTTTTATATGATATCTTAATTTACTAAGCCAAAAAGAAAAATGGAGCATCCTGATTATGCACCATATCCATTAAGAAGACCAGGTCCAGGTTAGGATGATAGAAAGAGTGATATACCTTTGGATTATAACTTAAAGGAATTTAATTTTGCAAGCAAAACTTTAACCAAGAAGATTGTTTGGAGTGATTTAAGGGCAATAGCATTAAGTGATTCTCTGGATAAAGGTGCTATATTTGTGGAAACTAATGAAGGATCAGTTGTTGTAAAAGGATATCCAAATATTGCTTAAGGATACTTTTTTTCATAATTAGCATTAGTTTTGGGAGTTCCTGTTCCTAATAAAAGAATTGTTAGATGGGATTCAAGTGAATTCAAAATTATGACTAAGGAATTATAAAGAGCAACATTTATGATAAAATAATTGCATTAAAAAATAACAAATAGACTTGAGAATCCATATTTAGAGGTTTAAGAATATTTACCTGGAATTACATTATCATATATGGGAAAAGCAAGAGCTGGAAAAATATTCAATTTTTATGACCCATAAAGCAGACATAGATTAATAAAAGTTGGATTTATTATGGGTTTAGATATTTTCATAAATAATCCAAGTAGATTCCCTTTAGAAATATGGTAAAATAGTGGAAATTCAGAACATATGATTGCCAGAACAGAACCTAGATATACTGATACAACAAAAGATTTGCATGATATTGATAATCTATCTTTTGAATATGAATATATTTATGGATTGGATAGTTATTCTTTTGAGAGACCACCCAGTTACTATACAAATGTTGAAGAGTTTTTAAATAAAATATTTTTAGAAATGAAATCTATTATGCAAGCCTAATTGGATCCTCTTTATGAAACAAAAGATTAGAAGTATTTAAATAAATTTATTGTTTTTTCTATTTAGAATTGAATGTTTAAATGAATTCAAATAACTTGTTTACGATCATACATTATATGAAATTAAAGAGATGTCTTTGCTCTAAGTACTACTAGGCATAGTGTTGACTATTGATAACATAGTTTTCATGGGACCTGTACGTTTGAGAACTCTTTGGGAATCAGTTACAATAGAAAATGACTGGAATAATATTTGGATGAAGAATCTTTAAGGAATTAATATGGATTTTTTAGAATCTATGGTTTCTATATTTTAAAAGTTTTGTACAATATATGAAGATGTTGTTAAATATAGTAAAGATATTACATTAAATCAATATTCATTTGATGAATAAAAATATCTTGAAATAATAATGATGAATCCAAAAATAAAAGAAAGAATTGAAAAAGAAAGAGAAAATGATCTTATGAATTCATAAAAACTAGATAAATCTGAAGTTATAGATGAAGATGAAGGTGAAGTTCTTGAGCGTAATTTAAATGATATAGAATTGGATAAAAAAATTGAAGAAATGTTTATGATTGATCCTAAAGATATCCCTAAGGGAGAAAACAAAAATTAAAAATAATAAAAACCATTAACTCCAGAAGAATAATAATAATAATAAGAATTAGAAAAGAAAAAATATGGAGGTATTTTAGCTAAAAAATTATATGAAAATGAATGATTTCTTTATGAATAAACATTATGCTCAATCTGAAAAATCAACCTATGATTCTAATCTATTTCTGATCCATTCTTCCCATTCATTAAATGGTTTTCCTGATGCTTTACATTCTTAATAGTAATTTGAAGTATCTATATAGACAATGTCATCAAAATAATCTGAATTCAATTTTACACATTAGCATAACTATAAATATTTCTTAATGTTACTAAATCAAAAAATTCTCTGTATGGATCTCTTTTAGTTATTTATTTTTATCCACCTATTCCTGTTTATATCATACTTTGTCTAAGTCCTCTATCAATTTGAGTTGTAATTTTAATTTAATCTTGTTTAATATTTAAAAAATAAGCTTCATTTGCTTAATAAATTTCTTTGTACATTTAATGAGGAGCACTAATTTGCTTTGTTTAATTTTATTATTATTATATACCTTACTAATTTTATTATTATTATTATTATTATTATTATTATTATTATTAAGGTAATTATGTTTATTATTTTTATTAAGACTATTAAGATTATGAAACTTATTAATTAGATCCTTCTTAGGTCTATTAATTTCCCCCATTTGCACCTATTGATAAAAGAGGTAATTTAAATTGTTTTTTTACTTAAGGAGCTTTCACTTTTTATTCATAAAAATAAGTTTCATAATCATCATCTACAATAGAGCCGATATCTATTTCATTTCTTATTGTAATTGGTTATGGTTCCTATTATAATACTTTTAATTAAGCATCTTCTTATTTTTGAAGTTCAATTTTAGGAATTTAAGGTTATGGCATTTAAATTCTAGGTGATGTTAAATTAATCTAACTTTATTTTAATTTTTCCTGCAATTTACCAGCTCTTAGTTCTTAAGATTCTTAAACTGCTTTTGAAATAACATTCCTTGGAGTTATATTGGGTTAACCTCTAGGTGTTACTAATTATCTAGGAGTTGCTAATTTTTGAAGTTTTTCTTCTAACTTTTGTATATCATATTATTATTGATTGGAAACAACAAATTCAGCAGGAATAACAGTATTTTTTTTTGAATGCATAGCTGATTACTCTAAATTTTCAGGTGCCTCTTTAATCTCATCAATATCATTGAATTAAGATGGATGAGGTTATCTATAAGATAATTCAGGTAAATCAGATTTAAGATTGCTATTGATTGCATTACTAATCATTGAATTATTATTATTGAATGAAGCAGTCTATTAATTTTATTATTGGAATGTTGATGTTGAGATAGAGTTTCTTTATATCATAGATCCTTGATTATCATTTTCAAATTTATATCCAGAAGCATTTTACAAATCATATATTTATTTATTAAGTGAACTAATCTTTAAGTCAGTAATTTAAGATTTCTATTCATAATCCACAATAATTTAGTTTAATTTATATATTTCTTATTCTAAAGCTTTAACTTTTGATTCATTCTTCATTTTTTCCATTTTTAAAACAGCTAATTCATTTAAGGCATCTTCTTATTCTGTCATTTACTTCTAGTATTGATTCTTATAATAATCAATTTTTTCTTTTTGCTTAATATTCTCTTACTTTTAATTTTATATTTATTGCTTTAAGTCTTCAATAATTTTATTATCATTTTAGTCTACATTTTTAAACTAATTAGATTAAAATATCCTTACTTTCTATTCACTTAAACGATGCTTTTAGTTTTAAGTTAAGATTGCTAATTCATTAGCAAAATCCTATACACTCTATTCTAATTTCTAAATTTCTGAGAGTTATTCTTAAACTTTTTAAGCCTCTTCTTTATACATTTTCTTTGAGTAATATAAATATATATTACTTAATACTCCTTTGAATTTTTGGATTCAAAATTAATTTTTTCTTATAATTGATTGATTTATTCTTCATGTTAAGCCAAATCCTCTTCCCTTTCAAAATTAGTTTATTATGTTTTATCTAAAATAAACATGCATAATTCAATTAAATTTTTTATGGTTTATTCATTTTTTGTTATTTATTCAAGTGAAACAAAAAATTCAGCTAATCATTATCTTAATTCTATACATTAGTAATCATCACTTTAACCACAAATTCTAGCTCTTTTTTCTACATAAGGTTCATTGTATTCAATCAACAAATTTTGTAGAGTTTCAATAACGAATTAGTCATTCAAATTCTCTGCATCACTCATCTGTGTATATAGAATATATATATATTTATAAAAATTGTATAAGAAATATTTAATATTTATTCAAAGAATTAAATAAAATTTATTAACATTTAAGAACTATTTTTAAATAGCAATAAATATGAATTTTACATGTATCTCATCTTATTTAAATAGACAATAGATGTAATTTTATACAATAATATTATTATTTTAATGCTTTTTTAATTTATTAATAAATTTCTAATAAATATAAATATTATATCTATTTATATATAATGTTTCATTGTAGCTATATTCTTAAAAAATTATTTTTGAAATCTATCAGCATAATTAGTTAGATATAATTTCTAACTTTATAATAAGTTTCAAAAGGCAAAAATGTTTATCCATAAAATTGAAAAAAAGAACTCAATTCTGCTAAAGAGCGAATAAATATCAAATTAAAAAAAAAAAGTAAAATTAATCTTAACAATGACGATATTAATGACATAATTCATATGTATTATTTCTTAAGATTACAATATAAGCTTAAATAAAAATAATTAAAAATATAATACACAATAATTATTAAAAATGATTCAAGTTTCTTATAGTATTATAGAGAATAACTATATTGTTGTACAATAAATAAACTAAAAAGTTTTTATAGTACAATCTAAATCTAAGACTAAAAAGTATGTGAAGAAGATCTATGATTTTTCATATGAATTATATAATGTATATATTCAAATTGATTAAGATTTTATAAATTATTTAGGCTGAAAATTTGGATAATTGCGTAAAGATATTTGTAATAGAATCCCATTAGGATATTGGAAAAATATTTGTTTTGGAAGAGTATAATGAAGATGGGAATTTGTGTAATTTTATTGAATAAACTATTAATAATTTTAATATTGATTTGATTATAAAGTGCTTAATTGATATCATTAAAGGTTTATTGTAATTATCCAAATATAAATACATGCATAGAGATATTAAACCTTAAAATATAGTATTTGATGGAACAAAATTCAAACTTATAGATTTTGAAACCTCCAAATGTTATGGTTAAGATCTCACAATATATCAGTCTTGCATAGGGTAAATGCAATAATTTCATTTAGTACTAAAACTTGTATAGCACCAGAAATTTAACTTCAACTTTAATATTCATCCAAATGTGATATTTGGAGTGTTGGATGTGTGCTTTATTATATATTGTATAAATAATTTCCTTTTTAAAATTATGATCGAGGATAAATATTAAAATATTATTAAAGAAATGAAATGTTAAAACTCCCATCAAATCTCAATAAAGAATTGAATGATTTACTATAACAAATGCTTAAACCTAGAGAAATTGATAGAATTAGTATAAATGTTCTATATTTTTAATTGAAGATGATTAAATTGTTAATCAAATTAAAAATAAATGATCCCGAAGATAATCTTGTCTCTTTTATTGATAGGATAAAATTTATTATACAATCTGAATTAGATTAAGATATTTGCAAAAAAATATATACTTGTTTTAAGGCAGTTCTTAATTAAAAAGTAAATTCAAAAAATGAAAACTATAAAACAAAATAATCTTTGAAAATAGCTGTTTAAGAAATTATTAGAGAATTTGAAAATGAGAAAATTTATTTAGATTTGATGAAATTGATTAAATAATAAATATAGGAATGAATATAATTTATTTTTTATAATTTAAACTAATATTTTTCTTATTAACAGAAATTAATTATATTATAATATTTAAAAATTTACAATTAACCCGTTTTTTTAAATTAATGAGATTATAATAAAGAGAAGGAAATTCGTTTATGTTAAACATTTGATTTGTATTATAAATTATCAATTACTAAGAGTAGAATAGTTTAACAGAATTTATATTAAAATATAGATTATATAACAATTCATGGATTATTTAATTTTTATATTTTCTTGTGTTTTATTATTACTAATCCATAGAGGTCTGATGAGTTAAATTCTAAAAATTCAAAATTCTTATTTTCAATATTGGCTTCATTTTGGCTTGTCGATTTATCACATTTATTTAAATCTCTTGTTAATGTCTCAATAACTGAATCAATTAATAGAATATCTCTTTCTTCTTTAGGCACTCTACCTAATCTCTATCTATTTTCCTCTTATTTTAACAAATTGTAAAATCTATTTTTTATTGTATTTTCTGTTCTCCTAAACTTAAAAACTTAAGCTGATATATCTGCCCATCTTTTTCCTCTTTTCTTTACTTCTTAAAATAATCTTAATTCTTCTTCCTTATACCATGGTACACTTTTATTTTATATTTAAATTTTCATACTTAAGTATTTTGGGGTCTAGCTTATTAACCCATCTATCTCGACATTATTTACCTAATCGTACATATGGTGTTTAACAGATTTTCATTAATTCTATAGCTATTTCACACCATTTGTTAGGATGTAATGATTACAATTAAATAAGCACTTAATCTTCCTAAGGAGTCCAGTTCACTTTTTTACGTTTCTCATTTAACCATCTATTTCTACATGCTTTCCAATTATGAAATTTGAATATTGTAGAGATTTAATCCCATTACAATGTTGACTATATTTATAACACACTATATATTTACCAAATCTAATGGTCGTGTTCTAGTCTTTAAACAAGTTCCAAAGACTATAATTTATAAATATTAATCCTAAGCCTCTGTCCATATACCTTTATTTTATATTAATTCAGCATCCACTCTATTCAAAATGGTCTCAATTTATTATTGATCCGGTATGCCATGAATAAATGGGAATGAATTCAATATTAATGCTTAAGCAAATATTATGTCTATATTTTGGAATAGATCATAAATAGCTTTTCTATCAATAGACGTTTTTTTAATCATCTTAATATTTATTTAATGTCAAGGATTCCTTGAGTGATTATAAATATAATGAAAGTATTAATTAAATTTGGGCAGACCTTTTAGAGTGGACCATAAGTTAATAGTAGAATATTTTTATAGATAAGTTACTTATTTTGATCTAAAAATTTAATAGTAAATAGTTTAAATGGTGTTATTTTATTATAAATTTAGAAATCCTTTTTAGATCAAACTTTTTTGATAAATCTTGACACTCTTAATTTTTTAATTTTATTTATTTATTTTAATAAGAACATAATGTTGATTGATTCATTATAATGTATTTAAGAAACAGAAATGTGACAAACTATTGCCAATATTATTTTAATGATTGAATATTTGAAATTAAATTATAGTAGCATTAATAATTTAAATAGTATATAAATATATATATAAATAATCATTTTTTTTTTCTTATTTTTCTATCACTTAATGAACCCAATAACATCCACATATTTTCATCATTAGAGTAACCAATAACTGGATAGTCACTATGTTACTCTTCTTTAATTTAAGGTAATTAATCTTAGAATATTAAATATTAATAAATACAAATCTATGGTAATGATTATTTATGAGAAGGTTGAGATCGAAATAAGACATCAAGAGTTAATTTAAATGCATCATCTAACATTCTAGGAATATACATTTTTAATAATGGACTTGATTCTTCTATACATGGATTTGTATTCACTTCTATTAACCATACTTATTAATCACTATCTAAAATAAAATCAAATCCAAATATTTCAAAACAGTATTTTCTATCTTCGAAATTAATTTTATTCTTTACAGAATTAAACACCATCCATATTCTTTCCTTCATTTTATTAACTAACTAAATAATAATATATATATATATATACATCTTAAACATTACAATTAATATTTTATGATTTTAAATAATCCTAATAGTTTTTAAAAGATAACTGATTTCCATCTTCAAATTAACCATAATTTTGAGAATATTTTTAGATAGCATTATTTGTTAAATGAACAAATGTATTTTCAATATTGTAAGTAAAATCTTCAGATGATGTTCTTATATACCCTTCCTAAAAGAAATAAGCATCTAATTCATGAGTTATCAATCCCCAAACTCTGATATCAAATTTTCTTTTATTAATTAATGCAGGTCTTTCAATATATTTTTGAATAACAAAAGAATGTGATTTAATTATACACTGACCTGATGATTATTATTATTTTATTTATTAATTAGGATCTTTTTTTGTTATTTAGGCACTCTAAACTTATTAAGGAATTTCTTCTTCTCCTGATGATTCATCTTTTTAATTTAATGTTTTCTCTTTTAATCCTTCCTAAAAGTCTGAAACTAATTTGACTAAAGTCTCTAAATTATCAAAAATTGATATTCCTCTTCCTCTATTTAAAAATGTTGGTTTTAATAGCCACATATATGTAGAATCCTCTGCTAAGAAAGTGCTGTTTAATTAGATTTTTGTGAATTGTGAAATAGGTTCTCTTTGATATGTACAACAAAAATTTCCTCTTAATCTTCTTTTAACATCTAACATTTATTTTGATGAAGGTTTTTTTGGAGCAAATTATTCATAAGTTTTAAGAAACTATGTTATATTGTAATCACAATTTTCATCACTAAAGTCAATAACAAATGTTAATGGAGTATAATCAAATACATTTAATTTATGTTTCTATTGTAAATTATTATGTATTTACCTCACAATATTAAGACAAATTTTTAATAAGATAAGATTTATTTGAGATTTCTTTATGATGTTCAAAATGATTGACAAGTTATTTATAATTTTAACTTACAATTAGTCTTTCATATCTATATCCCTTTTCACTTTATTACCATTTGAAATTTACAAACATAGAGCTTGAATCAGTTGTTTCTTTCCATTATAATCTTTTAGACATTATTCTTTTAACTAATGCCTCATTGTTACCCCATCCAATATAATACTATTTAATTAAAAAAAAAACAATTACTTTTAAATATAAATCTTAAGAAGTTGGTTTAAATTGATTTCTTTTTTTTGTAAAACTAATAGACTTAGGATTTAGTTTTTTTGTTACAATTGGTAATTGCTCAGAAAATTGAGACAATTTTTCTTTGGTTTTGCTTTTTTTATGTTATTATTAATATTTAGTAAATTAAGTTTTTATTTGAGGACTTTAAGATTTTTACTTAGTTTCTGTTTTATTTCTTGATCTTCTACTATCTAAATGAATTGTTGATTCTCCAGACAAATTCATTATTAATATATTATTGAAATACATATTAAAATTATCATATTTTTATTCAATTTTATAAATAAATCAATATGAATAGTTATGATAAAAAAGGATAATATATATAGACACAAAGAATTTATTATGTAAAAATATATTCTCAAATGATATCATTCTGTTATCTTCAATTTCTCTAAACCTTCAAGTTTTTAGATGTTTTTTATGATAATTTCTCTAATAATATTTAAAATAGATAATAATACTTTTTCAAACTTTCGTTTTTTTAAATGGATTTAATTGTTTTACTAAAACCATCATGTTATTTTCCAAGTAGTTTATTTTATAAACCAATACTTTAATTATACAAAGAATCAACATTAAATTCATACATTGAATTCAAAGAATCATCTATTGTTTATGAAGATTTTTAGGATAATTAATCTTTAATATTTAAATATGTTTATTTATTAACTTTTTGAACATTTTTATGAGAATGATGATTTTGAACAATACCTGCAGATATTAATAAAGATTTCCTAATTTTAGATTAAATTTATTTATCATGAAATGGATCTTCAATTTAATAATCAGTTATGTATTTAATGAGTTCTAAATCATTATTAATGTATTAATTATTTAAATATTTTTATTTAACAAATGGAACCATAGATTTTACATTTCTAAGATTATGTAAAGATTAAGATTATTTATGAACAACATTTTTATATTGAGAATTAAAAAATATCTTTTTCTTAGCCTTTTCATTTGAAATACAATTCTTAGTTTATAAATCTTCTATATATTATTAAGCCTTTTTATCAATTTGGAACTTAATTGTAGAAGTTTAAGTAGGTGGTTCATATTTATTTTTTGTTTCATTTTCATATTATGCAGTTTTAAGAATTTAATATGGGTTTTGGTGTTGTATAAGTTTGATTTATTAACCATTAACTGAATTTTTTATAATTACTGGAGTTGATCGTTTTTCCATAAATCTTCTTTCTATTAATTTAATATATTCATCACTTATATCATACATTTATTTGATGACACCTACATTTTTAAGTTCTCTACTTCTTTTAATAATATCTTCTTCTTCTTTCATTTTTATTTTATGTTCTATTAGATTTCTTAAAACTGCAAATCGTGATTGAATTCTAAATTATTTATTTACTTCCTCAGTTTTGTCTTTCAGTAATTTTAAGAATCCAGTTTATTGGTTATTTTGGTTGGATTAATTCTTACAATTTTCTACTCTAAATAGTCTAATTTTTTTAGGAGAAGTAGGTCTTTATCTATCTAACAACTCTGATTGATTTTTTCTAGCTAAGAATTCACAAGCTGTTATTTCCCCTTCAATGAATTTCTCAAAATTATCTCTTACTGAAGGACTATCGTACAAATTATTTCCACAATACAGAGGAGCTTCTTTTAGAAATACAGGATCAAAATGTTTATTTTTCTTCTTTTAACGAACAAGTCCTTCCCCTAAAAAATTGCCAAACATATTATTCCAATTTTTCAATCTTTTATCTTGTTGTTTAAGTTCTTCAGGTTCAGTCTTCAAATCACTAAACTATAATTTAACAAATTTATACACAAACAGTAGTTTCGGTTGGCTCTCTTCTTTTTTGTGCTAATCTTTTCATTAATTTTAATGCTTTTTAATCAAAGAATCTGGAAAAAATTAATTTATCCAATTCCACGATATTATTTTTTCCAGCCAGCTTTATTTGATATTAACAAGGATTATTATAAGATTTCAAATTGCAATCACACTAAATCAGATCAAAAATTGAAATAAGATTATTATAAATAACATAATTACCAACATAATCAATAAAGAAAAGCTTAAATAAATAATAGAAATTTTGGATGTATTCTATAATATGTTGATATAACAATCATGCGTTATTGATATTTAATGTGGACTTTTTTGAACAGCACAAAAATTAAGAATAAAATACTACAATAAAATACAATAATAGTTGATTTCTTATAAAATATTTCAACATCATAAGATTTCAATCATTCTAATCCAAAAAGATTTTCAGAAATACAAGAAAATAATAATTCTCTCAAGATTAAATAAAAATATAAAAGTAATTTGAAAATTGATAACATATTATAGATGGCCAATTCAATTAATTTTCTTAAACATATCAATAAGCAATAAAAAATGATTATGAATTTAAATAAATTCATACATTTATCAATTTCCTAAAAATGGAATATTAATTTCATAAAGAAAGAAAACTCAGATAGAAAATTAAAAAAGAACAAACAATTTCCTATTTTTACAATATATAAAGTAATCTTTAAATGACGTCTTTGATAGAATCAATGGTATTTGGAATTAGATTTCAAAAAATAAATGACTATATTAATTATTTTATTTATGAGAGAAGATATAAAAATACTTTCGGTAGACTACAGTGAATTCATGTGTCCGATTTGTTCTCAAGTTTTCTATAAGCCAATCAAAACAATTTGTGGGTAATGATTAAATTTAAATTTAGACATAACTTTTGTGTTAGATGTATCATTTAATGGACAAAAAAAAAGAAGCAATGCCCTTGTTGTAGAAGATTGTATTAAAATGCCACTTTTTATTAAACAGATGAAATTATGGCTTAGACAGTCGAGAAATTAGAGATTGCATGTTTAAAATGCAATAACTGGAATGGATAGATCAAAGAATTAAAAATTCATCGTTTTGATCAATGCACATCATTTTAATAACAAAATAAATCAATTCAATACTAAATTGTAGAAGAGGATCCTTAAAACCCTACATAGGCTATTATGGAAGAGCTTCTTTCAATAAAAAGTTAATAGAATTTTATTAAGCTATTGGAAGTGGAAAATGAGGAATTTTGGATAGAAGCAATTCCAATTAGATAAAAAAGAATTAAGAAGTATCAAAAGAAAAAAAGTAATAAAAAAATAAAAAATTAAGAAGATGAAGATGTTTAACTCCTACAAGAAGATGAAATAATTAAACTAAAACATTCGAAAAATTATATTATGAAACAAATAAATAAAAGGTATTATTTCTAAAATAAATTCTTAAAAGAGATGTTTGAAAAGAATTATAAACCTGAAACTAAATACTTCTTCTCATAACTTATTTTATATAGGAATCTTTTTTTATTCCATATTTTGATTACAAAACAAATTTGATAAGTTAAAGTTTATGTTTTATTATCAATTTGAAATTTCATAAAGATTTATCTTATTCTTATCAATAAATTTTATAATTCAATATATTGTAATAGAGTTTTCTTGTTATATATTAATTCTTTTAATTATTGACCATAATTCAATTTAAATTATTTAAGTTACTTATATTAATATATATAATAAGAGATTTATACAAATAAATAATTAATTCAATTATCTAAATTTATTTTTAAACATCTTTATCATTAAAAATATATGAATGAAATCAAAGCATTATATTTTATTGATTAATTTAAAATTTGAAAATTTTATTTCTATATTAAATAAAATTAAAAACGTCATTGTTTCATTATATTCATTATTATAATAAGGAAATTAAAAAATATAATAACATATCATATATTTATAATCAACCAATATGAAGAATTAATGTAACAAAATAAACCTAAGATCATTAAAATATTATAAAATTCTTTAAATATGACTTTTATTAAATCATATAAATATTAATTTGTTCGTTAACTAATGTAATAAGGAAATCATACTCCTTCTCCTTAAAGATCTAATAATGGATTACAAGGATAATAGGGGAGATCATAAAATCAAAAAAAAGAGTTTAAACTATCATAGAAAAAAATGATTAATATTCCTATTAAAACCCAACGAATTAACAAGAATACTTAATAAATATCATCATAGAGAAGTCCTATCAATATGTCAACCAAAACTACTAAACAGACAATTGAAACTAAGAGAAGTGTATCACCAGAAGAATTTAAAAATAAGAGAAGAAGTATTAAATTATTAATAAAGTAGAAAGTCCTTAATAAACAAAGTAGCAATCATCAAAAGACAAAAATAATATAAAATAAAACAATAGTTCACCTTTAAAGAAATATATAAAATAAAAGTAGAAATCCATGTAAATTAAAGAGAATGAAATAAAATTGAAGTTAAAGGATAATGAATATAAGAAGTAATTTGAAAAACTTTAAATAGGCAATGCAATCTAGATAAATTAAAGAAAAAAACAAAGAAAATTATTGAAAAATAGAAAAAACAAAAAAATAAATGTTTAAAAGAAAAAGTTTAGTAAAAATAAAAAGTTATAGAAATAAAAAAAAAGTTTGAAGAAATTACAAAACGATTTGAAAAATTTTAGAATACTTAAATAGAATAATTTTAACATTAAATAGATTAAAAATAATAATAAAATTAATAAAAAGAAGAAGATATTGATAATCTTTATGAATATTATTTAAATTAAGCTGCTTTAACTATTTAAATTAATTGGAAAGAATATTTGAAGAGATAAAAATTAAAAAGAAAATTTATTTAATCTTAAAAACAGAGCATTGATTGGGAAATAAATGCAATTATGTCATAATAAACATTAAATAGCGATGAAGGTTTATTATTTTGTTAAGGAGGAGAAAAGTAGGTTCATATATCAAATATTAGAAGTTCTGTTGTATCTGAAGAGTCTTTATCAATAATGAATCAACTTAACTAAGAATTAGATAATTGGAATATTTATATTCAAAGTATTGTAAAAAATCAAGATTTATCATAAATTAATAGGTAAATGTAATAATAAATAATAAATATTGTTTAAAATCATTTGAAAAAAACTGAAAGTTAATCTGAAAAAAGAAGTGAGAATGAAATAAATCAAGAGAGAAGTTTTAATTCTTACAGAAAAAAATTAAGTGATGAATTATCAAAATCTTCAATTTTATAACTTCAATAATAGGCTTTAAAAGAAGAAGGAAAATTATTAGGTTTTCGAGAAGAAGCTATATATCTTAGGTATGAAACTGAAAAAAAATCTAAATATTGTGATAATAAGTAATCTCTTGATGAATGGCTCAATAAAGAATTAGAAGATCTATAAAATACTAGGAAAGCAATAGAAATATGCCATAAGAGGGAAATATCAGCTTTAAAAAAGATATAAAGAGACATATTAATAGCTTCTGAAGAATTAGATTAGGATTCTTCAGAAAATCAATAAATATAGTTAATATCAAAATAAATTGATGATTAATTTAATTAAGTGACTAAATAAAAGTAAGAAAATATATAATAGGAAGATATTTAAAAGACAATTAATTTTTTGACAGGAGAAATCTTTAATGATATAATAGATGAATTAATAGATGAAGTATAAAATAATAGAGAAAATTTCTACATATTTTTTTCAGATCTTGTTCTTAATAAAGATATTATTTCTATTGCACCTACTTCAGTTAAAGAAATCTAGTCTTATCTCGATGCCCTTTTTAAGTATATACTCGAGAATTATTCTATTGATCTATTAAAAAACTTGAATCTACCTTTCGGATTTACTCCTTAGAAAAGAATGAAATTGATACATGGATATGATGATGATGAAAATAATGAAGAAATTGATTAAAACATAGCATATCCATTAAGTGATACTATATTTATAGAGTTTGAAAATTAGAGACTCTAAGAATTTGATTTGAATGATTAGATTGCTTTTGCTATTCGTGAATTAGAGCATATACACAATAAAGCTATATTTGATGCATGCAATGAAGCTTTAAATTATGAAAGACCATATTTTTTAAGTATTCATATTATATAAAATAAGATTCTGGAATTGTGTATCCATGGTAGAAAATTAATCAAAGAATTATTATGCCAAATTAATTGGAATAAACCTTAGAGTAATCAAAAAAAAAAGTTTTGGATTGGAGTAGTTTTCTATGTGGATTTTTGCCTTTAGAAGAAAATTAAAATTAAAATATAAAGGAAGAAAAATAAAAAATTATTGAAGAGAAAAAATTATCTATGAAATAACAATAATTAAATTTATTTGAAAATTCTACAGGATCAGAATTTAATTCATAGTTTGATAATTTGGGTTTGATAAGAGATGAATAATTATATAAATTACTTATTTCAGATGTATAATTTAAATTTATTTAGATAAAAGAGTCAGAAAATAAATGGTACCTTGTAGAAGATGATAGAGTAGATTATTTAATGGAATTAAGTGATTAAATATTTGAATATTTAATAGAAGAATTTTAAAAGGAATTATGAATTCTTGATTTTATTTTTTTCATGGATTATTATTTAATAAAAATTGATTTAAATGAAGATTAATATACATTTTGATTATATTAACTATAAAGAAAAAATATCAATAGAAAAATTAGCAATTTTTAGAATTGAAATAATATAAATTTTTATGAATTTTAATAAATTACTTTGGTCTGATGTAGAGAGAACACCATAATTCACTTCAAAGATAGAATTACTAAATGTTAAATATGATGAAGATTATGAAGAAATAATGGATTATTTCAGAGCTATAGTGAAATCAGGAGAAATTAGTGAAAGGGTTTTTGATTTAACAAGTATCATAATATAAAAATTACCATCAAATTATAATGCCTATTTCATTCGAAGAAAGTGTTTGAAATAAATGAATTTAGATTTATCTAAGGAAATGGAATTTATAAATGAGGTTACAATTTCTAATTAGAAAGTTTATTAAATTTGGTAATAAAAAATTTCATGTTATTAAGGGAACATAGAAGATAAGTTATAGAATAGTTGAATAATTGCAAAGGAGAAATTGAATTTCTTCACAAAATTTTTGATGAAGATAATAAGAATTATCATGGATGGTCATATCGAGTTTGGTTATGTGAAAAATTTAATTTATATGCTGAAGAATTAATAGATGTCTAATATTATTTAGATGAAGATATTGGTAATAATTCTGCTTGGAATTATAGATATTTTCTATTATCTAAAATACCATTCGATTTTAATACAGAATTAGAATACATAAAAAATGCAATAAGAATTAAAGATGAGAATGAAGCCTCATGGAATTATTTAAGAGGATGGTTTAAAACGTTTAAATTTAAAAATGATTAAGAAAATCCTTACAAAACATTCATCCAATATAATTTAAAAGATTTTAATTTGATTGAATTTCTCAATGAGATATAATATAATAATAGATTTGCTTTAAGTCTAAGAATACAATGTCTATTATAAGATGGAAAGTATTAAGATGCAATATCTATATGTGAAGTTCTTTAGAATGTAGATTCGATTAGAATAAAATATTGGCAATATTTAAAGACCTAAATAAATGGATTAATATAGTGATTAGTATAAATTTAGAAATTGATTTGAAAATTAATGATAAGAATAGAATAATAATGTAAATATTAATAATCCAAAAATCAACTTGTTAAATTCACATTAATATTAGCCTCTTTGGCCAATCTCAAAATTGCTGCCATTCTTACTGCTTTCTTAGCAGCTTCATCTAAATCTTCTGTAAACATCATATTAAATCCAGACTCTTCAATTAATTTCTTAGCCTCTTCAACTTTTGTTCCTTTCATTCTTAACACCATAGGTTTTTTCATTCCCAATACAGTTAATCCTTTTAGTAAACCTAAAACAATTTGATCACATCTTAAAATAATAATATTATTTTAGATACCTTGCAATACCAGCAAATATATTAACTAAAATTGCTTCTACATTTGGATCTTTGTCCATAATTTTTAAAGCAGAAACAATTTCTTAATCAGTAGCTTTACCTCCTACATCTAAAAAATTAGCTGGAGATCCATCATATTATTTAATTAAATCCATTGTAGCCATAGCTAATCCTGCTCCATTTACCATACATCCAATATTTCCATCTAATGCAATATAATTTAAGCCATGTTTTTAAGCTTCAACTTCTTTCCAATCCTTTTATCTAACATCTTCCATATGAAATATAGCATGTTATCTAAATTATGCATTATCATCAATATTTAATTTTTGATCACAAATGATCAAATTACCTTATAAATCAATACCAAGTGGATTAATTTCTAATAATGTTGCATCAGTTTATAAAAAGATATCAAACATATGTCTTAAAATCTTAATCAAATTAATAGATTAGTTACATCATTCATTTAATTTTTTTAAATTGGATTTAATTTGTACACCTTAGAAACACTCTCATAAATAGATGAATCAATATCTTCAACTGTATTTGGCATTTCTATTGAAAACTTCTTAATATAATTTGGATCACTCTCTTCTATATGAATACCTCCTTTTTCTGATGCTACAATTCCTAATCCACCTGTATTTCTGTCTAATAGTATTGATAAATATAGTTCCTTTCTTAAAAAATTACGTTCCACTACATAAACCATCTCGCATTTCTTTCCCAAACTTCCTGTTTACTTAGTTATCAAGGTATTTCCTAACATTTTTGATGCATAATCTCTCACATCTTCAGGAGTAGAAGCTATATGTATTCCCTATTTATATGTTCATTAATACACTATTAAATCCATTCTCTTTAAAGTATCCTTTACCTCTACCTCCAGTATGTACTTGTGCCTTCACAACTACATCTGTGAATGAATTCTTTTCAGCTCCTTCCTATATAATTTTAATTGCTGCTTTGTATGCTTCCTCTGCACTCTTACAAATCCTTCCAGGAGGTATTGGTAATTGAAAGGATTTGAAAAATTCAGCTGTTTAATACTCATGTAAGGAGAGAAGATATTTTGGAATACGGTGGAATCTAAACATTAAAGATATGAATTTATTATTATATAAAATATCATTACTATAATCTATATATAATATATTGTCTAATAATATCTTTATAAATAAGATCTAATTGTATAATATATTTATTTTATTACGTACTAATAAATTATATTTCATTTCTTTAAATTTATATTTTCTTTGAACTTTTATTTAATAATACAAAAATGTTAATAATTTTAAACTCTCTTACTTTAAACTAATCTATTAAGAAGCTAGTTTTGATTTAAATGGCAATTATCAATATAATAATTAGTAAAATAAATAACTTTAAATTATTAAATAGTTGAATCTATTTAATTAAGATTTATAATACAGGATTTAAATAGGAAGTATATAAAAATTATTTTATTTATGAAGATGATTATTAATTTAAATATTTTATCTGAATCAATAATTTTTGTTAGGAATATATGAATTTAGTTTATAAAAGTAAACTTATATTAGTAGACTTATTAAAACAAGAATGAAATCCCTTAAAGTAAGGTATTCTTCCGAATTAAATATTTGATAATAAATATTTTGTATAGCAATTATTTAAAAATTAAATTATCTAATTTATGTTATCCACAGCCTCAGGTTTCCAATCTATGTTAAAAGAAGTATGATGAGTTGATTAATATTTTTAAGGGAGCTCGTCACTATTAGGGATTAGAAGAGGCCATTCTTAAAAACATATAAGCATGCAAGGAAATATCAAATATGACAAAAACATCATTAGGTCCTAATGGAATGAAAAAGATGGTTGTCAATCATATTGATAAAATATTTGTTACAAGTGATGCAGCAACAATTCTTAAGGAGATGGAAATCTAACATCCTGCTGCTAAGATGATTCTTATGGCTGCCAAAATGTAAGAAACAGAATAAGGTGATGCAACCAATTTTGTAATAACATTGGCTGGAGAATTATTGTAATAAGCTGAAAGTTTGATTAAATTGGGATTACATCCAAGGTATCATTAAAAATCATATATAAGCTAAATTGTGGTTGGATATGAAACTGCCCTTAAAAGTGCATTAGATTTATTAGATTAATAAAAAATTTGGGAAATCACAGATGTAGCTGATGAAACTTAAGTTTTATAAGCTATTAGAACATCTTTAAGTAGTAAATTATCAGAGTAATATTTAATTAAATATTTATAGTTATTCTAATTTAATTGCTGGTTTAGTAACTAAAGCATGCATAAGATGTTTACCAAAAGAAAAAACTAATTTTGATTCTGAATATGTCAGAGTTACCAAAATTTTAGGTGGATCAGTATTAGATAGTCATGTCTTATCAGGACTTATTGTTACTAGAAATGTTGAAGGATAAATTAATAGATTAGAAAATCCAAAGATTTGTGTTTTTAATGCTCCATTAGATCCATAATCTTAAGAAACTAAAGGAACTGTGTTGATTAAAAATGCAACAGAATTAATGAATTATACTAAAAGTGAAGAAGAACTTGCTGAAAAGATTGTTAAAAGTATAGCTGATGCAGGTGTCAATCTTATTGTTGCAGGAGGTAGCATTTCAGAATTAGTGTTACATTTTGTTGAAAAATATAAAATGATGATTGTTAAAGTCTAATCTAAATTTGAATTAAAGAGAATATGTAAAGCTATAGGAGCTAGTGCATTATCTAGATTATCTGCTCCTATGCCAGATGAATTAGGAACATGTGATAGAGTACATGTATAAGAAATTGGTAGTCAAAAAGTGACTATTTTTGAAAAATAAAGTGATACTTGTAAATTAGCAACTATTGTATTAAGAGGAGCAACATAAAATTTATTAGATGATATTGAAAGAGCTATTGATGATGGTGTTAGTTGTTATAGATCACTTATTAAAGATCCAAGATTTGTTTATGGTGGTGGTGCAACAGAAATTGTATAATTATATATTAATATTAATTTAGAAATTAGCATAATTATTAGAATAAGAAGCAAATAAAATTAAATCAATTGATTAATATGCTTATAGATAATATGCTTAAGCATTTGAAATTATCCCAAGAATTTTAATTGAAAATGCTGGTCTTGCTTAAAATGAAATGATGGCTTAAATGCATAAATTAAACTCTGAGAAACCTCATTCACTTAATATTTCAGTA